ATGTATGTATGTATGTTTACAACCTTACAGGTAAAAAGTTGGTACTTTTTGTGAAAAGTTTGTTAAAATCATGGGTTTCATACTTTGTTTTTGCAGAAACCAGAACTAGTAGATGAAACTAAACAGACAGATGGACCTATTTATGCCATAACAGACAAAGATACAACTATTGAAGTAGTCAAATGTGAAGGTATTGTTTTAAAATTATCTGCAGAAATAATATATGTTTGTGCTATACAGTAATTTCATAAAAGAAAATCTATATTTTTGGAAACTGTGGTAAGGAAGGTGTGGAGAAATTATAAATAAGGTAATAAAACATTAACATTAAATCAATGATTTTTTATTTTCTACCTCAACAAACTTGTTTCTTTTCAAGAAGTAACACCTGGATCACCAAGCACACCTGGATCACCAAGCACACCTGGATCACCAAGCACACCAGGATCACCAAGCACACCTGGATCACCAAGCACACCAGGATCACCAAGCACACCAGGATCACCAAGCACACCTGGATCTCCAAGCACACCTGGATCACCAAGCACACAGGATCACCAAGCACACCAGGATCACCAAGCACACCAGGATCACCAAGCACACCTGGATCACCAAGCACACCCAGGATCACCAAGCACACCTGGATCACCAAGCACACCTGGATCACCAAGCACACCTGGATCACCAAGCACACCAGGATCACCAAGCACACAGGATCACCAAGCACACCTGGATCACCAAGCACACCTGGATCACCAAGCACACCAGGATCACCAAGCACACCAGGATCACCAAGCACACCAGGATCACCAAGCACACCAGGATCACCAAGCACACCTGGATCACCAAGCACACCTGGATCACCAAGCACACCAGGATCACCAAGCACACCAGGATCACCAAGCACACCAGAATCACCAAGTACACCTTGCTCTCAAGTAATGGTTCCACAGAGCAATCTCCCAACCATTAGTCCAAGGTATCCAAGTGATGCATCTCCCAATGACCGCTTAGTTGTTGTTAGAGATGACAATAGTGATTCCACTGTGGTTTCAGTTGATGTTAAAGAACCAACAGCAGGATCTGTTCTTGTTTCAGAACCAATTGATAAGGTAGCTATTCTCTGATATAACACAAGTTGAAGTTTTTGTCTTAAATTAATTTTTAATTTACCTCCATCTAGTGTTTTTTAAAAACACCTCTACATACAAACATTTTTATCACACCATTTATTTTGCAGCCTGTAATTGATGAGCCTGGAAAATATGCTGTTTGAATTTCCCCACAAGTAAGGCCTCTCTAATATATTATCTGCATTTATTTTTATTTTTTTTCTTGCAAATTATTTAATAAAAACTTTGTGTTTTAAAATGCACGTATTTTAATTGTAATTATATGTCATAATGTGGTCAATGGGTAGAGATCTGTAGAAATGCTTTAGACTTTAATTCCTTCTTGTGGTCTGCGAAGCATCTTTGACTCAATAAAATCTTGGATCAGTAGAAATTTATATTTTTAGAAAAGTCAAATCTGTCATTGATAGTATGTTATTTAATATTTCTTTGCAAAGCAGTGTCAATATCACACATTGCTTGCACCAGTAGCAATAGATTAATTATTACAGATTCTATGGGTAAAATCTATAGGTGAGTTGGCAGATCTAAAAGAAAACATCAATATTATTTTGACACTGATAGTAAAGACAACATGACCTTATGGTTCTCTTTTCAATTGGTTTATACAATGAAGTTGACCTTATTTCTTTTTTCACCACATAGGTTCAACACCAACTGGTGCTGCACCTCCACAAGAAGTGCAAACTTTTGCAGGTAACATTCAGTTTTACTGATGTGGTTTCCTTAACTCTGTACTTTAACTTCTAGATGTTTTGAGATTTTTAAAATGTGTTCGAATTGGGCTTTGGTATGTTTATTTGGAAAATCTTGAAATATCTACCAATAGAGAACCACTTATTCTCAAATTATTTTTTCCAATAAAATATCATTTAAGTTATTATTTTCTTCATTTCTATACATGATTATTAGTATCTTCATCTCTGTAAATATTTTCTATGTTTACCTTCAATCAACAGACAATACACCTGGTTCAGAAGTCTACAAAGTGGATTCTACTACCTATGTAGTTGTTTTCCCAGTAACTGATAACCCAGTAGATGTTCCTTCAGGCACTTCAGCATATGTATTCAAGGCAAGTAGTTTATTTATTTTGTTTTCATGAAAGCTGTTGAGGCATGTACTAAAGAACCTTAAAATTGAATATATATATATATATATATATATATATATATATATATATATATATATATATATATATATATATATATATATATATATATATATATATATATATATATATATATATGCATATGTATGTATGTATGTTTACAACCTTACAGGTAAAAAGTTGGTACTTTTTGTGAAAAGTTTGTTAAAATCATGGGTTTCATACTTTGTTTTTGCAGAAACCAGAACTAGTAGATGAAACTAAACAGACAGATGGACCTATTTATGCCATAACAGACAAAGATACAACTATTGAAGTAGTCAAATGTGAAGGTATTGTTTTAAAATTATCTGCAGAAATAATATATGTTTGTGCTATACAGTAATTTCATAAAAGAAATTCTATATTTTTGGAAACTGTGGTAAGGAAGGTGTGGAGAAATTATAAATAAGGTAATAAAACATTAAACATTAAATCAATGATTTTTTTATTTTCTACCTCAACAAACTTGTTTCTTTTCAAGAAGTAACACCTGGATCACCAAGCACACCTGGATCACCAAGCACACCTGGATCACCAAGCACACCAGGATCACCAAGCACACCTGGATCACCAAGCACACCAGGATCACCAAGCACACCAGGATCACCAAGCACACCTGGATCTCCAAGCACACCTGGATCACCAAGCACACCAGGATCACCAAGCACACCAGGATCACCAAGCACACCTGGATCACCAAGCACACCTGGATCACCAAGCACACCAGGATCACCAAGCACACCAGGATCACCAAGCACACCAGAATCACCAAGTACACCTTGCTCTCAAGTAATGGTTCCACAGAGCAATCTCCCAACCATTAGTCCAAGTTATCCAAGTGATGCATCTCCCAATGACCGCTTAGTTGTTGTTAGAGATGACAATAGTGATTCCACTGTGGTTTCAGTTGATGTTAAAGAACCAACAGCAGGATCTGTTCTTGTTTCAGAACCAATTGATAAGGTAGCTATTCTCTGATATAACACAAGTTGAAGTTTTTGTCTTAATTAATTTTTAATTTACCTCCATCTAGTGTTTTTTAAAACACCTCTACATACAAACAATTTTATCACACCATTTATTTTGCAGCCTGTAATTGATGAGCCTGGAAAATATGCTGTTGAATTCCCCACAAGTAAGGCCTCTCTAATATATTATCTGCATTTATTTTTATTTTTTTCTTGCAAATTTATTTAATAAAAACTTTGTGTTTTAAAATGCACGTATTTTAATTGTAATTATATGTCATAATGTGGTCAATGGGTAGAGATCTGTAGAAATGCTTTAGACTTTAATTCCTTCTTGTGGTCTGCGAAGCATCTTTGACTCAATAAAATCTTGGATCAGTAGAAATTTATATTTTTAGAAAAGTCAAATCTGTCATTGATAGTATGTTATTTAATATTTCTTTGCAAAGCAGTGTCAATATCACACATTGCTTGCACCAGTAGCATTAGATTAATTATTACAGATTCTATGGGTAAATCTATAGGTGAGTTGGCAGATCTAAAAGAAAACATCAATATTATTTTGACACTGATAGTAAAGACAACATGACCTTATGGTTCTCTTTTCAATTGGTTTATACAATGAAGTTGACCTTATTTCTTTTTTCACCACATAGGTTCAACACCAACTGGTGCTGCACCTCCACAAGAAGTGCAAACTTTTGCAGGTAACATTCAGTTTTACTGATGTGGTTTCCTTAACTCTGTACTTTAACTTCTAGATGTTTTGAGATTTTTAAAATGTGTTCGAATTGGGCTTTGGTATGTTTATTTGGAAAATCTTGAAATATCTACCAATAGAGAACCACTTATTCTCAAATTATTTTTTCCAATAAAATATCATTTAAGTTATTATTTTCTTCATTTCTATACATGATTATTAGTATCTTCATCTCTGTAAATATTTTCTATGTTTACCTTCAATCAACAGACAATACACCTGGTTCAGAAGTCTACAAAGTGGATTCTACTACCTATGTAGTTGTTTTCCCAGTAACTGATAACCCAGTAGATGTTCCTTCAGGCACTTCAGCATATGTATTCAAGGCAAGTAGTTTATTTATTTTGTTTTCATGAAAGCTGTTGAGGCATGTACTAAAGAACCTTAAAATTGAATATATATATATATATATATATATATATATATATATATATATATATATATATATATATATATATATATATATATATATATATATATATATATGCATATGTATGTATGTATGTTTACAACCTTACAGGTAAAAAGTTGGTACTTTTTGTGAAAAGTTTGTTAAAATCATGGGTTTCATACTTTGTTTTTGCAGAAACCAGAACTAGTAGATGAAACTAAACAGACAGATGGACCTATTTATGCCATAACAGACAAAGATACAACTATTGAAGTAGTCAAATGTGAAGGTATTGTTTTAAAATTATCTGCAGAAATAATATATGTTTGTGCTATACAGTAATTTCATAAAAGAAATTCTATATTTTTGGAAACTGTGGTAAGGAAGGTGTGGAGAAATTATAAATAAGGTAATAAAACATTAAACATTAAATCAATGATTTTTTTATTTTCTACCTCAACAAACTTGTTTCTTTTCAAGAAGTAACACCTGGATCACCAAGCACACCTGGATCACCAAGCACACCTGGATCACCAAGCACACCAGGATCACCAAGCACACCTGGATCACCAAGCACACCAGGATCACCAAGCACACCAGGATCACCAAGCACACCTGGATCTCCAAGCACACCTGGATCACCAAGCACACCAGGATCACCAAGCACACCAGGATCACCAAGCACACCAGGATCACCAAGCACACCTGGATCACCAAGCACACCAGGATCACCAAGCACACCTGGATCACCAAGCACACCTGGATCACCAAGCACACCTGGATCACCAAGCACACCTGGATCACCAAGCACACCAGGATCACCAAGCACACCTGGATCACCAAGCACACCAGGATCACCAAGCACACCAGGATCACCAAGCACACCTGGATCTCCAAGCACACCTGGATCACCAAGCACACCAGGATCACCAAGCACACCAGGATCACCAAGCACACCAGGATCACCAAGCACACCTGGATCACCAAGCACACCAGGATCACCAAGCACACCTGGATCACCAAGCACACCTGGATCACCAAGCACACCAGGATCACCAAGCACACCTGGATCACCAAGCACACCAGGATCACCAAGCACACCAGGATCACCAAGCACACCTGGATCACCAAGCACACCTGGATCACCAAGCACACCAGGATCACCAAGCACACCAGGATCACCAAGCACACCAGGATCACCAAGCACACCTGGATCACCAAGCACACCTGGATCACCAAGCACACCAGGATCACCAAGCACACCAGGATCACCAAGCACACCAGAATCACCAAGTACACCTTGCGCTCAAGTAATGGTTCCACAGAGCAATCTCCCAACCATTAGTCCAAGTTATCCAAGTGATGCATCTCCCAATGACCGCTTAGTTGTGGTTAGAGATGACAATAGTGATTCCACTGTGGTTTCAGTTGATGTTAAAGAACCAACAGCAGGATCTGTTCTTGTTTCAGAACCAATTGATAAGGTAGCTATTCTCTGATATAACACAAGTTGAAGTTTTTGTCTTAATTAATTTTTAATTTACCTCCATCTAGTGTTTTTTAAAACACCTCTACATACAAACAATTTTATCACACCATTTATTTTGCAGCCTGTAAGATGAGCCTGGAAAATATGCTGTTGAATTCCCCACAAGTAAGGCCTCTCTAATATATTATCTGCATTTATTTTTATTTTTTTCTTGCAAATTTATTTAATAAAAACTTTGTGTTTTAAAATGCACGTATTTTAATTGTAATTATATGTCATAATGTGGTCAATGGGTAGAGATCTGTAGAAATGCTTTAGACTTTAATTCCTTCTTGTGGTCTGCGAAGCATCTTTGACTCAATAAAATCTTGGATCAGTAGAAATTTATATTTTTAGAAAAGTCAAATCTGTCATTGATAGTATGTTATTTAATATTTCTTTGCAAAGCAGTGTCAATATCACACATTGCTTGCACCAGTAGCATTAGATTAATTATTACAGATTCTATGGGTAAATCTATAGGTGAGTTGGCAGATCTAAAAGAAAACATCAATATTATTTTGACACTGATAGTAAAGACAACATGACCTTATGGTTCTCTTTTCAATTGGTTTATACAATGAAGTTGACCTTATTTCTTTTTTCACCACATAGGTTCAACACCAACTGGTGCTGCACCTCCACAAGAAGTGCAAACTTTTGCAGGTAACATTCAGTTTTACTGATGTGGTGGTTTCCTTAACTCTGTACTTTAACTTCTAGATGTTTTGAGATTTTTAAAATGTGTTCGAATTGGGCTTTGGTATGTTTATTTGGAAAATCTTGAAATATCTACCAATAGAGAACCACTTATTCTCAAATTATTTTTTCCAATAAAATATCATTTAAGTTATTATTTTCTTCATTTCTATACATGATTATTAGTATCTTCATCTCTGTAAATATTTTCTATGTTTACCTTCAATCAACAGACAATACACCTGGTTCAGAAGTCTACAAAGTGGATTCTACTACCTATGTAGTTGTTTTCCCAGTAACTGATAACCCAGTAGATGTTCCTTCAGGCACTTCAGCATATGTATAGGCAAGTAGTTTATTTATTTTGTTTTCATGAAAGCTGTTGAGGCATGTACTAAAGAACCTTAAAATTGAATATATATATATATATATATATATATATATATATATATATATATATATATATATATATATATATATATATATATATATATATATATATGCATATGTATGTATGTATGTTTACAACCTTACAGGTAAAAAGTTGGTACTTTTTGTGAAAAGTTTGTTAAAATCATGGGTTTCATACTTTGTTTTTGCAGAAACCAGAACTAGTAGATGAAACTAAACAGACAGATGGACCTATTTATGCCATAACAGACAAAGATACAACTATTGAAGTAGTCAAATGTGAAGGTATTGTTTTAAAATTATCTGCAGAAATAATATATGTTTGTGCTATACAGTAATTTCATAAAAGAAATTCTATATTTTTGGAAACTGTGGTAAGGAAGGTGTGGAGAAATTATAAATAAGGTAATAAAACATTAAACATTAAATCAATGATTTTTTTATTTTCTACCTCAACAAACTTGTTTCTTTTCAAGAAGTAACACCTGGATCACCAAGCACACCTGGATCACCAAGCACACCTGGATCACCAAGCACACCAGGATCACCAAGCACACCTGGATCACCAAGCACACCAGGATCACCAAGCACACCAGGATCACCAAGCACACCTGGATCTCCAAGCACACCGATCACCAAGCACACCAGGATCACCAAGCACACCAGGATCACCAAGCACACCAGGATCACCAAGCACACCTGGATCACCAAGCACACCAGGATCACCAAGCACACCTGGATCACCAAGCACACCTGGATCACCAAGCACACCTGGATCACCAAGCACACCTGGATCACCAAGCACACCAGGATCACCAAGCACACCTGGATCACCAAGCACACCAGGATCACCAAGCACACCAGGATCACCAAGCACACCTGGATCTCCAAGCACACCTGGATCACCAAGCACACCAGGATCACCAAGCACACCAGGATCACCAAGCACACCAGGATCACCAAGCACACCTGGATCACCAAGCACACCAGGATCACCAAGCACACCTGGATCACCAAGCACACCTGGATCACCAAGCACACCAGGATCACCAAGCACACCTGGATCACCAAGCACACCAGGATCACCAAGCACACCAGGATCACCAAGCACACCTGGATCACCAAGCACACCTGGATCACCAAGCACACCAGGATCACCAAGCACACCAGGATCACCAAGCACACCAGGATCACCAAGCACACCTGGATCACCAAGCACACCTGGATCACCAAGCACACCAGGATCACCAAGCACACCAGGATCACCAAGCACACCAGAATCACCAAGTACACCTTGCGCTCAAGTAATGGTTCCACAGAGCAATCTCCCAACCATTAGTCCAAGTTATCCAAGTGATGCATCTCCCAATGACCGCTTAGTTGTGGTTAGAGATGACAATAGTGATTCCACTGTGGTTTCAGTTGATGTTAAAGAACCAACAGCAGGATCTGTTCTTGTTTCAGAACCAATTGATAAGGTAGCTATTCTCTGATATAACACAAGTTGAAGTTTTTGTCTTAATTAATTTTTAATTTACCTCCATCTAGTGTTTTTTAAAACACCTCTACATACAAACAATTTTATCACACCATTTATTTTGCAGCCTGTAATTGATGAGCCTGGAAAATATGCTGTTGAATTCCCCACAAGTAAGGCCTCTCTAATATATTATCTGCATTTATTTTTATTTTTTTCTTGCAAATTTATTTAATAAAAACTTTGTGTTTTAAAATGCACGTATTTTAATTGTAATTATATGTCATAATGTGGTCAATGGGTAGAGATCTGTAGAAATGCTTTAGACTTTAATTCCTTCTTGTGGTCTGCGAAGCATCTTTGACTCAATAAAATCTTGGATCAGTAGAAATTTATATTTTTAGAAAAGTCAAATCTGTCATTGATAGTATGTTATTTAATATTTCTTTGCAAAGCAATGTCAATATCACACATTGCTTGCACCAGTAGCATTAGATTAATTATTACAGATTCTATGGGTAAATCTATAGGTGAGTTGGCAGATCTAAAAGAAAACATCAATATTATTTTGACACTGATAGTAAAGACAACATGACCTTATGGTTCTCTTTTCAATTGGTTTATACAATGAAGTTGACCTTATTTCTTTTTTCACCACATAGGTTCAACACCAACTGGTGCTGCACCTCCACAAGAAGTGCAAACTTTTGCAGGTAACATTCAGTTTTACTGATGTGGTTTCCTTAACTCTGTACTTTAACTTCTAGATGTTTTGAGATTTTTAAAATGTGTTCGAATTGGGCTTTGGTATGTTTATTTGGAAAATCTTGAAATATCTACCAATAGAGAACCACTTATTCTCAAATTATTTTTTCCAATAAAATATCATTTAAGTTATTATTTTCTTCATTTCTATACATGATTATTAGTATCTTCATCTCTGTAAATATTTTCTATGTTTACCTTCAATCAACAGACAATACACCTGGTTCAGAAGTCTACAAAGTGGATTCTACTACCTATGTAGTTGTTTTCCCAGTAACTGATAACCCAGTAGATGTTCCTTCAGGCACTTCAGCATATGTATTCAAGGCAAGTAGTTTATTTATTTTGTTTTCATGAAAGCTGTTGAGGCATGTACTAAAGAACCTTAAAATTGAATATATATATATATATATATATATATATATATATATATATATATATATATATATATATATATATATATATATATATATATATATATGCATATGTATGTATGTATGTTTACAACCTTACAGGTAAAAAGTTGGTACTTTTTGTGAAAAGTTTGTTAAAATCATGGGTTTCATACTTTGTTTTTGCAGAAACCAGAACTAGTAGATGAAACTAAACAGACAGATGGACCTATTTATGCCATAACAGACAAAGATACAACTATTGAAGTAGTCAAATGTGAAGGTATTGTTTTAAAATTATCTGCAGAAATAATATATGTTTGTGCTATACAGTAATTTCATAAAAGAAATTCTATATTTTTGGAAACTGTGGTAAGGAAGGTGTGGAGAAATTATAAATAAGGTAATAAAACATTAAACATTAAATCAATGATTTTTTTATTTTCTACCTCAACAAACTTGTTTCTTTTCAAGAAGTAACACCTGGATCACCAAGCACACCTGGATCACCAAGCACACCTGGATCACCAAGCACACCAGGATCACCAAGCACACCTGGATCACCAAGCACACCAGGATCACCAAGCACACCAGGATCACCAAGCACACCTGGATCTCCAAGCACACCTGGATCACCAAGCACACCAGGATCACCAAGCACACCAGGATCACCAAGCACACCAGGATCACCAAGCACACCTGGATCACCAAGCACACCAGGATCACCAAGCACACCTGGATCACCAAGCACACCTGGATCACCAAGCACACCAGGATCACCAAGCACACCTGGATCACCAAGCACACCAGGATCACCAAGCACACCAGGATCACCAAGCACACCTGGATCACCAAGCACACCTGGATCACCAAGCACACCAGGATCACCAAGCACACCTGGATCACCAAGCACACCTGGATCACCAAGCACACCAGGATCACCAAGCACACCTGGATCACCAAGCACACCAGGATCACCAAGCACACCAGGATCACCAAGCACACCTGGATCACCAAGCACACCTGGATCACCAAGCACACCAGGATCACCAAGCACACCAGGATCACCAAGCACACCAGGATCACCAAGCACACCAGGATCACCAAGCACACCTGGATCACCAAGCACACCTGGATCACCAAGCACACCAGGATCACCAAGCACACCAGGATCACCAAGCACACCAGAATCACCAAGTACACCTTGCGCTCAAGTAATGGTTCCACAGAGCAATCTCCCAACCATTAGTCCAAGTTATCCAAGTGATGCATCTCCCAATGACCGCTTAGTTGTGGTTAGAGATGACAATAGTGATTCCACTGTGGTTTCAGTTGATGTTAAAGAACCAACAGCAGGATCTGTTCTTGTTTCAGAACCAATTGATAAGGTAGCTATTCTCTGATATAACACAAGTTGAAGTTTTTGTCTTAATTAATTTTTAATTTACCTCCATCTAGTGTTTTTTAAAACACCTCTACATACAAACAATTTTATCACACCATTTATTTTGCAGCCTGTAATTGATGAGCCTGGAAAATATGCTGTTGAATTCCCCACAAGTAAGGCCTCTCTAATATATTATCTGCATTTATTTTATTTTTTTCTTGCAAATTTATTTAATAAAAACTTTGTGTTTTAAAATGCACGTATTTTAATTGTAATTATATGTCATAATGTGGTCAATGGGTAGAGATCTGTAGAAATGCTTTAGACTTTAATTCCTTCTTGTGGTCTGCGAAGCATCTTTGACTCAATAAAATCTTGGATCAGTAGAAATTTATATTTTTAGAAAAGTCAAATCTGTCATTGATAGTATGTTATTTAATATTTCTTTGCAAAGCAATGTCAATATCACACATTGCTTGCACCAGTAGCATTAGATTAATTATTACAGATTCTATGGGTAAATCTATAGGTGAGTTGGCAGATCTAAAAGAAAACATCAATATTATTTTGACACTGATAGTAAAGACAACATGACCTTATGGTTCTCTTTTCAATTGGTTTATACAATGAAGTTGACCTTATTTCTTTTTTCACCACATAGGTTCAACACCAACTGGTGCTGCACCTCCACAAGAAGTGCAAACTTTTGCAGGTAACATTCAGTTTTACTGATGTGGTTTCCTTAACTCTGTACTTTAACTTCTAGATGTTTTGAGATTTTTAAAATGTGTTCGAATTGGGCTTTGGTATGTTTATTTGGAAAATCTTGAAATATCTACCAATAGAGAACCACTTATTCTCAAATTATTTTTTCCAATAAAATATCATTTAAGTTATTATTTTCTTCATTTCTATACATGATTATTAGTATCTTCATCTCTGTAAATATTTTCTATGTTTACCTTCAATCAACAGACAATACACCTGGTTCAGAAGTCTACAAAGTGGATTCTACTACCTATGTAGTTGTTTTCCCAGTAACTGATAACCCAGTAGATGTTCCTTCAGGCACTTCAGCATATGTATTCAAGGCAAGTAGTTTATTTATTTTGTTTTCATGAAAGCTGTTGAGGCATGTACTAAAGAACCTTAAAATTGAATATATATATATATATATATATATATATATATATATATATATATATATATATATATATATATATATATATATATATATATATATATATATATATATATATATATATATATATATATATATATATATATATATATATATATATATACATATATATATATATATATGCATATGTATGTATGTATGTTTACAACCTTACAGGTAAAAAGTTGGTACTTTTTGTGAAAAGTTTGTTAAAATCATGGGTTTCATACTTTGTTTTTGCAGAAACCAGAACTAGTAGATGAAACTAAACAGACAGATGGACCTATTTATGCCATAACAGACAAAGATACAACTATTGAAGTAGTCAAATGTGAAGGTATTGTTTTAAAATTATCTGCAGAAATAATATATGGTTGTGCTATACAGTAATTTCATAAAAGAAATTCTATATTTTTGGAAACTGTGGTAAGGAAGGTGTGGAGAAATTATAAATAAGGTAATAAAACATTAAACATTAAATCAATGATTTTTTTATTTTCTACCTCAACAAACTTGTTTCTTTTCAAGAAGTAACACCTGGATCACCAAGCACACCTGGATCACCAAGCACACCTGGATCACCAAGCACACCAGGATCACCAAGCACACCTGGATCACCAAGCACACCAGGATCACCAAGCACACCAGGATCACCAAGCACACCTGGATCTCCAAGCACACCTGGATCACCAAGCACACCAGGATCACCAAGCACACCAGGATCACCAAGCACACCAGGATCACCAAGCACACCTGGATCACCAAGCACACCAGGATCACCAAGCACACCTGGATCACCAAGCACACCTGGATCACCAAGCACACCAGGATCACCAAGCACACCTGGATCACCAAGCACACCAGGATCACCAAGCACACCAGGATCACCAAGCACACCTGGATCACCAAGCACACCTGGATCACCAAGCACACCAGGATCACCAAGCACACCAGGATCACCAAGCACACCAGGATCACCAAGCACACCAGGATCACCAAGCACACCTGGATCACCAAGCACACCTGGATCACCAAGCACACCAGGATCACCAAGCACACCAGGATCACCAAGCACACCAGAATCACCAAGTACACCTTGCTCTCAAGTAATGGTTCCACAGAGCAATCTCCCAACCATTAGTCCAAGTTATCCAAGTGATGCATCTCCCAATGACCGCTTAGTTGTGGTTAGAGATGACAATAGTGATTCCACTGTGGTTTCAGTTGATGTTAAAGAACCAACAGCAGGATCTGTTCTTGTTTCAGAACCAATTGATAAGGTAGCTATTCTCTGATATAACACAAGTTGAAGTTTTTGTCTTAATTAATTTTTAATTTACCTCCATCTAGTGTTTTTTAAAACACCTCTACATACAAACAATTTTATCACACCATTTATTTTGCAGCCTGTAATTGATGAGCCTGGAAAATATGCTGTTGAATTCCCCACAAGTAAGGCCTCTCTAATATATTATCTGCATTTATTTTTATTTTTTTCTTGCAAATTTATTTAATAAAAACTTTGTGTTTTAAAATGCACGTATTTTAATTGTAATTATATGTCATAATGTGGTCAATGGGTAGAGATCTGTAGAAATGCTTTAGACTTTAATTCCTTCTTGTGGTCTGCGAAGCATCTTTGACTCAATAAAATCTTGGATCAGTAGAAATTTATATTTTTAGAAAAGTCAAATCTGTCATTGATAGTATGTTATTTAATATTTCTTTGCAAAGCAATGTCAATATCACACATTGCTTGCACCAGTAGCATTAGATTAATTATTACAGATTCTATGGGTAAATCTATAGGTGAGTTGGCAGATCTAAAAGAAAACATCAATATTATTTTGACACTGATAGTAAAGACAACATGACCTTATGGTTCTCTTTTCAATTGGTTTATACAATGAAGTTGACCTTATTTCTTTTTTCACCACATAGGTTCAACACCAACTGGTGCTGCACCTCCACAAGAAGTGCAAACTTTTGCAGGTAACATTCAGTTTTACTGATGTGGTTTCCTTAACTCTGTACTTTAACTTCTAGATGTTTTGAGATTTTTAAAATGTGTTCGAATTGGGCTTTGGTATGTTTATTTGGAAAATCTTGAAATATCTACCAATAGAGAACCACTTATTCTCAAATTATTTTTTCCAATAAAATATCATTTAAGTTATTATTTTCTTCATTTCTATACATGATTATTAGTATCTTCATCTCTGTAAATATTTTCTATGTTTACCTTCAATCAACAGACAATACACCTGGTTCAGAAGTCTACAAAGTGGATTCTACTACCTATGTAGTTGTTTTCCCAGTAACTGATAACCCAGTAGATGTTCCTTCAGGCACTTCAGCATATGTATTCAAGGCAAGTAGTTTATTTATTTTGTTTTCATGAAAGCTGTTGAGGCATGTACTAAAGAACCTTAAAATTGAATATATATATATATATATATATATATATATATATATATATATATATATATATATATATATATATATATATATATATATATATATATATATATGCATATGTATGTATGTATGTTTACAACCTTACAGGTAAAAAGTTGGTACTTTTTGTGAAAAGTTTGTTAAAATCATGGGTTTCATACTTTGTTTTTGCAGAAACCAGAACTAGTAGATGAAACTAAACAGACAGATGGACCTATTTATGCCATAACAGACAAAGATACAACTATTGAAGTAGTCAAATGTGAAGGTATTGTTTTAAAATTATCTGCAGAAATAATATATGGTTGTGCTATACAGTAATTTCATAAAAGAAATTCTATATTTTTGGAAACTGTGGTAAGGAAGGTGTGGAGAAATTATAAATAAGGTAATAAAACATTAAACATTAAATCAATGATTTTTTTATTTTCTACCTCAACAAACTTGTTTCTTTTCAAGAAGTAACACCTGGATCACCAAGCACACCTGGATCACCAAGCACACCTGGATCACCAAGCACACCAGGATCACCAAGCACACCTGGATCACCAAGCACACCAGGATCACCAAGCACACCAGGATCACCAAGCACACCTGGATCTCCAAGCACACCTGGATCACCAAGCACACCAGGATCACCAAGCACACCAGGATCACCAAGCACACCAGGATCACCAAGCACACCTGGATCACCAAGCACACCAGGATCACCAAGCACACCTGGATCACCAAGCACACCTGGATCACCAAGCACACCAGGATCACCAAGCACACCTGGATCACCAAGCACACCAGGATCACCAAGCACACCAGGATCACCAAGCACACCTGGATCACCAAGCACACCTGGATCACCAAGCACACCAGGATCACCAAGCACACCAGGATCACCAAGCACACCAGGATCACCAAGCACACCAGGATCACCAAGCACACCTGGATCACCAAGCACACCTGGATCACCAAGCACACCAGGATCACCAAGCACACCAGGATCACCAAGCACACCAGAATCACCAAGTACACCTTGCTCTCAAGTAATGGTTCCACAGAGCAATCTCCCAACCATTAGTCCAAGTTATCCAAGTGATGCATCTCCCAATGACCGCTTAGTTGTGGTTAGAGATGACAATAGTGATTCCACTGTGGTTTCAGTTGATGTTAAAGAACCAACAGCAGGATCTGTTCTTGTTTCAGAACCAATTGATAAGGTAGCTATTCTCTGATATAACACAAGTTGAAGTTTTTGTCTTAATTAATTTTTAATTTACCTCCATCTAGTGTTTTTTAAAACACCTCTACATACAAACAATTTTATCACACCATTTATTTTGCAGCCTGTAATTGATGAGCCTGGAAAATATGCTGTTGAATTCCCCACAAGTAAGGCCTCTCTAATATATTATCTGCATTTATTTTTATTTTTTTCTTGCAAATTTATTTAATAAAAACTTTGTGTTTTAAAATGCACGTATTTTAATTGTAATTATATGTCATAATGTGGTCAATGGGTAGAGATCTGTAGAAATGCTTTAGACTTTAATTCCTTCTTGTGGTCTGCGAAGCATCTTTGACTCAATAAAATCTTGGATCAGTAGAAATTTATATTTTTAGAAAAGTCAAATCTGTCATTGATAGTATGTTATTTAATATTTCTTTGCAAAGCAATGTCAATATCACACATTGCTTGCACCAGTAGCATTAGATTAATTATTACAGATTCTATGGGTAAATCTATAGGTGAGTTGGCAGATCTAAAAGAAAACATCAATATTATTTTGACACTGATAGTAAAGACAACATGACCTTATGGTTCTCTTTTCAATTGGTTTATACAATGAAGTTGACCTTATTTCTTTTTTCACCACATAGGTTCAACACCAACTGGTGCTGCACCTCCACAAGAAGTGCAAACTTTTGCAGGTAACATTCAGTTTTACTGATGTGGTTTCCTTAACTCTGTACTTTAACTTCTAGATGTTTTGAGATTTTTAAAATGTGTTCGAATTGGGCTTTGGTATGTTTATTTGGAAAATCTTGAAATATCTACCAATAGAGAACCACTTATTCTCAAATTATTTTTTCCAATAAAATATCATTTAAGTTATTATTTTCTTCATTTCTATACATGATTATTAGTATCTTCATCTCTGTAAATATTTTCTATGTTTACCTTCAATCAACAGACAATACACCTGGTTCAGAAGTCTACAAAGTGGATTCTACTACCTATGTAGTTGTTTTCCCAGTAACTGATAACCCAGTAGATGTTCCTTCAGGCACTTCAGCATATGTATTCAAGGCAAGTAGTTTATTTATTTTGTTTTCATGAAAGCTGTTGAGGCATGTACTAAAGAACCTTAAAATTGAATATATATATATATATATATATATATATATATATATATATATATATATATATATATATATATATATATGCATATGTATGTATGTATGTTTACAACCTTACAGGTAAAAAGTTGGTACTTTTTGTGAAAAGTTTGTTAAAATCATGGGTTTCATATTTTGTTTTTGCAGAAACCAGAACTAGTAGATGAAACTAAACAGACAGAAGGACCTATTTATGCCATAACAGACAAAGATATAACTATTGAAGTAGTCAAATGTGAAGGTATTGTTTAAAAATTATCTGCAGAAATAATATATGTTTGTGCTTTACAGTAATTGCATAAAAGAAATTCTATATTTTTGGAAACTGTGGTAAGGAAGGTGTGGAGAAATTATAAATAAGGTAATAAAACATTAAACATTAAATCAATGATTTTTTGATTTTCTACCTCAACAAACTTGTTTCTTTTCAAGAAGAAACACCTGGATCACCAAGCACACCTGGATCACCAAGCACACCTGGATCACCAAGCACACCAGGATCACCAAGCACACCTGGATCACCAAGCACACCTGGATCTCCAAGCACACCTGGATCACCAAGCACACCAGGATCACCAAGCACACCAGGATCACCTAGCACACCAGAGACAACATCAACTCCATTATTTTCCAGCACCACTGTAACACCTTATGTTAGTGGCCCTACAGGAACAACACCAAGTAAAAAAAAATGCTTCTCATTTACTCTAGTTTATCTTGTTATGTATACTTCTTTGAATCTCTTTTTTGTATTAGTTTCAAACTGTTTTATCTTTGAATTTCATTTTTAATAAATTCTTTGAATATATTTTAGCTTCAACAAAATGTGATCTGGAGATGGTTAACATGCCTTCTAATGCCAATTATGAGCCTGTTTATGAATATCCTGAAGGAATACAAACACCAAACCTAATCAAACTGTCTGATACTAATCAGTATGTTGGTAGAATCTTTACTGAACCTAATGAAAATGTTGAGGCATTTATTCTTACTCCAGTCCAAGAAATAACCATTGCGGTAATGAATTTTAATACATTTTAAAATGAAATACTATGTACTTTCAATATTTATTCACTATAACTCAACTTATCCAACAGATCCTATTGTATACTAGTTCCAGTAGGCTATATCATTTAATAAAGCCAATGTATATTAATATAAAAGTAAACCACCAGTTATATTTTTAAAGATCACTCTGGTAGATAAAATGCTTATAAAATGTTACAACAATCTTTATTTTATTGTTATAAAAACTTTTTTTTTTCAGACTGTAACTGGTGATGGTAAACAAAAAGCTGCTCTCTTCACTCTTGGTAATATTGATTTGATACAACAGATTTTTAAAATATTTCATTTAAGAATTTTATACTTTGTATATATATATATATATATATATATATATATATATATATATATATATATATATATATATATATATATATATATATATATATATATATATATATATATATATATATATATATATATATATATATATATATATATATATATATATATGAAAAATATCTATGGGAAAGAATATAAATTTTTTAAAGTTTTTACATTATGCACCATTAACCTACTTTTCTTCAAATAATTCATATTGTCATTTTTCAGATAAAGATATTCAAAGTGAAAATGTTTTTGGTAAGACACATTCTTGCAATTATTTTGCCATCTTTTTTCTAAAAAAAAAGCACCATTTCTTATGATCATTAGACATTTTTTTTTCTAAAATGTGTTTGTTTAGGACATTTGAATGATTTATTTTCTTCTTGTAAAATTTGAAAAAATAATGCATTTTTACATAAGCCCTATGTAGGAATGAAAGTTATTAATTAATTATTCATCTATTGAAATGACAATAATACTTTCATATTTTATTAGATCAACGCAACTTTAGATGGTCCAATTAAAGTTGATAGACAAGCTTTTTTCTTTTAAATTGATCTAATATGAACCGTGTGTTGGAAAATTAAGAAAAATTTTTATAAACATTTAGATTTTTATAAATTATCCACTTACACATAACTCATTTTAAACTGTTATGCTAAAAGCAGCTTAGATATAGAATTTTTTATCATTTATTTAGATTATAGTTATGTAATTTCTCCTTATTTATATTCCTCCAGTATTCATTCTTTTGGTTAATTTCTAAACTTCATTAAAAAATGTCTTCCACAGGAGGACTGAATCCAAACTATATATATGAAAAGGATTATAATGCTGAATCTAAATATAGCTTGGTTGTTTATAAAGCAGAAAATAATAAAGTGTATGATTTTGATAGCCTTAATGCTGACTTCCAATACCTGTTTGATGTGACAGTAAGAATTTCATGTCTATTTCATTTTATATACATAGACACAATAATAATAGAGAACATGCCTTTTACCTTTAAAAGTAATTCTTATATATTTTATTTAATATTCAAACATTTGAAACATATTCAATTAAAGAAATTGATATTGATTATTGGTATTGAATATTGATATATAGATAAAATTACATTTACCTTTTTACAGCCTATACAGCTGCCTACCAACAAAGACATCAGTCAAGTCACACCTGGTCCTGTATATGTTTTAGCATCATCGGATGTTTCACTTTCAGTTGAATATTGTGCTGGTTTGTAACAAATTCCATATATTGTATAAGAAGATACATCTTAAATGGAAAAAAGTCATAAAATTGGTTGTAAAACTCCTTGGAAAGAACCCCAACCTACCACTAAGACAAAAACTGTAAAACTTATATCCACCATTTAAGGTCAATGTAAGAATAATTGTGTATTATGCTACATAATTAACAGTTTTAGGGAAAAATGCTATGATCACTATGCTGATATTTTTCTACATTTACTTTTCTACAAAGCAGTGATCTAACATATTTAACAGATAAATGATAATATAGGCAACATTATATTTAGAACTTTTGACTGTTGTTTGTACAGAATTTAGCATGATACTACCAAAAAGGCTAAATTTTAAACAGTATTTTTACATCCCAAGATCAAGTTTCAATTGGTACAGATCCATGTCAACCTTTATTAGTACTCCATTATCTAGATTGAAACCTAAACCACTATTACATACCTATTATTTAGATTTTAATACAGCACATCTACTACAATTTTTTTTAAATTATTAACATACATTATGCAATAGTTGTTGTCCTGTTCATCTATTAATGACATCACAGAATTACCATCACCCAAAGCCATATTTCAAATGTCATCAAAATGGCATCACGCTGTACTGATCTCCCACCAAAAGTGAACACATACATCACCTAAAAATAGTTTTAACAAAAAAAGACATCACTTTAGTCACCAATAAATGCACTAAATAGGCTATATCACAATTTTTTAACACACAACATTGCTTTACACCACACTTGAATATCAAATCACATTTTTAGAAGCTATCATCCATTCCCTGAATAATTCTTAAAATTTAATAACAAACAAACAATTTCTGCAAAAGTGTAATAACATTTATTGGAATTTTAATTTTTTTTTTAATTGAATTGATCAAATTACTCTCAAGTGTAAATCAATGAAAACAGAACAAAAAATGCATAAAGATATAAAAAATGCATCAATTAAATTGTGTTATCAAATTTTTAAAATTACAATTAACTAATTCAGTTTTTTCAAATTTAAGGAACACCAGGATCACCAAGCACACCAGGATCACCAAGCACACCAGGATCACCAAGCACACCTGGATCACCAAGCACACCAGGATCACCAAGCACACCAGGATCACCAAGCACACCTGGATCACCAAGCACACCAGGATCACCAAGCACACCAGGATCACCAAGCACACCTGGATCACCAAGCACACCAGGATCACCAAGCACACCAGGATCACCAAGCACACCAGGATCACCAAGCACACCTGGATCACCAAGCACACCTGGATCACCAAGCACACCAGGATCACCAAGCACACCTGGATCACCAAGCACACCAGGATCACCAAGCACACCAGGATCACCAAGCACACCAGGATCACCAAGCACACCTGGATCACCAAGCACACCTGGATCACCAAGCACACCTGGATCACCAAGCACACCTGGATCACCAAGCACACCTGGATCACCAAGCACACCAGGATCACCAAGCACACCAGGATCACCAAGCACACCTGGATCACCAAGCACACCTGGATCACCAAGCACACCAGGATCACCAAGCACACCAGGATCACCAAGCACACCTGGATCACCCAGCACACCAGAGTCACCAAGTACACCTTGCTCTCAAGTTATGGTTCCAGAGAGAGATCTTCCAACAATTAGTCCAAGTTATCCAGATAATGCACCTTCCAATGATCGTTTAGTTGTGGTTAGAGATGACAAGAGTGATGCCACTGTGGTTTCAGTTAATGCTCAAGAATCATCAACAGGATCTGTTCTTGTTTCAGAACCATTCACTCAGGTAGTTTTTCTCTTATATAACACATAAATTTGACATTTTCATCTTAAATCATTTTCAAATCAACAACCCTGCTTTTTAAACCTCCTTTACATAAATTCAGTCATACAATTACTTTTACAGCCCAAAGCTGATGAGCCTGGAAAATATGCTGTTGTATTCTCTACAAGTAAGGCATTTTGAATATATTGTGTGCAATCCATTATATTTTATCCTGCTAATGTATGTAATAAAAATTGTTAGTTTTAGAATGCAACTTTTTTTATTGTAATTACATGTCATAGTGGGGTCAATGGGTAATGTGCAATAGAAATGGTTTAGATTTCCTCTTTGTGATCTGCCAAGCACCTTAGAGTCCACCTATCTTGGATCAGTAAAAAGTTGCATTTTAAAAAGTTAAAGATTTAATTGATAGTATGTTATTTAAGGTTGTTTTTTTTTTGGTAAACAATATTATTAGCATACATTGCTTGCACAAGTAGGATTAGAAATAATAATTACAGATTCTATGGGTAAATTAATAGGTTAGTTGGCAGATCTAAAAAAAACATCAAGATTTTGTTGACACTGATAGTAAAGACCATAAGGCCTTATGGATCTTTTTTCTCTTTTCAATTGGTTTGTACAATGAAGTTGATCTTATTTATTTTTTCCCCATATAGGTTCAACACCAACTGGTGCTACACCTCCAACACAAGTGCTAGATTTTGCAGGTAACATTCTGTTTAACTGATGTGGTTTCCTTAACCATGTACTCTACTTTCTAGATGTTTTGAGATTTTTAAAATGTGTTCAAATTATGCTTTGTTATTTATTTTGGAAATTCTGGAAACATCTAACAATAAAGAACCACTTTTTCTCAAAGTATTTTATCCAATAAAATATTTAAAATTATTACTTTCTTCATTTCTATACAAAATGTATTATTATCTTCATTTCTGTAAATATTTGCTATGTTTACATTGAATCAACAGACACTACAACTAACCCAGAAGTCTTCCAAGTGGATTCTAATACCTATTTAGTTGTTTTCCAAGTAACTGCTAATAACCCAGTGAATATCCCTGCAGGCGCTTCTTCAGCATATGTATTCAAGGCAAGTATTTTATTTATTTTGTATTCATAATTATTCTTAAGGCATGTACTAAGGATGCTTGCCTTTTTTTGTGAAGAGTTTGTTAAAATCATGTGTTCCATATTTGTTTGCAGACCCCAGATAATGTTGATGAAACTAAACAGACAGATGGACCTATTTTTGCCATCACAGACAAAGATACACCTATTGAAGTAGTCAAATGTGCAGGTATTGTATTAAAATTTGTCTACAGAAATTTAAAATATTTGTACTTCATTGTCATTTCCATTATAATTAATCTAATCCTTTGAAAATGATGCTAGGGAAGGTAATGACAAATTTTAAATATGGTGATAGGGCATTAACATTAAAATCAGGGATTTGGTCTACATATCTCAATAATTCTTTCTTCTTTTCAAGAAGAAACTCCAGGATCACCAAGCACACCAGGATCACCAAGCACACCAGGATCACCAAGCACACCAGGATCACCAAGCACACCAGGATCACCAAGCACACCTGGATCACCAAGCACACCAGGATCACCAAGCACACCAGGATCACCAAGCACACCAGGATCACCAAGCACACCTGGATCACCAAGCACACCAGGATCACCAAGCACACCTGGATCACCAAGCACACCTGGATCACCAAGCACACCTGGATCACCAAGCACACCTGGATCACCAAGCACTCCTGGATCACCAAGCACACCTGGATCACCTAGCACACCAGGATCACCAAGCACACCTGGATCACCAAGCACACCTGGATCACCAAGCACACCTGGATCACCAAGCACACCAGGATCACCAAGCACACCAGGATCACCAAGCACACCTGGATCACCAAGTACACCTGGATCACCAAGCACACCTGGATCACCAAGTACACCTGGATCACCAAGCACACCAGGATCACCAAGCACACCTGGATCACCAAGCACACCTGGATCACCAAGCACACCTGGATCACCAAGCACACCTGGATCACCAAGCACACCTGGATCACCAAGCACACCTGGATCACCAAGCACACCTGGATCACCAAGCACACCAGGATCACCAAGCACACCTGGATCACCAAGCACACCTGGATCACCAAGCACACCTGGATCACCAAGCACACCTGGATCACCAAGCACACCTGGATCACCAAGCACACCTGGATCACCAAGCACACCAGGATCACCAAGCACACCAGGATCACCAAGCACACCAGGATCACCAAGCACACCAGGATCACCAAGCACACCAGGATCACCAAGCACACCAGGATCACCAAGCACACCAGGATCACCCAGCACACCAGAGTCACCAAGTACACCTTGCTCTCAAGTTATGGTTCCAGAGGGAGATCTTCCAACAATTAGTCCAAGTTATCCAGATAATGCACCTTCCAATGATCGTTTAGTTGTGGTTAGAGATGACAAGAGTGATGCCACTGTGGTTTCAGTTAATGCTCAAGAATCATCAACAGGATCTGTTCTTGTTTCAGAACCATTCACTCAGGTAGTTTTTCTCTTATATAACACATAAATTTGACATTTTCATCTTAAATCATTTTCAAATCAACAACCCTGCTTGTTCAAACTCCTTTACATAAATTCAGTCATACAATTACTTTTACAGCCCAAAGCTGATGAGCCTGGAAAATATGCTGTTGTATTCTCAACAAGTAAGGCATTTTGAATATATTGTGTGCAATCCATTATATTTTATCCTGCTAATGTATGTAATGAAAAATTTTAGTTTTAGAATGCACCTTTTTTTTTATTGTAATTACATGTCATAGTGGGGTCAATGGGTAATGTGCAATAGAAATGGTTTAGATTACCTCTTTGTGATCTGCCAAGCACCTTAGAGTCCACCTATCTTGGATCAGTAAAAAGTTTCATTTTATAAAGTTAAAGATTTAATTGATAGTATGTTATTTAAGGTTGTTTTTTTTTTTTTTGGTAAGCAATATTATTAGCATACATTGCTTGCACAAGTAGGATTAGAAATAATAATTACAGATTCTATGGGTAAATTAATAGGTTAGTTGGCAGATCTAAAAAAAAACATCAAGATTTTGTTGACACTGATAGTAAAGACCATAAGGCCTTATGGATCTTTTTTCTCTTTTCAATTGGTTTGTACAATGAAGTTGATCTTATTTATTTTTTCTCCATATAGGTTCAACACCAACTGGTGCTACACCTCCAACACAAGTGCAAGATTTTGCAGGTAACATTCTGTTTAACTGATGTGGTTTCCTTAACCGTGTACTCTACTTTCTAGATGTTTTGAGATTTTTAAAATGTGTTCAAATTATGTTTTGTTATTTATTTTGGAAATTCTGGAAACATCTACCAATAAAGAACCACTTTTTCTCAAAGTATTTTATCCAATAAAATATTTAAAATTATTACTTTCTTCATTTCTATACAAAATGTATTATTATCTTCATTTCTGTAAATATTTACTATGTTTACATTGAATCAACAGACACTACAACTAACCCAGAAGTCTTCCAAGTGGATTCTAATACCTATTTAGTTGTTTTCCAAGTAACTGCTAATAACCCAGTGAATATCCCTGCAGGCGCTTCTTCAGCATATGTATTCAAGGCAAGTATTTTATTTATTTTGTATTCATAATTATTCTTAAGGCATGTACTAAGGATGCTTGCCTTTTTTTGTGAAGAGTTTGTTAAAATCATGTGTTCCATATTTGTTTGCAGACCCCAGATAATGTTGATGAAACTAAACAGACAGATGGACCTATTTTTGCCATCACAGACAAAGATACACCTATTGAAGTAGTCAAATGTGCAGGTATTGTATTAAAATTTGTCTACAGAAATTTAAAATATTTGTACTTCATTGTCATTTCCATTATAATTAATCTAATCCTTTGAAAATGATGCTAGGAAAGGTAATGACAAATTTTAAATATGGTGATAGGGCATTAACATTAAAATCAGGGATTTGGTCTACATATCTCAATAATTCTTTCTTCTTTTCAAGAAGAAACTCCAGGATCACCAAGCACACCAGGATCACCAAGCACACCAGGATCACCAAGCACACCAGGATCACCAAGCACACCAGGATCACCAAGCACACCTGGATCACCAAGCACACCAGGATCACCAAGCACACCAGGATCACCAAGCACACCTGGATCACCAAGCACACCTGGATCACCAAGCACACCAGGATCACCAAGCACACCTGGATCACCAAGCACACCTGGATCACCAAGCACACCTGGATCACCAAGCACACCAGGATCACCAAGCACACCAGGATCACCAAGCACACCTGGATCACCAAGTACACCTGGATCACCAAGCACTCCTGGATCACCAAGTACACCTGGATCACCAAGCACACCAGGATCACCAAGCACACCAGGATCACCAAGCACACCTGGATCACCAAGCACACCTGGATCACCAAGCACACCTGGATCACCAAGCACACCAGGATCACCAAGCACACCAGGATCACCAAGCACACCTGGATCACCAAGCACACCAGGATCACCAAGCACACCAGGATCACCAAGCACACCTGGATCACCAAGCACACCTGGATCACCAAGCACACCAGGATCACCAAGCACACCAGGATCACCAAGCACACCTGGATCACCAAGCACACCTGGATCACCAAGCACACCTGGATCACCAAGCACACCAGGATCACCAAGCACACCTGGATCACCAAGCACACCAGGATCACCAAGCACACCTGGATCTCCAAGCACACCTGGATCACCAAGCACACCAGGATCACCAAGCACACCAGGATCACCAAGCACACCAGAGTCACCAAGTACACCTTGCTCTCAAGTTATGGTTCCAGAGGGAGATCTTCCAACAATTAGTCCAAGTTATCCAGATAATGCACCTTCCAATGATCGTTTAGTTGTGGTTAGAGATGACAAGAGTGATGCCACTGTGGTTTCAGTTAATGCTCAAGAATCATCAACAGGATCTGTTCTTGTTTCAGAACCATTCACTCAGGTAGTTTTTCTCTTATATAACACATAAATTTGACATTTTCATCTTAAATCATTTTCAAATCAACAACCCTGCTTGTTCAAACTCCTTTACATAAATTCAGTCATACAATTACTTTTACAGCCCAAAGCTGATGAGCCTGGAAAATATGCTGTTGTATTCTCAACAAGTAAGGCATTTTGAATATATTGTGTGCAATCCATTATATTTTATCCTGCTAATGTATGTAATAAAAATTTTTAGTTTTAGAATGCACCTTTTTTTTAATTGTAATTACATGTCATAGTGGGGTCAATGGGTAATGTGCAATAGAAATGGTTTAGATTACCTCTTTGTGATCTGCCAAGCACATTAGAGTCCACCTAGCTTGGATCAGTAAAAAGTTTCATTTTATAAAGTTAAAGATTTAATTGATAGTATGTTATTTAAGGTTGTTTTTTTTTTGGTAAGCAATATTATTAGCATACATTGCTTGCTCAAGTAGGATTAGAAATAATAATTACAGATTCTATGGGTAAATTAATAGGTTAGTTGGCAGATCTAATAAAAACATCAAGATTTTGTAGACACTGATAGTAAAGACCATAAGGCCTTATGGATCTTTTTTCTCTTTTCAATTGGTTTGTACAATGAAGTTGATCTTATTTATTTTTTCCCCATATAGGTTCAACACCAACTGGTGCTACACCTCCAACACAAGTGCAAGATTTTGCAGGTAACATTCTGTTTAACTGATGTGGTTTCCTTAACCATGTACTCTACTTTCTAGATGTTTTGAGATTTTTAAAATGTGTTCAAATTTTGCTTTGTTATTTATTTTGGGAAGTCTGGAAACATCTACCAATAAAGAACCACTTTTTCTCAAAGTATTTTATCCAATAAAATATTTAAAATTATTACTTTCTTCATTTCTATACAAAATGTATTATTATCTTCATCTCTGTAAATATTTGCTATTTTTACATTGAATCAACAGACACTACAACTAACCCAGAAGTCTTCCAAGTGGATTCTAATACCTATTTAGTTGTTTTCCAAGTAACTGCTAATAACCCAGTGAATATCCCTGCAGGCGCTTCTTCAGCATATGTATTCAAGGCAAGTATTTTATTTATTTTGTATTCATAATTATTCTTAAGGCATGTACTAAGGATGCTTGCCTTTTTTGTGAAGAGTTTGTTAAAATCATGTGTTCCATATTTGTTTGCAGACCCCAGATAATGTTGATGAAACTAAACAGACAGATGGACCTATTTTTGCCATCACAGACAAAGATACACCTATTGAAGTAGTCAAATGTGCAGGTATTGTATTAAAATTTGTCTACAGAAATTTAAAATATTTGTACTTCATTGTCATTTCCATTATAATTAATCTAATCCTTTGAAAATGATGCTAGGGAAGGTAATGACAAATTTTAAATATGGTGATAGGGCATTAACATTAAAATCAGGGATTTGGTCTACATATCTCAATAATTCTTTCTTCTTTTCAAGAAGAAACTCCAGGATCACCAAGCACACCTGGATCACCAAGCACACCAGGATCACCAAGCACACCAGGATCACCAAGCACACCTGGATCACCAAGCACACCAGGATCACCAAGCACACCTGGATCACCAAGCACACCTGGATCACCAAGCACACCTGGATCACCAAGCACACCTGGATCACCAAGCACACCTGGATCACCAAGCACACCTGGATCACCTAGCACACCAGGATCACCAAGCACACCAGGATCACCAAGCACACCTGGATCACCAAGCACACCTGGATCACCAAGCACACCAGGATCACCAAGCACACCTGGATCACCAAGCACACCAGGATCACCAAGCACACCTGGATCACCAAGCACACCTGGATCACCAAGCACACCTGGATCACCAAGTACACCTGGATCACCAAGCACACCAGGATCACCAAGCACACCAGGATCACCAAGCACACCTGGATCACCAAGCACACCTGGATCACCAAGCACACCTGGATCACCAAGCACACCAGGATCACCAAGCACACCAGGATCACCAAGCACACCTGGATCACCAAGCACACCAGGATCACCAAGCACACCAGGATCACCAAGCACACCTGGATCACCAAGCACACCTGGATCACCAAGCACACCAGGATCACCAAGCACACCAGGATCACCAAGCACACCTGGATCACCAAGCACACCTGGATCACCAAGCACACCTGGATCACCAAGCACACCAGGATCACCAAGCACTCCTGGATCACCAAGCACACCTGGATCACCAAGCACACCTGGATCACCAAGCACACCTGGATCACCAAGCACACCAGGATCACCCAGCACACCAGAGTCACCAAGTACACCTTGCTCTCAAGTTATGGTTCCAGAGAGAGATCTTCCAACAATTAGTCCAAGTTATCCAGATAATGCACCTTCCAATGATCGTTTAGTTGTGGTTAGAGATGACAAGAGTGATGCCACTGTGGTTTCAGTTAATGCTCAAGAATCATCAACAGGATCTGTTCTTGTTTCAGAACCATTCACTCAGGTAGTTTTTCTCTTATATAACACATAAATTTGACATTTTCATCTTAAATCATTTTCAAATCAACAACCCTGCTTGTTCAAACTCCTTTACATAAATTCAGTCATACAATTACTTTTACAGCCCAAAGCTGATGAGCCTGGAAAATATGCTGTTGTATTCTCAACAAGTAAGGCATTTTGAATATATTGTGTGCAATCCATTATATTTTATCCTGCTAATGTATGTAATAAAAATTTTTAGTTTTAGAATGCACCTTTTTTTAAATTGTAATTACATGTCATAGTGGGGTCAATGGGTAATGTGCAATAGAAATGGTTTAGATTACCTCTTTGTGATCTGCCAAGCACATTAGAGTCCACCTAGCTTGGATCAGTAAAAAGTTTCATTTTATAAAGTTAAAGATTTAATTGATAGTATGTTATTTATGGTTGTTTTTTTTTTTTTGGTAAGCAATATTATTAGCATACATTGCTTGCTCAAGTAGGATTAGAAATAATAATTACAGATTCTATGGGTAAATTAATAGGTTAGTTGGCAGATCTAATAAAAACATCAAGATTTTGTAGACACTGATAGTAAAGACCATAAGGCCTTATGGATCTTTTTTCTCTTTTCAATTGGTTTGTACAATGAAGTTGATCTTATTTATTTTTTCCCCATATAGGTTCAACACCAACTGGTGCTACACCTCCAACACAAGTGCAAGATTTTGCAGGTAACATTCTGTTTAACTGATGTGGTTTCCTTAACCATGTACTCTACTTTCTAGATGTTTTGAGATTTTTAAAATGTGTTCAAATTATGCTTTGTTATTTATTTTGGAAAGTCTGGAAACATCTACCAATAAAGAACCACTTTTTCTCAAAGTATTTTTTCCAATAAAATATTTAAAATTATTACTTTCTTCATTTCTATACAAAATGTATTATTATCTTCATCTCTGTAAATATTTGCTATGTTTACATTGAATCAACAGACACTACAACTAACCCAGAAGTCTTCCAAGTGGATTCTAATACCTATTTAGTTGTTTTCCAAGTAACTGCTAATAACCCAGTGAATATCCCTGCAGGCGCTTCTTCAGCATATGTATTCAAGGCAAGTATTTTATTTATTTTGTATTCATAATTATTCTTAAGGCATGTACTAAGGATGCTTGCCTTTTTTGTGAAGAGTTTGTTAAAATCATGTGTTCCATATTTGTTTGCAGACCCCAGATAATGTTGATGAAACTAAACAGACAGATGGACCTATTTTTGCCATCACAGACAAAGATACACCTATTGAAGTAGTCAAATGTGCAGGTATTGTATTAAAATTTGTCTACAGAAATTTAAAATATTTGTACTTCATTGTCATTTCCATTATAATTAATCTAATCCTTTGAAAATGATGCTAGGGAAGGGAATGACAAATTTTAAATATGGTGATAGGGCATTAACATTAAAATCAGGGATTTGGTCTACATATCTCAATAATTCTTTCTTCTTTTCAAGAAGAAACTCCAGGATCACCAAGCACACCAGGATCACCAAGCACACCAGGATCACCAAGCACACCAGGATCACCAAGCACACCTGGATCACCAAGCACACCAGGATCACCAAGCACACCTGGATCACCAAGCACACCTGGATCACCAAGCACACCTGGATCACCAAGTACACCTGGATCACCAAGTACACCAGGATCACCAAGCACACCAGGATCACCAAGCACACCTGGATCACCAAGCACACCAGGATCACCAAGCACACCTGGATCACCAAGCACACCAGGATCACCAAGCACACCAGGATCACCAAGCACACCTGGATCACCAAGCACACCAGGATCACCAAGCACACCAGGATCACCAAGCACACCTGGATCACCAAGCACACCTGGATCACCAAGCACACCAGGATCACCAAGCACACCAGGATCACCAAGCACACCTGGATCACCAAGCACACCTGGATCACCAAGCACACCTGGATCACCAAGCACACCTGGATCACCAAGCACACCTGGATCACCAAGCACACCTGGATCACCAAGCACACCAGGATCACCAAGCACACCTGGATCACCAAGCACACCTGGATCACCAAGCACACCAGGATCACCCAGCACACCAGAGTCACCAAGTACACCTTGCTCTCAAGTTATGGTTCCAGAGAGAGATCTTCCAACAATTAGTCCAAGTTATCCAGATAATGCACCTTCCAATGATCGTCTAGTTGTGGTTAGAGATGACAAGAGTGATGCCACTGTGGTTTCAGTTAATGCTCAAGAATCATCAACAGGATCTGTTCTTGTTTCAGAACCATTCACTCAGGTAGTTTTTCTCTTATATAACACATAAATTTGACATTTTCATCTTAAATCATTTTCAAATCAACAACCCTGCTTGTTCAAACTCCTTTACATAAATTCAGTCATACAATTACTTTTACAGCCCAAAGCTGATGAGCCTGGAAAATATGCTGTTGTATTCTCAACAAGTAAGGCATTTTGAATATATTGTGTGCAATCCATTATATTTTATCCTGCTAATGTATGTAATAAAAAATTTTAGTTTTAGAATGCACCTTTTTTTAATTGTAATTACATGTCATAGTGGGGTCAATGGGTAATGTGCAATAGAAATGGTTTAGATTACCTCTTTGTGATCTGCCAAGCACATTAGAGTCCACCTATCTTGGATCAGTAAAAAGTTTCATTTTATAAAGTTAAAGATTTAATTGATAGTATGTTATTTAAGGTTGTTTTTTTTTTGGTAAGCAATATTATTAGCATACATTGCTTGCTCAAGTAGGATTAGAAATAATAATTACAGATTCTATGGGTAAATTAATAGGTTAGTTGGCAGATCTAATAAAAACATCAAGATTTTGTAGACACTGATAGTAAAGACCATAAGGCCTTATGGATCTTTTTTCTCTTTTCAATTGGTTTGTACAATGAAGTTGATCTTATTTATTTTTTCCCCATATAGGTTCAACACCAACTGGTGCTACACCTCCAACACAAGTGCAAGATTTTGCAGGTAACATTCTGTTTAACTGATGTGGTTTCCTTAACCATGTACTCTACTTTCTAGATGTTTTGAGATTTTTAAAATGTGTTCAAATTTTGCTTTGTTACTTATTTTGGAAAGTCTGGAAACATCTACCAATAAAGAACCACTTTTTCTCAAAGTATTTTATCCAATAAAATATTTAAAATTATTACTTTCTTCATTTCTATACAAAATGTATTATTATCTTCATCTCTGTAAATATTTGCTATGTTTACATTGAATCAACAGACACTACAACTAACCCAGAAGTCTTCCAAGTGGATTCTAATACCTATTTAGTTGTTTTCCAAGTAACTGCTAATAACCCAGTGAATATCCCTGCAGGCGCTTCTTCAGCATATGTATTCAAGGCAAGTATTTTATTTATTTTGTATTCATAATTATTCTTAAGGCATGTACTAAGGATGCTTGCCTTTTTTTGTGAAGAGTTTGTTAAAATCATGTGTTCCATATTTGTTTGCAGACCCCAGATAATGTTGATGAAACTAAACAGACAGATGGACCTATTTTTGCCATCACAGACAAAGATACACCTATTGAAGTAGTCAAATGTGCAGGTATTGTATTAAAATTTGTCTACAGAAATTTAAAATATTTGTACTTCATTGTCATTTCCATTATAATTAATCTAATCCTTTGAAAATGATGCTAGGGAAGGGAATGACAAATTTTAAATATGGTGATAGGGCATTAACATTAAAATCAGGGATTTGGTCTACATATCTCAATAATTCTTTCTTCTTTTCAAGAAGAAACTCCAGGATCACCAAGCACACCAGGATCACCAAGCACACCTGGATCACCAAGCACACCAGGATCACCAAGCACACCTGGATCACCAAGCACACCAGGATCACCAAGCACACCAGGATCACCAAGCACACCAGGATCACCAAGCACACCTGGATCACCAAGCACACCAGGATCACCAAGCACTCCTGGATCACCAAGCACACCTGGATCACCAAGCACACCTGGATCACCAAGCACTCCAGGATCACCAAGCACACCAGGATCACCAAGCACACCTGGATCACCAAGTACACCTGGATCACCAAGCACACCTGGATCACCAAGTACACCTGGATCACCAAGCACACCAGGATCACCAAGCACACCAGGATCACCAAGCACACCTGGATCACCAAGCACACCTGGATCACCAAGCACACCAGGATCACCAAGCACACCAGGATCACCAAGCACACCTGGATCACCAAGCACACCTGGATCACCAAGCACACCTGGATCACCAAGCACACCAGGATCACCCAGCACACCAGGATCACCAAGCACACCAGGATCACCCAGCACACCAGAGTCACCAAGTACACCTTGCTCTCAAGTTATGGTTCCAGAGGGAGATCTTCCAACAATTAGTCCAAGTTATCCAGATAATGCACCTTCCAATGATCGTTTAGTTGTGGTTAGAGATGACAAGAGTGATGCCACTGTGGTTTCAGTTAATGCTCAAGAATCATCAACAGGATCTGTTCTTGTTTCAGAACCATTCACTCAGGTAGTTTTTCTCTTAAATAACACATAAATTTGACATTTTCATCTTAAATCATTTTCAAATCAACAACCCTGCTTGTTCAAACTCCTTTACATAAATTCAGTCATACAATTACTTTTACAGCCCAAAGCTGATGAGCCTGGAAAATATGCTGTTGTATTCTCAACAAGTAAGGCATTTTGAATATATTGTGTGCAATCCATTATATTTTATCCTGCTAATGTATGTAATAAAAATTTTTAGTTTTAGAATGCACCTTTTTTTTAATTGTAATTACATGTCATAGTGGGGTCAATGGGTAATGTGCAATAGAAATGGTTTAGATTACCTCTTTGTGATCTGCCAAGCACATTAGAGTCCACCTAGCTTGGATCAGTAAAAAGTTTCATTTTATAAAGTTAAAGATTTAATTGATAGTATGTTATTTAAGGTTGTTTTTTTTTTGGTAAGCAATATTATTAGCATACATTGCTTGCTCAAGTAGGATTAGAAATAATAATTACAGATTCTATGGGTAAATTAATAGGTTAGTTGGCAGATCTAATAAAAACATCAAGATTTTGTAGACACTGATAGTAAAGACCATAAGGCCTTATGGATCTTTTTTCTCTTTTCAATTGGTTTGTACAATGAAGTTGATCTTATTTATTTTTTCCCCATATAGGTTCAACACCAACTGGTGCTACACCTCCAACACAAGTGCAAGATTTTGCAGGTAACATTCTGTTTAACTGATGTGGTTTCCTTAACCATGTACTCTACTTTCTAGATGTTTTGAGATTTTTAAAATGTGTTCAAATTGTGCTTTGTTATTTATTTTGGAAAGTCTGGAAACATCTACCAATAAAGAACCACTTTTTCTCAAAGTATTTTATCCAATAAAATATTTAAAATTATTACTTTCTTCATTTCTATACAAAATGTATTATTATCTTCATCTCTGTAAATATTTGCTATGTTTACATTGAATCAACAGACACTACAACTAACCCAGAAGTCTTCCAAGTGGATTCTAATACCTATTTAGTTGTTTTCCAAGTAACTGCTAATAACCCAGTGAATATCCCTGCAGGCGCTTCTTCAGCATATGTATTCAAGGCAAGTATTTTATTTATTTTGTATTCATAATTATTCTTAAGGCATGTACTAAGGATGCTTGCCTTTTTTTGTGAAGAGTTTGTTAAAATCATGTGTTCCATATTTGTTTGCAGACCCCAGATAATGTTGATGAAACTAAACAGACAGATGGACCTATTTTTGCCATCACAGACAAAGATACACCTATTGAAGTAGTCAAATGTGCAGGTATTGTATTAAAATTTGTCTACAGAAATTTAAAATATTTGTACTTCATTGTCATTTCCATTATAATTAATCTAATCCTTTGAAAATGATGCTAGGGAAGGTAATGACAAATTTTAAATATGGTGATAGGGCATTAACATTAAAATCAGGGATTTGGTCTACATATCTCAATAATTCTTTCTTCTTTTCAAGAAGAAACTCCAGGATCACCAAGCACACCAGGATCACCAAGCACACCAGGATCACCAAGCACACCAGGATCACCAAGCACACCAGGATCACCAAGCACACCAGGATCACCAAGCACACCAGGATCACCAAGCACACCAGGATCACCAAGCACACCAGGATCACCAAGCACACCTGGATCACCAAGCACACCAGGATCACCAAGCACACCTGGATCACCAAGCACACCTGGATCACCAAGCACACCTGGATCACCAAGCACACCTGGATCACCAAGCACACCTGGATCACCAAGCACACCTGGATCACCAAGCACACCTGGATCACCTAGCACACCAGGATCACCAAGCACACCAGAATCACCAAGCACACCTGGATCACCAAGCACACCTGGATCACCAAGCACACCAGGATCACCAAGCACACCTGGATCACCAAGCACACCTGGATCACCAAGCACACCTGGATCACCAAGCACACCTGGATCACCAAGTACACCTGGATCACCAAGCACACCAGGATCACCAAGCACACCAGGATCACCAAGCACACCTGGATCACCAAGCACACCTGGATCACCAAGCACACCTGGATCACCAAGTACACCTGGATCACCAAGCACACCAGGATCACCAAGCACACCAGGATCACCAAGCACACCTGGATCACCAAGCACACCTGGATCACCAAGCACACCTGGATCACCAAGCACACCAGGATCACCAAGCACACCAGGATCACCAAGCACACCTGGATCACCAAGCACACCAGGATCACCAAGCACACCAGGATCACCAAGCACACCTGGATCACCAAGTACACCTGGATCACCAAGCACACCAGGATCACCAAGCACACCAGGATCACCAAGCACACCTGGATCACCAAGCACACCTGGATCACCAAGCACACCTGGATCACCAAGCACACCTGGATCACCAAGCACACCTGGATCACCAAGCACACCTGGATCACCAAGCACACCTGGATCACCAAGCACACCTGGATCACCAAGCACACCTGGATCACCAAGCACACCAGGATCACCCAGCACACCAGAGTCACCAAGTACACCTTGCTCTCAAGTTATGGTTCCAGAGAGAGATCTTTCAACAATTAGTCCAAGTTATCCAGATAATGCACCTTCCAATGATCGTTTAGTTGTGGTTAGAGATGACAAGAGTGATGCCACTGTGGTTTCAGTTAATGCTCAAGAATCATCAACAGGATCTGTTCTTGTTTCAGAACCATTCACTCAGGTAGTTTTTCTCTTATATAACACATAAATTCGACATTTTCATCTTAAATCATTTTCAAATCAACAACCCTGCTTGTTTAAACTCCTTTACATAAATTCAGTCATACAATTACTTTTACAGCCCAAAGCTGATGAGCCTGGAAAATATGCTGTTGTATTCTCAACAAGTAAGGCATTTTGAATATATTGTGTGCAATCCATTATATTTTATCCTGCTAATGTATGTAATAAAAATTTTAGTTTTAGAATGCACCTTTTTTTAAATTGTAATTACATGTCATAGTGGGGTCAATGGGTAATGTGCAATAGAAATGGTTTAGATTACCTCTTTGTGATCTGCCAAGCACCTTAGAGTCCACCCATCTTGGATCAGTAAAAAGTTTCATTTTATAAAGTTAAAGATTTAATTGATAGTATGTTATTTAAGGTTGTTTTTTTTTTGGTAAGCAATATTATTAGCATACATTGCTTGCACAAGTAGGATTAGAAATAATAATTACAGATTCTATGGGTAAATTAATAGGTTAGTTGGCAGATCTAATAAAAACATCAAGATTTTGTAGACACTGATAGTAAAGACCATAAGGCCTTATGGATTTTTTTTCTCTTTTCAATTGGTTTGTACAATGAAGTTGATCTTATTTACTTTTTCCCCATATAGGTTCAACACCAACTGGTGCTACACCTCCAACACAAGTGCAAGACTTTGCAGGTAACATTCTGTTTAACTGATGTGGTTTCCTTAACCATGTACTCTACTTTCTAGATGTTTTGAGATTTTTAAAATGTGTTCAAATTATGCTTTGTTATTTATTTTGGAAATTCTGGAAACATCTACCAATAAAAAACCACTTTTTCTCAAAGTATTTTATCCAATAAAATATTTAAAATTATTACTTTCTTCATTTCTATACAAAATGTATTATTATCTTCATTTCTGTAAATATTTGCTATGTTTACATTGAATCAACAGACACTACAACTAACCCAGAAGTCTTCCAAGTGGATTCTAATACCTATTTAGTTGTTTTCCAAGTAACTGCTAATAACCCAGTGAATATCCCTGCAGGCGCTTCTTCAGCATATGTATTCAAGGCAAGTATTTTATTTATTTTGTATTCATAATTATTCTTAAGGCATGTACTAAGGATGCTTGCCTTTTTTGTGAAGAGTTTGTTAAAATCATGTGTTCCATATTTGTTTGCAGACCCCAGATAATGTTGATGAAACTAAACAGACAGATGGACCTATTTTTGCCATCACAGACAAAGATACACCTATTGAAGTAGTCAAATGTGCAGGTATTGTATTAAAATTTGTCTACAGAAATTTAAAATATTTGTACTTCATTGTCATTTCCATTATAATTAATCTAATCCTTTGAAAATGATGCTAGGGAAGGTAATGACAAATTTTAAATATGGTGATAGGGCATTAACATTAAAATCAGGGATTTGGTCTACATATCTCAATAATTCTTTCTTCTTTTCAAGAAGAAACTCCAGGATCACCAAGCACACCTGGATCACCAAGCACACCAGGATCACCAAGCACACCAGGATCACCAAGCACACCAGGATCACCAAGCACACCAGGATCACCGAGCACACCAGGATCACCAAGCACACCTGGATCACCAAGCACACCAGGAACACCAAGCACACCAGGATCACCAAGCACACCAGGATCACCAAGCACACCTGGATCACCAAGCACACCAGGATCACCAAGCACACCTGGATCACCAAGCACACCTGGATCACCAAGCACACCTGGATCACCAAGCACACCTGGATCACCAAGCACACCTGGATCACCAAGCACACCTGGATCACCTAGCACACCAGGATCACCAAGCACACCAGGATCACCAAGCACACCTGGATCACCAAGCACACCTGGATCACCAAGCACACCAGGATCACCAAGCACACCTGGATCACCAAGTACACCTGGATCACCAAGCACACCTGGATCACCAAGTACACCTGGATCACCAAGCACACCAGGATCACCAAGCACACCAGGATCACCAAGCACACCTGGATCACCAAGCACACCAGGATCACCAAGCACACCAGGATCACCAAGCACACCTGGATCACCAAGCACACCAGGATCACCAAGCACACCAGGATCACCAAGCACACCTGGATCACCAAGCACACCTGGATCACCAAGCACACCAGGATCACCAAGCACACCAGGATCACCAAGCACACCTGGATCACCAAGCACACCTGGATCACCAAGCACACCTGGATCACCAAGCACACCAGGATCACCAAGCACACCTGGATCACCAAGCACACCTGGATCACCAAGCACACCAGGATCACCAAGCACACCAGGATCACCAAGCACACCTGGATCACCAAGCACACCAGGATCACCCAGCACACCAGAATCACCAAGTACACCTTGCTCTCAAGTTATGGTTCCAGAGGGAGATCTTCCAACAATTAGTCCAAGTTATCCAGATAATGCACCTTCCAATGATCGTTTAGTTGTGGTTAGAGATGACAAGAGTGATGCCACTGTGGTTTCAGTTAATGCTCAAGAATCATCAACAGGATCTGTTCTTGTTTCAGAACCATTTACTCAGGTAGTTTTTCTCTTATATAACACATAAATTTGACATTTTCATCTTAAATCATTTTCAAATCAACAACCCTGCTTGTTCAAACTCCTTTACATAAATTCAGTCATACAATTACTTTTACAGCCCAAAGCTGATGAGCCTGGAACATATGCTGTTGTATTCTCTACAAGTAAGGCATTTTGAATATATTGTGTGCAATCCATTATATTTTATCCTGCTAATGTATGTAATAAAAATTTTAGTTTTAGAATGCACCTTTTTTTAAATTGTAATTACATGTCATAGTGGGGTCAATGGGTAATGTGCAATAGAAATGGTTTAGATTACCTCTTTGTGATCTGCCAAGCACCTTAGAGTCCACCCATCTTGGATCAGTAAAAAGTTTCATTTTATAAAGTTAAAGATTTAATTGATAGTATGTTATTTAAGGTTGTTTTTTTTTTGGTAAGCAATATTATTAGCATACATTGCTTGCACAAGTAGGATTAGAAATAATAATTACAGATTCTATGGGTAAATTAATAGGTTAGTTGGCAGATCTAATAAAAACATCAAGATTTTGTAGACACTGATAGTAAAGACCATAAGGCCTTATGGATTTTTTTTCTCTTTTCAATTGGTTTGTACAATGAAGTTGATCTTATTTACTTTTTCCCCATATAGGTTCAACACCAACTGGTGCTACACCTCCAACACAAGTGCAAGATTTTGCAGGTAACATTCTGTTTAACTGATGTGGTTTCCTTAACCATGTACTCTACTTTCTAGATGTTTTGAGATTTTTAAAATGTGTTCAAATTATGCTTTGTTATTTATTTTGGAAATTCTGGAAACATCTACCAATAAAAAACCACTTTTTCTCAAAGTATTTTATCCAATAAAATATTTAAAATTATTACTTTCTTCATTTCTATACAAAATGTATTATTATCTTCATTTCTGTAAATATTTGCTATGTTTACATTGAATCAACAGACACTACAACTAACCCAGAAGTCTTCCAAGTGGATTCTAATACCTATTTAGTTGTTTTCCAAGTAACTGCTAATAACCCAGTGAATATCCCTGCAGGCGCTTTTTCAGCATATGTATTCAAGGCAAGTATTTTATTTATTTTGTATTCATAATTATTCTTAAGGCATGTACTAAGGATGCTTGCCTTTTTTGTGAAGAGTTTGTTAAAATCATGTGTTCCATATTTGTTTGCAGACCCCAGATAATGTTGATGAAACTAAACAGACAGATGGACCTATTTTTGCCATCACAGACAAAGATACACCTATTGAAGTAGTCAAATGTGCAGGTATTGTATTAAAATTTGTCTACAGAAATTTAAAATATTTGTACTTCATTGTCATTTCCATTATAATTAATCTAATCCTTTGAAAATGATGCTAGGGAAGGTAATGACAAATTTTAAATATGGTGATAGGGCATTAACATTAAAATCAGGGATTTGGTCTACATATCTCAATAATTCTTTCTTCTTTTCAAGAAGAAACTCCAGGATCACCAAGCACACCTGGATCACCAAGCACACCAGGATCACCAAGCACACCAGGATCACCAAGCACACCAGGATCACCAAGCACACCAGGATCACCGAGCACACCAGGATCACCAAGCACACCTGGATCACCAAGCACACCAGGAACACCAAGCACACCAGGATCACCAAGCACACCAGGATCACCAAGCACACCTGGATCACCAAGCACACCAGGATCACCAAGCACACCTGGATCACCAAGCACACCTGGATCACCAAGCACACCTGGATCACCAAGCACACCTGGATCACCAAGCACACCTGGATCACCAAGCACACCTGGATCACCTAGCACACCAGGATCACCAAGCACACCAGGATCACCAAGCACACCTGGATCACCAAGCACACCTGGATCACCAAGCACACCAGGATCACCAAGCACACCTGGATCACCAAGTACACCTGGATCACCAAGCACACCTGGATCACCAAGTACACCTGGATCACCAAGCACACCAGGATCACCAAGCACACCAGGATCACCAAGCACACCTGGATCACCAAGCACACCAGGATCACCAAGCACACCAGGATCACCAAGCACACCTGGATCACCAAGCACACCAGGATCACCAAGCACACCAGGATCACCAAGCACACCTGGATCACCAAGCACACCTGGATCACCAAGCACACCAGGATCACCAAGCACACCAGGATCACCAAGCACACCTGGATCACCAAGCACACCTGGATCACCAAGCACACCTGGATCACCAAGCACACCAGGATCACCAAGCACACCTGGATCACCAAGCACACCTGGATCACCAAGCACACCAGGATCACCAAGCACACCAGGATCACCAAGCACACCTGGATCACCAAGCACACCAGGATCACCCAGCACACCAGAATCACCAAGTACACCTTGCTCTCAAGTTATGGTTCCAGAGGGAGATCTTCCAACAATTAGTCCAAGTTATCCAGATAATGCACCTTCCAATGATCGTTTAGTTGTGGTTAGAGATGACAAGAGTGATGCCACTGTGGTTTCAGTTAATGCTCAAGAATCATCAACAGGATCTGTTCTTGTTTCAGAACCATTTACTCAGGTAGTTTTTCTCTTATATAACACATAAATTTGACATTTTCATCTTAAATCATTTTCAAATCAACAACCCTGCTTGTTCAAACTCCTTTACATAAATTCAGTCATACAATTACTTTTACAGCCCAAAGCTGATGAGCCTGGAACATATGCTGTTGTATTCTCTACAAGTAAGGCATTTTGAATATATTGTGTGCAATCCATTATATTTTATCCTGCTAATGTATGTAATAAAAATTTTAGTTTTAGAATGCACCTTTTTTTAAATTGTAATTACATGTCATAGTGGGGTCAATGGGTAATGTGCAATAGAAATGGTTTAGATTACCTCTTTGTGATCTGCCAAGCACCTTAGAGTCCACCCATCTTGGATCAGTAAAAAGTTTCATTTTATAAAGTTAAAGATTTAATTGATAGTATGTTATTTAAGGTTGTTTTTTTTTTGGTAAGCAATATTATTAGCATACATTGCTTGCACAAGTAGGATTAGAAATAATAATTACAGATTCTATGGGTAAATTAATAGGTTAGTTGGCAGATCTAATAAAAACATCAAGATTTTGTAGACACTGATAGTAAAGACCATAAGGCCTTATGGATTTTTTTTCTCTTTTCAATTGGTTTGTACAATGAAGTTGATCTTATTTACTTTTTCCCCATATAGGTTCAACACCAACTGGTGCTACACCTCCAACACAAGTGCAAGATTTTGCAGGTAACATTCTGTTTAACTGATGTGGTTTCCTTAACCATGTACTCTACTTTCTAGATGTTTTGAGATTTTTAAAATGTGTTCAAATTATGCTTTGTTATTTATTTTGGAAATTCTGGAAACATCTACCAATAAAAAACCACTTTTTCTCAAAGTATTTTATCCAATAAAATATTTAAAATTATTACTTTCTTCATTTCTATACAAAATGTATTATTATCTTCATTTCTGTAAATATTTGCTATGTTTACATTGAATCAACAGACACTACAACTAACCCAGAAGTCTTCCAAGTGGATTCTAATACCTATTTAGTTGTTTTCCAAGTAACTGCTAATAACCCAGTGAATATCCCTGCAGGCGCTTCTTCAGCATATGTATTCAAGGCAAGTATTTTATTTATTTTGTATTCATAATTATTCTTAAGGCATGTACTAAGGATGCTTGCCTTTTTTGTGAAGAGTTTGTTAAAATCATGTGTTCCATATTTGTTTGCAGACCCCAGATAATGTTGATGAAACTAAACAGACAGATGGACCTATTTTTGCCATCACAGACAAAGATACACCTATTGAAGTAGTCAAATGTGCAGGTATTGTATTAAAATTTGTCTACAGAAATTTAAAATATTTGTACTTCATTGTCATTTCCATTATAATTAATCTAATCCTTTGAAAATGATGCTAGGGAAGGTAATGACAAATTTTAAATATGGTGATAGGGCATTAACATTAAAATCAGGGATTTGGTCTACATATCTCAATAATTCTTTCTTCTTTTCAAGAAGAAACTCCAGGATCACCAAGCACACCTGGATCACCAAGCACACCAGGATCACCAAGCACACCAGGATCACCAAGCACACCAGGATCACCAAGCACACCAGGATCACCGAGCACACAAGGATCACCAAGCACACCTGGATCACCAAGCACACCAGGAACACCAAGCACACCAGGATCACCAAGCACACCAGGATCACCAAGCACACCTGGATCACCAAGCACACCAGGATCACCAAGCACACCTGGATCACCAAGCACACCTGGATCACCAAGCACACCTGGATCACCAAGCACACCTGGATCACCAAGCACACCTGGATCACCAAGCACACCTGGATCACCTAGCACACCAGGATCACCAAGCACACCAGGATCACCAAGCACACCTGGATCACCAAGCACACCTGGATCACCAAGCACACCAGGATCACCAAGCACACCTGGATCACCAAGTACACCTGGATCACCAAGCACACCTGGATCACCAAGTACACCTGGATCACCAAGCACACCAGGATCACCAAGCACACCAGGATCACCAAGCACACCTGGATCACCAAGCACACCAGGATCACCAAGCACACCAGGATCACCAAGCACACCTGGATCACCAAGCACACCAGGATCACCAAGCACACCAGGATCACCAAGCACACCTGGATCACCAAGCACACCTGGATCACCAAGCACACCAGGATCACCAAGCACACCAGGATCACCAAGCACACCTGGATCACCAAGCACACCTGGATCACCAAGCACACCTGGATCACCAAGCACACCAGGATCACCAAGCACACCTGGATCACCAAGCACACCTGGATCACCAAGCACACCAGGATCACCAAGCACACCAGGATCACCAAGCACACCTGGATCACCAAGCACACCAGGATCACCCAGCACACCAGAATCACCAAGTACACCTTGCTCTCAAGTTATGGTTCCAGAGGGAGATCTTCCAACAATTAGTCCAAGTTATCCAGATAATGCACCTTCCAATGATCGTTTAGTTGTGGTTAGAGATGACAAGAGTGATGCCACTGTGGTTTCAGTTAATGCTCAAGAATCATCAACAGGATCTGTTCTTGTTTCAGAACCATTTACTCAGGTAGTTTTTCTCTTATATAACACATAAATTTGACATTTTCATCTTAAATCATTTTCAAATCAACAACCCTGCTTGTTCAAACTCCTTTACATAAATTCAGTCATACAATTACTTTTACAGCCCAAAGCTGATGAGCCTGGAACATATGCTGTTGTATTCTCTACAAGTAAGGCATTTTGAATATATTGTGTGCAATCCATTATATTTTATCCTGCTATTGGATGTAATAAAAATTGATAGTTTTAGAATGCACCTTTTTTTTATTGTAATTACATGTCATAGTGGGGTCAATGGGTAATGTGCAATAGAAATGGTTTAGATTTCCTCTTTGTGATCTGCCAAGCACATTAGAGTACACCTATCTTGGATCAGTAAAAAGTTGCATTTTAAAAAGTTAAAGATTTAATTGATAGTATGTTATTTAAGGTTGTTTTTTTTTGATAAGCAATATTATTAGCATACATTTCTTGCACAAGTAGGATTAGAAATAATAATTACAGATTCTATGGGTAAATTAATAGGTTAGTTGACAGATCTAAAAAAAATCATCAAGATTTTGTTGACACTGATAGTAAAGACCATAAGGCCTTATGGATCTTTTTTCTCTTTTCAATTGGTTTGTACAATGAAGTTGATCTTATTTATTTTTCCCCATATAGGTTCAACACCAACTGGTGCTACACCTCCAACACAAGTGCAAGATTTTGCAGGTAACCTTCTGTTTAATTGATGTGGTTTCCTTAAGCATGGACTCTACTTTCTAGATGTTTTGAGATTTTTAAAATGTGTTCAAATTATGTTTTGTTATTTATTTTGGAAAGTCTGGAAACATCTACTAATAAAGAACCACTTTTTCTCAAAGTATTTTATCCAATAAAATATTTAAAATTATTACTTTCTTCATTTCTATACAAAATGTATTATTACCTTCATCTCTGTAAATATTTGCTATGTTTACATTGAATCAACAGACACTACAACTAACCCAGAAGTCTTCCAAGTGGATTCTAATACCTATTTAGTTGTTTTCCAAGTAACTGCTAATAACCCAGTGAATATCCCTGCAGGCGCTTCTTCAGCATATGTATTCAAGGCAAGTATTTTATTTATTTTGTATTCATAATTATTCTTAAGGCATGTACTAAGGATGCTTGCCTTTTTTGTGAAGAGTTTGTAAAAATCATGTGTTCCATATTTGTTTGCAGACCCCAGATAATGTTGATGAAACTAAACAGACAGATGGACCTATTTTTGCCATCACAGACAAAGATACACCTATTGAAGTAGTCAAATGTGCAGGTATTGTATTAAAATTTGTCTACAGAAATTTAAAATATTTGTACTTCATTGTCATTTCCATTATAATTAATCTAATCCTTTGAAAATGATGCTAGGGAAGGTAATGACAAATTTTAAATATGGTGATAGGGGATTAACATTAAAATCAGGGATTTGGTCTACATATCTCAATAATTCTTTCTTCTTTTCAAGAAGAAACTCCAGGATCACCAAGCACACCAGGATCACCAAGCACACCAGGATCACCAAGCACACCAGGATCACCAAGCACACCAGGATCACCAAGCACACCTGGATCACCTAGCACACCTGGATCACCAAGCACACCTGGATCACCAAGCACACCAGGATCACCAAGCACACCTGGATCACCAAGCACACCTGGATCACCAAGTACACCTGGATCACCAAGCACACCAGGATCACCAAGCACACCAGGATCACCAAGCACACCTGGATCACCAAGCACACCAGGATCACCAAGCACACCTGGATCACCAAGCACACCAGGATCACCAAGCACACCAGGATCACCAAGCACACCTGGATCACCAAGCACACCAGGATCACCAAGCACACCAGGATCACCAAGCACACCTGGATCACCAAGCACACCTGGATCACCAAGCACACCAGGATCACCAAGCACACCAGGATCACCAAGCACACCTGGATCACCAAGCACACCTGGATCACCAAGCACACCTGGATCACCAAGCACACCTGGATCACCAAGCACACCTGGATCACCAAGCACACCTGGATCACCAAGCACACCTGGATCACCAAGCACACCAGGATCACCCAGCACACCAGAGTCACCAAGTACACCTTGCTCTCAAGTTATGGTTCCAGAGAGAGATCTTCCAACAATTAGTCCAAGTTATCCAGATAATGCACCTTCCAATGATCGTTTAGTTGTGGTTAGAGATGACAAGAGTGATGCCACTGTGGTTTCAGTTAATGCTCAAGAATCATCAACAGGATCTGTTCTTGTTTCAGAACCATTTACTCAGGTAGTTTTTCTCTTATATAACACATAAATTTGACATTTTCATCTTAAATCATTTTCAAATCAACAACCCTGCTTGTTCAAACTCCTTTACATAAATTCAGTCATACAATTACTTTTACAGCCCAAAGCTGATGAGCCTGGAACATATGCTGTTGTATTCTCTACAAGTAAGGCATTTTGAATATATTGTGTGCAATCCATTATATTTTATCCTGCTAATGTATGTAATAAAAATTGTTAGTTTTAGAATGCACCTTTTTTTACTGTAATTACATGTCATAGTGGGGTCAATGGGTAATGTGCAATAGAAATGGTTTAGATTACCTCTTTGTGATCTGCCAAGCACCTTAGAGTCTACCCATCTTGGATCAGTAAAAAGTTTCATTTTATAAAGTTAAAGATTTAATTGATAGTATGTTATTTAAGGTTGTTTTTTTTTGGTAAGCAATACTATTAGCATACATTGCTTGCACAAGTAGGATTAGAAATAATAATTACAGATTCTATGGGTAAATTAATAGGTTAGTTGGCAGATCTAATAAAAACATCAAGATTTTGTAGACACTGATAGTAAAGACCATAAGGCCTTATGGATTTTTTTTCTCTTTTCAATTGGTTTGTACAATGAAGTTGATCTTATTTACTTTTTCCCCATATAGGTTCAACACCAACTGGTGCTACACCTCCAACACAAGTGCAAGATTTTGCAGGTAACATTCTGTTTAACTGATGTGGTTTCCTTAACCATGTACTCTACTTTCTAGATGTTTTGAGATTTTTAAAATGTGTTCAAATTATGCTTTTTTATTTATTTTGGAAATTCTGGAAACATCTACCAATAAAAGAACCACTTTTTCTCAAAGTATTTTATCCAATAAAATATTTAAAATTATTACTTTCTTCATTTCTATACAAAATGTATTATTATCTTCATTTCTGTAAATATTTGCTATGTTTACATTGAATCAACAGACACTACAACTAACCCAGAAGTCTTCCAAGTTGATTCTAATACCTATTTAGTTGTTTTCCAAGTAACTGCTAATAACCCAGTGAATATCCCTGCAGGCGCTTCTTCAGCATATGTATTCAAGGCAAGTATTTTATTTATTTTGTATTCATAATTATTCTTAAGGCATGTACTAAGGATGCTTGCCTTTTTTGTGAAGAGTTTGTTAAAATCATGTGTTCCATATTTGTTTGCAGACCCCAGATAATGTTGATGAAACTAAACAGACAGATGGACCTATTTTTGCCATCACAGACAAAGATACACCTATTGAAGTAGTCAAATGTGCAGGTATTGTATTAAAATTTGTCTACAGAAATTTAAAATATTTGTACTTCATTGTCATTTCCATTATAATTAATCTAATCCTTTGAAAATGATGCTAGGGAAGGTAATGACAAATTTTAAATATGGTGATAGGGGATTAACATTAAAATCAGGGATTTGGTCTACATATCTCAATAATTCTTTCTTCTTTTCAAGAAGAAACTCCAGGATCACCAAGCACACCAGGATCACCAAGCACACCAGGATCACCAAGCACACCAGGATCACCAAGCACACCAGGATCACCTAGCACACCTGGATCACCAAGCACACCTGGATCACCAAGCACACCAGGATCACCAAGCACACCTGGATCACCAAGCACACCAGGATCACCAAGCACACCTGGATCACCAAGCACACCAGGATCACCAAGCACACCTGGATCACCAAGCACACCTGGATCACCAAGCACACCTGGATCACCAAGCACACCTGGATCACCAAGCACACCTGGATCACCTAGCACACCAGGATCACCAAGCACACCAGGATCACCAAGCACACCTGGATCACCAAGCACACCTGGATCACCAAGCACACCAGGATCACCAAGCACACCTGGATCACCAAGCACACCTGGATCACCAAGCACACCTGGATCACCAAGTACACCTGGATCACCAAGCACACCAGGATCACCAAGCACACCAGGATCACCAAGCACACCTGGATCACCAAGCACACCTGGATCACCAAGCACACCTGGATCACCAAGCACACCAGGATCACCAAGCACACCAGGATCACCAAGCACACCTGGATCACCAAGCACACCAGGATCACCAAGCACACCAGGATCACCAAGCACACCTGGATCACCAAGCACACCTGGATCACCAAGCACACCAGGATCACCAAGCACACCAGGATCACCAAGCACACCTGGATCACCAAGCACACCTGGATCACCAAGCACACCTGGATCACCAAGCACACCTGGATCACCAAGCACACCTGGATCACCAAGCACACCAGGATCACCCAGCACACCAGAGTCACCAAGTACACCTTGCTCTCAAGTTATGGTTCCAGAGAGAGATCTTCCAACAATTAGTCCAAGTTATCCAGATAATGCACCTTCCAATGATCGTTTAGTTGTGGTTAGAGATGACAAGAGTGATGCCACTGTGGTTTCAGTTAATGCTCAAGAATCATCAACAGGATCTGTTCTTGTTTCAGAACCATTTACTCAGGTAGTTTTTCTCTTATATAACACATAAATTTGACATTTTCATCTTAAATCATTTTCAAATCAACAACCCTGCTTGTTCAAACTCCTTTACATAAATTCAGTCATACAATTACTTTTACAGCCCAAAGCTGATGAGCCTGGAACATATGCTGTTGTATTCTCTACAAGTAAGGCATTTTGAATATATTGTGTGCAATCCATTATATTTTATCCTCCTATTGGATGTAATAAAAATTGATAGTTTTAGAATGCACCTTTTTTTATTGTAATTACGTGTCATAGTGGGGTCAATGGGTAATGTGCAATAGAAATGGTTTAGATTTCCTCTTTGTGATCTGCCAAGCACCTTAGAGTACACCTATCTTGGATCAGTAAAAAGTTGCATTTTAAAAAGTTAAAGATTTAATTGATAGTATGTTATTTAAGGTTGTTTTTTTTTTGGTAAGCAATATTATTAGCATACATTTCTTGCACAAGTAGGATTAGAAATAATAATTACAGATTCTATGGGTAAATTAATAGGTTAGTTGGCAGATCTAAAAAAAAACATCAAGATTTTGTTGACACTGATAGTAAAGACCAAAAGGCCTTATGGATCTTTTTTCTCTTTTCAATTGGTTTGTACAATGAAGTTGATCTTATTTATTTTTCCCCATATAGGTTCAACACCAACTGGTGCTACACCTCCAACACAAGTGCAAGATTTTGCAGGTAACATTCTGTTTAACTGATGTGGTTTCCTTAACCATGTACTCTACTTTCTAGATGTTTTGAGATTTTTAAAATGTGTTCAAATTATGTTTTGTTATTTATTTTGGAAAGTCTGGAAACATCTACTAATAAAGAACCACTTTTTCTCAAAGTATTTTATCCAATAAAATATTTAAAATTATTACTTTCTTCATTTCTATACAAAATGTATTATTACCGTCATCTCTGTAAATATTTGCTATGTTTACATTAAATCAACAGACACTACAACTAACCCAGAAGTCTTCCAAGTTGATTCTAATACCTATTTAGTTGTTTTCCAAGTAACTGCTAATAACCCAGTGAATATCCCTGCAGGCGCTTCTTCAGCATATGTATTCAAGGCAAGTATTTTATTTATTTTGTATTCATAAACATTCTTAAGAAATGTACTAAGGATGCTTGCAAATGGAAATATATATATATATATATATATATATATATATATATATATATATATATATATATATATATATATATATATATATATATATACAATCATAGAGAAAGAGAATTGTGCTTTTTTGTGAAGAGTTTGTTAAAATCATGTGTTCCATATTTGTTTGCAGACCCCAGATAATGTTGATGAAACTAAACAGACAGATGGACCTATTTTTGCCATCACAGACAAAGATACACCTATTGAAGTAGTCAAATGTGCAGGTATTGTATTAAAATTTGTCTACAGAAATTTAAAATATTTGTACTTCATTGTCATTTCCATTATAATTAATCTAATCCTTTGGAAATGATGCTAGGGAAGGTAATGACAAATTTTAAATATGGTGATAGGGCATTAACATTAAAATCAGGGATTTGGTCTACATATCTTAATAATTCTTTCCTTTTTTCAAGAAGAAACTCCAGGATCACCAAGCACACCAGGATCACCAAGCACACCAGGATCACCAAGCACACCAGGATCACCAAGCACACCAGGATCACCAAGCACACCTGGATCACCAAGCACACCAGGATCACCAAGCACACCTGGATCACCAAGCACACCAGGATCACCAAGCACACCAGGATCACCAAGCACACCAGGATCACCAAGCACACCTGGATCACCAAGCACACCTGGATCACCAAGCACACCAGGATCACCAAGCACACCTGGATCACCAAGCACTCCTGGAGGTATATACAAAAAATTATTTCTATCTATTATTCATTATTTTTATGAATAATATTAATTATATTTTTCTTGATTCAATCCACTAGTTTGCCTCTACGAAGTTGATGTGACAGATGCTGATTTATCAACTCTTCCTATTGGACAAATTAAAAGGTCACCTTTATCTGATGTTACTGGATCAAATTTTGATTTCAATGTTGGTCCAAATATCAACACTGTGTCAGTAGAATTTGAATTGTTTGTAGAGGGTCAGTTAATGGCAACCCAATTAACTGGAGGATTTGAGAATTATCAAGTTGCTCTAAAACAAAAAGATGGATCCTTATCATTTATTGAGGTATTTAACACACACACACAAACACACATATATGTAAATATATATATATATATATATATATATATATATATATATATATATATATATATATATATATATATATATATATATATATATATATATATAGACAGATGTTGATGTAAATTTGGATATTTAGATATATTAATCTAGTCTATGTGTGTTTTGTAAATTTTAATTACCATTTTATTGATTGAACAGAAAATTATCGGTACCTTATTTATTTTATTTTAATTTTTCTTACTGTTTTTAATTATTATTTTTTTTTTACAGAGTGTTGATGGCATTGATAAATTTTCAACTGCTTCAGAGTATTTCTTTACTACTGTAGTCCCAGAAGAAACAACTATTGTATTTATTATCACTGGAACAAACAATGGCTTTAGTGTCAGATTTGATAAAGTTAAGATTTGTTTGACAGAAACTGGTATGTTGTTTTTTAAATTGAATTTCTTAAATTATAATCAGTAATAACTTTAGAATTGATTTTAAATGTATTATTATTTACTATTATTATTTACAATTCCCCATCTTTTAAAGGTTTCTGCTCAGTGAGAGCTGCTGATATACTTAAGGCTCTTAACTTCATGCCATTAAATAATGAAGTTGGTGAAAATAGTGAGACTGGTGAAGTGGTTTACACAGGAGATTTCATTGGTGATGGTGTCAATGTTAAAGGATCATGCTATGTCTGGTAAGAGCCAAACAAGATTTTACTGAATCTCGTAGTTGTATTAATCCCAATTTATTCCATCTCTACTATCAAGTTAAACATGTAAATAGTTCATTAGAACCAAAATAATAATAGAAAATTATTTATATGACTACACTACTTTTAAAATGTAATTCGTTTTTGCTGCCATATATCAAGAAAGTTTTTAATGTTAATATAATACTCTTGAATTAAATGTTAATATAATACTCTTAATGGGACGGAGGGGCCTAGCGGTAGAGAGCTGGACTGCTTACCCGTAAGTCTCGAGTTCGAATCCGGGTTCAAGTCAGTAGACCGTGCCTGAGCCCACCCAACTCTGATGGGTACCTAACTCACGTTAGGGAGAGTAAAGGCGGCTGGGCATAGTGTTGACCACACTATCTCTTCATATGCCGAGGTCACAGAAACAAGTGAACTCTACTTCACTTGCCCCATAGACCGTCAGGTTTGAAAGGGAACTACTTTACTTTTTTAATGCTCTTGAAATATAAAAAGAAAAAGTGCTTTTTTTCATACAGAGTAATAATTCTTAAATGGACTTAAAGCTTATCTTATGTGCTACAAAAATTTACTCAGAAACACACACAAAAATTATTCAGCTATTTCATTTTAAATTGAAAAAAAAATGAAATGTGGTAAATCATTGTTTTTTTTTACTTCAGCACCTGTAACAATGGTAAACTTGAATGCCATGAGGTCTCAAATTGTAGCGAATGTCCAACTAATTCAACTAAACAATGTAAAGGAGATTGTATAAATGGAGTCATAGATGTAACTTATCCTAACCCTGGTGTACCTGGTCACTGTCAAGTGGATCCTTCACCATGTATTCCAGAAGGATGCACAAGTAAGTTGCCGATTATTTGTTCTCTTGTATTTTGTTGTCAATTTTTTCAAGAATATATAGGACCACACAGATGTTGTTGATGCATAGCAGCCAGGACACAACATTAAAATGAATCACAATTTTTTATATATTTTTTAGCACCTGCCAATTGCCCAACTCCTTGGTCACAATGGTCACCATGCTCTGCCAGCTGCATACAGTTCCGTAGTCGTCAATGTGGAGATGAATGTGGAGACCTGTGTGACAATGTCAACAACACACAAACTCAGGAATGTGGAAACTGTGTTCCAATTTGTAAGTTTATTATTTTGAACTTTTTAATAACTCACTTGTTTATAACAATATTTTACAAAAGAAAACACAGAATCACACAAAAATCTAAAACTGCTTTGCAAATCAGAATCTTATTTTTTATACATTTTTTTAAATTTAATTTTTATGTCTGCCTTAGAGTATTATAGACAACAATTACTTTTGAAAACTTTTATTTTATTAATGTGATATGTGTAATATAACATTTTAATCACTCCTCTAACAGCAACAACACCACTTGAATGCAATGAAAATGAAGTCCCAGAATGTGTCAGCAAATACGAAGAATGTATGGAATCTTGTGCTGTGTTCAGGAAAGCTTCAACATGTGATTCACTCAAGGATGATGATACATGTGTAGACAAATGTAAATGTGCTGATGGATACAAACGGTAAAAATACATTATATATTTATATTATATATAACTATATCTTTATTTGTATATATCTTCATCTTTTGTATAAATTGCATTTAGCTTCATTTTATTGTGAAGTAGAAATATTTTCCATTTTCAAAAAGATTACAGTTTTAACAGTCTAAACTGTTTTGTGCCAAAATATATATCCTGCATAAAAATTTATAAATTTATTTTGGTATCTATTTAATTACAATTTAATTGTGTAACTTCAGAAGTATTTTAATTATTTTTTTCTCTACCCAGTGATTCTACTGGTCAGTGTGTTAAAGCAGAAGAATGTGAGTGCTATGAAGGCATTATGGCTACTACACCCATTCCACAATCATATAAAGTTAATGTCTCCAAATGTCGCTACTGGTAAGTATTTCAGTATGCTGAAATTTTTCAGCATATTTATAAATATATCAGAGTAAAATTGATACTTATTATTACTTTTGTTTCTAATATAACTATGGAACTATTTTACATTTATATATTAATATATGCATGAACAAGATTATTTCAAAAAATAAATTATTGTTATACCTTAATTTAATTTAGTGAATGTGAAATGGCTGGTCTTGTCTGCCAAGAATATTCCGATTGTAAGTTGCACTCACTTTTCTTCCAAGTCTTTTACGCTTTGTTTTGATATTTTGGAAATTATACTAAATATTAGGAAAATATTGTTATAATTTTTTTGTATATTTTTAATGGTGACTTAAACTTTTTAAATTTAAAAAGGTTGTGAACTGTCAGAATGGTCTGATTGGTCTGAATGCTCAAAGACATGCGATCAAGGAACAAGATCTAGAACAAGGTAAGCATATCATGCAGTAAAGTAGTATCATCAAAACTAGTTGGTCAGTTTAAAATGCAGTACAAATACATACATAGCATATACAGTTCGTATATAAACATATATGTGGTTATCTGAATATATATAAATATATATATATAAACAGAGTGCCTTTATAAAACCAGTAATGCAGTATAAGATTTTTAGAAATGCTAAAATGTAGATTATAGCACAAAGAATAATGTAAAAGATATAAAAGCCAGGTTTTTTTTAATTAGAGGAACACATCTATTTATCAAACAAATCAACTATACATACTTTTCAAAATTGCATTACAAGCCTTTTATATTTGATTCTTTTCTATTCTCTATCAAATGAAGATTTAAGAAAATTATATTTTACATGTGTTTATTTTTATTTTCACTTCTTTCATTTCCAGAGAAAAGTATGGCAATGGCTGTCCAGCAGAAACACAACTTATCCAGACACAGTCCTGCAACCTGGGAGAATGTCCATGTACATTTGAAGGAGAAGTATGGGAATCTGGCAAAGTTGTCAAAGATCAATGCCGTGAATGGTATGTAAACATTTTTTTTAAAATGTTTTTTAGCAGCTTTTAACTAACTGCTTTTTAAATTATTATCATTATTATGTATTAATTATGTGTCTGTATTTAATTAAACACAGTTCTTGCACCAATGGAGAGATGAAATGTCAAATCTATGAAAACAATGGTAAGCCTCTAGTAATAAAGTAACTTTCCTTATTAGTTGCATAAAAATGTGTATCCAATGTGTATCTTTTATAGAATTAGTAGGTGTTTACATGTATAAAATATGTTTTGCAATTATAATGAAATGGATATATCTCAGAAAAAAATAAAGACACTACTAAAATAAAAGGGTCAATAGTTATATATAGACTAAATTCATGAAATTATCAATTACAGACATCTGGCCCAACAAGGAATGCACAGAGAATTGTTATTGTAATAGCAGTGGAATTATGGAATGTGTTAAGGATCCTGCACTTGATTCATGCAGAGAAATTAAAGAAAACTGCAATAATGTAAGTATAGCTAAAAAAAACTGCTTTATTATTGTCAAAAAAAAAGAATTTTTTTAATTTACTTATATTTAAGATTTTGATTTTAAAAGAGAAATGTAAATTATCATTTTCTTTTTAAGGAAACTCACATCCTGCAATACACTGAAGGAAATGATTGCTGTCCTCAATGTATACCTGTGATGATACCATGTACATACAAAGTCAGCTCCACAGAACCTCTCCAAGTCACTGACAGTGTGTCTGGACTCTGTGTGTCTCAGCCCTTAGATATCGGAGTAAGTCAATGAAAACTGATGTGATATTCTCAAATTGATTGCATGGTACCAGAAATACATTAACACTCAGATGAAGATGTGCAAGTATTATTCATATCATTAACTTTTTGTACTTAATCTCCCTCCAGATGTGTTCAGGAACATGTGGCTACAGCACAGATATGGTTGTCAACAGAAAGTTCCAGTCTGGAAGATTTGAACTCTTTACTGAACAGAACTGTGCATGCTGCAAGGCTAGCACTTCAAGTAAATCAGTAGACTTCCAGTGTGCTGATGGTACAACCAAATCTTACCTAGTCTCTTACATCTCTGGATGTAGCTGTGACAGATGCCAATGTAAGTTATTAATACTTGGATACTACATATTTTTATCTAATTGTTTGTAGCCATGAGCAATGTTAATCTCAAGTCTACCATACTGTATAGGAAACCTTGAATAGTAAAAAAAATGTTAACTAAACCATAGATGTATATAATAACTAAATGTAATTATTATATTTTTAAAGATTAAAAACCTTTGGTATTAATGACGTGGCTAATCCAAATTAGCTAATTATACAATATCTAAATATAATGTAAGATAAACTTGTTTTAAAATAAAATTAACTTTTTTAATTCTTTAAGCTTCTAATTTTCATACTTTTTTATTTTGTTCCTTAAAAATGTTCTTTTTTTTTCAGAGCCAAATAAGGACAATTAAACAGATTTACGCCTATGGACATGATAATTAGTTGCAGTTAATGTATCAATGAAACTGTAATGAAATAAAGAAATTTCACTATATAATTTATTGTTTATCGTCTCTATTAATCTGATAAACTAAACTGAAATATTCTAAACCTTTTTATTGAAATTTAACTTGTTAAAGATTTTAAAGCCATGAATGGTTTGCTAGCAAACAAAGATTCAGTTTGATTAACAAGTCCAACCTGTATTGAAATACAAAGCTGAATCTGTGCAGTTTCACCTGAAGTAAAGTCACATCTAAAAATATAAATGTCCATGATTACTTCAGGACTATGTAAAAATCCTTAACATGAAACTCCACCGCCGGCATTAATAAGTAAGTAAAGTTAAAATACCTTTACGTGAAGTAGCGTTCACCTGTTTAAGTGACATTGGCATATGAAGGGATAGTGTGGTAAGATATCTATCAGAGTTGGGTGGACTTAACACCTGTTGGGCCAGGGATTTAACTAGGAATATATTTATCTATGGTGTTCAACAGTAAAAATAGTAGTTCCCTTTTTGAACTTGACGGTCCATGTTGCAAGTGAAGTAGAGTTTCTGTGATGTTGGCATATTAAGGGATAGTGTGGTCAGCACTGCCCAGCTGTTCTTAACATGTGTTAGTTGCCCATCGGAGCTGGGTGGACTCATGGACATTCTACAGACAGCAACCTGGATTCGAACTTAAGACTTTCAGGGTTAGCAGTCTAGTACTCCACCACTAGGTCATGCCATCCTCTGTTTTACAGAATAACATTTTAATCTTTTACTACAACCTCTACACTGGTGAAAAAAAAAAAATTATTTCTGTGAATAAATTTGCTCAAAATAGTTTTAAATTACCATAAAAAAGACATCAAATAACTTTAAAAAATTATTATTAGAATTCTATTCTACCCAGTAAAACTATAATTTATCAATTTTATTGAAGTACATATAATACTAATTTAATTGCAAGTTTTTATGACAAAGGTTTTTAACTAAAATAGTAACATTTCCTTAAAAACAAAAGTTATCTGTTCTGATTGCTTTTTCAAAAACAGATAAAAATAGATGTCATAAAATACCACTGAATGACTTCCATTTGCAGCTTGAACTTGATTTAATAGATATCTACTTTGACTGCATGTCATTTACTGGTTTAGATAGATTTCTACTTTGGCTGCATGTCATCTATATAGAACTAATAATCCTGAAATTTCCAAACATTGCATTAACACTGATAGGAAAAGCAAGTACATATATGTCAAACAAGTATAGGCTTACACATTTCTCAGAATTTTAACTGAATTTTTCTCTAATCAAAGAATGGTCAAGAGAGATGAACTTAACTTGCAATCTGAAACAAACTTCTTAAAAATATTTGGAGTAATTCTACAAAAAAGCATTCCCCACAGAAAATCCTCAAAGTAAAGGAATCAAACAACTTGCACTAATGAGGAAACTAGCAGGCACAGGAAACTAGCAGGCACAGACTGTGGAGTCAATCATCACATTCTGAAATAACCTACACTAGCTACTTCAGACCAGTCTTAGAATATGGTGCTTCAGCTTGGGGCTGAGCAGCTAAAGCAAATGTTAGCAAAATCGACAAAGTACAGAACACATGGCAGAGAATTATGACAACCACACCAATAAAAGCAATGGAGGAAACAGCAGCACTAATCTTAATGGAAGAAAGAAGAGAATCACTAATTCTCACCTAATTCAGAAAACTCATACTCTAAAGCAGAAACTACAGAAGCCCACCTTATTAAACAAACTTCAAAGAACAAGTTTTATCAACAAATCCAAAAGTTTAAAAAATAAATATGAAATAGTAAACATTATTCCTGAAACAATTAAAACACAGAACCTCTCTTAAACCATTCATCAACCATCAGACGCAATTGACGCCATAGAAAAAAATCTATGATCAGGGAGAATTAAAGAAAATAACAAACAAACACATTAAAGCACAGTACCCCAGTAATACTTGGATTAGAGAATACACAGATAACCCAGATGAGGATGCTGGAATTCTTATTGAAACGGAGAAGGCTTAGAAAAGTCAGTTGCCACAGGCAGCCTATCTGACAATTTTAGAGCACAGAAAAAAGCTTTAGAACATGCAGCTAACCTACTGTCAAATCACCTGAATCAACAAATAGACAGTCATTCTCATGATGCCAAATCTGAACTACTGTCTCTGAAATCAATATATCAGCATGACAGTGCTTACACTGGATCCTGGGCCACACTCAGATACAAGGAAATGAGATTGCAGATCACCTTGCCAAAAATGAGGTAAAGTCAAAACAGCCAGAAATTTCTCTCCATTCAAAAGAAAATCAAAGAATTAAAAAAAGCAAACCATTTAAATTCATTGTGATCTGACAAGCAAAAGATGATGCATGTTACAACACATAATTTTTAGACAGGCTGTAACAGATGATTGAAACAGCATATGTTTAGGGAATTAATAGCTGGTCCAGGAAAAAATTGCCCTAGTGGCACGGTCACCAATAAACCCCTTATAAAAAACTGTATGGGGTGTCCGCAGATCTGTAAATCACTGTCTAGTTTGTCCACAAAGTTGGTCTTGCTGTCTGACTCCTTCCATATAAATATTGTTAACCCTTTGAGCCCGGGCCTCCCTGACCTAATTTCTCCCATTTCCTGAGCTCCCAGGGCCAAACCAAATTTTCACTTATCTGCTTCTAACTTTGCCTACAACTTTTGAACCGTTTGAGATAATCAAGCCAAATTTGGTATCCAGACTCTGGATCAAACAACAATGCAGCAAGATTCTGAAATTCTTTATTTTTTTTTTAATAATGTTTGAACAGAACAATGTATATAAAACGAGCACATAATTATTGTTTTGCTAAAACATAGAAGAAACCAATTTACAATTAGTAATTGTTTTGTTATTATTGATACCTGGCCATACTAGTTCATCGCCAGAAGTCCACTTTTGTGGGATAACTTTCAAAACCGTTATCACTGTCGGACCAAAAATTTCGCATGTTCTGCACCAGTAAACATTTTTTTTTTCGTTTCGGCAAGTCTTTGTCCTTGACACCACGTGCATCAGAACGTACTTGAACAGTTTCATTGTCACTGTCAATTTCAATGTCACTGTGTTCAGAGTCAAATTCAACGTCACTATCATCACAATATAGACCAGGAATATTAATAATATTCCTGGTTTATTATCTTCTTCATCAGAATCAATAAGTAGTTGTATTGCCTGAGATGCAGTCATTCTACTTCTTTTGTATATATTTTGGTCTTTTGCTTCATCTTTTGCACCAACTTTATGTGATGAAGTCGACGGCTGTAGCTCAGCTTTTCGTTTCGACGGCATTGCTACGAAATGTAAACACTTTCACTTTCACTTTTTCCTAAAAATCAATTTTTAAAATCATAATCCCGCACTCAAAAGACATATGCGCAGTTTTAGTTAGTCCTGCTAATTATATTTAATTAGACGGTATACCGGCCGCAAAGAATATGACGCTAGATAATCGGGTCGGAAAACCGGCTTTTCGGACATATATGCCTAATGTTGAAGCCGGTTTACCGGCCTAGCGGGCTCAAAGGGTTAAGAGCAATGAAGAAGAAGATTCCCATACCTATTCTAAAATAAATAGAGACTTGTAGCAATGAGGTTTGGGATGATGGCATCAAACAAGGATTACTGCTGAGATTACAGATTCTATTTCTTTTCAACACAAAGCTTAATAAATAAAGCAATAGTCATAAGCAAATTAATTTACTTTATTAAACAGATCAAATCAAGTTGCCTGCAGTTTACTTTACAAATATTTTTAACAAATGAGTTTAGAAGAATTATTATTATTTTACATATTTCCTCATTAACCAAGTTTCATTAGCCGAAGTATGAGCTCAAGCTTAGTAATTTTAAAAACCTGATTAGGTACTAATTATTCCTAAGAATTTTATTCAATCCCGTATTTCTAAACTTTTAATAACATACAGTACATAGTTTATCATAAAAAACAACTGTAATGTCCTATAGTATATGTATATAAATGAAAAGCACAAAATAAATGCAAATTGAAACAAACAAAACATTCATCATGAAGTTATCAGTATTTTAATGAATAAAATTATTAGAATGTGATATTTTATCTCTATCATCTAATAAGAGTGCCTTCAATTTGAAACAATTTGTAACAACAAACATAATTAAAGCATGATTTCACTGCACTACACATTTGACCAAAGTTAGTTTTAGTTTCAGATACCAAATTGTGCTAAACTGTATTAACAATACTGAGATGTGTATTTTGTTATTTGTTTATACCACAGCTTTTTCTTTTGTAGTTTACATCATTTTATGGTTAAAAGTTTTGAGTTAATTTTTCTTTAATTTTGCTTGTAGTATACTTAAAAAGAAGAATATGTCAGATGTGTAACCAGTTTTGAAACAATGTATCTCAAACTAAACTGTATCAATGTTTCAAATGTAATTCACTCATAACATTCATCCGAATTCTTTTTAACACTACTGGATTGTTTTGTTTTAAACTGCAATAAAATCATAAAAAAGTAATGCATAATAATGCTCATGTCATGTCATAGACTGTTCTACTCAACACATTAATTCAACAATCTTTTTTTTTTTAAAAACAATTATATGCATGAATAAAAGCAAACAGAATAACAAGGCAAAAAATCTTTAAGATTATTCAGAAAAGAATTTAAACTGATAAACTGAAATGGTTTTAAAATGAGATAATTGTTTCTGATGTTAGGCAGTAACCATCATTCTAGGAACAATACTCATTGCCATAAGTTCTTGAAACAGAAGCTTACACGCATAGGGAATACGAATTTGAGAGATCTGTGAATTAAGGACAAACAACAAATGTTAGGAAAACAAACAAGAAATATGCATCAATATTTACTGTAAATTATTTTTAGTTCCATTGTCAAGAAATAAATCTTACAAAAATATAGGTCATATAAAATCATATTTAATTAATAACAGATATGCCTACCCCTACCCCTTGTGATCAAAACTAGAAACAGTCATACTTAAAAAGAGGAATTTGAAGCCAAAAAGCATAACATGCGCTCGGATGCTAGATCTACTTTGTTAAGCCAAAAATAAATAATTAAAATAAGAAATAACCTAACAGCCGTGCTAGATTGAGTATTATGTATAGTTTTAATAACGTTATATATAGTTAATATCTAGCCTACATCTAGATCCATATAACCTACTGCTTAATTTAAGCTTAAATTTAAAAAACAAATGAACCTCCCTCCCCACTATAATAAAAAAATACCTTTAGTTGTTATAACACTATTGTTTGATTTAATTCTAGATCATGCTAAAAGAATCTTAGACTATTTAGGATTCTTTGATTAGCTTTCCAAGCTCACACATTCCTCACTTCCTTGTTACTAACTCTCTAGTGATAGGCACATGAACAAAAAATTAAAGAGCTTTATTGTTGTGATATTTATATATTTTTTTACAAATTTAGTTAGTGCATTAATATTTGCCTCCTTATTTTAATAATTTTATCTACTGTCCAATTTACCATTACAAATACTTAAAATAACAAATAATTGCATTTTCCCTGCTCTTTTTTCAATTAGTAAATTTTTTTTAATTTACAGATTTGCTTATTTTTTTTTATTTAGAAGAACAAACTTAGACTATCGGAATGGTGGGATGAGGAAATATTTCTTGTAATTTAGCAGAACTATTCCACTTTTGGTGGGATGGTAGGCATGTCTGTAATTGGTAATGAAAATTTTACTCTTTAATTAAGGTATATATTTTATTCTAAATGAATTAATACTTAAAAAATATATAGTCATTAGAATCGTCAAGTCCAATACTCACTTGAGTTTTGTTTTTACAAGATCTGCATTCAAATGTTTGGTTGCGGAGATTGGCTATTGCAATGAGCCCACAGAGATTGCAAACGTGAACACGATATGGATCTGAAGCTTCAAACAAGCGTTCTCTCAAAAACTGTGCAGCACCATGAGCAATTTGACAGTCACGTTCCATTTCACCAAATCTAAGACCACCATCTCTGTCAAATACAGATTAATTAAGAGATATAAATATGTGCAATTGTGCAGCACCATGAGCAATATGACCAAATCTAAGGCCACTATCTCTGTCAAAAATAGATTAATTCAGAAATATAAATAAATTCAATTGTAGAGATTAACCAGTTTGGACAACTTTTTTGTGATATGATTGTGTAAAATAAACATGTTGATCACACAACTGTCATTATTTTCCCCATAGATTATGCTAACATAAATGTAAAGATAAATGGAATCACTGAAGACTAAGATTAAAACCTACCTATTTTAACATCAAACAAAAACAACATGAAAAAAGGTGTGCATTTTTGTAACAAAAGAAAATAATTGCTACTTTTTTAGCCAATTTTTTATGGAAAAAAAAACAGGAATATAAAAAATACCTGGATCTTCCCTCCATAGGCTGACGATTTAAAATCTGAACAGGACCTCTTGCTCTTGAATGGATTTTGTCATCCACCATGTGTTTCAATCTTTGATAGTAGGTTGGACCCAGAAAAACTTGCGCATTCAGTTTACGACCAGTGAATCCATTAAATAAAACCTATTTGTGAATTATAATTTTATAATTGATTACTGCTACATAATAAGAAAGTGTAAGTAAAGGCAAAATGATGAACAGAAATAGTTTCCTTCAGGATTGACAGTGAATAGACAGTGCTTTATTCTATTTTCACATATGGGAAATTCAACTTTTTCTTTCCTAAGACTGATTTAGAGAGGAATTTTTTGCAATTTACTGTATAATAAATGGATATTCTTACCTCATTTCCTCTCAGGTTATAGTTGTAACGCTGTAGCAGCTTTGATATTTTCTGCACATTGACTGTATCATTGAAAGGTGTAGCATCTCCAATCTCTCCTTTATTTGCTGCGACTTTTCCTTGCAAGCATTCAATCAAGTGACCAATTGTCATACGAGATGGAATGGCATGGGGGTTGATAATGATATCAGGTGTAATACCTTCACATGTGAAGGGCATGTCCTGTACATCAAACAGAGAGTAAGTACAACCATAGATTAAGATGCAACACACTAAATCATTGGGATTTTTACTAAGTTATTGTTGTGCAAATACGCACTTTACTGAGGAAAATTTGAACTGAAGTCACTGCTCTACTCTAAAGTAGAAAAGAAATTTATCAGCCTTTGGTTATATACTGTAATAAAAAAAATTTTGGGACGATACGGCCTGATACTTTCACCAATGGGGTAGAAAGGTAGATCATTTGGCTGCTAGTCCAAAGGTCTCAATCTCTGATCTCGGTTCAGACATGTGACTGAAAGACAGTCTGAGTCCATCCAGCTATGATGGAAAGACTACCTGACTTAGGTTGGGGAAAGTAAAGGAGGCTGGGCATATCATCCCTTCATATGCAGAGGTCAAGAAACATGAATCATATGCCCAACTAATAGCTATCTCACAGTATCCCTTCATTTGTCAAGGGGATGGGGGAAAAAATGAACTCTAGTTAAGCTGTTGTATTTACTAAACGGGTATCTTAAATCTATACTACTATAACGATAATTGAGATTTTTTAATTTTATCATTTAAAATATGAGTTCCTGTTGCTTAGTTCCAGATATTGAATGTATGTAGATAAATTTACCTCTTGACGATAGGTTATGCCACATGTTCCTTTTTGCCCATGACGACTGGCAAATTTGTCTCCAATTTGAGGTGTTTTCACTGTACGCACTCTAATTTTGCAGAATTTGTATCCTTCATTGTTTATTGTAACCATAACCTATAAGAAGAAAATCCTTCATTTTAAAAATCAAAACTTTTTTGTTGAATAGTAGCTAAGAATACCAATTTTTAAATGTTTAGTAAAAAAAAAATTGTATTTGGACTTGAATATATTAATATGTTGTATTGGATCAAGATTCAGACTGTTACAACTTACAATAATAAATAATTAATTTAAAACTCTAATTATACAGCAAAAAATTAAATTAGATGCTGGTATAATACCTTACCTGATCAACTATGCCTGTTTCACTGCGTCTCATAAAAACACTGGCATCTCTCTTGCTAAATCTCCGTGCAGTACTATCCAGCTAAAATAATATTTTATCTATTTAAAAATTTCATTATTTATAGCTTTTTGAGCATTAACATTAAAAGTCAATCATTAAAAGTCAATCAGAAACTTAATTATACATTATAGGTTGGCCAAGCTGAAATAAGTAATTTGCCGACAACTAAAATATTAATTAAATTAACAAAGCTTACAAAAACAAAGCTATGTATTCAATTTGCAACATATTTAATTTAAATTATAATTTTAAAATGTGTAGCTACTTCATCATCATTTGCTGGCAATGTGAGAGTTTTTCCAATGAGAACATCATCTCCTGACACACGAGTTCCTGGGGCTATAATGCCATCTTCATCTAGCTTGTCATAAATGGCTATCCTCATTCCTTAAAAATTAAGAAACATGTTTAAATAATTCTATGCAGTTCATAAACAAGCTATCTACTTTTATTAGACTTAGGATTTTTATTAACATTCATGCTGAAAATGTTATAAAATTGTCAACCATTGGCTAAGCTAGCCTAACTAGAAAGTGACCTGCCAGTTATAGTACCAAAGCATGTAATGCCTAAAATTATTAAAATTATTTCTATATTTCTATATTGACTATATATATTGACTAAATTTGACCATTATAAAAATAGAGACAATTAACAAAAGGTCAATGCTTTTCTTTGTATTTAAATTTAGTACCCCTGTCACACAGAGATTTAAACACCAGGAAATGAGGGAACCAAGTCAAAAAATGGACTTGAATGTAACTGGACATGAGGGAAGGGGATTAGAGAATAAGAAAACACTGTAAGAGCTGTAAAAGATAAGTATTGGTGGTAGATCTGACAAGAACTCTTCAGCAGAGAATTAATAAACTTAGCTCTGTTTATTTACCTTTAATAAACTTAGCTCTGTTTATTAACATTTAATAAACTTAGCTCTGTTTATTTACCTTGGCACGTTTCCCTGTTAGGCTTCTCAAACACTTCTTCCTGGTCAAGACCTTTCTTTGACTCTGCATCTTTATAAGACCGGAAGAAGAAAGACCTACAAGACAAAGTGTTTGATTATACTCAAAACATTTTAGTCATTTCATTTACAGTTGCCAATAGTTGTTCAAAAAATAATTTCATCACTTAAGGAGTTAAAGAAACCACAACTGTATGTGTACCTGAAATAACCTCTTTCAATAGCTGAAGCATTGAGGATGACAGAATCTTCCTGGTTGTACCCAGTGTATGATGCAATGGCAACAACTGAATTAATCCCTAAAATGATGAAAAATAATTTTATTGGTTTTTAGAAATTTGTTGAAATTTCTCATAACTTTTTTAAACTTAAACATGATTAATAAGGAACTTTGTCACTTACATAAATAACGTACAAGCAAATACATAAAAATTCAAGGTGAAGTAAAATATGTCTCATTTATAATGCAACTTATGATCATATAATTAAGAGCAAAAAGTAGAAGAAATAAAACCAACCAGCAGGTAGCTCTCTAAAGCGGAGATACTCCATTGAACGTGTAGTCACAAGTGGTTTTTGGGGATAAAATAATCCATGAGCCAATGTATCCATTCTAACGTGATAGTTGGTAATGTACACTCCCATGGCTTGTTTACCCATAGCAGACTGATATGTGTTACGAGGTGACTACAAAGATGTTAAAAAATTTGGTTAACACATCTGAATAAATAATTGGCATTTATTTGAACATGTAGGTATATTGTTAAGTTTTAGACCGTAACCCAACATTACGTATACAATTTTCTGAAAAAACTCAATTGTAAAAGAAATCTTCATCTGATTTTAAAACCAGCATCAATTTCATAATGATGAATGAATAAAAAAAATGTAATGTGATGAACTTAAAATACTTTAGAAAGGCTTAAGAAAAACATTTTATATACATTCTAAGAGTCAATAGCATTTACTTTTATAAAACCATATTTCAAGCAATCCTTAAAATAATTATAACACCAAGTTAAGATGCAAATTCTTTAAAGTAACTGTGGCTCAGACTAATCAGGGGAGTTAATATATCCTTTTTTTTTAAACACTGCACATTTACCTGGTTGTGATCAGGGAAAGGAATGATGGAAGCACAGACTCCAAGAATCATAGCTGGATGGATTTCACAATGTGTATATGTTGAACAGTAGGAGACATCCTTGCCATCTTGCATGAAATCAGCAGGAGTCATTGCAAGCATGACGGTTTCTTCTTCTAACGGGTCTATGTATTCCACCACACCACTAGCCACCAAGTCTTGCCAGCTAAATGGGATAGTTTAAAAATACCAGTAGATAAGGCTCTCTTCTCCACTTCCATTATAAACACATTTAACATTAAAAATACAGTAAATTACAGAAGATTAAATTTGCTGCTGAGATAACACAACATTCTTCTTTATTCTTAATTGTAATGTTGGAAGGGATTTCCTCCAACACATTAAAGTATTATGTGTAAACTTGATATGCACTGTATTGGCCGTTAATTTCAACCTGCTTTTCTTTCTGTATTGCTTCCATAGCCTTCGTCCATCCAAGAACAAACTACACAGCAGTTATTTAATTTTGGAGTTTTCTCTCATAGATGTGTTGCTTACCCCAGCTATTGAGCCTTATCTGCGCGGGAGTTTGAACTCAGGAATACTACATTAATTACAACAGTTTTGTCTTATGCTTTAACTTAGAGTGTTCTTGATGGTTCAAAAGTTGCCCTTCTAAAAAAGACGTCGGTTAGAAGAAAATATGAAAAAGGGGACAGAAACCTATAATTGTTAAATTCTCTTTGTTTAAGCTGTTTGATGTGACTTTGTTTCAAAAGCATCTTTTGATTCTCAACAATAAGTAAAGGTCGACAGATTCTACCAGCATCTGTGTAAATGCGAATCTCTCTGTCAGCAAAATCACGGATCATTGAAACCTGAAAAAATTAAATCAGCATTAAATTATATTAGTTTCTAGCACATTAAAAAAATGTTTTGAATATATATTAAAATATTCAGTATGGTTTGACTAACAACCTTTTTTATAATATATATTTAAACATAAATATATAATATCTGCATATGGATACCTCAGAAACAATGACGTCCATTTCTCTCCTAAGTTTTCGAAGTGTACTCATTAGATGATCAGGATCTCTATGAATACCGACCCAACAACCATTCACAAATATTTTTGTGGCACTGAAATTTTAAAACAATAATAAATTATCTCTTAGTTGTACTTCTTTTTCAACAATGAATAACACAAATAATAGCCATGCAAGGAAATTTTAAATATTGAAAATACATACTCTTGAATGGCAGATGGTGCAACTTCTTCTAAATTTTCCATGCTCCATTCCTCCAAGAATTCAAGGATAGGTGAAGGTTGTGAACCAACAGAAATATATGCCATCAATGCCAAGTTCTTTACAAGACCAACAGCTGCACCCTAATAGAAATAGTAATTATATATTTATCAAAACATGTAACCTTTTTCAGTTTTACTGCAGATTCACATAAGAGACAGACAATCCAATTAGTTGTTTTTTTAATTTGTACCCCAACACTTGGATGTGGCTGATTCTAACAATTCTAAATCCAGAAAAATCTAAACACATACAACATGAAAACATGAACTTTAAATTATCACAATATATTCTGTATTATAAAAAATGCAAAATATATTTCAACAGATAAAATATACAAAAGCTGGCACAAATACAGCTAAAAGAATGAATTTATTAACTGATCAGTCAACTGTCAGAAGTAGTTTTTCCTAAGTTCTATAACCCTGCAAAAAAAAAGATTAAATATCTGCTCTTACTTCTGGTGTTTCAGCAGGACAAATCATTCCCCACTGTGTGTTGTGCAACTGTCTAGGGCGTGCCAGTTTGCCATCTCTACCAATAGGGGAATTGAGTCGACGTAAATGTGAAAGAGTAGATGCAAAGGTGAGTCTGTTTAGCACCTAAGGAGAAAAGAATAGTTTTGATATATTACAAGGTCATATACAATTCTGGTAAAAAAAAATATTGAAAAAAGTGAAAACTTGTCTTTGATTCACAATGCCACCAAACAAAAGAGATTTGAAATAAATTGAGTTTTTGCTGAGTTAATTATAGAATCATTTTTCATTTTTCTCAAATATTAGCTATTATTTTAACTTTTTTTTTTAAGTGCAGGACTATACTGTTCAGAGCACAAATGGAAATAAAACAATTATAAAACCTTTAAAATAGCTTTCGTGGCACCTAAAAAAAATTAACAATCATTGTCTTTAGCTATAATTATATTATAAAAATAGAACAGATGAAAACAATTTTTGCTTTATAAATCTTTTCAATACATTTTGTAACTTTATTTATTTTTTGCAAGATTTAACCACCCACAGACAGACATTGTGTGATCAAAGTTAAAGCTTGTAAATAAAAAACATCAAAGCTAACAATATTGAAATTGAAAGTGTCCTGAGCCAAGTGCTGTTTTGAAAATGATTTGAGACGAACTGAAAAACTAAGTACCTGAGAAACACCAGCTCGAGCCTGATGGGCCTTTTTTTGGTCCCCCCAATTCCCAGTTGCCAAAGAGTACTTGAGACCATCAGTAATGATTCTTGTTTTAATAGCTAATTCCATATTGAACTCTTTACCTCTGTCAATGAACTTCTGAGCATACATACGAACTTCTTTCATCAAATTCCGAAAAAGTCTAAATTGAAACAAAAATATAATTAAATTATGTCATGTATACATATATTTTTATTAATGGCGAATATAAAAAATGTCTTTAAACTTTTCATTTATAAATTTACAAAATAAAGATTTTACACACCCTCTAAAGAGAAAAGCTAATAGAGGACCAGCTAAATCCAATCTTTTATTGCCATAATGATCTCTGTCATCTACTTCACGTCTTCCAAGAGCAGCCAATAGTAATCTATGCACCATGTACCTGAGTGAAAAAAAGTAATATTATTAGAAAAAACTTTGGCACATTAAAAGGTATTTTTTTCCAATTATTATGGTTTTATCTTTATGTAAAAAAAAACATGAAAAAAAACTTTTTTTTTTCATCTTAAAATGTGTTATTCAAATTTTCAATTCTTTAAAATTTATTAAAAACATTTTTCATCGCTTATAGTAGAGTGATCGCTTGCATTATTGTGCAGTATAGCATTTATTTTCTACTTTTTAGTTCAATCAAAAAACGTGGGTTTTTTAAAACTTTTTTAATGATAATTATTTTCTACTTTTTAGTCTTTGTCTGTTTGTTTGCTTTAAAATCTTGCAATCGATTTTATCTTTTCGCATTCACTTTTTTTTGGGTAAACGAAGACAACTAGCAAAAAACACGTGCCTTGAACCCGTGTCGAGTGGGTTAGCAATCGTGTGCCCAACCACTCGACCATATCGTCTCCCCCATACTGGCCACCAGTTGTTACGTTCTGGTTGTTTGTACACAAACACCGCGTGACAACTACTCAGTAAGCAAAAAGAGGGAGAGTACCGAACCTTGTTTTCATCAAATTACAATTACTGGGTTATGTCCCTTTTTCCCCATGTTTTTTGTACAATTATATAGCGGTCTAAAATGATCAATAAAATGTTTCCATGGATCAATTTAGTAATAATAACAATTGAATATTCTATTGTCATCGGAAACAAAGCTTCCCTGAAAATTTCAGCGCGCTAGCTAACTGGGAAGTGCCAGAAATTTTGATCGCAAGATTTGATTGGAAAGACGCAAAAGCAAGTTAAAGAAAACGTGGGAAAAACAAATAATCTAAAGGAAATTACCCCAGAAAGTAAGCTTTTTTGGTCTCACAGAACTCACTCACACCAACATGAGGCAGCATTTCTTTTTGTAGAATTTCTCTAGCATACTTGATTCTTTTTTCTTTTGTCACACCAGGTTTAGCACCTCTGGCTCCGATAAAATTTAGGGCTACATTTTGCTCTTGTATTACAAAAGCCTCATCTAAAGATGGCTTTACCTTGTTTCAAGAAAGATATTTTGAATACATGTTATGAAACTATAGCTTTCACTATATCTTAAAACCAGGTTATTTGTGTTGTTTACAATAACAAAATTTTAAGTCACATTAAGTCTCCAAAATGCATTTTTGTTATGAGACATCATTTTATATGAATGTTTTGTACTTCTTTTTAACATTGTTAAATATTTAGAGTAAGAATAAATTATTCATACAAAATCTTACAAGTTTTTAGAAAACTAATCCATCCTCAAAATGAGTATGATTTTTTAAAATGCGAAAAATTTCTTACCATTTCCATCATTTCTGGATCATCAAAGTCATATATAATATGTTCCAAAATATCTCTATCTGACACAAATCCTAATGCCCTGAACACAATAATGATTGGAATCTCTTGTTTAATGTATGGCAAAATTGAAATTATACGTTGCCCTATAGCACTCTTTTTTGATCCCTGAAATATCAAAAAGTTTGATTTTTATTTCCAAGTTTGATTTTTTTTTATTTGAATAGAAATGCTAATGGAACAGGTATTATTAAAATTGTCATAAAACTATTTATATAGAATAAATATAAATATAAAATATGTTGATCTATAAGCCTTATATTGTACAATATTTGATCTGTCACTGTATTTTAAATTATTAGGAAATCTGAGATTGCAAAATTAATCCTTTTAAAATAGGAATATAATGTTAATGACCCACCTGACCTCCACGTGCCATCATGTTTACCCAAAGTGTACTAGTAGGACGAGATGAATGCTCAAGACAAGAACGAATTTCTGTTTTGAATGCATATTTAGAATCTTTCTGCTGAAATACATAAACTGAAAGCAAAAATAAATTGAGTGATTAATGACAGCTTTTAACTAAAAATATTTTAAAAGCATTTCAGAAAATATAAGATGTTAATTTTTTTTAAATGCTTGTAATTTTCTAGACAAAAAAGATTATACCTGTATTTGTGGCCATTTTTTCCTGTGCAATTAAAACTTTTTCAGAGCCATTAATTATAAAATAACCACCAGGATCCAAAGGACATTCATTTAACTCTGTTAAATCACGATCAGCAAGACCACTTAGCAGACAGTATGTTGATCGAAGCATGATGGGAATTTTGCCAATATATGTTTTTTGATGAGTTGTTTCTACTGGATCTTCACCTTCTTTGATAACAGTTTTAGTGATGTCCACATACAAAGGGGCAGAGTACCTATGGGTAAAATGTGCAACAAAATTTTTAAACCAGCTTGCTGGTTAGCAGAGGTGTGACAATATTTTAATTGTTCAGTAAGCTTTAGGAAGGTTTGGTATATCAAAATATAATTTATTTTAAATGAAACAAATTTCTGTGACATTTTAATAACACAAGGAAAAAACATTCTTGTGTTTTTTTTTCTCAACTTAATAAATGTTTGTTTTACATATTTAACATGATTCTTTAAATATACATAAAAAACAATCAACTTGTCACTTTGTAAGATTGTTCAATAGATTTATATGTTCTTAAGCCAATATGAAAGTAGGTAAAAATGGTGGAAGGATAAAAATGTTATCATAAATTAGATTTTTTTAAAATTTCATTCTGAATTTTCTTAACAATATTATAAACCACTGAAAACATACTTGCTAAAATATGAACATTGACAAAAGATTCAGAACAATCATATCTTTTGTTAAAAATAAAGAGGAGAACATTGTGATCCATTATTTTTTTTAATTTGATGCTTAAAATTAGATTTCAACTCAAAAAACTGCTCTGGAAATCAAATGGATTAAAACAACTAATTAAATTCTCTTACGTTAAATTACGCAATCGAGCTTCATTTGGCATCATAGGACTAGGTGCACCATCTTTTTCCCAGTGAGTTGGTTTAGACAAGTAAATCTGTTCAAACTTCAATACATATCTAGGCTGCAAACACAGAAAGGTACTGATATTTTTATACATCTTTAATTCAGTAATACTTATATTCAAGACCAAGTTAAAAAAAACTAAGCTATTTTAAAGTAGCAACCCTATAAAAAAGTGACTTGCTAGGTTATATTATAATGTTCATCTCAATTCATTTATGGCATGTACATCCAAGATGTTCATTACAAAAACAAAAACAATAGTGTGCCAGCTAATTTATTAGAAAAGCTAAGATGTAGAGTAGAGAAATAAACAGATTCATTAAAAGAAAACATTTAATTTTTAAAACCATGAAAAAAATTACTTGTTGGCCTAAAATTTATATGTGTAAAATGATTATAAAAAATATGTGTAAAAGCGATTTTTATTATTATTCTACATTTTTTAAGCTATTAGAGCTAATATTCTAATGACACTTTTATAGAAGGCTCTACAAAAACTACTTCACTAGGAGTATTTCTTTAAAATTATACGAACTGGTGTTTCGACTGTTCCAGAAGTATGTTGGGCTTCTGCTTGAAGGTCTATTGGGGGTGCATCCTCTACAATCCTTTGCACAGACATTTGAATAAATTCATCAAATGAATCAAGCTGTTGTCTGACCAGGCCTTTTTCATCAAAATATGAACTGATGACAATCCAACAAGCTTCTTGCCACAAATCCATGGTAATCTCATCACTCTCATCATCTTGATCATACATATCTGTTAGATAAGTCAAATTATATTAAACTAACATTTTCAATTTTTAGTATGTTCTAGTGTGCAAAATCTCTTTACAGTAACTGCTAATTCACCACCAGCTAACCACGCTAGTCTTCATTTTGGGCCCTAATTTATAATTTTTGTGCTTTATCTTTTAATCATTAATGACAATTATATTATTAAGTATCTATTACCAGTTAACTGGGAATAATTAGTCACATTAGGGCTACTCCCAGTAAGAACTGTAACCAAAAAAAAGTTAATAATAAAATCGGTTGAGTGGACAATGCAAGACTGTCACACTATACGTCCATCGGATTCTGACTTATTAATGGCAATTTGACAGCATTGTGACCTTCAAAAGTAATTAAGAATTACTACTGGCCTAATAAGAGTTCATTTAATAATTTATCACTTATGTTGAAGATAGGAACATGAACTTAAATCTTAATATATTTTCTTATGAAAATATAATACAACAGTACTGCTTTCTAAATCTACCTCCTTATGCAGCAGTGATAAATGTCATTGTTCATCTAATATATTATTCCCAGTTGTTCATTGCATGATTTTGAAATAATGACAGACTGGGAAGTGTCATAGTAGGAAGGGATATTCCCAGTTGACTAGGAATAGGCGTATCAAGGTAAATCCCACCCAACTGGATTTGTTTTAAAAAACAATTTTAAATACTTAGGCTTAAATATACTAATATAGGCCTAGTACTGAAGTAGTCTAAATAAAAAAATTACCTTTTTATTTTAGACCTAATTTGTAGTAATTGACAAAAGTATAAGGAAGCAAGTTAAATAAAAACTTGTAAAATAGTGGCTACCATAAGAAAATATTTTCAGAGTGGTTTACCTTTAATTTCTATTCGTATGTAAAGGTATTGATTTGTGATGTTAAATATGATTGTCTAGTTTTATGAAACAAATAATGACTTTTTATTAAATTTCCAACCTTTTTAAAATTTGCATTGACTGACAATGAGCATAGTTCTTGTGAGATGCAACTTTGATACATTTTAAAAAATCATGTTTTTTAAAGTACTGTTTATTTTAACACTACTACACAGCTAAAGTAAGCTATTCTTGTTGTTTAAATGTTTACAACTTGCATTGCAGGTTTAAGTGCTTCCTATCTTTCATTAGAGATGCAATCTTAACTGACATCTGTTTTTTGTTACTTCAGGAATGTTCTACAGTCACAAGTCTGAACCGAGATCTGAACTTGAGACCATTGGGCTAGCAACCAAATGCTCTATAATTTGATCCCTTGCCCCTTAGTTAGTGATGTCCTTAGTATGGTCACTCTCCACATCTCCACCTTTCACACAGATTTGGCTATCCCTTGTTGCCAAAATTTCAACACCCAATACCCAAATGAGGTTGTCTATAAATGATGCCACTTATGATATGGTATGGGAAGGAGTGACTTCAACTCTGGCGGATCTGCAATTTATGACATGTAGGCCTCATAAGAGGAAATGAATAGTGAAAAATGCTTAACTTCGTTGATGGAAAACCTTTATAATGCTATGTTCAATTAAAATAACAATAATTAAGGTTTGTTATAAGTTCAAAATGAATTATCATAACTCTTGCAAGCCTGCTAGCTTGAGAATTCTTATAAAATGTCCCTAACACATTATGACTGAATTGAATTGGCCCCAACATAATGAAAATACCTCTGACAATAACGCTCAAACAATCAGCCAAATGACTCTTTGACAAAAATGACATTCAACAAGATAAAATCTGCTGCAGGCAAAACATTATGTTTCACAAAATGGTGCATAACAAAAGCTCAACTCTCATAATTATATTAGATTGCAGACTTTAAGACAGGAGCTAATGTAATGCCAGAACTTTGTTTAGTAATGAGCTTAACGTGAATCAGTAGAGTCCTTGTCTAGTAGAGTATCAATAGGCTCACGCTTTGTATGATGCCATAATCACTTTTTAATTCAATTCCACATAACATGCAAAAATTTAGCAATGTTTTCCATCTTTGAGGAAAACATATTTTTTCTTGGACTTAAATTGAACTTTCATGTTGACTGTTTGACCTAATAATCAGCTTTTTATTATTGAATGTCAGTATTTATGTGACAAAACTGGGTTCAGAACTGTAATAGGGTTAATATAAATATAAATAAGAGTATTCTGAACGTTAATTGTGTTTTTAATGAAGCGCTGAGCACTCTGAAGAGCGAGCTGCCTGCCATATTGCCAACACACAAGCGCAATGTCTGTACATCTTAATCACAAACTTCTTCAGGAGATTAAGTGGCAGGAAAGTTTTATATTCTATATGGTGAGAGCTTAATGATCAATGCATATTTAGAGCCAAATGTCTCAACTTAAGACTGCAAGCTTGCAGAAATTACAATCACATACGCTTAAAGTCTAATGGATGAATGAGGGGCTGGGGCAAACTCAGCTTCACATCAATATCAAGTCTGTATGTCGATTGATGCAACGGGGGGGGGGGGGGGGGGGGGGGGGGTGTTATATTAGGCATACAAAGGGTCAATTCTAAATATCATCCCCACTTTTTTCCTTATAAAAGTCCATATGCGACCACAAAAGTCTGGGTTTTTTTCTGACCCCCACGTGTGGACGTCATAAATGGATGACCCCTAAAACTCCATTTTTGTGTGTTTCTGTTATGTTTATAATATTAATAAAATACACTCAACTGGAGGTGAACGTGAAGCTGGGAATAAATTATGGTAAAATCACGATATAGCGTCGGTTATTATTCCGGAACTGTACAGCAGTAAAAAAACAGTAAAACCATGGCGTAGTCTGTCGAGCCGTTCCGGAAACCACCGGAAATACTGTAAACCATCATTTATTTGCCGCCATATTATTTTTAATACACAATGTTTAGAAAGGTGCAAGGATTGATTTTAGTTGCATTTTAAACACTGTTTTTCTGATAATTTTGTATTTCTAATTATTTTAAGTGTATGTGCTAATTATTGCTGCTACTAAACGTTATTCTAGCTCTTCTTACTACTTTTATCTTTACTAACAGAACTAGATCTAGTTGTCGCAAATCTTCTCCCGGTTTTTTCTGCGTTTCTTAAAAAAAACGTTAATTACCACACTCGAATTTATTAATAATATTTAGATTTACTAATTGTTGCTAATTTTTTGTCAGTTTAACATTAAATTAAGTTAAAACATTAATTTAATGCACTTGACTTTATTTTTCTTTCAACGGTCTTTTAAACTATGGTTTACAGTAACGAATGTTACCGAAACTCAACGAACATTACCCAATAATTTCCGACGCTATATCGTGATTTTACCTAAATTATAAAATGGAGTTTTACCTTTAAGCCTTTAAACTTTAAGTTTAACTGACAGAAAAATTAAAAAACAAAAAAAAATTAGATCTAGATCTAGTCTAGATCTATTTCTGATTTCTTTCTTGGACTCTAGATCTAGATTCTAGATCTACTTTCTTACTAACTTCTACTCTTGACTTGACTTACATTTTACTTTACAGTTATAATGACCAGACTTACAGTAACAGTACAGTTGAACTTTTTTGTACAATAACAATTTTCAATTTTAACATAAATTCATAAATTGTCATAAATAAAAAATTATGATAAATGAATAAGCTTGGTTACCCTCATCCTGACCATACATTTTTCACCAAATATAGCAATAATACAAGACTATAAGATCAAGATTTAATCTAGAGTAGATAAAGATATAGTCTAGATCTAGATTTGATCTTGAATTCTACATCTAGATTCTAGCTTTCGATAATATTAATTTCACAAATCCAATTTTCACAAGCGTAAAAAAAAGTAGATCTAAGCTGTGGTCGTACTAAGAGACAAGTGGTCGACGAAATAATCAGAAAACTTGCATTGTTGTTGTTTTTTTTTAATTACTGACGCTTTATTCAGTGATGCCTGAAAGAAACTCTAATGTCTATTCATAATATTTAATAATAAATATAACAAATAAATTCTTTAAAAGTTATCCATCCATCCCTGTGCACATAAAGGCCTAAACTAAAGACTATAGTAATAGTAATAGTAGTCATAGACCCTGCAAGGGCCATTTTTTTTTTTTTATAGACACAGACTAAATATTTTGTGAAAGAAGAAAACAGCATGAGATGTCTAACATCAAGTGTTTCCACAAACTCTATATAACTAAGCTAAGGTTGGCTTTTATTCGTTTTCCTTTTTGGAAATATTATACCACCTTCACCCAGTGTTTTTTTGGTAGCAGTACCCCCCCCCCCCCCAGATCGCGGGATGTAACATATTGTTCCATAAAGTACATTTTGGAAAACTAAAATAGTCTACTTGCTGATGAAGATTGGGCTACTCATTAGTTTTATTTGCGGTAGGGGTGAGTGCCGGCGCCAGGTTATCTAACGCCCTAGGCAATAATTATTACAACGCACCCACCCCCTCAATTTTTTTTCGGGCCCCCATACTATATATATGTATGTATGTATTAGTAGAATATCTCACTAAATTTTTAATTATACCATTTGACCTATTTCATTGCAAAATATATCCATCATGAGACAACAAATAACACAGAGATAGGCTCAAACTCATTTCTGGCATGAAATAATCGAGTTCTAAAATATCCAATTTACGCCCGCCGAAAATTATGAATAGTATACTTTCTTATCTGGCAAGTAAGTCAAAAGAATATGAAACAAGGAAACTTGATATTTGTAAAGGTTTCCCGTGTTCGTTTTATTCGTATGTTGTTGTTTTGTTTTTTTATTTGTATTATTAAAATTTGAATTGATTTCTTTTTATACTTTATTCATTCGCCAGGATGCTTTATTTTAATAAAAAAATTAAGATAAAATATTTTTAATTTGCTTAGTACAAAACTATTTAAATTAGCTTTATCGGCACCCCTACTCGACTATTTTTAAAGAAGAGCAATAAGTCAAGGAAGTGGTTTAAAAATGTTTGCCTTTGTTTTTATGTAGTTTTTTCCACGCAACAGTGTGTGTTAGTTACTGTAGAACAATTACTGCTGCAGTCGATGTATTATTTTTACAAAACCACTAGTCTATCAAGGTGCAAAAACATTTTTGAAAACGGTTTTAATAAATTGTAATAGGAATCGATCAAAATACTCGATGTTGACAGAGTTCTGACAATATTTTGGAAAGATAGATTTTTAGAAAAATTTAACAGCAATTTTGAGGGGGGGGGGGGGGTTGTAGGCGGAGGTGTGACATCATTTTAGGGGGGGGCTGGCTTTTTGTGACAACGTGTGACGGAGGGGCGGGGGGAGTAAAAATCCTCAAAAAAGCGTGACGTCATTTATGGATGACCCCTAATGGCGATTACACATTTTGCGCCCCCTAGGTGACCGCCTATTTCACCTTAAAGGTAGCGCCGGCCCTGGGTATGCTAAAACTGACGATTAATACTTCAAGTAGCCATATTTCCCGAAAAAGATACATAGGCTATATACCTATATAGGCCAATATAAACCTCCTTGTCCCAACAAGTATGAACGGATCAACTGAACAATAACAACACATCGGTTCTCCCGTTACATTTATGCCATATACACGTGGATGGATGGATATGGGTATGTGTATAAGTATTCTTATATCGTTGTTTTGTTTTCTCTGAATGCATCCCCTTCCGACATAAAGGTCGAATTTATACACATGCCATTTTATCGAAATATTTTCCTAGTAATAAACGGAATTTTTATATTGTTTTGCATTATTTTTATTCTGGCATATCATTTGTTTTGTTTTTTTTTTTTTTTTTTTTTTTTTTTTTTTTTTTTAGCTTTACATGTTCAACCATGAAAACATTTTTCTTCTGTAATATTTGCTTTTTTTTTGTGGGCATTGGTTTTACCCCCTATATTATGGTGTCACCCAGTTTAGTCCGCACGCCCCGCCCCTCTCTCACGGCGCCTCTGGATATGTGTGTATGTATAGAGTCCTTGCAAACACGTGACCTAAATCACGTGATACCTACGCCCGCCGCCACAGTGGTGTACATCAGACGTAAACACAATCAGCTGTTCGCCAGCGCTGGACGTGTTCACCAGCGCTGGACGTGTTCACCGTATGTAAAGAATCGCGCCCGCGGAAAAGGAAAAATATGTTAAAAAACTTGAACTCTTAGGAATTGAAGATCCTTATACAGTTATTGACAGTTTCGTGGATAATATAAATATGTGGCCGAAATTTCTAAATAAAAATACTGTTAGTAATACCGTTTGCGTTTAGAGTTTAAGTAGACGAAGCTGATCAAATGCAGTAATATATTATAGGTTATCTACTGTAGCAAACGTGAGACCACTTAACTCCTACAAAACCCACACTACAACGGCTAATATAATCCATGGAATAACCAATCTGGGTAGCATGTTATACAATTTAAGACCCTTATAATCCAGCAGGGAAGTGATCAGACACATTAATACTGACGTTCAACCCTCACGATGGCTGCCCCCACCTGTATCTAGCCCACAATAAAACCAAAGAGGAGTCTGCCCTGCCCTCCCCTGAAAATGTCTCACCTCCTTGATACCCAGCCCCACAGAGATAGTATTTCTTATATAATTTTGACCCTCAGGGCCCAGCAGGGAGAACAAAAGGGAAAGTCCCACTGCTCTCCCATCAACGCTTCTCACCTCGGTGTCATGTTATGTCATTTATAGCACACACGGCTTATCAGGGGAAAGCATTAAGGCATTAAGAATCTTAACTCTGGACAGCTACACACTAGTATACTAGCTACACACTAGGTGCCTACTGTAAACTACTAGACTGTAGGCCCTATGTAGACCTGCAATTGTATCAATTGTAGACTGGGTCCATTGTTATTATTCTAAACCATCTCACTTATAATGTTTCTAGCTTGATTTGTTTCTTTTATAAACAGTGGATTTAAAAAAAAATTAGCCTAATCATTAACCAAATAATAATAATGTGGTTATTTGTTGTTGGCTGGTATGATCTAGATTGTACTACTAGGCTACAAAAACTTAGTAGACCAATTACTAGATATGAATTTGAATTTAATTAAACTCAGTCCAGTATCAGATACATATTGCTGTAAAAAGACAACAAAGTAGTTAGGCCTTAGTAATTTATTAAAGCCTTCTACTACAATAATATCAACTACATGCTTGTATAAAGTTTTTACAATTTAATTTAAGTAGCAGATTCTAGATCTAAGTCTAGTCATATAATCTATTTCAATTTCAGAAAATTTCGTTTGCTAAAAAAATGATTAGATAATACTAATAGAGCGAGATTTTAGATCTTAGAGACAATTAAATGCTTTATTAGGCCTATTATGACTACTTTTGATTTATTATGGGTGTATTTTGAATCGAATGTAGATCTAAAGTAATTAAATTTAAGTAAAGAAGTAGATTCTAGATTCTATGTCTACCCAGCGGAGCCAGGTATTAGGCCTACTATTAGATCTTATTATTCTTATTAGCCTATTACTTTTGACTTTGTCTTTTACTATATATTAGTATTTGTGAAGGTCGAGCATATTTGTTTTATTAATTATTAATAGTTATCTTTTATAATTAAAATGAAGTTTATTATTTTACTGTCCTTACCTGAAACAAAGTATCGAGAACTGCATTTGATCAGATTCGGCTACTTTAACTCTAAACGCAAACAGTATTACTAACAGTATTTTTATTTAGAAATTTTGTCCACATATTTATTTATACGAAACTGTCAATAACAGTATAAGGATCTTCAATTCCTAAGAGTTCACGTTTTTTAACGTATTTTTCCTTTTCCGCGGGTGCGGTTCTTTACATACAGTGAACGCGTCCAGCGCTGGTGAACACGTCCAGCGCTGGCGAACAGCTGATTGTGTTTACGTCTGATGTACACCACTGTGGCGGCGGGCGTAGGTATCACGAACGGACGTGACGTCATATGAAAGGACTCTATATGGCTCCATTTTGCACCGGAAGACACGTATTATCCAGAGATATAAAATCATTTGGGCGCATACGAGGGTTGTTAGTTGAAGGGATCATAGGTTGCTATGCATCATCACTCACTCGAACTTTGCTGGTATCGTCCAAAGGAATGCTTAGCAATACGTTTGGTACCAGCTTCGGTTGCAGGCGCTACCGAAGGGAAACCAGTGTTGGTAATCCTATCACCTAAAGGGCTTCGGTCCTTTTTTATTTGGAGTTTTTTCTCCTGAATGGGTTGCCTGTCCTCAGCTAACCAGCCTCATCTACTCAGCTAACGAGCCTCATCTACTCCAGAGTTTCTTCCAGGCATCTCTTCGGGGGGGCGAAGCCCCCCCGAAAATTTTTTACCGCCCCCCCCCCCCCCCCGAACGAAAGGAAATTTATATAATTTATATAGAAAATATATACTTTTAACAGTGTCCGCCCCCCCGAAGAAAGTTTACCGCCCCCCCGAAGATTTCAAGTGCCCCCCCGGAGAAAAAAGTCTGGAAGAAACACTGATCTACTCGGGAGTTCAAAAGTGTATTTTATACAATATTTGTTATTAAAATACATTTTTCTAATTAAAAATACGTAACAAAAACAACTGAGGTAGCATTTGGGGGGGGGGGGGCTGGAACAGATTAACGGCATTTCAAACCATTTGAGGTGCGAGCCATGTTACGGAAAGAATTAAATTCGTATATAGAGGTAACACTGTATTGACATCCAACTAAACGGACAAAGATATAGATTGTGAGCAGTGGCGGAACTAGAAAAAAGGCACCCCTATATATATATATATATATATATATATATATATATATATATATATATATATATATATATATATATATATATATATATATATATATATATATGTATATATATATATTCCCAATTCAGTAATTTAACCTATTTCATTTGCAAAGCAGATCTGTATCCATCGGGGGTCGAACGAGGAAGCAGAGACGTAGCGGCCCAATCCGGCGCCCGAGGCGAACTATCAACTTTGCGCAAAAAATAGCGCCAGCCCTGGCTGCCCTCCTTTCCCCCCCCCCCCCCCAGTTAGGAAAGGTCGGTGGCGCTTTTTACTATGTGATTTTTATGTTAATGTCAGACATTTTGATGTAGAAAACAGTTAAATAGGCCCGTAAAACGGAGTAATGGTCTATTTTCCATAACTTCGACTGTGTATAATTTAGTAATGCAGCTCAAAATAAGCTTTTTTATTTATTTTTCTACGCCCTCCCCGAGCTACGCCTCTGCAAGAAAGCTTGATTTGTGGTAATGGTTTCCCGTGTTCGTTTTATACCGCGTTTACACTTGCGACATGTATACTATACATTTCTAGGGAAAAAAACTTCGCAATAAGTGAGTAGGCTCCCCTATTTTCTTAGGCCCTTTAGCAGGGGTTCCCAACCCTGTGCCCGCGGGCGCCATGGCGCCCGCTGAACGATTTGTATGTGCCCGCCTCTCACTATTCGACAGAGACAGAATTTTTTTCATAAACATTATTTTAAAATATGATTTATTTTTATTCAATTGTTACAGTTTTAATTTTTTTGACTGCCTAGGTTTATTAAATATGTTCGATTCTTGTCCCAACTTGTCTAGCGGCGAGCCAGACTGCACTACTTACGCTAGCCTGGAACGCTAGTGCCATTTGCACATCACACCTTGTACACGCAGAAAACCCGAAGTGAACGAATGGAACGAACGCCACGAACTGATAATTTAAAGCTAAATTGGATTTGTTGATATCACATCTGCAGATCAATTCTCTCGTGCATTTCGCACATATGAAGAAAATGCTAGGCGACAATGAATTAAATGGGACATTATTTATAAAGCATCTTCAAGAGTTAAAAAAAACAGTTTGAAGAGAAATTTTTGCAGGTTAAACATATTTAGCCAATAGTTTCCTTCTGTATCAATCCTTTTACTTGCCAAATAAATGTTATGGAAATAGCCGCATAATGTGTTGCAGATTTTGTTCAAGGTAAGAAAGAAGAACTAGAGTTAGAAATTTTTCGGTTCGACATATTTATGCGAATCATTGTTTTCAAACATGAACTTAATAAAATCAAGATATAGATCTCGACTCACCGATGAGCATCTTTATGATTGTCTGCTAACAGGATTATCGTCATACGCTCCTAATTATGAAGCTCTGGCCAATGAAATGCAATGCCAAAGATCACATTGACTTTATTATATTTTTTAATTAAATGTTTTCTTTGTATTTATGTGTTTTGTTTACTTTCTTTACGTTTTGTAAATACATTTCTCTGTGTGTATGCAATTTGTAAAAAATGCCAAAAATTGTTATTATTTTGAAACATTTTTGTTTATTATTTATTAAGACATTATAACTATAAGAACATAAAAAAAATAAGAAAATAAATTATGGGAAAATGTCTAGTTATGGAAGGAGTTTGTCGATTTAAAATAGATGGTGCCCGCCACCCTACCGATATTTTAGAATGTGCTCTAGAGTAAAAAAGGTTGGGAACCCCTGCACTATAGTTTTTTTTCTCTAGACATGTATAGTATACATGTCACAAGTGTAAACGCGGTATTATTCTTAAACCGCGTTTACACTTCCGACATGTATACTATACATGTCTAGAAAAAAAAATTCGCTATAGGGCCTAAGATAATAAGGGAGCCTACTCGCTTATTGCGAAGTTGTTTTTTTTTTCTAGACATGTATAGTATACATGTCGCAAGTGTAAACGCGGTATTATGTTTATTTTTTGTATTTATATTGTTAATTTTGAAAAAAAAATTCCTTTTTAAAGCTATGTTATTCTTTAGTATGTCTTATTTAAATAATAATTAAGAGAAGCATTTTTTTATTAATTTGCTTAGTATAAAACTATTTAAACAGGATGCGCACCCTTATTAGACTATTTGAAGGAGAGTAATAATGTATTGATCGGATGCTAGCCCCACTCCCACCACTTATCCATTGCAGGGTTCTGGCGATATGGTAGTTCCACCCCTGATTGAGAGGGATTTGCTAGTCGCAGAAACCTTCTCAGGAGTATTTTCATAACTCCCCACGTTTCATGGTACTCCTCCAATGAAAGAGTGTAGAACCGCATCCGACTTTTATTTGTATGTACCATACAGAAAAATCGCATCGCACCCTGCCTAGGCGCCTCCCATGCGAAATTGTACTATTTTTTTTTACAGAATTTTAAACCCTTCCAGGAATATTCTCAACAGCTTCCTAAAGTTTCATGGCGATCAGATGAAAGATGTAGTAATGCGTAAATGACAAACCTACATACATTATACATACATAATATCTTTAGCGCGGGGGTTTAGGGAGAAGATTTGTTTTATATATGAATCTAACCGTTACAGCACCAATTAAATTCGAATATAAAATTCTTAGGGTCATATAGGGCCCATAATATGGGTCCTATGAAACACATTGTCAAAGATAAAATCCGCATTACAGAGGCGTAGCGACCCTTCCCGGAGCCCGGGGACAAACTTTTCGATTTGCACCCCCCCCCCCTCGTGATTTCGATTTGCACCCCCCCCCCCCTCAAACTTTCGATTTGCAACCCCCCCCCCCCCCTCTCGTGATTTCGATTTGCACCCCCCCCCCTCAAACTTTCAATTTGCACCCCCCTCAACCTTTCAATTTATTTTCGCAAACCATTTTGGCGCCCCCTAAATTCTAAATGTCCCCCCCCCCCCTCGCTACGTTACTGCCGCATTAAGTTTTTATCACACACTAGGTATGTTTCTATAGTATTTAGTTTTATTATAGTTGGAAGCCTATTTATAGATATTTTAAAACTACGACTGTTGTGTTGTTTTTTGTCCATAGAGATCTATATAATATAGATCTAGATCAAGATAATAGATCTTATCTAGATCTAGATTAGGTTCTAGAGGTTTGAAGCATACAAATCGTGAGACGTATTTTTTGAGTGGAATAATAAATACACAGTTATGTCGTAAGTTGCACGGTGAGTTTCCCGTTTCAACATTGTTATTTTCTTCCTGTGCTGTCGAAATCAACAAACACATTTTGTGATTGTGCAATAATTAATTTTTTTGAGCGACCGAACAGATTCGGAAGCTTATAGATATTGATTTAGGAAATAATCTATTAAAACTGGTATAGTATATTTATGTAATAAAAAAATGTATTCGTTTATTCACTTTATTAAATTATAGATCTCTACATCTAAATATAACATCACAGTGCAATATAATTAGATCTATATCTAGTGTATAATAAATGAATCTAGATCTAGTAAGGTCTGGATCGAGGTCTAGATCTAGATAGATTTAGATCTATATTCATTGTATTGTAGTGGGGTCCTATAATACTATAAAAAGATTCTTGCCAACAGACAGTCATTGCATAAATGATGCATTTATTATCGTGAGGCTAAATTTTTATCTTTGTAAAACTTCTAGTGCCAAGCAAAATCAAATTTCATTTGTAATAATTAATTATATTAGTGTTATCGCAGGAGTAACGGTATTTATTTGAAATTAAAAGTGTTAATGAATTTTAGTAAACTAGGTTCAACCTTTTATTCACCAATAAAAAAATAGTCTTCTTTTTAAATTTCACTATTCGACTAGTTAGATTGTGTCCCCTGAATCCATTATAGGCCCCTATACTGCGTTAATCTAGTCAAAAGTTATTTGCTTAAGCCTAGGATAACGTAAACGTAGTTTTTTCTTTTAGTTTTATCGGAATATAACCTAATCTAATATTTTAAAAAGTTAAACAAATAAACAAAGTAGGGCCTACATTGCCTGAGGTCCTAAAAATAGTAAAATAGGTCAAAGAGAAAAAGTGCAACCAAGGGAAGCAACTCTTATAATGCAATCTTTACATTTTATGTAGGCTAATGGTTGCAGTACTCTAATCCAAATCTAGATCTAGATTCTAGATTGAATGTGAAATTGAATGTGAAAGTCTAAGCTTCCTTAAAAAAACGTCAGTATCTGCAACTAAATTCTGGGAGTACTATTATAATACTAGACTATATAATAGTTATAATATAGTGTCCTAAGATAGACTCTTCGGAAGTAATTTTTAGATCTAAAATCAGGCCTATCCTCACTAACAAATATTTTTATATTGACAAATAACAAACAAGTTGACTTATATTTTTTAAATTTATAGATCTATATCGTAAGTTAGTAGACCGTAAAGTCAGAGTGTACTCAGTGTAGCACTGTAGAGACTCACTTATACTTACTTAATAGTATAATACTACACTTATACTTATTATACTACTAAGTACTAATAGTCTAAGATAATAGACTAATATTAGGCCTTCTAACTAGATCAAGATTCTAGAGTATCTACTCTAGAGACTAGATCTAGACCAGGGGTCTCCAAACTTTTTAGTCCGAGGGCCCCATTCATTAACTATTAAATTTCAGTTCGTGGGCCAGTTTTTCCAGACATGTCTTTGATTTTTCTGGACAAAGTTCCTCAGCCATCACCAACACACGATTTTTCCTTGGACAAAAAGATCTCCGCCGGCTGGATGAGAGGATTTCGCGGGCCTTTCTTTCTTTAATAAAAGCTTTGGTAGCTAAAATATAAATAAATAATTAAATGATAGGCCTATCTACTATCTATGTATTATGTAAGTGTTCTGGCTTTTGGTGACACCATGTAATGTTATTGAGAGGGGGGGGGGATGTGGTAAAAGTCATTAAAAATTGTGATGTCATTTGGGTTTAGTTTACACACTGAGCTGGATTTATTTTTAAAAAATAAGAGCACTGCCATCTTAACTTTACTTTTTCTATGTAAAATAATAGTTAAATGTTTGTTTTAAAATGTAAGTGCTATGATGTTAAATTCAATATGTGGATGTCCACATGGACACAAACTCCTCCCTTCCAGTCCACAAAAACTGATATTTTTTATTGCTCCCTCCTCTGTGTGGATGTCATAAATGGATGAACTATTAAGTAGCCGTGGGGCGAGTGTGTCACTTGAAGTATTGTAGACTTTATTATTAGTGTAGCTGGTAGGAAGGCTTGTGTGTAGGTCATAGAATAACTTCATAATAAAGTCACATTAATTATTAGTAAACATGTCACCAAACTTAAGTTGATATCTTTGCTAAGTAAGTAGTTAAACGCTCTTCGACCCTGGGTCCGTAGAGGCCCTATTATACAGCAAATTTATTCAAAATAACTTATAGCAAATCCACTTTAAAAAGTCATAATTCATAATTTGTGAATTCAATCCTACAACTGACATTACAACTATTAATTAAAATCATATAGCCATTATCATTTTCCATCTTTAATAGTTGACAGTAGTGTCTTACAGTAAAACAAGATTGAATGTGCAGGTGTATAACTGTGTTCAACTACCTTTTGATTATTCTTAATTTTTTTTTTTATGTATAACTATTTGCTTTTTCAAAAAAGGAGTGCATAATTTAAGTAGAGCAGTGCAATTAATTTTCTCAATATGATATAACTAGTAAGTTTTTGAATTGTTGCCCTTGAATTCTTTTTTTTAAGTAACCTTTTATTTTATAATTTGTACATTTTCAGGCATGGCATCAGTTTATAGTCAAGGTATTTTGGGTGTGAAGTCACCTGAAAATTGTGGTAAATAATCTAAAAGTTTTTTTTTTTTAAATTAACCCAAAGTCCTGAAGTTAAATGTTAACATTTTATAATGTCATGGATTGTGCACATATAAAATTACACAAAAGGGATAAAGAAGTGGCATTCAGAGGCGTAGCGATGGGGGGGGCAGGGGGGGGCATATGTCCCCGGGCGCCGACCTAAGGGGGCGCCAAAATGGGTTGGAAAAGGTAATCGAAAGTTTGAGGAGGGGTGCAAATCGAAAGTTTGTCCCTGGGCGCCGGGAAGGGTACGCCTCTGGTGGCATTCTTTTCATTTTATATATGGAGGGGAATGGTATAATTTTTTATAAATTGTCTTTGGTTTTCATCTTTCATCTGATCTTTTCCAGTTGGGGCAGATGAAGTAGAGTTCATCTGTTTCAATAACCTCGGCATAAATAGAGGATAATGTGGTCAGCACTATGCCCAGCTGCCTTGTTTCCCTCACAACAGAGTTGGGTGGACTCAGGGATGTCCTACAGTCCCAAGTCTGAAACATGATCCAAACTCCAGACCTTTGGGCTTGCCACCCCATGCCTCATTCTTATTTTCTCAAAATGTCTGTATTTTAGTAAGTTTGAAAGAATATGTTTACACCTGTGGTTTAGAGGAGGTGTAAGGAATAGGTCACCAAATGTAGTCCTTTAAAAAAATCTATTTTGCATTTAAATAAAATTCTAGACTCTTAAAAAAAACATTTTTTTCTTAGCTGTTCCATTTTTGCCCAATATAGTTAGCTTGCATTAAATGTCCGTAATAGCAAATAGCAACACAAGCAATGTCTTGTTATATTATGTGGCCTCAAATATTCCTTTTCTACATCTCCATCCTCAGCAACACAAGCAATGTCTTATATGTGGCCTCAGATATATTCATTTCTAAATCTGCATCCTCATCCACTTACCTTTCACATCTTGTTCAACATCATTCATTTCTATACAAGTCTCTAAATAAGTATCAGTAAAAAGGCCCACATTTTACATTTTAAAAATCATGCATGATTTTATTAAAATAAATACGGTTATCAAAATATGACCGGTTGTTTACAATTTGTCATGGAAAATGTACATAAATATGACATAACTAGGCTTTGCAGTTTTAAAATATATGTTTTTTAATTCTATCAGCAAAGTTTTAAGAACTAAATCTGATAAAATGGGGTTTTCAGAAGATCAAGTACAGAGTTTCAATGCTTGTCTTACGAAAGTGACACTTCAGATTACAATTTAGGCTTGATGAAATAAATAGTAATATTGCCTAAAATACAAAAGATTAATTTCAAGTTCTCTGCTTTTGCAAATGTTAAATTGTTTAAGCTTTTTCAAGTTTAAGTTTTTAATTAATTTATTTTTTATGGCTGTTATGAAGGCAAAATGGACACCAGCGAGAAAAGTCTCAAAGGTATTTGAGAGGTGTATAAATTCATTTAAAAATCATGCACCGCGTAGTTACAATTAATATGGTTATAAAATCCTGCCTGTCTGCTTTTTTTCGGACTTTACCAAAGATTGGATGTATTTGATGTTTATAATATTTTCGGTAACTAAATAAAAATTTAAAAAAAAGCAAAAACAATTTGGTTTTCACGTGTAATGGCGACATAAACAATGGCATCCTGCTATTGGATAGGCCGCCATAGATTTTATTGTACACATTGTAAGCTAAAAATAGAAAACTAGGTCATGGGGTTTTAAATTTGCATTGTTATTTTAAAACTTGATCTGCAAAGTTTTGTAAACAAATAGTTATCGATCACTAAGTTGCTGTACAGCCAATCAATATTTGTCTTACGAAAGTGAAACATCCGGTTATAACTTAGGCTTGATGAAAATAAATAGAAATGTAGCCTTAAACTCAACAAATTATTTTCAAGTTCTCCGGATTTGCAACTTTTATAGCATTTATTCTAAAAATATAAAATTTCTAAATTAATTTTAGGCTTAAGTTTTTATTTTTTATTTTTTTTTACGGTCTAAATCTAAAAAGCACGTTTTTATTCCATGTCAACAACATTATGGAAGGAATCTCGTCAACTCGCTGGTGTCCATTGAAAAAACAAGATTTGTATCAACAATAATCATGAAAGGGTTCTAGTCAACTTGTTGATGTTCATTGATCTGAATTGTCATTGCCCATCATGTTGAAATAAAGATCTGAGTCATTAGAAGCCAGACAAAGATAAAGTTGATAGATCGATATTGATATTTAAAATTCATTGAAATGTGAATATTTTAATCAAATAAGAGACTACTCCCATTGAAGTTTTGTTATTTTTAGCATACTTAGGTCTATTTCTCCCACTTAAACATTCCTCTGTAGTATCCTCTTCACATGTTTTCCTATTATCTTAAGATATGGCTTTACAATTGTTATAACCAAGCAAAATCAGATCTAACAAGAAATTTTGTTTAAAATGAAGTGATTTTCTGATTATAAATATCCAAATATTTTTGTCATAATGTCATTTGTAAGGAAGGGGGGGGGGAATACTTTAGAGTAATAACAAATTGCAATGGTTGTTGGTCTTTAAGACTTAGATGGTTGGATAAGAAATGTAACCTTTTTGTGTAAATATTATGTGCATCATCCCTTACCACTGTTAATTATGCAGAAATTTATAAAGAAAGTTTCATTTGCAGATATTGGTACCTATCACATTATTATTGGAAATAGAAGTTCAAGAGACACACCTCATTCATAATATTCTTGATTTTTTTTTAGTATTTCACATTTAGAAGTTTAATCTGAGTAACAACTTATTAACAAATCAAAACTTAAAGCACACAATGCATTACTTCATTAAAGAATGTATGTATTAAGGAGATATAGTACTAATATTTAAATCTATTTAAATTACAAAATACTTTAATAAAAAAATTTTTGAGGCAGGAAGAACTTGTTTCCAGAATTATTTACTGAGCATTGAAAAGTCCAAAAAATGTATGATTGTTTATGGTTGTTCTTTGAACTATTTTTAATTAATTTTAATGGTTATTTCCTTATTTTAAAAATTTCTAGGCTGTCAGGAGCTTTTATCAAAAATCACTCTTGTGCATTATGGCTGGCTTCGTAAAAAGTCCTTAAGAAATAAAATACAACTAAATATTTTTAATTGTAAGTATTTCATACAGAATGTTGTTTATATATATGTTTATATATATGTATATATATATGTATATATATATATGTGTATGTATATATATATATATATATATATATATATATATATATATATATATATATATATATATATAACCTATGTATATATGTATGTATATTCTTATAGCTTTTTTTTGCATGTTTAATTCCCATTTATTCATCACAAAGCATTTTTTTTAATGGCATATTTTCTAAAGTGACTTTTTAGAGAAAAGGAAGTGGTTCAATATAGAAAAAGCTGGGCATTTAAACATTTATAAGCAGGTCAATGCAAACATTATGCTAAATACAAATTCTTGTTGTTTATAAGGGTCTACACTGTTTTCACTCATAACATTTTAAAATAATTTTTTTCTGATTTTTAAAACCTTTAAATATTAGGGCCACAACTCTATGTTGTTCTTGGAGAGAGGTGTCTGTACTATTTCAGTAATGAAATGTCTAAAAAACCAAAAGGAGCTATATCTCTTTATGGCTACAATAGGTAAGAATAACGAATAGCTTAGCTTTATCTTTTTTATCTGATACAATTTAAGTTGTAATCGACCCACATGTTTGTTCAAACCATTTTTATTTTGTGATTCTTCTATTTGGTGACAATCTACGTTAACTTCACATGTAGCCGCTAGGGTTTGTGTCTGAAGATTTTCAACCTCTGTAACTTACTGGTAAAATAAATGCTACAATTAGCTTTCCTCTGTACCTATTTAATGCCAAGTCATTAATCAAATTCTTCAGGCAATTGATTAATTTAATCTCAGTTCACACAGTAATAATATCTAAATAAGTAACCCGCCACATTATTCAACAGAATTCTAAGAGCATTGGATATAAAGTCACAAGAAGCTCCCTGGGCTTTTAAAGTAGAGCATATTCAGCCAGATGTAAAATCAATATATTTTTCTGCCTCTTCTGAAAGGGAAATGGTTGTAAGTATTTTTTTGACAAATGTTTTTTTGTATGCCTCCGTGCAGATATATCCGCTAATTATTTTTAATTTTTCCAGACATGGATGAAAGCAATCAAAGGTGAAATGCTACTTGCTAACAATATTAGCTCAAGGTAGGCCTCTTAAAATTAATTTTTAAAATTTACAAAAAAAAATTTGCTCTAGAATAATAATTTACAAATATTTTCAGCTGAACTATTTTATAACACACACAGATCTGTGTTCTGTTGAAAAATTTTTGAACTATTACACAAATATTTTATTATGATTTTAAAATATTGAACACAAATTTTATCATTTAAGAAATTGTTTTAGTTTAATAAATGTGATGTTTGAAAATTTTCTGTAACCCAGAAGGAAATACATTTGAAAATATTAAAATGCTGTGGTGTTCAGTACAAAAACAAATTAAATACAACCAACAATTAGGCAAGGTTTTCTTTAAATTTGTGCTTATCTGTAGTTTATATGAGTGCCTTGTTCAATTAATTTTCTGTTCGAGTTAATAAAATTTTCCACAAATTACACTTTTCATGAGAGCCTTAGATGTATATATTGAACTAAACAGACCTATACATATATACAAAACTATGCATACCATTGTTACAAAAATATTTTACTCATATAAAGCTGCTAACAATCATTACCAAATCTGAAAAAGTAGAGAATTATATTGATTATACTGAATATTTTTTATGTATGGTGGCATCAACCGAGAATAATCTCAAAGGGAGATTAAAAATTTAAAAATCTTGAGCAGTATTATAAAATTTTGAAAGTGTGTTTTATTGTTACTTTTCTACACATTGGACTAACCTGTTATCAGTATCTTTGGTAAGAAGAAACCTTTTAAAAACAAAATTGATCAAACACATTTTTGATCCCCATCAATAATGATATTGATATGTTCCCTTTCTGTCTACTGGTCTGATGCCATCATTATTGTTGTTATTATTATTTTTGATTTAAATAACATTTGAAATGGTTTTTTTGTAAAGATCTACACGACATGATGTAAGTTAAAACAATCAAGCATCCTCATTATGACCATTTTTATGTTGTGAATCTATCAAACTAATACAATCTCTGAATTTAGCACACATCTCTGTTGTAATTGATTCCTTTAATTTGGTACAATCAAGGTCTAGTTGCACACTGTTTTGCTTTGATGTGGATCATTTTAAAGTGTGTTACTGTTTTAGTATTAAATGTTTACTTTTATGATTATTCTTGTTTCATATTAAAGACTGGTTGATGCCTAATTTATTCTTTGAACTCTTTTGTTAATTAATTTTTTTGCATGTGACACTAAAACTTAGATGGTGGTTGACATTATTCCTGTCTTAGTTAATTGATAAAAATTTAAGTAAAACACTTATTTTTTAGTATAAGTGAGTCTCTACACTATTAATCAAAGTATTTTAAAAGTATGCATTTATTTAAAAATAAAATATGTGTAGGTTTTTGCTAACTTTCAGCAGGTACATATGTAGGCCCTACAATAAAATATTCTGTTTTCAATACATAACCATTGACAGGAAAGGTTAAATTGCTTGCTATTTAAAAAATTGAAATTGATAAACCTAAAACATCTTTATATAGTCTTTAAATTTATCAGCAGAAATTATTGAAAAAGGAATTGACACAAAATTCTTGGCCTTTCCTATTTTTACAGCTAATTGCTCACTAGGTTTACTTTAAAACTGTAAAACTTTCAAGCTAAAAAAGTAATAGTTCATTATCCTGTATAATGCATTTTATTTCTGACCCCAGCTTATCTATTACCAGGTTTATATCAACTATTTAAGGGTTCATTAATAGAAAGGCTCTTCCTCCATTGCATGATTGCAACATGCACTATCAATCTTTGGATTAATGGCATTTCACTTGTTTGTTGCATGGCAAAATGCAAAGTTTGTTTCAAATCAAGATGTCACTTAACCACTATTAATCTTACTATACATTATTAAGAATGTTTCTTTTTTTATTCAATAAAAAAGGCAAACCTTTAATTTTGAAACCTAGTTATAAAGAGATTAATAAGTCAATTTGATCATTATAAATAAAGAGATCATCTAAGCACAAAAAAGTTGAGACACATTCTACTTTTTAGCTTTAAATAACTTAATGAATGTACATTTTTTATATATTCATAAAACTTAAAATAAAGTAATAACAAGACTAGTATTGATTACTGTTCTATTCTTTTAGTAATTACTCATCTAATCAACAAAGAGATGTCAAAAGACCATCTTCAGATAATGTGTCCTTAGCATCAGATAGTTCATGGGGCTCTGCAGATTACACAGACTTGGAATCAGCAGTATATTCAATGGCAAAAGATGAAAGACGCTCTCTTTACTGGGACAGTGGTTCTTCAAATGGTTAGTCTGATTTTGTTTCACAACCACAAAATGTCTGGTTTAAAAGATTTTCTTACTGTTAATGTGACTTTTACTACAAACATAGGCGCCTTAGTGCTCACTAGAAAAAAAGGATTGCATAGATGGCATCCTACCGGGCACTTGCAATTTGTTTTTGCAGCAACCTCCTCGAGGGTTATTCTCAACAGCTTCCCATAGTTTCATAGCAAAAAAACAGAAGAAAGGTGTAGTAATGCATAAAGGACAAACAAACAAACATACTTTTCATTTATATATATATATATATATATATATATATATATATATATATATATATATATATATATATATATATATATATATATATATAATCTTAACTTTGATAATCTCACAGATCAAAGCAATCAAGGCTTTAAAAGAAATGTGGTCTCAGAATCTTACAGTACAGTTTCAGAGAATAAAGCTGTGCCTGCCTTGCCAGTGAGATCTCCTATTAAAAAAGGTAAACCTAAAATGTAACATTTATTACATTAAAACAGATATTTTGTTATGAAATTAAAAGTAGTTACTGTTATTTAGACTTCTAAAGATAATCATATAAGCTATCATTATCTTTTTTTTAAACAATACATTTAAAAATAAAATTTTGCGGCAGCTTATAATTACTGGGAACAGCTATTGTATTATTATATAGCTTCTCTTCAAACTACTGTTATAGTTCTATTACTCTAATTTTATTATTATTGCATTATATCAGTAAAGTTGAAATATAAAAAAAAGACATTCTACAACTAGAATTATAATTATAGTTGGCTCCCCTTCAACTCATTCTTCTTGTTAGGCAATACTGAAAGTTTGTGAACACTGTATGTGTAATAGAAAGTGTTTCTTTTTTTCAATTAGATGATGCTGTGTACAGCCTACAGAAATTGCCACCAGATTCAGTAAGCTAATACCTGAAAAAGTGTTTTGAAATAAATTAAATCAATATATATCTATATATATAGGCCTATAAATATATGTATATGTGTGTGTGTATGTATGTATGTACATAAGTATTGATATCTATATGTATTTATATGTACAAATGTTCTTGTTTACATTTAATTTTGTTTATCTCGTATATTGTTTCTAAATATAAAGCTGTAGTTTTGAATATGTTCAAACTAAGCTTAGTGGTTTTTCCCAGAATTATACAGATTCTAAAGCTGAACGTTATTGGCCATCAGTTCATTTTGATGGTAGCAGATCAAGTGCTGCTCAGTATGTATGACTAAAATATATTTTTTGCTTTATTATGATCTACATTCATAAATCTTTAGCCTTTTATATATTTTTTACACTTATCACTATTTTCAAAATATGTGGAATAATTTTTTTTTCAGAATTATAGGTGACATCGCAGAAAATGGTGTGTACTTAGTAAGAAAAAGTGACGACAACTCAGTAAGTGTACATATACACAAAAACATAGGGAATCACAAAAAAACATACAAATTTTTTACAATAAATTGTAATTCAACCTTTTTAGTAATTTCTGTTTCAACTAAATCAAAAATCAAATCTTTGTTCTTATACTTGTTCAAGGAGAGATTTATTTATCAAATGAGATACTTAAAGAAACATTCATTTCTTGAAACTTGTTTTTCTCATTGATTCACCAAAATACTTTAAATATATTTTTGTAGCCTGTTGTGGTGGTTTATGCTGATGGTGATTTAAAAAAGTTCAAGATTGTAAACAAGGTTAGCTTAATGTACTTCCAATTAACAAACATGACCAGTGATCATATAAATTGTCTTACCTTTGAACATTTTTAATAATACAGTTTTCTAGAAACTGAAGAAGTCGAGTTATACTAATAAAAATTATGTTTTATTTCTATTGGAGTTTGAAAAAGTAATGTCATAGACAACTGCTAGTAGTGATAAGAAATTTACCTACGTATTTACTTATGTAGGCCTACAAGTAGCCCCCACCCCTCCTCCACCCAAGCACAATATATGAAAGAAACACTGAAGGATAGAATATTTTGTTGGAGTCTTGCGTTGTATTTTTTAATTATTTAGAATAGATTTTTATGTTGCATTATCTTCTTTAACTATTTATGACTAGATGTGTAGGCATGTTGATTTTAATGTTGCTTTATTTTTTTTTACAGAATAATGGAAAATTATCCATCTCACCTAATGATGGCCCTGACTTTGATGATTTGGAGGATCTTCTCTACTATTATTATTTTAACGATCTTCCAGGAAAAGCTGGAAAGCTTGTTACTCCATTCAGTTTGCATCCCACTTACAATGTACATAAATAATTAATACTATGATAATCTTTTCATTTTTTATAAGATGTATTTTCCATTTTATCACTTGGTGCTGAACTGTTGAATTTATTAATTAGACTAGAATATATTTTTGTATTTCTGTTGCAGTTTTTTATGCTAGTAAGCTTTTGTTTTATACTATGTCATTTGGATATCTCAATTGGGGCAGTGATATTTGAAGAACCCACCCCAAAAAGTTGGTGCTGTGTTACTAATGCTGTTGATGGCTGTCTGCTTGAAGTAAAAATTTGAAAAAACCTTTCATACTTTATAAAATTATATTATTAAACATACAATATATTTTTTCATTATTCAAACAACTTCTGCAGACATAAATGAACATGTAAATATATTAAATTAAGCTTATACATGCAAGTTACATTTTAAGATATATTTTTTTAAATTATATTGTAAAATATATGTGTACAGTTTAGTCATTTCTTTAGTTTTGTAAATCAAATGTGTAAAATTAAATTTTATATTAAATGACGTGCACGTGTATTTATTTAACTAAGAATTATATTGAAATTATGGAGATTGGAATGAATTTTAATTTGGGTTGTGGATTAATGGATAGTTATACCTACAAATGTGTATAGCTATTTTCAACTTCAAAGGAAGCATTTAAGCTTCTTGTAATGTGTAACAGCAATAAGAAGCTTGGCGAATAAGTTGTTTTAAATTAAAAGTCTAAGTACAGTGATACCTCTAAGAGCAAATGTAGTATGTACCAGAGGCCTATTTATTATACATCTATAATGAGTTCCGTCTAGAATTATAGTTAAAATTCCTCTCTTTTAAAAAAAGGGGGTAGGGGTGGGGTAAATACTACACTGCATGGAACAACACCAAAGCGGGTATTAGGCTATAGGAATGTGCTAACGATAAGAGATAGGGGGTGGTGGGAAGTTACACGCATACACACTCCCTTATTGTTTTGCCGGACATGGTTTTTCCCCATTTTGTTCCCCTGGTCAGTCTCTTCTTTCCCCCCCCCCCTCCCCCAGATCTGAAAGAAACAGCGTGGTCGGTGTCAGAACACGATAATAATAGATTAGCAAGTTTTGATTCAAAATAACTGGGCTGGTCTTCAGGTGACGCTTGAGGTTTTTTTGTTTGGCACTGGTTAGAAGTGCTAGTACAAAGTGGCAAGCATCCTCTTCTTCGTGAGGTTTATTCTTATCATTGAACAAGTTCGCCATATTGTTCACACCTCAAAGAAAACGTTTGATCACCTGATTTCTTCAGAGATTCATTCACCGCGTTAGTGTGCAAGGCGCCTTTTTTTCCTTCATATCATACCGACACTTTCTCCTAGGCATCTTTATGTTCTTAAAAATAGGAGGTAAAATCCTTCCACTGTTTGTCGCTATGCCTCGCAATCAATTGCCATCAATATTTTCATCGATGTCCATCTGCTACTCCCTCACTTTCAAAACAATGTTGGAGCCGACTCTCACTGAACAGTCTTGGTGCCTGCAGTAAGTCAACAACAGAACAGGAGAGATGAACACGGGGCATGTTTAAAACAGCATCAACCCTTACATGACAGACTCAAAACAAGCATTAAAACTGACGGCCTTATAGATAGAAAAGGTAGAGTGAATCGCCAGAACAAATGGGATTTTCGAGTCCACCATTCTACACGTCACTAATTGGCCTCTAGTGCTAATCGTCAAATGATTCTGTTTTAGTTTACATTATTGATAAATCTGAGTGATTAGCAAATTTGATTAGATCTATATCCGTAATAATGTTACTCCCAGAAAGATGGGGGGAAAAAACAACAATAGAAACATAACCACTAAACGACTTGGCGTTATTATTCTTAATTTTTATCCCTTTTCGACAAAATTACCACATTTGGCTCACTACAATTGATCCCTGTCAATTGGCTTCCTTAAATACGACGTACACCAAAATATTCAATTTGGTCCTCTGAAAAAACGGCTTCAGGCGTAGCCTACTTTAACGTCTACACAGTAAACTTCGTTTGTCTATGTAGTTCCAACAAAATCCTAAATCCCATTGCAATAAATTATAAACTTCCGCCTTGTAGGCCCAGGACTTATGAAGTTCCCGTAAAACAGCTTGTGAATTGTAAACCCCTTTCATATTTATAAAGCTCTATAAGTCGTTTATATTATAGATATCTTGCCTTGTATTCATGGCAAAAGCAAGCTATAAATAATAGGTTATAGATCTAGTAAACATAGTGCCGGTCCAAAACATTTCTAACACTGACTGCTTTGAGGCGGATTTTATTAAATCAGATCGATCATGATAATGCATTATAATCCAAAAAGAGAGCAGTGACAAATCGCGCCATTTTAGTTTTCAAATCTAGTGCTACTCTTTCCACTCACCCTTCCACTTTTTGTTGCAGAGGGGGTAGGTGTGGTCGGGTCGGTAAAGCTCATTGTTGCTAAAGCGAAAAATCCTGAGTTTGAACCAACGGGCAAATGATGATCCGTGGAAACAGCTACTTACCTAGGAGAGAAAAACTCCAAAATCAAACAATTGCCGCCTTGGGGGTCATCCATAAATGACGTCACGCTATTTGTGACGATTTTTACCTCCCCCCCTCCCCCCCGTCACACATCGTCACAAAAAGCCAGACCCCCCCCTAAAATGACGTCACACTTCAGCCTACAACCCCTCTCATAATTGCAGTTGAATTTTTCTTAAAACATCGATATTTTTCCAAAATCTTGTCTGAACTCTATCAATTCCTGTTGCAATTTATTAAAACAGTTTTCAAAAACGCGAAATAACGTCTAAAATTTGTTTTCTAACATTGCTTTTTTATAATACAAAAGTGTGACGTCGCACCATCTGAACCCCCCCTCCTCCTAATCACACACCGTCACAAAATTACGGACCCCCCTCCCCACTACGAGTGTGACGTCATTTATGGACGACCCCTTGTAGGTTATTCTTGGAAGGACAAAGGACGTGGAAGCAAATCAAGTGAGAAAATCAGGCTGACAATAAAGAACGAAGAAAAGAAAGGTTGTACCATGTCTTGCTAGGAAATCAAGCAATGATTAATTGCTTTACCTTCACTTCGACATTAAATATATGCCCTTATATGAAAATTGGCAGCTTTTCATTAATTGATATCCAGAGGTATTGCAAAGGGGTGTGGACCACACCGGATGACCCCATTTTAGGGGTGGAGTGACACCAAGGCAAAACAAAATTAGTGCAAAATCTACCTGGCTCTGATGGGTAGGCCTTTTTTTTATTCAATTTAGCGAAAGTAAAAACGGTTGAACATAGTGCTGACCGTATCATTCTTTCATATGCCGAGGTTAAGAAACGCGTGAACTATTTCATCTGCCATATGGCTTGTTAGGTCTGAAAGAGGAACTTTAACTGAACAGTCTGAACATTGTCTTTAATATGTTAAATTGTTGTCACTCCTAAACTATTATTTTCTGAGGCATGGCGTCGATCTGTTTTTAACATAAATCGGCTAACCTAACATTGTTGCCTCCAATTTTCCTTGTTATTTGATCACCTGAATATTAAAATTTAATATTATTTAATTTAAATAGTGTCACCCCATGCTGCCCTCAATCCCCCCTCCCCCTACCCCCCCCCCCCCCAGCTACAACATTGATATCTTTTAGATTCCCGAGTCATGACTTATTTGGCCATTTGACAAGAGTTGTTTTGCTGAGAGCCAATTAATATACATCCGCATGGGTGTATGTGTGTGTGTGTGTGGGGGGGGGGGGGGGTATTTGGACGGACGGCTATCCATTTATCTTAAGGACTATATGTCATATGATATTCGTACAATTACTTTTTTTCTTCTGAATAATTAATATTTAAGAAAAGAGTTAACACGTTTCCATTACAGTTATTACAGGCTTTAATTTGAGTTGTTATGTGATCAGACAATAAATGTAGCAGTACCATTAATAATTATATTACATTATATTATAAAATGTAGCTTGCTTACAGTTAGCAGTAGTTAGCCTAGGCCTGATTTTTTAAAAAAATACCGGATGATAATATATTTGACCTAATTTGCGACTTACCTGAAAATCTGGCACGTCGATCTCATTGGTCAATTGTCGTATTTGAAATATGTCGCGCTAGACGTAAACTACACATTGAAAAACAAAATAATAACAATAAGCCGATGAACGGCTCTTAAAATCGTTTCAGGCTAATGTTAAAGAGTGGGTAAGAAATGTTAAACTTAAACAAATAATTAAACAAATATAAAAACCTTTATAATAAGCTTTTAAATTCACTGAAAATTGGAAAATAAATTAAAAGTAGGGCCTAATCCTAATAAATCTAGATTCTAGATCTAGAATCTACTTCAATCTAGACAATAGATTAGAAATAGATCTCTTCTCTAGTCTCTAGAATTGAATTATCAGAATTAGAATACTCTCTAGATTTCTAGACGTCTAGGTCAGCAGATCTAGTGAGCTAGGCCCTAACAATGACCAATCTCATCTGAATCAATCTAGCTAGATAATCTACTACTACCAGCTCTACACTACTCTACAGTACAGTCATGAATAGTCTACAGCTCAAGCCTGCCCTACTTCCTAGGCTAGGCAGAGCAAATAATAATTATTAATTATAATTTATAGGGCCTAGGCCTAATAGTATAGGCCTAAATAATATTAAATATGTAGGCCCTAGGCCTATGCCCCACAAGCATTCTTTGCATAGGACATTACTGTTACATTAGTCACATTATCATTAAACTTTTCATCATACTCATAGTCATGCATAGTGATGTTTGGCAGTGTTAGGCCCAGTGTTAAGGTGGTGATGGTTGCGCATCAGGCAGACTGTTTTCATGGAATCACGAATCGGTTACAACTTACAACCCTATTGGCTCAGTCACTATTTTGGGTAAAATCACGATATAGCGTCGTAAATTATCTGGTGATTTTTGTTACTGTAAACCATAGTTTATTTGACCGTTGAAATAAAAATAAAGTCATGTGCATTAGGCCTAAATTTAATAAATTAATGTTTTAACTTAATTTTAATTGACAGAAAATTAGTAACAATTAGTAAAGATAAATATTATTAATAAAGTCGAATGTAGTAGGCCCGTAATTGTTTTTTTTTTAAGGAAACAGAAAAAAAACTTGCAGAAGATTTGCAACAACTAGATCTAGTAAAATAACATGATTAGATTTAGGGCCTACTAAAGTTAAAAGTAGTAAGAAGAACTAGAACAATGTTTAGTAGCAGCAAAAATGAGCATAGGCCTATACACTTTAATAATTAGAAATACAAAATAATTAGCAAAACAGTATTTAAAATGCAACTAAAATCAATCCATGCACATTTTTAAACATTATGTATTAAAAATAATATGGCGGCATATAAATGATGGTTTACAGTATTTTTGGTGGTTTCCGGAATGACTCAGCAGACTACGCCTGGTTTTACTGTTTTTTACTGCCGTACAATTCTGGAATAATAAAGGACGCTATATCGTGATTTTACCCTATTTTGTACCCTCCCCCCATTTCACTTAGATCTAGAGCAAGTAAATAAAAGCTGTCGAATTTTTATACGGCTAGGCATGAGGGTTTGGGTTAGGCATTCCAAAAAGAAAATTAAAAGCATGCTGAAATTGAAATCAATGGCCCTTAACTATATATGGTGTATAACTAGTTGATAAGCAATACTTGTGTTGGAGGGAATCCCTTCATACATTAAAATTAAGAATGAAGAAGAATAAGAAATACTAGGTCTACATTAATAATGTCAATATTTCAGATTGTCCCTTTGAATCCCAAGCCAGGCATCAGTCTTAAACTAAACAAACTTGTAGAATCTAGATCTGACTTTGACTACTAAATGACATTATAATCATTCTAAAGTAGAGCCTATACTTTTTATTTACTTTCTTAGGAAGCCAAAATGGATACTAGTGGGAGTATTTGTGGTAAACGAAGCTTTTCAGAACTTCAGTCTACTGGACATAGAAGACTTCTTGAAGAAGATGAATTGCCTGTTAAAAAAAAACTCAAGACAAGATTGGTTGATCTGTTTAACAGAGCATCAATATGTATGGCATCAGGTGCTGAAGATCACATGAAGGTTTACTTGCGCATCAAACCATTGTGTAAAAATGAAGATGGTAATCAGGTAATCTCACATATTTTTATGGCCACTGAGTGAAAAAAATCTTATTTTATCAAGCTTTAATCGAAAAAGACTAACCCATTTCATTTGCCTGTATTTTTGGTTGCCCTTTAGTTCCATTAAAATAAATCCTATTTAATTTATTATCATGATCTACTATGTTGTTTAACATCACTAGGTTCTATACCTACCATATTTTACTTATCGTGTCATTTCACATATTTATAACTAGCTTGCTGGACATTCTTTACCAAGAGGGCTTTCCTTCATGGCTACCATGCTTTTTTTTAATTAACTTAATAGCTTCATAATTGTAATGTTTTTTTTTAAAATTTAGCAATGCTTTGAGGTGGTAGAAACTGAGAATACAATTGTTGCAACAGCACCAGAAATAAGTCATACTTACAAGAGCATGAAAAGAGGAGTTGGAAAATCATCACATAAATTTACGTTTTCAAGAATATTTAATGAAGCCACCACCCAGGGTGCTTTTTTTAATGAAACTATGCTTGACATGACAAAGGATTTTATTAGTGGACAGAACTCTCTTGTCTTTACTTATGGGGTTACATCCTCTGGTAAAACATACACTATTCAAGGTATTTATGAATTTGATATAATATATGTTTCACCAAGTTATTGTTTTAAGATAATTAAATAAGTCATTATCGAGAAACATAGCTACAATAACTCAAACTGATTGCATATGTGTATAGTTTTGCTCAATCACATTTATTTTGTTTGAAGGTAAACCTCAAGATGCTGGCATTCTTCCCAGGTGTTTGGATGTCATATTTAATTCTATAAATGGAAAACAGATTCCTAGCTTGACATTGAAACCACAGATGTTTACAGATGTTGTACGTTTATCAGCTGAAGAGGTTTTGGTTGAAAAAAGAATAAAAGAAAAAACAATGAGAATGAGTGTTGATGATGTAAGCAGACAAATTTCATCACACTTTATATTTGCTATTACTAAGTTTATTGTTATGTCATGTTAACGGCTCAATCATGTATGAACATAATGAAATTTTGGTTTATAAATAAAATTCTTATAGGATACAACAGTAATGACATTGCTTGGAGATGAAATGGAATCTGTCTTATCAGATAATGCCACAGCAAGTAAGTTGTCTAAAGTTAACTTTAAATAAATCATTATCGTAACTGTTTATTGGCTGTGAATTTTATAAAAAATTTTCTAGTTGACTTTTTATGAAAGAAGGGGGGGGGGGTATCAAAGAAGATGAGTTACCAGCTTTTTCACAAAGATGAAAGTTTTACACTTCAGTATTCCCGCTATCTTCCTTCAATTATGTTTAATTGCACAGATGACATTATTGAGCAACTACTCCATAGTAAACTAAATGATTTTCAAAACTTCATCCATGCTTAGGACTAGAAAAAAATAACACTAAAATGTGATATAAAGTAAAATGTTTTTAAGAAACTCACATTGGTACAATTTAAATTTTGTTAATGGTATATTCAAGAGGCTAGGTGAACATATTGCATACCTATGTGCAGCCTTGACATTTTTTTTCTTTTTTAAATATAACATATCTTTAAAAAAAAAACAACCTTTTTACATTCAATTTTATCTTTGTGTTTAAAGCCATACATGTTTTATCTTATTTAGGTACAAGTGGTTGTGCAGAGGATTTATTAAATGAAGTTAAAGATAGAGCACGTGAGGAACTTAAAGTTGATGTAGAAGACCAAGGAAAGATAAGGTTTGGTGTCTGGGTAAGCTTTGCTGAAATCTACAATGAACAAATCTTTGATCTCCTAGAGCCTATGCCTATTAAAAAAAATGCAAGACGCCCAGTGTTGAAGATATGTGATGATAGGAATGGAAATCCTTATGTAAAAGGTACTTAAAAGTTACTTTTAGATTTTGAATTCTTTAGTTTTCATAATTAACATTCCATTTTTAAAAATTGTTTGATGACTTTCAAGCATTTTATAATCCCTTGTTTGATACATTTGAATGAAACTGAAATTTTTATTATGAAATTGACAAGTACATTATTGTTGCATTTTTAATCAGGCTTGAAAGAAATACATGTAGAAACAGCTGATGAAGCTTATAAGCTGTTAACTATAGGTCAGCGAAATTTACAGACAGCTTGCACACGTTTGAACCACTGTTCCTCTCGCAGGTAATTTTACTGTTAAAAATTAGATAATATCTACCTTAATTATTTTTTTTAATTTATAATAATACTACTTTTGAAAAATGGGCTGTCAAATGCAGTGTTATTAAAAATCTTTATTGTTTTCATGTAGCAAAATTTTGTACACACATAAACTGGAGATTTTAAATTTTAATTTCAGCCATTGCATATTTAACATTAAGATAGTCAGAGTTGCAGACAAAGATGACCCTCACATTGCACGAGTAAGCATGTAAGTATGTTATATAATTCTCATAAGTCAAAAGTCCGCTGTTGGTTCTATTGTTGTTAAGAGTAGCTTGTGTTAAAATGGTTTGTTTTGCTTAGCCAAGAAATTATTTATGTTCAGCATAACAAAACCTTCACTTTAAATGTTTCATGTTGATGATTATAGGCTTTCGTTATGTGACCTTGCTGGATCAGAAAGATACTCCAAAACACAAGCAACTGGTGATCGCCTGAAAGAAGCAGGTAACATCAATTCTTCTCTGATGACACTTGGAAGATGCATTGAAACGTTGCGACATAACCAGCTTCACAAGTAAGTTCAATTTCTATTCAGTACAATGTTACCTAAAGGTTTTATGTTTTATAATTCATTGCAAGTAAAGTTTTTGCTTTTAATTTGAAGTAAAAATAGTTAAACATGCACTATTTACAGAGTCTGCCCTAATTTGCAATAGTAAATTAGTAGCACATGTATCTTGAATCTGTATAAACTATTTTTTGTGTGCCTTTTCTTTTCCCAGAGATCAGCAAAGATTAGTCCCATTTCGTGACAGTAAACTGACTCGTCTTTTACAAAACTTTTTTAATGGCAGTGGGCGAGCAGCCATGATAGTTAATGTCAGTCAATGTGCTACAATGTTTGATGACACACTTCATGTTTTCAAGTTTTCTGCCATAGCTAAACAAGTAAAATATATAGAAAAACCTCCAGAAAAACCCAAAAAGACTTTGCCCCCAAGGGAATCAATTCAATGGGAGACACAAGGTATTAAAAGTGATTAGGTGTTTGTTGAAAATCGAACTTTTTATTAAAAGGATTTTATTACCTTCTCATATACTCATTTTAAAAAAAAAGTAAATAGCAGAATCTTTAAAGATAGGATAAACAATTGGCATGATGCGTAGTTTAAAAAATATATAAAAATTTTAAAATATGCAGAAGCTGCCTTAAGAGCTGCACAAAATGATCCTCTTCCAGAGGATGATGATGAGGAAGATGAATTGAATGATGAGGAAGAGGAGAGCTCTGAAAATTTCAAGAACATGAAAGAAATTAGAGGTTATATTAAAGTAAGTTATATTTTTCAGATTTATATTGTGTTCTAATAATAATTATTGTTTGTTTAATTTTAGTTGTAGTAATAAAAAGACAGTTCCTGTAAAAATCAAGTGTATAACCTTTAGTTCACAACAGATGTATGTTGTATCTCTGTATTGTACTTTTTAATGTTACAGAACCTTGAGAGGAGAAATGAAAAACTTGTGGAAATGTTGGAAGAAGAGATGAATGCTGCTAGCAGTATTGAGAATAGAGTTAGAAAGGAAGTTACGCAAGCTATGATGAAGCAAGTAGTGAATATTGAAGAAACATACAGGTAAAAAGATTTTTAAAATTTGTTTTAAATTTAATTTTTTAAATCTATTCTTTAGACTATGGGTGATGCTGCCAAAAAATGCTAAAAAGTAGCTATATATTGACAAAATTAATGTGTATAAAATAAAATAGCTTGACATGTTTATGTGATGGTAGTAAAAAAGTAATAGTATAATCAGTCACTGTATTATAGAAGAAAAACTGTTATTTGAAATTGGAGATGTAAACATGTGCCAAATACAAAAGTCTAGAATTCACAACACTCAAGATAATGAAATAACAATTAAGACCCTTGAAGTGCTAACTTAAATTAAACACAAAATCCTTAATTTAGCTATCTGTGTTTTGAATCTGTTCAGGTTTTTGATGTTTGAAAAAATCTAAATAAAGATGTTTTTTGACAAAATTAAATGCTTTTAGGTTTAAACCTTTAAAAAAATATTATAAAACAGTCAACTTTTTTGTGTTAACAATGCTAATCTGCATTTAAAGGTTTAAGTTTTTTAATTTAGCTATAAATACGGTTTATTAATATTATTTACTACATGTATAGTTTTCATTTTTTTAATTGTCACTAAAGCGCTATGCTAAAAGAGACAAGGGAAGAAGGCCAGGAATTGGCAGATGAACGGGTTAAAGGAATAATGGAAGTCTATGAACAACGCCTTCAAAGAATTCAAAAGAAAGTTGATGAGGATGATGAATGGGTTTCCAGCTTATTATATCACCAAGAACAAGTTAAAGTTCAGGTATAGGCTACATACTTTAAAAAAATAACTTGTTCATTGTGTTTAATTCAATATATTTTTCCTTTTATTATGTTAAACAATTTTAGTGTGTATTTGGGAGATTTTCAATAAACAAGTTAAGTTTATTTTGTAGGAAAGAGATCTCCAGATTGCTGAGCTTAAAAATTTGGTTGCACAGCTTAAATCTCAAGTAGAATCCAAAAAATCGGTAAGTATGTTGATTACTTTTCACATTTTAGTAAATTTATTCCTCCTAATCTGTAGTAGCTTCCCACAGATTTTCTAGTAATTTACTATCAAGGAACATCTCTGATTTGAGCTTTAGATTTTCCCCCATTGTTTGGCTTAAACAGCAACTTAACAGAAATTGTTTTAGATCCCTAAATCTTAACTCCAAAAGCTCAAGTACTGGAAGACAACAAACCATATCTAATATTTTTTGCATTGTCTAAAAATTTTGTAGCTTTAGTTAGCAACCTTTTATGACATATTTTATTTTCTAATATGATCAAAGAGTGCAGATGATTCAGTGGATATTGGAAACTCTGCTGTTATTGAAACACTTACTCAAAAATTACAGTCAGTTTCAAATCTTTCTAAAGAAAAGGTAATCTTAAGTTTAAAAATGTTGATTATTTAAAATACTCTTACTTATTTAAAAGCTTGTAAAAGAAAATATAGCAAATGGAAGTTTTCATGTAATGACACCTTACCCCAGAGACTAATTTCAATAGATGTAAATTAGTTGAAATCCGATATTTCCCCTGTTAGAGCTGCAACTTTTCTTTGATATTTTCATTTACTCCTACTTTATCGTCTATTGTGTTATTTTTTGTTATTGTTTTTTAACTTTGGGGAAAATATGGAGATGTCTTTGGAAACAGCCAACATGCATTCCACAAGATCCTATGAAAATTGGCCTACCAATACTAGATCAAGATTCTGTATGTTAATTACTTTGCACACCATTCAAACGGACAATTGAATATGCAAATTTCTTTTCAATTGGGTCACGTGATTACGCTAGGTCTAACAGTAGGTCCACTAGATAAAACTAAATCTAGCTCAAGATTCAGCCCATGTAAAAAGAATTTTACATTTTTTCAATTCACAAGGCTATTTTTCAGCTTTCAGAATAATTTATAATTTCTTTTCTAGGATGCAAAGATAGACGAGTTGGAATCCCTTTTAACTGAAGCTGGGGAAGTTTACAATAAGCATATGGTTGACATAAAAGAACTGAAAGAGACAATAAGTCAACAGAATAAAAAGTTAGAAAACCAAGTATGTATTGTTTTTCTTTTGCAAAAAATTAAACGTTTAGTCATTTTTATTTTATATTTATATTAAACATATAGGAGTTATGCTTGGTTGATTCATAGCAGTTTAATTAAAAAAAACACATTTATTTGTTTTTCTAAAACATCGTTCTAACAGATACATTTCTCTATTATATCTACAGTTAACCTCTGTAGCGGAACTTAATAAAAAGCTGGCTGACATAACAGAACAAAAAGATTCTGAAATGAAAGCTTTGGAAGAAGACACCACAAAGAAACTAAAATGTAAAGACAAAACTATATCGGCACTTGAAGAAGAGTGCAAGGAACTTCATGGTATTTATGCTACTTACTTATATTTATAACTTGTCATCAACCTCCCCATAACTTTCCTTAGACTTTCCAAATACTTTTTAAAGAGGTAAATGAAGTTTTTATAATAGGCTAATTTATTAAACTTCAGCCAACTGTTTTTATTAGTTTGATTGTCACCAACACCTTTATATCCAAACATTTATTTCAGATGAAATTGAAAGACTTCAAGATCAAATGAGTCAGTTAGATGAGCAGAGTAGATACAGAAATGAATTTGAAACTTCATCAGTACCAGAAAAACTGAATAACTCATCAAAAAGTGTTGATAAAATGGTTACTAGCATCAATAAGGCATTAGACGCTACTTATGTAGAAACAGATTCAAAAAACACATCAATGGAAGTCTCTCCCGCATTTAATCACAGCATAGGAAAGGAGTCTCTAGATTTAGCCAAGGGTGAAGACAGTATGATTATATCTTTGCAAATACAAAATGAACAGCTGCAAGCAGACATCTCTGAATTAAAAGTTAAGTTAAATCAGTCCTTGGTTGAAATTGCAGAAGCAAATGAAATGATTAAGAATTTCAAAAATGACAATGAAGAAATAAATGAAAAGTATAAAATTTCTGAAATGTCCGTGAAATCACTGCAAGAGGAAAATAAAGCTTTATCAGAAAAAGTGAACTCTTTACATCAGGCTAATGAGGAATTACTTGTAAAAGTTAAACAACCAACAAATTCCTTTTCTGTGAGTATTACTGAAATGGTGAGGAAAATAGAGAACAATCTATCTGCCAGTGAGCACCACGCTGGGGCAGAAGAAGAACCCGAAGATTTGAACATTAAAAATAGTAATGCCAACACAGAAGACCCGAGTGATGATAAAATTGAAGATGAAAAATTTCAAGCAACCCAAAATTTAGTTTTGAAACTAAAAGATGCTGAATTAGCAAATGCAGCACTTCGTAGTAAGCTAAAACGAGAAGAAAATGATTATTTGAAGAGAGAAGAAGCTCTTATTCATGGCTATTCAGCTGAAATAGACAATTTGAAATATGAGCTTGCTAAATTCAAATCCAAGGTGGATGTACCCTTAAGAACAAGAGCTCAACGTGGGAAAAAAAGAGCCCTGATGGATGTGAGTACTTGTTCAGTTACATCTGAATCTATCAATGAGGGACCAGATATTCCTCATGAGCAAGATGAAAGCAAGGATAAGGAAAGTCTTGTTGTTTTAACAAATGAGATTGTTGAGCTTCAGACTCAGCTTTATTCTCTGCATGCAGCTTATAGAAAACAGTGCAAGAATGGCAATGAGACCAATTCATTTATACAGGATGTTGTACTTGGTACACCAAGAACACGCGTGTCTGCCTTAGGTGGTTTTCGTTCAGAAGACAATGTAACAGATAGTGTTCTACAATTCGAAATTGAAGAATATGCAATTAAAATGGATGAGCTGAGGACCAAAATTTATCAGTATGATACTGAAGTCAGAAGTTTAAAATTAGCTCTTGAGAAAGAGAGAGCTGCCTCCATGAATCTAGAAAAAATGCTGAAATTGTCTGAGAATAAACAAAAGGATGACACATCAGTTGTGATTTGTGAAAAAGAAACTAATTCAGAAAGTGCTATGGAGGAAAGAGATTCAAAAATTGCTGAACAATATGAGGTTATTAAGCAGCTTCAAGTTTCTCTTGAGGAAAATACCACATCCAAAAAAGAAACAGAGCAAGAATTAATACAACTAATTGAAAAGCAAAAGTTACAAGAGGAAAATTTACTTAGTCTGGAAAAGGACAAGAGTGACCTTCATAAAAAGATTGCAGAACTGGTCACTGAACAAGATAGTTTGCAGCAATCATATGAAAAAAACATGGAAATGCAAAAACAGAATCATGAATCACAAATCAAAGTACTTAATGATAATCTGGTACAAATTACAAACCATCGTGATGAATTGGTTGTGCAGATGAATGAAACTAAAACTGAGTTGAAGACACTAAAAGATGAATTGAGTATTAGTCATTCAACAGGAAATGATGTTGAAAAGTTAAAAAATGAAATTTCAGAACTGCTAAAGACTGATCAAGTGCTCAAAGATAAGTTGTCAGAAATGTCAGTTTATAAAGAGCAATTTTCCAATATGGAACAAGCTTACAAGGAAACCAAAGAAAAATTGCAAGTGCTAGAAGAACTAAAAGTTAAGCTTGAAACAGAGTTAGCTGGCCTTAAAGTAACTCTGTCTACTAAAGAAGACAACCTGAAAAATGTATATGAAGAATACAACAAAAAACTTGAGTCTCTTCAGGCAGAGTTCACCAGCGAGGAAGATGTTAAAACAGAAACCATTGCAGTGTTAAAAAAGCAGTTGGAAGATGTAAAACAGGAGTTGGATCTTAAAAAAAAAGAGGTAAATTGTTTGCATGTTTAAACACTGAAGTATTTTATTATACTCCTATAGTTGTTAACCTCAGCTATGACATTCTATTAGATGTTATATTTACCTGCAATAGTCAGCTCATCTTATTGAACCCAATTTTTTTTTTTTAACAAAACCTTCAAGATAGTGTTTTTAAATATTCTGATATTGTAGCCAGTATCAGTGAATTCTGAAGTACAGTTTTTTGCGGTTTAGTATAATATTGTTAGCTGTGTACACTAAATAGATGGTTTGGATGGGATACTGTGGTTTAAATAATTTTGTTCTCTAATACTAAGTTGCACTGGTAAACTTTCCTTTGCGTTCATTTACAGAAATAAGGTGCCTGATTCTCAGATTATATTTAAAAATATGTTTAAAATGATGAATAGATGAACCAAGAATAATTCTGTTGAATAACTAATTGGGATAAATAATGATAGATCTTAAATTGTTTCCAATATAACTTGTGTTAATGAATTAAGCTGAAGTATTTAATTTCCTATTTGTTGAATTAGTATGAGAAGCTTGAGTGTCAAAGACAAGAAGATGGTGCTGAAGTTTCACAAAAACTGTTGGTTTTGGAGCGGGAAAAGAAAGCTGCTGAAAGAAGGGCAATTGAGGCTAAAGAGAGAGAAGAAGAGTGGCAAATGAAATGTCAAGGGCTGGAAAAAATTAAACAGGTAGAGGAAAACATTTATATCCTATCAAAACCTCTAGCTTCAATTAACTTACTAGTAAGTTGCATTAGATACAAAAACTATATCTCTTTATTAACATCTGGTAAATATTAAAAGGACATCTTTAATGTTCTCCCAAGTTGAGGAGGGCTCATACAATTTTATTTTCTACTTAAATAATTCAGTGCTTTTTTGTATTGGTATGTTGTGGTCTAGAAGTAACCTTGGCTTAATAAACATAATCATTACATATTGTTACTAAATTTAAGCATAGATCTTACACCTAGGCATGGCATTAGACTCACATTTGACAAAAGTCCTGTAGAGTAAATACTAAATTTAGACTCAGTTACTGCTACACACAGATTTTCTACACCTGGATGGTAAAACTCAATCATACAGACCTTTTTAAGTCTCTAAACTGACAATTTAGACCTCATAATTAGACTGCTTACATATTTATATACCATGTCTGGCATTTAGTATGTAATTCTACAGAAAACATATTCAATTCATACAATCTGTGGTGATGTGTAGAAATACCTTGATTGGTATAGTCTTATTATAGGTCATGTTTAAACTGTCCATTTTAGAAAGATTTCTAGGATATTTCTTTCAAAATGAAAGAAATGTAAAATGAAACGCACAAAAAACCTGAAAGGCATTTTGAATTGAATCCTTGACTATGTTTGCATCTTGCTAACTCTACACTGCTGGTTTCTGTTTTGGGTATTATTAGAATAGTTAATAAGCACATATTTTACATACATTTCCTATATCTGTCGTTGTTTATATAGCCTAGATTATCTTTAAATTGTTAATTTTGAAACATTTGACAATAAAAGTGAGTAAGATAATTTGAGATATATAGATCAACCACTTAAAAATTTGGAAAAGCCCATTTAGCAATTGAATACTCTAAAATTTAATGCTGTCTCATTAGTTGCTTTTTACTATGAAAATATAGTGCTTTTTTTTTCTAATGCCATATTAACATAAAATAAAATGTTTATTCATATACATTTAGTCTACACCATACTTTATTATAAATATTTCCCACATTTATTTATGTTTGATGTACAGGATAATTTCTAAATGCATCATTATTTGGTGATTTGGCTTGGACTTTGAAAAACCAAATTTTAATACGAAGAAATAACTAGGTAGTTTTTATTTTCCTCCTGTGCTTTTAGCTAGAACAAAAGTTGCATGAGCAACTTAGGACTACAGTAAACACCTTGAGAAAACAGTCTGAGCAAATGAATGAGCAAAAAGAAGAATTATCTGCAAAACAAGAGGAGCTGAATCAACTTAATGAGAAGCTTGATTTTCTAAAATCATGTGTGAGATTATCTTTCTTTGCACATAGCTGAGCTATTGAGGAGTTAAATACTATAGTGGTTAAAGTGTCAGTTAGAAACCACTAGTTTACCATCAGCTGAAAGAAGCATTTAATTCACTTAAAATACTCTAAATCTAAATTAAAAATAGTTATAACAAAATGTAATTATTAGATTTATAATTTATTTAGTCTATTGTACCTATTTTGCGTTAGAGAATTTTGTGTGTATTTTTCGTTTTATAATTTTTGTCCATGTATATATCATAGTTTAATAGCTCCTTGCATAATTAACATTACTAAATGAAAAAACAAACATTATTTTAAAAATATGCAACATCAAATAACAAGATACCTCTCACAATTATAGTGAGATTTTTCTATTTTGAAATATTTTACTGCAATGTTGAAAAATAAACACCAAAAAATTAAATGGATAAGTTGTTAGAATATTTTTAAGCTGCTTTACACAGGTTTTAAAAAAAATAACTTTAATTTTCATTTATTTTACTTAATTATGAATATTTTTGTTTAGGAAGTTTCAATGCAAAAAAGAGTAGATGATCTGCAACAAGAAATAAATGCAGAAAAGGAAGAAAAGAAACGTTTAGAAAAAGGTAATGTTTTAGATGTTTCCTAGATGTCAAATTTGTATTTGTTTATTGAATTCAAGGAGAGCACAACTAATAAAATTTTAACCCTTTGAGCCCTGGCCTCCCTGGCCTAATTTCTCCCATTTCCTGAGCTCCCAGGGCCAAACCAATTTTCACTTATCTGCTTCTAACTTTGCCCTTAACTTTTGAACCGTTTGAGATAATCAAGCCACATTTGGTATCAAGGCTCAGGATCAAACAACAATGCAGAAAAATTCGGAAATTCTGTATTTTTTTTTACAATGTATGAACAGAACAATGTATATAAAACAAACACATAATTATACTGGCTCAGTAATTATACTGGCTCAGTAGGCATCTCCCATTAGCCAGGCAGGCCTGACAAGGCAAACTCTGACTAACTGGCTTAGATATCGGTTTGATAACCGTGTATCGCCACTTCAGTCCTTTGGTTCTCTCCAAGCTATACCCCTGAAAGCAAGGTAAACTTGGAGCCCACCATCCAGTACCCTGCTCGAAAGTAAGGGTAGTTCATACCTAAAAAGTTTTGAACCAAAACTGCCTTCCACCCCTGGTACATTGTACCGCCTTGTACAAATAAAAAAAATGTCAGAAAGGCAAAAGGGAGAAAAAAGATTCCAAATGTACTAATTTTCCTTATTTTTTGTCACATTTTAAAACATTTTTAGAAATTTCATGGTTTAAAAATAAATCTTTCATAGCTGCATGATGAAAATATATTTCCTTGTATTAATTTCAGTGTTGGAAGAGTGAACAAAATTACTATTTGTGTCAATATTTTTACACACTTTCTTATGTTAACAGATTTTCTGGAACAAACTGCTCAACTTGATCTTATAAAAAGTAGTTTTAAGGAAGCGGAAGAAATGATGGATCAGCAGGAAAAGATAATTAACAGACAAGATGATGATCTTCTTCATATGAAAAATGGTAAGGTTAAATAAACCCTTTCATGTATTTTTCCTTTTTATTCCGTTTCCTCAAAATTTTCCATCAAACATGGGTAATACTTACAATAAAATGCTAAATATTTATGTTTTAATCTTAGCAATGGGTTTTTTTTTTTGCTACACTAACAATGAACCCTACTTTTGCTTTTTAAATAGGGGCTGTAATAAAACATAAATATATTTTTTTCACAGAAATGAGAATGGTTGTAAAACAGAAAGAAGAATTAGATGCAATTGTGAGCTCAAATAATCTTGAAATTTGTAATTTAAATAATCAGGTAAATATAATATATATTATAATCATTATATTTCTCTCCTAGGATTTTAATTAAAATGGAAAATTTGAAAAGGCAGATAAAAATTAAATCTACTTGTCTGCCCCTATAAATTTATAATTCTTTTCAGATATCAAAACTTAAAGAAGAAGTTAGTAGACTTCAGATACTTGAAAACAGAGCCAAAGAAGTGGAGCAGAGAGAAAAAATTACTGAGGATCAAATGCAAAAAACTAGTTGTGAGAAACGATCATTAGAAGACAAGCTGGAAAAGTTGGAGAAAGAAAAACTCTCCTACGAAGAAACAATAGAAAATAACCTAAAGATGAGCAAGGCTTTAAAAAAAGACTTAGGTGAATGTGAAGAAAAATTACATGATGCTGAAAAACAGAAACGAACTTTAGAGAAAAATCTTTTAAAAATGACAGACGAACAAAAGTCTCTAAAAGAAACAATTGACTTAGTCCACAAAGAAAAAAGTTTATTAAAGGAACAGATTCATCACTTTGAGACACAAGTAAAAAATTTGACAGATGTAAGTATTTATATGCTTATGAAATCTTATCTGTATTTGTATTGTTTATAAATGTACTTGTACATAGAAAGCACTGGTCTTTATTTATCAATGGTAATCTATAGATAAATAAATGAAATTAGACATTTTTTATGTTCAAGCCAACTTCTTTATAATTACTTTAGTTTTTTGTTTTAATTTTACTTTAACTTGTTTTTTTTTCAGTCCAAGATAGAAAATGAAAATCTCCATAAAAACAACCAAAATAAGATTTCTGAACAGTTGGAGCTTCATAATAAACAACTTCAACAGGAGATTGAATCACTGAAACTAGATATTCAAAGTAAGACATTGTTTTGTGTATATGTGCCATGTATTTTATATATTACTCCTTTGAAAATTGATTTACTGTACCCGTCTTAAATACTTCAAGAATACAAAGATAATGGAAATATAATTGCTTGTAAATAGTATTTGATGTGATATTTTGAAAGAATTTAATTTTAAAAAATCTGTTTACTTTCCCCAACAGATATCTGTATTTAATAGCTTGTATGGAGGGGGACGGGGGCGAAATACTTTTCATAAACAAATTGTGTACATTGTTTCTTATCTACCTCTCCAGGCAAACAAAAACAGTTTGATGCCCTTCAGGAATCTTTAAATGAAACTGTAGAGAATACAAAGGTTTGCAATTTAATAGGTCTTTTATATATTAATTTTATTTACAATTAATTTAAAAAATAGGTGTTTATTAGGTTTTTTTTTTAAATTCTGTAATGTTTAACAAGGTAAGTGACTATAAACATTAAAAAAACATTCCTTAAGATACAAAATTAAAGACAACAATTGATTAATTAAAATATGTTTGTTTTAGACTGTTGAAAAGGAACTACAGAAACAAGAAAGAATTAATAAAAGAAACAGAGAAGAAATGGAGGTAAAACAAAATTGTTCCTTAGTTTTTAACAATTAGCCCAACATTGGAAATAAGGGAATGTAATATCAAAGTTTTAAGTTGTCATGCAGTACTATTTGTTTCCTGAATTCAGAACTGGAAGAAAGAAAAAGATACTTGTGTGAGACAGCTAGAGAACCTGATCAGCAAAAGACATGAAGAAAATAGTTTTCTTGCTCATGAGGTATTGTACAATATCACTACTATTACTTAAGCTATTGAAGGGGGACTTCTATATTCTGACTACTTGGTGCTGATCAGGAGCTTTTTCTTCATACCTGGACTATCAATAATAATTTTTTCATCTTTTAGTTAAGTCTAGCTTTTTGATCTATTCACTGTTACTCTGTTACTGAGCTACATAAGTTCACTCAGAGGCGTAGCAAAAATTGCAAAATGTTCAGAAGAAAAATGTTTTTTTGCCAGTTCCATTAATGCTTCATTAAAGTTAAATAGTCTTTTAAGTACCAATCGACAACTATTACAAGAGTGGGGTGACACCATGACGTAAACGTGCTAACTATAGAGAAAAATTGCTACATCCTACTGTATTATTAACAGACTATAAATAATCATCGTCACTATTAAATCTGCAGTGATTAATACATCTACTTTGTTTCTTTGGGGGGGGGGGTGACACCACAAAGTGCCGCACCCTTGACAACCGACCTAGCGACACCACTGTGTTCACTATTATACTTGAATAACTAACGGAGTTAGATTTAGGCAGGAAGAGAAGTTGTATCTGCCTCTTATGTTTCTGTAATATAGCATTTTATCAGTATTTATTTCTTGACATTCTTGTGTTTCACAGATTGAACAGTTGAAAAAAGACAATTCTGATTTAGCCAAAAATATGAATACAGCTATAAGCATGAAGGATTCATTGATAGCAGATTTGAAAAAAGCGAACAATACTCTTTCAATACAGTTGGCACATTCACAGGTAAGTGTCTGATGAGGCTGCCATTTTTACCTTCAAGGACGAGTAAAACTTCTTTGCTGTTTGTCTTAAGAAATTTTTATAGTGTTATTTTTTAATTTTTTGTGATTAAAAACAATTATTTAGTCGTATAAAGTACAGCATTTATTCCTAACACTTTAAAAATTGAACTCATCTTGTGGTCAATTTTCAGGGTACCTGTCCTCCTCCTAAAATGACATCCCCAGACAATTCTTATTTTAAAAATAATGAACTCATCGAGGATTTAGACACAACTGGTCATTTGGAGATTGATGCAACACCACCAATAGCTGCTAAGAAAGGTCGTAAGAAACAGTTGTTGAGTGAGGTTAGTACTGTATTTAAACTTGTTTTATCTTTTTATAATTTGCAGTTGATAAGGTTTTATTTTTCTGCTTCTTAATAAATATCACCTTAAATATGCCAGTTTCCACATGCTTTGTTAAATCTACACTAAACTTTGTTTTGTCCATGTTAATCTTGTACATTGTGTATTGTACAGAGAGAAGTAATTGTTTTATGGTTAACATGGGTATTCAACTGTTGTTAGCAATAGTCTGTCACTGCTGATAATTATCACAAAGGAAAAAACATTTTCAGGTATTCCTCACACCTGTGTTCAAGTCACTTAAAACAATAGAGGCAAGTTATTTTCAAAAATATTTAAGTATTGATACTTAAACTGTTAATATTTTTTCATTTTGACTTTTTAATAAACAGTAATTCTCCAGATTCAAATTTTTTTTTTAGAAAAAAATAAAGTTAAAAAAACTTTATAAAATAATTAAATAATTCTTTACAACAGGAGCAAAATGAGAGTTCTCCAAGCAAATCAAGTTCCAGTAGGAGCAGTCAACATTCATCATCAGAACAAACAGCAGAGGCTTCCAGTTTAACACCAATTACCAGATCTGGTATGTTGTTTGCTCATTTATCTTATCAAGCTATGTTCTTTGGTCCCTCTCAATTTTCATTGCAATTTTTTTTATATTTCCCAACTACTCCATAATATAACGCCAAGTCTATTTAAAGTGTACTGATAAAAAAACAACTAGTCAGCAAAAAAATAATTTATTAAATATATTACAAATTTTTTTTTAATACATGTTTTACCCCTAGTTATTTCAATCAGTTAACTACATTTTTAAAAAATAAACATAGCATCAGGAAAGCATTCTAGTTTTTCTTTTTTTTTCAGCAAAAAGACAAAAAGAAAACAAAAAGAAAAAAATGCAAGAGCCATTTAATTTGGCATCTTATGTTGTAAGTATAACATTTTGTTTTGATTTTGCATCAGATCTTTGTTTTAAATATATTTTCTATAATTTTTATTTATGTAAATGTAATTTATAATTTATTTGAATCAATATATCTTGCAGGCTGCGGATGAATCACAAAATGAAAATGTTAATCCATACAGCACCAGGAGGTCCTCAAGACTTAAAACAAAAAAATAAAAATAGTAAGCTGTGAAAAGTTGTATATAAAATACCCTCTTGTTTCCTTTGCCATTTAATTGTTGTACATAATTTAAGATGACCTTGTACCTTACATGCTTTTTAACATGTAGTTTTTTACTTACTTGTATTAATAGGTAAATATTTTACTGTATATAATGGATAGACTTTAGTTTATTTGATATTACATTATTTGAAAAGATGCTGTTAAAATCTTTGCTTTTCATCAATCTATAATCTTATTTAAGTTTATAACATGACAACCATTATTCTCTTGTAAAATATACTTCTTACATGTACATTAGGTACAATTTGTATCTATTGAAAAAAATGTGTGAAAAAGGTGATTGCTCATTTCTTTATATGTATTGTATCAAATATTTTTATGAACATTTTTATGAAGTTTCAATATACAATATTTTAAAATGAAAGCTACCCTTGCTTCCTGACAAATAAAAAACACACCATTGCCTACATTTAAAAAAATGTCTTCACTGCACCATGATTCATTGTATTTGTCTAAATTGTGTTCTTTTGTTGAACATTTTTATAGATGAGGATAATATGCAATAATTTAAAATAAAAGTTATTGCCACAATAAAATTGATTCATATTGAAACTTGCCACAGTGTTTGTTTGATTTGAAATGTACATTATTACAACCTAGGTTCATATATGGACATCCTGGTCATCTGTTTGGTTTACATCTTCATATGGCACTTGACATGTAGCATACAACACACGAATTTTGGAAATTTGATGGTGAACGTACCCACGTTTTTTGTCATCAAATGTATGAACAGTCATCACAAGAACCTGCACAGCTCGAGGAAGCACAAAATCTACGAGCAGTCATTGGTAGATCCCCTAGGGTCGGAAGAAAAATTTATTTTCTACTTTTTAGTCCATAAGAAAAGTTATTTTTAAGTAGTTTATTGTGTATGTTGTCTTCATTCCATGCATTGATTATCACACTTAGAAATAAGAATGTATGCATCACCTTTTTGTGCAACTAATTTTAAGTATAAGATAATTAGCATGTTTACTTTGCACTAAAAATCTGTTAAAAATATTAATGGGTGGGAAAAGTGAAGAAAACAGATGAGCAACTGAGTAATGAGTTTTATTTTTCCTTATATTTGGATTATACTCAGTGAATGTGACAACTATTATTCCCACGTTTTCTTTAACTTGCTTTCTCTGTTTGTTTGTCTTTCCAATCAAATCTTGCGATCGAAATTTCTGGCACTTCCCAGTTAGCTAGCGCGCTGAAATTTTCAGGGAAGCTTTCTTTTGGATGACCATTGAATATTCAATTGTTATTATTACTAAATTGATCAATGGAAACATTTTATTGAGCATTTTAGACCGCTATATAATCTATATATATAATTCTCCTCTGCTAGCGTTAGAAAAAAAACCAGCGACGCGTACCTCGCGCGCAGTGAAGCGAACGATCACATGTCGCCACAGGCTTAGGGGCAGAGAATTTAGCTTGAACCGAGTTTAAACTTACAGGAGGTAGGCCAGTTTGGGGGAGACGATATGGTCGAGTGGTTGGGCACACGATTGCTATCCCACTCGACACGGGTTCAAATCTATGTGTTCTAGTCAGTAACGTATTCAAACAACGTGTTTTTTACGAGTTGTCTTTTTACGAGTTGTCTTTTTACGAGTTGTCTTTTTACGAGTTGTCTTCGTTTACCCAAAAAAAGTGAAAAGATAAAATCGATAGCAAGATTTTAATGCAAACAAACAGACAAAGACTAAAAAGTAGAAAATAATAATCATTAAAAAAGTTTTAAAAAACCCACGTTTTCTGATTGAACTAAAAAGTAGAAAATAAATGCTATAGGCCCTACATCACAATAATGCAAGCGATCACTCTACTATAAGCGAGCAAAAACGTGGGGCGCCGTGATTTTCTTACAGTTTCTAATACTGTTGACTCTCTACAAGCTCCCTAATAAAAGTCAATAGTATTATCTAATCAATAGTAATATAACTTTTACTTCGGCGCCCCACGTTTTTGCTCGCTTATAGTAGAGTGATCGCTTGCATTATTGTGATGTAGGGCCTATAGCATTTATTTTCTACTTTTTAGTTCAATCAGAAAACGTGGGTTTTTTAAAACTTTTTTAATGATTATTATTTTTTCCCCTCTGCTTTTGAGTGTTTCGGTATTGACTTAAAGCAATATTTAATTTAATATAGTGGTTGGCAAACTTTATCGACTGGCGACCCCCTTTTACAAAAATTAAGTGACCCGCGACTTCAAAGGTCTAAATTAATAAGGAAATTTATAAAGACAAGTCTAAAGTAAGATTTTCTTGTAGACTTTCAAAATGAATTATTCTTGATAACTGTTTTAATACGATGAGTAAAATTTCATACTATTAACTAGCCTCAACATTTGCAGTTGAGTTTTTGTTAACGCCAATTCTCAACATGTAATTTATTTCTATGTTTTGTTTTTTTTTCTTATTGGAAAAGTGTTGAAAATATATTCTCGCAAAGGTATGTAGCTCTAGATCTAGACACAAAAGGAACTAAAACTAAAAAAGCGCACTACATAAAAAATGTGAGCATTTTTTCATATGACGCGGAGTCATTACGTACATTTAAGAATTCATCGGGAATGTAGGCAACATCAAGGGACGCATAGAATGGGTTACGTGTTAGTGCAGTTTCTTCTTCTTTTAGCTCAGGGAAAATAATGCCGCGGTTCGTTTTCTAGAGATTTAAGATGACCAGAAATCTCCTGTTTCAATTTTTTTTTATTAAACTCACTATCAGATTCATTTACCACACTGCAGAGTTTCTCAAACATGGCAATATTTCAAAGATTTTTCTTCGCCAATTTTGCAGCTCTGATATAGATCTAAATACCCAGAGATTATCATGAAAAGAGATAATTATGTTGACGTTCGAATATATCTGCTTGGAATGATACTCTCCAAACCACACCATGGCGTTAAAGTATATCAAAAAGGTCTTGTCTCCCTTGCACTTCCAAGAACAAATTTTTTTCATCTTTCAATTAAATAAACCGGGAGTGATCTCCCCTAAACTTTATCGAATATTCTTATATAACTTGGAATATAGACATGATTTTTAATTACTTAAACTTTTAAAAATAGAATAGAATCTCATAGAAAAAAAGAATTGCGCACCAAGCGAACGCCAAAAAAAAAATGTGCATAATAGTGCGCAATATTATTAGTACTTTATAAATTTAAATGCGCTTTTTGAGAAATCGGAAATAGCGTAAATTAGTACTTCCGGTCAACGGAAATTACTCAAAATTTGACAGAAGGTAGAGAATTAGATCTTTTACTTACATGTGAAATTTCATTTATCTATCTGAAATAGTACTCAAGTTATAGGCTTTTGAAAAATTCAAAGTAGAAAAAGTACCACTTCCGGTTATCGGAAATCACTCAAAAGTTGATCAGGATCTACGATTTTGATAAAATACTTATTTATGAAATTTCATCAACCTAGCTGTAATGGTACTCAAGTGTTTACACACAGACAGACACACAGACATACGGACAAGATTGCAAAATTATGTTTTTCCGTATCAGTGAGGTGTAAAACGTCGAGATTTGTAAAAATCTCGATTTTTTAATTTTTTTTTTTTGCACGATTACAAGACTTTATCTATACTTCGTATATACGAGAAAGTAAAAACACGATTCAGAACATTTAGTTTTGACAGCCAGCGTACTGCAGTGTAGAAAAGCAAAACCTCGTGATCTTTATTCATGTCTATACACAGTTTTTTTAAACAGACGGGTGTTTAGCGCTCCAGATTTAATATGATTTACGACTTTTATTAGCAATGGAGTCGGAAGAGTCTTGCTGGCGAGGGCATATCTGTGAATCATGCAGTGGATTCCCCTTGGTTAGGGAGCTAAATATTTTACTTTTTTCTGAAGCCAGATTCTGACCCAGACATAGATGGCGCACCATCCGTACAAACCCCACAGCCTTTTCCCATTTTAATCATCCAGTTTCAAAAAACGTATTTATTTTCTCCATAATATCTTCACAAAATAGCAACTTTTCTTTGCTATCATCTGAATGAATATATATTTTACAAAGTTAAGCAAATTCGAACACGAACTAATGTCTGTTGATTGATCAACTTGAAAAGCAAACAATGGTGAAAGCTTAATTTCATTAAAAAAAAATTCTTTAAAATTACGGACATGTCTGCTATAAGCCGCTGAATAGTATTATTAGACAGAGCTATTTATTGCATCTTTACTGCACTGGAATCCCCAAGAATTAATTTCACCATCTTGAACTAAAATTTTGGTAATGTTTAATTTACAGCAATAAAAATCTGTTGCAAGCGAGCACAGAAGTGTAAATGTATGATATACATGACGTTTACAGGATAACGGCACTTTGTTTTGATAACCTACAAGCATACTGCAGGTAGGAAGGTACGCCTACAGCGTGGACCCCTCTCCCCACATATTGAGTTGGAACAGCTTATAACCTACTCAATTATGGAAGTCATAGATAGATGACCCTTAAATTAAAACATACTATTTCTTATAATCGATTAATATAAAAATAAGGCCTGCCGAACAAGAGATGCATACGTTGTATTACTTAAGAGTGTTGGATAAGCTAAATGGCGGGAGCCTTATTGACTGGAGCCCTTTTGTCGGGAGCCTATATAACGGGAGCCTTTATGACGGGGTACATATGTCGCTGGCCCTTTTGACCGGGTAAATTTGACGGGACTCTTATGTCGGGGCCGATTTGTTGGGGTCTTTTTGACGGGGCCGTTTTGTCATTGGCCGTTTTGACGCCGCACGACAGTGAACGCGTCCAGCGCTGGTGAACAGCTGATTCAGATTGTGTTTACGTCCGTTGTAAACCACCGTGGCGGCGGACGTAGGTATCACGTGATTTAGGTCACGTGTTTGCAAGGACTCTATTGTTTTCTTTTTGGATCTAGTTCCGGTATCGGATTATTTAAGCAAAGTAAACAACGATCCTAGCTGTTCGATTATTCAGCGGGATATCGTAGGTACGGCCAAGTTTAAAATGTCTGTACTTCCGCTTCGCCACTACGAGCTAATTGTAGTGGCCGTAGTGGCGAAACGGAAGACACTGCTGTTTAAAGTTACTTTCTGGCCTATATGTAAGTATATTATTTACTATTAGTAATATTTAGCCATTGATTTTGGCTTATTATTCAGTTATCTATAATATTTGACACAACGGTAATCTATCGTTTTAGGTACGCAAAATCGCCCGCGACTAGATCTAGTAATGTGAAAAACAGGTGACTCTAACTAAACTTTAAAAGTATTTTAATCATTAGGCCTATCATATTTTGAGGAGGATTTATCTTATGTTTTGAATAATACAAACTTTTTTCCTTTCTTTATTATATTTATGTACCTGTTTTTAAACATTGGAATTAAAACTTTTCAGTAATTAATGAAGACTAGCAATGTTTCCAACAGATGCAATCATGCTCATTTTAGTTTTACTATACTAATACTATAACTATAGCAGCCATCTTATTAAGTTTTTTTTGTAAACTTTTCTATTAAAGCCTGAACAATGAGGTAACTTTTTTGGACATTACTACCTGCGGGCGATTTTACGTACCTAAAACGATAGATTACCGACACAAATATATAACACAATAGTAATATACTTTTTATTAAAGCCTTAACAATGAGGCAACTTTTTCGCACATTACTAATACTTGTCTAGTCTCGGCTGATTTTACGTAGATCTACCTAATCTACCAATAATTTTATAATTTATATATTAGTATGTGCTAACGCAGGCAAACACAACTAACTGCATACACTATATAAAGCCCAAGCCTGCCGTAGGCTAGGCGGAGCAAATATTTATGCACAAGCATTCTTTATGTAGGACATTAAACTTTTCATCATAGTGAAAACTGTTTGCATGGTCGAAATGGTTGTGCATCAGGCAGATTGTTTTAATGGAATGGATTACAATATCAATAGCATAGGGTGTAGCATAGCCTTAAGTAGCTTAAGATATTAGAAAAAAAACTAAGATTTTAAACTTCATTATTGAATTTATTGTTCAAGACTTCAAGATGACTTAAACGATTAAAAACTACAATTATTTAGGCATACCTTTAATTTGATACCAATTTTATTTAGCCTATCAAATTTAATCTGTAGCCTAGAAAATGATTTGTGAAAAAAGCGCGTTTGTTTTTAAATGGCTACGATGATATGACTGATTTTCAGTGATACAGTGGGTTAGTATTTTTAAGGAGTGTTGTTGTGGTTTTTATAAGTTTTGTTTTTACCCTGCAATGTTTTTAAAACATTGATGACATAAGCTTAGTAGAAAGCAAGTCATAATTTTCTATAGTCAATGGCCTATAACTATATCAGACATGCCTACCGTCCTGCCAAAATCGGAACCGTCCCGCTTTTTCACCTAAAAAAGTAATTTGTTCCGTTATACCGATTTTGACTCAGTTTTTTCCAATTTTTTGAAAAAAAAATTAATAAAGAAAGGTAATAAAGTGAATTGAAAAAAGGGCAGGGAAAAGCGATTACCTCCCTTTGGCATATGTTTCTGTTTCCTAGTTTACTTACACTATTTACAAGTATCATCTAATTCTAGATCTAGCTAGTAGTATATCTACTACTACTAGATCTAGAATTGTAACTAGATCTACTAGTAGATACTGAAATAGTGAACACTGATCTATCTTCTAAGTTGTAACTTAAGTAGTAGGCACTATTATGAAGTAACTAGGTCTTTTACTAGGTAGATGAAAGGGTCTTTGCTCTTTACTTATTATATTACATAAGATGAAGCCTTCAGCATTTGTTATTCATATCGCCTAGAGCATAGCAAGGCATAACTAATCAAATCAATAATGTTATATCAAAGCTATGTTTTTTTTATGGGGGGGGGGGGGGGGGTGTGGCTCAGGCTACTGGTTAACTTTTTAAAAAATGTAAGCTGACATTAAGCAGTATTTAAATGTAGCCTAGAGACTAGTTATATATAACTAGAAGCCTACTAATGTCATTAGGGAAATTTTTATTTTTGACTTAGTAAAGTAGCGTCCGCGCGCATGTTCCTCTTTTTAGGCATGATTGTTCCTACTTTTGGCTGACAGGGGTAGGCATGTCTGCTATATGGTACATAACAAATTGATATGCAATACTTGTGTTGGAGGGAATACCTTCCAACATTAGAATTAAGAAAGAAGTATAAAAAATACTACATTAATAATGTTCACATTTCAGATTGAATCTTGACCCAGAATGGATACTAGTGGGAGTATTTGTGGTAAACTTAGCTTTTCAGAACTTCAGTCTACTGGACATAGAAGACTTCTTGAAGAAGATGAATTACCTGTTAAAAAAAAACTCAAGACAAGATTGGTTGATCTGTTTAACAGAGTTTCAATATGTATGGCATCAGGTGCTGAAGATCACATGAAGGTTTACTTGCGCATCAAACCATTGTGTAAAAATGAAGATGGTAATCAGGTAATCTCACATATTTTTATGGCCACTGAGTAAAAAAAAGCTTATTTTATCAAGCTTTAATTGAAAAAGACTAACCCATTTCGCTTGCCTTTATTTTTGGTTGCCCTTTAGTTCCATTAAAATAAATCCTGTTTTATTATCATAAACTATTATGTTGTTTGACATCACTAGGTTTAATACCTAGCATATTTTACTGTCTGTGTCATTTCACATATTTATAACCAGCTTGCTGGACATTCTTTGTTTACCAGGAGGGCTTTCCTTCATGCATACCATGCTTTTTTTTTTAATTAACTTAATCGCTTCATAATTGTAATGTTTTTTTTTTTTTTTTTTTAAATTTAGCAATGCTTTGAGGTGGTAGAAACTGAGAATACAATTGTTGCAACAGCACCAGAAATAAGTCATTCTTACAAGAGCATGAAAAGGGGAGTTGGAAAATCATCACATAAATTTACGTTTTCAAGAATATTTAATGAAGCCACCACACAGGGTGCTTTTTTTAATGAAACTATGCTTGACATGACAAAGGATTTTATTAGTGGACAGAACTCTCTTGTCTTTACTTATGGGGTTACATCCTCTGGTAAAACATACACTATTCAAGGTATTTATAAATTTGATATAATATTTGTTTCACCAAGTTATTTTTTAAGATTAAATAAATAATTATCAAAAAACATAGCTACAATAACTGATTGCATATGTATACAGTTTTGCTCAATTACATTTTTGTTTGAAGGTAAACCTCAAGATGCTGGCATTCTTCCCAGGTGTTTGGATGTCATATTTAATTCTATAAATGGAAAACAGATTCCTAGCTTGACATTGAAACCACAGATGTTTACAGATGTTGTACGTTTATCAGCTGAAGAGGTTTTGGTTGAAAAAAGAATAAAAGAAAAAACAATGAGAATGAGTGTTGATGATGTAAGCAAACAAATTTTATCACACTTTAAATTTGCTGTTACTAAGTTTGTACTAATGTCATGTCAACGGCTCAATCAGATATGAACATAACGAAATTTTGGTTTATAAATAAAATTCTTATAGGATCCAACAGTAATGACATTGCTTGGAGATGAAATGGAATCTGTCTTATCAGATAATGGCACAGCAAGTAAGTTGTCTAAAGTAATTAACTTTAAAAAATTCATGATTGTAAGAGTTAATTCATTTTTTTCTAGTTGGTTTTTATGAAAGGGGGGGGGGGGGGGGGGGAAATCAAAGAAGATGAGTTACCAGCTTTTTCACAAAGATGAAAGTTTTACACTTCAGTATTCCCGCTATCTTCATTCAATTACGTTTAATTACACAGATGACACTATAATATTGAGCAACTACTCCTCAGTAAACTAAATGATTTTCAAAACTTCGTCCAAGCTCAGGACTAGAAAAAAAGCACATAAAAATGTGCCATAATAATACATGTGATATAAAGTAAAAGGTTTTTAAGAAACTCACATTGTTACATTTGAAATTTTGTTAATGGGATATTCAAGAGCAGGGGTCTCCAAACTACGACCCGCGGGCCGGATGTGGCCCGCAGATCTTCTCATCCGGCCCGCGGAGATCTTTTTGTCAATGAAAAAAAAAGTTTGTTGGAGGTGGATGAAATGGCGTGACGTTTAAAAAAGGCGATGTTCACCTCCATTCCCTATTTTGCACAAAACCACCCCACTGAAATAATGTCATGGAGTTTAGTTCGAAACCCTCAAATCAAATTGAAAATGTGCCATTGGGTGCAAATGTAGCATTGCCATTCGTGTTGCAGACATTGGTGAAAACGTTGTGAATCAAATAGCGAAAAATGCAAGCAAGTTTCGCCATTTTTCAATTGCAACTGATGAGTCACTGGACAGCTGTTCCACCTCTCAACTGCTTGTGTTCATTAGAGGTGTGGATGAAAACAAGAACACAAGAGATGGTTTCCCTACATAACATGTATGGTACTGTTACCGGAGAGGATATATTCAATGAGTTAAAAATAAAACATTTGCTGATTATAACTTGAACTGGACTAACCTCAGTTACCTGACTGTTGATGGGGAAAAGTACTTGGTTGTATTCTTCACCAGCAAGCTTTGTGTACTAAATATGTGGACATTAGCAGTATACTAAATCCCTTGGTGAAGATGGTGAATTTAATAAGGTCACATGGGCTCATCCATAGATATTTCAGAGACATGTTGAAAGATACAAACAGAATCGCAAGAATTATCAGACTACCCAGCAGTAAGATGGCTAAGTTGTGTGAAAGTTTTGAGCAGAGTATTGAAATGTGTATATATATATATATATATATATATATATATAAAATATATATATAAAATATATATATAACATATATATAAAATATATATAAATATATATAAAATATATATAAAATTTTGTTGGGGGGGTAGACGGTAGAGGTTCTTCGGGGGGGGGGGGGGGGGGCGCCACCCCGAAAAGATGCCTAGATGAAACTCTGGCCCGCGAACTGATATTTGATAGTTAATGCTGCCCTCGGGCTGAAAAGTTTGGAGACCCCTGTTCAAGAGGCTAAGTGAACTTATTGCATCATCATCACTCCTTTGTGGCCCCTGGGGAGCAAAGGGCTGCAACCACACATCTCCAGCGGACTTGGTTTTGGGCTGCTCCTCTAATCTGTGCCCATGAGAGCCCAGCTGTTTTCGTCTCCTCCTCAACCGTTCTCTTCCATGTTTTCCTTGGCCGGCCCACCCTCCTTTTCTCCTGGGGATTCCAGTCCAATGCATGTTTTCTTAACATCCCCATTTACGGGCCTTAATATCTTTCTCTATCGGCTGTTGTTTTAAAATTTGCCACAGGTCTTTGTTTGATATTTTGTCTGGCCATCTTATTTTGAGTATATGTCGTAAGCATTTGTTTATGAACGCCTGTAGCCTATCAGTATTTGTCTTCGTAACCCTCCAGGTCTCCGAGCCATAGAGTAGCACTACCTTAACATTCATGTTGAAAATCCCAATTTTGCTCCGGAGTGACAGGGCCGTGGACCTCCACATAGGGCGCAGTGAGTTGAAGGCACATCTGGCCTTGTTGATACGGCATTTTATGTCCTCGTCTGCTCCCCCGTCCTTATTGATCACGCTTCCCAGATATGTGAATGTGTTTGTTTCTCGTAAATCTTCTCCATTTAGCTGTATGGGCAGGTCCTGGCTGTTATTGATTCTGATGACCTCTGTTTTGTTTTTATTGATTTTTAGTCCAATTTTGGAGGCTTCTTCAGACAGCCGATTCAGTTTGGCTTGCGTGTGTTGATGCTTATGAGATAGTAGGCAGATGTCATCGGCAAAATCAAGATCCTCCAATCTTTTTGTAAAACTCCACTGGATTCCTGTGTAATTTTTTGTGGCCCTCAGCATGATCCAGTCAATTACCATCAAGAATATCATTGGCGATAGCATACATCCCTGTCTTACTCCCGTGGTCACCGTGAATGGTTTTGTTAGCTTTCCCTTGTGTATTACCTGACTGGTGGAGTCTTCATATAGTTTCTGTGTAATAGATATAAATTTTTTTGGGTATTCCATAATGGCTCATTAACTTCCAGATAGCATCTCTATTCACACTGTCAAATGCCTTTTCAAAGTCGACAAAAGTCATGTATAACGGGGATTGCCACTCAAGGGACTGTTCGATAATGATGTGCAGCGTGGCAATGTGGTCAGTACATGACCTGTCCTGACGAAAACCAGCCTGTTATTGTCTCAGCTTTTTGTCCAAGGCATCTCTAAGTCTCTCTAGGATGATTCTTGTCAGAACCTTACTTGGAACTGAAAGAAGCATTATCCCTCTCCAGTTGTTGCATTGTGTCAGGTCTCCCTTCTTTGGCAGTTTATTCAGGTATCCCAGTTTCCAGTCAGATGGGATTATCTCTTCTTCCCAAATATGCTTAAGTAGAGGATGTAGTATGTCTGCTGATATGGCTGGGTCTGCCTTGAGTGCCTCTGGTGGGATGCCGTCCGGGCCAGCTGCTTTGCCATTTTTCATGTTTTTTATTGCTCTTATTGTTTCTAACTTTGTGGGTGGATCTGTAGGTGATTTGCAGGTGGTATATCAGGGATGTTTGATGAGAGAGGATGGTTTAAAATCTCATCAAAGTTCATCTCTCTGTTCTGTGTCACTTGTTAAGATATTTCCTACTTTATCCTTTACTGGTTTGTTGGGATTAATGTTCTTGCCTGATAGTGTCCTGGTTACTTCATAGGGCCTCTTCATTTTTCCTTGTCGTGCCACAGTTTCTGCCTCCTCTATCATCTCCTGTATGAACCGTCTTTTGTCTTCTTTTGCACTTTTCCTGACCATGCGATTTACTTCACAATAATGTGTTCTGAGGTTTATTATTCTTTTTCATTCTTACATTTATTAATCTTCTGCTTTATTTCTTTTCTATCTTCAATTTTGGCCCATGTCTCTTGTTGTGAACTATTCTTTTTGCTCATTTTTTCTTCTCCCCAATATGTCAGTGAATGTTGATTTCCATAATTCCTGTATTCCTTGCCATTTTTGCTCTACTGTTTCCTCTGCCAGGCTGGAGAGTGTTTCATACCTATTTTTTACTGCGCAGTTAAAGTCTTCCTTTATTTTTGGACACCTAAGATATGTTGTATTGAATTTAAAGTGTGTTTTATCAGCTCGATCCCTGTAGGATTTTAGTTTTAATTTTAGTATTGCAACCACGAGTTGGTGGTCTGAGGCTGCATCTGCACCTCGTTTCACCCTAACATCTATTAAACTTCTTCTCCACTTTCTGGAAAGTTGATGTGATCAATTTGGTTTTTTGTTTTGTCATCGGGTGACGTCCAGGTGGTCATATGTATATCTTTATGAGCGAAAATTGTCCCCCCCTATAATTAGATCATTAAATGCGCAGAAATCAGCAAAGAGTTCCCCGTTTTCATTTATTATGCCTATTCCATTTTTCCCCATTGTGAGCTCCCGTTCTTTATTTTCTGTTCCAACTTTGGCATTCATGTCTCCCATTACTATCTTTATATCTCTTTTTGGTGATTTGTCGATTTGAGCCTGCAGGGCGCTGTAGAAGTCCTCTTTCTCTTCATCTGTTGCAGCATTTGTGGGTGCATAGCACTGGATTAAAGTTGTTTTCCTTCCCTTGGCATTGAAATGAGCTGCTATGAGTCATGGCGAGACTGGTTCCCATGCAATCAAAGCAATTGTTGCTTCTGGAGACATCATTATGGCTACACCTTGCGTGTGTTCATGATCTTCGTCCTTGTGACCTGAGTAGATGACAGTCTCTCCCGATACCAACCTAGTTTGGCCACTGCCGTTCCATCGTGTCTCACTTAATCCTAGGACCTTTAATTTATACCTCCTCATTTCCTTGGCGACCTGGGCTGAGTGCTGCTTTCATATAGGGTTCTGATATTCCAGGTCCCCAATCTGGTTTTGGTCTTGGGCGTTAGGAGATTTGTCAGCAAACTAGCTTCCGTTAGGCTTTCACTAGTAGGCATCATGGGCTCTTCTAGAGAGGATCCCCTTGACCAAGTTGGTGCTGGATTTGTGTACTTGCAGTTTCTGTAGCGGTATATTTTTTTTACGAGATAAGGTTGTTAGCCTTATGTTTCAACCCCCAATCTGGAGGACCAGGGTGTTAGCTTTGGTCTGATCCCTACCCGCGCAGACCTTCCCAGCTTGGTTGAACCTACCAGGAGTTTACACTCCCGCTGGTATAGCTTTGGGGGTGGTCAAGGATACACAAGCTGCCAAGACACGACAAGGCTCTAACACCGGATGCCAGGAACTTATTGCATACCTATGTGCAATTATTATTATCCTTTTTACATTCAATTTTGTGTTTATGCCCATAGAACAAATCATTTTATTATTTAAAGCCATACATGTTTCATCTAATTTAGGTACTAGTGGTTGTGCAGAGGATTTATTAAATGAAGTTAAAGATAGAGCCCGTGAGGAACTCAAAGTTGATGTAGAAGACCAAGGAAAGATAAGGTTTGGTGTCTGGGTAAGCTTTGCTGAAATCTACAATGAACAAATCTTTGATCTCCTAGAGCCTATGCCTATTAAAAAAAATGCAAGACGCCCAGTGTTGAAGATATGTGATGATAGGAATGGAAATCCTTATGTAAAAGGTACTTAAAAGTTACTTTTAGATTTTGAATTCTTTAGTTTTCATAATTAACATTCCATTTTTAAAAATTGTTTGATGACTTTCAAGCATTTTATAATCCCTTGCTTGATACATTTGAATGAAACTGAAATTTTTATTATGAAATTGACAAGTACATTATTGTTGCATTTTTAATCAGGCTTGAAAGAAATACATGTAGAAACAGCTGATGAAGCTTATAAGCTGTTAACTATAGGTCAGCGAAATTTACAGACAGCTTGCACACGTTTGAACCACTGTTCCTCTCGCAGGTAATTTTACTGTTAAAAATTAGAAAATATCTACCTTAATTATTTTTCTAATTTATACTAATACTACTTTTGAAAAATGGGCTGTCAAATGTAGTTTTATTATAATCTTTATTATTTTTATGTAGCAAAATTTTGTACACACATGAACTGGAGATTTTAAATTTTAATTTCAGCCATTGCATATTTAACATTAAGATAGTCAGAGTTGCAGACAAAGATGACCCTCACATTGCACGAGTAAGCATGTAAGTATGTTATATAATTCTCATAAGTCTAAAGTCCACTGCTGGTTCTATTGTTGTTAAAAATAGCTTGTATTAAAATATTTGTTTTGCTTAGCTAAGAAATTATTTATGTTCAGCATAACAAAACCTTCACTTTAAATGTTTCATGTTTATGATGACAGGCTATCGTTATGTGACCTTGCTGGATCAGAAAGATACTCCAAAACACAAGCAACTGGTGATCGCCTGAAAGAAGCAGGTAACATCAATTCTTCTCTGATGACACTTGGACGATGCATTGAAACGTTGCGACATAACCAGCTTCACAAGTAAGTTCAATTTCTAGTCAGTACAACATTACCTAAAGTTTTTTTGTTTTATAATTCATTACAAGTAAAGTTAAAATGTTGAAGTACATGGTTTTGCTTTTAATTTTAAGTAAAAATAGTTAAACATGCACTATTTACGGAGTCTGCCCCTAAACCATTTGTATCTTGAATCTGTATAAACTATTTTTTTTTTGGCCTTGTCTTTTCCCAGAGATCAGCAAAAATTAGTCCCATTTCGTGACAGTAAACTGACTCGTCTTTTACAAAACTTCTTTAATGGCAGTGGGCGAGCAGCCATGATAGTTAATGTCAGTCAATGTGCTACAATGTTTGATGACACACTTCATGTTTTCAAGTTTTCTGCCATAGCTAAACAAGTAAAATATATAGAAAAACCTCCAGAAAAACCCAAAAAGACTTTGCCCCCAAGGGAATCAATTCAATGGGAGACACAAGGTATTGAAAGTGTTTAGGTGTTTGTTAAATATCATAAAGTGTTTGTTGAAAATGATACTTGTTTATTAAAATTATTCTATTACCTTGTCATATACTCATTTTAAAAAAAAAAGTAAATAGCAGAATCTTTAAAGATAGGATAAACAATTGGCATGATGCGTAGTTTAAAAAATATATAAAAATTTTAAAATATGCAGAAGCTGCCTTAAGAGCTGCACAAAATGATCCTCTTCCAGAGGATGATGATGAGGAAGATGAATTGAATGATGAGGAAGAGGAGAGCTCTGAAAATTTCAAGAACATGAAAGAAATTAGAGGATACATTAAAGTAAGTTATATTTTTCGTTCAGATTTATATTGTTTACTAATAATAATAATTTCTTGTTTAATTTTAGTTATAGTAATAAAAGACAGTTCCTGTAAAAATCAAGTGTATATCCTTTAGTAGTTCACAACAGATGTATGTTGTATCTCTGTATTGTACTTTTTAATGTTACAGAACCTTGAGAGGAGAAATGAAAAACTTGTGGAAATGTTGGAAGAAGAGATGAATGCTGCTAGCAGTAATGAAAATAGAGTTAAAAAGGAAGTTACGCAAGCTATGATGAAGCAAGTGATGAATATTGAAGAAACATATAGGTAAAAAGATTTTTAAAATTTGTTTTAAATTTAATTTTTTAAATCTATTCTTTAGAATATGGGTGATGCTGCCAAAAAAGGCTAAAAAGTAGCTTTATATTGACAAAATTAATGTGTATAAAATAAAATAGCTTGACATGTTTATGTGATGGTAGTAAAAAAGTAATAGTATAATCAGTCACTGTATTATAGAAGAAAAACTGTTATTTGAAATTGGAGATGTAAACATGTGCCAAATACAACAGAAGTCTAGAATTCACATCACTCAAGATAATGAAATAACACAAAATCCTTAATTTAGCTATCTGTGTTTTGAATTTGAATCTGTTCAGGTTTTTGATGTTTGAAAAAATCTAAATAAAGATGTTTTTTGACAAAATTAAATGCTTTTAGGTTTAAACCTTTAAAAAAAATATTATAAAACAGTCAACTTTTTTGTGTTTACAATGCTAATCTGCATTTAAAGGTTTAAGTTTTTTAATTTAGCTATAAATACGGTTTATTAATATTATTTACTACATGTATAGATTTCATTTTTTTAATTGTCACTAAAGCGCTTTGCTAAAAGAGACAAGGGAAGAAGGCCAGGAATTGGCAGATGAACGGGTTAAAGGAATAATGGAAGTCTATGAACAACGCCTTCAAAGAATTCAAAAGAAAGTTGATGAGGATGATGAATGGGTTTCCAGCTTATTATATCACCAAGAACAAGTTAAAGTTCAGGTATAGGTTACATACTTTAAAAAATTAACTTGTTCATAGTGTTAAATCCAGTATTTTTTCCCTTTTATTATGTTAAACAATTTTAGTGTGTATTTGGGAGATATTCAATAAACAAGTGAAGTTTATTTTATAGGAAAGAGATCTCCAGATTACTGAGCTTAAAAATTTGGTTGCACAGCTTAAATCTCAAGTAGAATCCAAAAAATTGGTAAGTATGTTGATTACTTTTTACATTTTAGTAAATTTATTCCTACAAATTTATAGTAGCTTCCCACAGATTTTCTAGTAATTTACTTTTCAGGAACATCTCTGATTTGAGCTTTAGATTTTCCCCCATTGTATGGCTTAAGTACTGGAAGATAACAAACATATCTAATATTTTTTACATTGTCTAAAAATTTTGTAGCTTTAGTTAGCAACCTTTAAGCATATTTTATTTTCTGATTTTTATGATGTTCATAGAGTGCAGATGATTCAGTGGATATTGGAAACTCTGCTGTTATTGAAACACTTACTCAAAAATTACAGTCAGTTTCAAATCTTTCTAAAGAAAAGGTAATCTATTAAGTTTAAAAATGTTGATTATTCTAAATACTCTTACTTATTTAAAAGCTTGTAAAAGAAAATTAAGCAAACGGAAGTTTTAATGTAATTATCCTTACCCCAGAGACAAATTTCAATAGTTGTAAATCAGCGGAAATCTGATATTTCCGCTGTTAGAGCTGCAACTTTTTTTTTATATTTTCATTTTCTCCTACTTTTTTTGGCTATTTTTTTGTTTTGCTGGTTTTTTTAATTTGGGGAACAAACAGAGATGACAACCGACATGCATTCCACACGATCCTATAAAAATTGGCCTACCAATACTAGACCTATATCAAGAATTTGTTAATTACTTTGTATACCATTTAAACGGACAATTGAATATGCAAATTTCTTTTCAATTTGGTGATAACGCTAGGTCTAACAGCAGGTCTACCCGATAAAACTAAATCTAGCTCAAGATTCAGCCCACGTAAAAAGAATTTTTACATTTTTTTTTAATTCACAAGGCTATTTTTAACTTTCAGAATAATTTATAATTTCTTTTCTAGGATGCAAAGATAGACGAGTTGGAATCCCTTTTAACTGAAGCTGGGGAAGTTTACAATAAGCATATGGTTGACATAAAAGAACTGAAAGAAACTATATGTCAACAGAATAAAAAGTTAGAAAACCAAGTACGTATTGTTTTTCTTTTGCAAAATATTAAACGTTGAGTCATTTTTATTTTATATATATATTAAACATATAGGAGTTATGTTTGGTTGATTCATAGCAGTTTAATAAAAAAAACATTTATCATTTGTTTTTCAAAAACATCGTTCTAACAGAAACATTTCTCTAATTATATCTACAGTTAACCTCTGTAGCGGAACTTAATAAAAAGCTGGTTGACATAACAGAACAAAAAGATTCTGAAATGAAGGCTTTGGAAGAAGACACCACAAAGAAACTAAAAAGTAAAGACAAAACTATATCAGCACTTGAAGAAGAGTGCAAGGAACTTCATGGTATTTATGCTACTTACTTATATTTATAACTTCTCATTAACCTCCCCTTAACTTTCCTTAGACTTTCCAAATACTTTTTAAAGAGGTAAATGAAGTTATTATTATAGGCTAATTTATTAAACTTCAGCCAACTGTTTTTATTAGTTTGATTGTCACCAACACCTTTATATCCAAACATTTATTTCAGATGAAATTGAAAGACTTCAAGATCAAATGAGTCAGTTAGATGAGCAGAGTAGATACAGAAATGAATTTGAAACTTCATCAGTACCAGAAAAACTGAATAACTCATCAAAAAGTGTTGATAAAATAGTTACTAGCATCACTAAGGGATTAGATGCTACTTATGTAGAAACAGATTCAAAAAACACATCATTGGAGGTCTCTCCAGCATTTAATCACAGCATAGGAAAGGAGTCTCTAGATTTAGCCAAGGGTGAAGATAGTATGATTATATCTTTGCAAATACAAAATGAACAGATGCAAGCAGACATCTCTGAATTAAAAGTTAAGTTAAATCAGTCCTTGGTTGAAATTGCAGAAGCAAATGAAATGATAAAGAATTTACAAAATGACAATGAAGAAATAAATGAAAAGTATAAAATTTCTGAAATGTCTGTGAAATCACTGCAAGAGGAAAATAAAGCTTTATCAGAAAAAGTGAACTCTTTGCATCAGGCTAATGAGGAATTACTTGTAAAAGTTAAACAACCAACAAATTCCTTTTCTGTGAGTATTACTGAAATGGTGAGGAAAATAGAGAACAATCTATCTGCCAGTGAGCACCATACTGAGGCAGAAGAAAAATCCGAAGATTTGAACATCAAAGATCAGTTGTCAGAAATGTCAGTGTATAAAGAACAATTTTCCAATATGGAACAAGCTTACAAGGAAACCAAAGAAAAATTGCAAGTGCTAGAAGAATTAAAAGTTAAGCTTGAAACAGAGTTAGCTGGCCTTAAAGTAACTCTGTCTACTAAAGAAGACAACCTGAAAAATGTATATGAAGAATACAACAAAAAGCTTGAGTCTCTTCAGGCAGAGTTCACCAGCGAAGAAGATGTTAAAACAGAAACCATTGCAGTGTTAAAAAAGCAGTTGGAAGATGTAAAACAGGAGTTGGATCTTAAAAAAAAAGAGGTAAGTTGTTTGTTAGTTGTGTACACTAAATAGATTGTTTGGATGGGATAGTCTAGTTTAAATTATTTTGCTTTGCAATACTAAGTTGCACTGGTAAACTTTAATTTCCTTTGTGTTCATTTACAGATATAAGGTGCCTGATTCTCAGATTATATCTAAAAATCTGTTTAAAATGATGAATAGATGAACCAAGAATAATTCTGTTGAATAACTGAGATAAACAATTGTAGATCTTAAATTGTTTCCGATATAACTTGTGTTAATAAATTAAGCTGAAGTATTTAATTTAATTTCCTATTTGTTGAATTAGTATGAGAAGCTTGAGTGTCAAAGACAAGAAGATGGTGCTGAAGTTTCACAAAAACTGTTGGTTTTGGAGCGGGAAAAGAAAGCAGCTGAAAGAAGGGCAATTGAGGCTAAAGAGAGAGAAGAAGAGTGGCAAATGAAATGTCAAGGGCTGGAAAAAATTAAACAGGTAGAGGAAAACATTTATATCCTATCAAAACCTCTAGCTTCAATTAACTTACTAGTAAGTTGCATTAGATACAAAAGCTATATCTCTTTATTAACATCTGGTAAATATTAAAAGGACATCTTTAATATTCTCCCAAGTAGGGCAAGGCTCAAACAATTTTATTATTTTTCATTTTAAACAATTCAGTGCTTTTTTGTATTGGTATGTTGTGGTCTAGAAGTAACCTTGGCTTAAACGTAATAATCATTACATATTGATACTAAATCTAAGCATAGATCTTACACTTAGGCATGGCATTAGACTCACATTTGACTTAAGTCCTGTAAATACTAAATTTAGACTCAGTTACTGCTCCACACAGATTTACTACACCTGGATGGTAAACTCAATCATACAGACCTTTTTTAGTCTCAACTGACAGTTTAGACCTCATGCCTAGACTGCTTACATATTTATATACCATGTCTAGCATTTAGTATGTAATTTTACAGAAAACATATGCAATTCATACAATCTGTGGTCATGTGTAGAAATACCTTGATTGGTATAGTCTTATTACAGGTCATGTTTAAACTGTCCATTTTAGAAAGATTTCTAGGAAAGATCTTTCAAAATGAAAGAAATATAACATCTTGCTAATTCTACACTACTGATTTCTGTTTTGGGTATTATTAGAAAAGTTAATAAGAACATATTTCACATAAGTTTCTTATATCTTTCATTGTGTACATAGCCTAGATTATCTTTAAATTGTTAATTTTGAAACATTTGAAAAGTGAGTAAAATAATTTGAGATTCATATATCAACCACTTAAAAAATTTGGAAAACCCCATTTAGCAATTGAATACTCTAAAATTTAATGCTGTCTCATTAGTTGCTTTTTACTATGAAAATATAGTGCTTTTTTTTTCTAATGCCATATTAACATAAAATAAAATGTTTATTCATATACATTTAGTCTACACCATACTTTATTATAAATATTTCCCACATTTATTTATGTTTGATGTACAGGATAATTTCTAAATGCATCATTATTTGGTGATTTGGCTTGGACTTTGAAAAACCAAATTTTAATACGAAGAAATAACTAGGTAGTTTTTATTTTCCTCCTGTGCTTTTAGCTAGAACAAAAGTTGCATGAGCAACTTAGGACTACAGTAAACACCTTGAGAAAACAGTCTGAGCAAATGAATGAGCAAAAAGAAGAATTATCTGCAAAACAAGAGGAGCTGAATCAACTTAATGAGAAGCTTGATTTTCTAAAATCATGTGTGAGATTATCTTTCTTTGCACATAGCTGAGCTATTGAGGAGTTAAATACTATAGTGGTTAAAGTGTCAGTTAGAAACCACTAGTTTACCATCAGCTGAAAGAAGCATTTAATTCACTTAAAATACTCTAAATCTAAATTAAAAATAGTTATAACAAAATGTAATTATTAGATTTATAATTTATTTAGTCTATTGTACCTATTTTGCGTTAGAGAATTTTGTGTGTATTTTTCGTTTTATAATTTTTGTCCATGTATATATCATAGTTTAATAGTTCCTTGCATAATTAACATTACTAAATGAAAAAACAAACATTATTTTAAAAATATGCAACATCAAATAACAAGATACCTCTCACAATTATAGTGAGATTTTTCTATTTTGAAATATTTTACTGCAATGTTGAAAAATAAACACCAAAAAATGAAAATGAAAAGTTGTTAGAATATTTTTATGCTGCTTTATGAGGTTTTATAAAAAAAATTACTTTATTTTCATTTATGTTACTAAATTATGAACATTTTTGTTTAGAAAGTTTCAATGCAAAAAAGAGTAGATGATCTGCAACAAGAAATAAATGCAGAAAAGGAAGAAAAGAAACGTCTAGAAAAGGGTATGCTTTAGATGTTTCCTAGATGTCAAATTTGTATTAGTTTATTGAATTCAAGGAGATCATAACTAATTAAATTTTAAAATTCTTTCTTTTGTTATGAACATCACTGGCTCAGTAGGCATCTCCCATTAGCCAGGCAGGCCTGATAAGGCAAACTCTGACTAACTGGCTTAGATATCTGTTTTATAACCGTGTATCGCCACTTGAGTCCTATACCCCTGAATGCAAGGTAAACTTGGAGCCCACCATCCAGTACCCTGCTCGAAAGTAGGGGTAGTTCATACCTAAAAAGTTTTGAACCAGAACTGCCTTCCACCTCAGGTACATTGTACCGCCTAGTAAAAATAAAAAAGGCAGTCAAGAAGGAGAAAGAATATTCTAAATGAACTAATTTTTCTTATTTTTTGTCACATTTTGAAACATTTCTTAGAAATTTCATGGTTTAAAAATAAATCTTATCTGCCTGATGAAAAAGTATTTCCTTGTATTAATTTCAGTGTTGGAAGAGTGAACAAAATAACAATTTGTGTCAATATTTTTACACAGATTTTCTGGAACAAACTGCTCAACTTGATCTTATAAAAAGTAGTTTTAAGGAAGCCGAAGAAATGATGGATCAGCAGGAAAAGATAATTAACAGACAAGATGATGATCTACTTCATATGAAAAATGGTATAATAAAATTATAATAAACCCTTTTTACGAATTTTTCCTTTTTATTCCGTTTCCTCACAATTTTCCATCAAACATGGGTAATGCTTACAATAAAAAGCTAAATATTTGATCTTTTAATCTCAGCACTGGGCAGAATGTTTTTTTTTTGCTACATGAACAATGAACCCTACTTTTGCTTTTTAAATAGGGGCTGTAATAAAACATGAATAATTTTTTTTTTCACAGAAATGAGAATGGTTGTAAAACAGAAAGAAGAATTAGATGCAATTGTGAGCTCAAATAATCTTGAAATTTGTAATTTAAATAATCAGGTAAATATAATATATCATAATCATTTTATTTCTCTCCTAGGATTTTAATTAAAATGGAAAATTTAAAAAGGCTGATAAAAATGAAATCTACTTGTCTGCCCCTATAAATTTATAATTCTTTTCAGATATCAAAACTTAAAGAAGAAGTTAGTAGACTTCAGATACTTGAAAACAGAGCAAAAGAAGTGGAGCAGAGAGAAAAAATTACTGAGAATCAAATGCAAAAAACTAGTTGTGAGAAAAAATCATTAGAAGACAAGCTGGAAAAGTTGGAGAAAGAAAAACTCTCCTACGAAGAAACAATAGAAAATTACCTAAAGATGAGCAAGGCGTTAAAAAAAGACTTAGGTGAATGTGAAGAAAAATTACATGATGCTGAAAAACAGAAACGAACATTAGAGAAAAATCTTTTAAAAATGACAGAAGAACAAAAGTCTCTAAAAGAAACAATTGACTTAGTCCACAAAGAAAAAAGTTTATTACAGGAACAGATTCATCACTTTGAGACACAAGTAAAAGATTTGACAGATGTAAGTATTTATATGCTTATGAAATCTTATCTGTATTTGTATTGTTTATAAATGTACTTGTACATAGAAAGCACTGGTCTTTATTTATCAATGGTAATCTATAGATAAATAAATAGAATTGGACATTTTTTATGTTCAAGCAAATTTCTTTATAATTACTTTAGTTTTTTCTTTTAATTTTACTTTAACTTATTTTTTTCAGTCCAAGATAGAAAATGAAAATTTCCATAAAAACAACCAAAATAAGATTTCTGAACAGTTGGAGCTTCATAATAAACAACTTCAACAGGAGATTGAATCACTGAAACTAGATATTCAAAGTAAGACATTGTTTTGTGCATATGTACCATGTATTTTATATATTACTCCTTTGAAAATTGGTTTACTGTACCTGTCTTAAGTAGCCTACTTAAAGAATACAAAGATAATGCAAATATAATTGCTTGTATTTGATGTGATATTTTAAAAGAAATTAATTTTAAATAGATCTGCTAGTTTTTTACTTTCTCCAACAGATATCTGCATTTAATAGCATTTAATAGTATGGAGGTAAAAAAATACTTTTCATAAACAAATTGTGTACATTGTTTCTTATCTACCTCTCCAGGCAAACAAAAACAGTTTGATGCCCTTCAGGAATCTTTAAATGAAACTGTAGAGAATAAAAAGGTTTGCAATTTAATAGGTCTTTTATATATTAATTTTATTAACAATTAATTTTAAATATGTTTTTATTAGTTTTTTTTTAAATTCTGTAATGTTTAACAAGGTAAGTGACCATAAACATTAAAAAACATTTCTTAAGATACAAAATTAAAGACAACAGTTGATTAATTAAAATATGTTTGTTTTAGACTGTTGAAAAGGAACTACAGAAACAAGAAAGTATAAATAAAAGAAACAGAGAAGAAATGGAGGTAAAACAAAATTATTCCTTAGTTTTTAACAATTAGCCCAACATTGGAAATGTAATATCAAAGTTTTAGGTTGTCATGCAGTACTATTTGTTTCCTGAATTCAGAACTGGAAGAAAGAAAAAGATACTTGTGTGAGACAGCTAGAGAACCTGATCAGCAAAAGACATGAAGAAAATAGTTTTCTTGCTCATGAGGTATTGTACAATATCACTACTATTACTTAAGCGATTGAAGGGGGACTTCTATATTCTGACTACTTGGTGCCGATCTGGAGCTTTTTCTTCATACCTGGACTATCAATAATAATTTTTTCATCTTTTAGTTAAGTCTAGCTTTTTGATCTATTCACTGTTACTCTGTTACTGAGCTACATAAGTTCACTCATAGGCGTTGTGAAAATTGCAAAATGTTCAGAAGAAAAATGTTTTTTTGCCAGTTCCATTAATGCTTAATTAAAGTAGGTAGTCCAAACTGAAATTAACTATTGATTGCAGACTTCTGGAGTGAGTATGTCATGAAAGAACTTTTAATTGTAAGCTCTATGCCACAAATTTTATAAAAATCTATATATATAATTCTCTTCTTCGAGCCGTTAGAAAACAAGCTGCAAACGCTCTCCCTACCTCCCCACCCCTACATGGTTTTAGTGAGCTGTGTTCACTCTAAATGTTTACAAGCAGAGCCAACGATTTTAAACGTAGGGGGGGGGGGGAGGAGGGGGGAAGGAAGGAAGGGGGGGGGGGTTATGGTCCTTAACGAGCTACTTATAGTGTTTTAAAGAAATATTTTCAGTGTCAGCGTTGGTACTGTCGAATTCACAAATTATGAATTATTGAAAATTAGAAACAACTAAATAGCGGCGTATGTTATGCCGCGGGCCGGCTCGTATCTTAATAAATAAAAAAGTTATGCGATTTTTAAAAAAGCAAAATTTGGTAAAAAACTGATTTTTAAAAAGTGCCATATTTGAGAACCCATATTTTCTAAACTAAATAACATAGAAGTGTAGAAATTGGTAAAGTTACTGCAAAGTTTGTAATATATATGCCCAATTTTTTTCAGTTATCTAAAATGAGTCTTTCTAAGGTAAAAAATAATTGAAAATGACAAAAATGCGTTTTGGTCACTTTTATTTTCATAATTTTTTTTTTTTTTTTGCTTTGGACATAGAATAACTCTAAAACTATTTTGTTGGTAACATTAACAGGAATAATGTGTTCATTATTTTAAAAAATCACATGAGTTAAAATATTATTTTTAAAAAGTGCCACAGTTATCTAGAGCATGAGAAACAGAATCCAAATTTAGTGGAGTAATGTAATCTAATCTAATAAAGACGTGATGCCTACAAGTAATGCAGCAGTTGCTGCTACATTCAAACCTATTGGGTTGATAACTGCTTTGGGGGAACAGTTTTTAAAACGATAACTCCACATCTTTGTATGTCTTGTTTCCCCCAACCTTGATCTTGTGGAGCATCAAGAGTAAGTGATATGTTTTGGGAACTGTAGTTGGGGGGGGGGGGGGGCTTGGCCTTCTTCCCTTCCCTTGTAAGGAAAGTTCTGGATAGGCCACCATAAATGTCTCCAGCTATGGAATAAATAATTGATTTAGTGATTAATAAAATATAATTAGATTTACTACTAGCCTATTGTGTAGGCCTACTATTTATCCTGTGACTGTAGCTGGAAACATGAAAAAGCCTGAAAACACCTTTTTGTTTAAAGAAATTTATACTTGATAGTATATTTTGAACATTAATGAAATATTCGTTGTTTGTGCCACAATGGTTGAGATATCCAATGATGAAGATGCCATACTGTGGTTCTCAACATCATATAGGACAACTTAACTGTCCTTCAGTGTTACTATATGCATATAAAATAAATAAATAATGAGAAATACTACTAGATTCTAGTACTACTTACACTTACAACTATTATAACACTAGATAAATGGCCCGTTGAGGAAGGGTACAACGGGCGCTAGGCTGATAGTGCTGTCTCTTTTCTCTAAACTAAAACCATCCCACCCCCCCCCACACACCCCCACCCCCCCCCACCCCACACACACCACCCCCACCCCCCACCCCCACACACACCTCCACCCCCCACACACCACCCACCCCCACCCCCACCCCCACCACCCCCCACCCCCCACACACCTCCCCCCACCCACCCCCACCCACCCACCCCCACCCCCCAAAAAAACATGTCTACCGTCCCATTCAACGAAATATAATTATATACTTTTTCCAGTGTCCGCCCCCTTCCCGAAAATTCTACCCCCGCCCCCGAAAACCTCAAGTACCCCCTGCCCCTCTCCGGGGAGGAAAAAGTCTGAAAGAAACACTGGTGTCGCGCTTAGCCACTACGCGAAGAATTGCATTAAAGAAATTGCGAGAAAACCACTTTTTAGATTAGACACATTAATTAGGTGGTAATTTTATTATAGAGTATCGATGAGGAAACCACCCCACCCCACCCCCCCCACACACACACCTCCACACACCACCCACCCCCACCCCCACACACACCACCCCCACCCCCACCCCCCACACACCACCCGCCACCCCCCCCCCCCACACACCACCCCCCACCCCCCCCCCCCACCTCCCCCCCCCCCCGCCACCCCCCACCTCCCACCCCCCACCCCCCACTCCCAAAAAAATCATGTCTACCGTCCCATTCAACGAAATATAATTATATACTTTTTCCAGTGTCCGCCCCCTCCCAGAAAATTCTACCCCCGCCCCCGAAAATTTCAAGTACCCCCACCCCTCTCCGGGGAGGAAAAAGTCTGAAAGAAACACTGAAACCAACCCACCCCCCACACACCACCCCCCACCACCCCCCCCACACACCACCCCCCACCCCCCCCCCCCACACACACCACCCCCCACCCCCCCCACCCCCCCACACACCACCACCCCCCCCCCCACCCCTCCACCACCCCCACCCCCAAAAAAAACATGTCTACCGTCCCATTCAACGAAATATAATTATATACTTTTTCCAGTGTCCGCCCCCTCCCAGAAAATTCTACCCCCGCCCCCGAAAATTTCAAGTACCCCCACCCCTCTCCGGGGAGGAAAAAGTCTGAAAGAAACACTGAAACCAACCCACCCCCCCACACACCACCCCCCCCCCCACCCCCACACACCACCCCCCCCCCCCCACACACACACACACCCCACCCCTCCACCCCCCCCCCCCCCCCCCAAAAAAAAACATGTCTACCGTCCCATTGCAAGAAAACCACTTTTTAGATTAGACACATTAATTAGGCGGTAATTTTATTATAGAGTATCGATGAAGAAATTTCTTTTGAGTTGGGGAGGGGGGGGGGGGGCTCAGACGTTCTTACGCGGGGGGTGGGGCTTCGCCCCTACCCGAAGAATTGTATGCAAGAAACTCTTCACGCAAACCATTTAGATTAGACAACATTTCCTTTTTTTCAATGTTTACGCGAGAATCAATGACGTCATTACATTACTGTGTGCACTCTCTGGTTTGAGATTATGTTCTACTCTACGCTAAATGTGTCGACGTCATATTTCGTTTTTCGAATTACTGTGCATGTTTTTAAATTGCTTGTGTTTTCTCTAGAGCGTTCTTGTCAGACAGAGCGTTCTTGTCAGATACACAGACAGCGAAACTATTATTATAGATTTAAAACTAAGTCACAACATGTACAATCTTATTAAATTGCACCACCGTCTAAAAATTGATCTGGTACATTTTATTAAGGAGACTGGCGCAGACCATTTCACATTATTCAGCAGGGGAATCAGAATCAAAGTGCACAACAGAAAAATAAAAATTAATCACATTAGTCCTTAAAATTTAGTGTCTTTTGTTTTAAATAAATTGTTAAAAATGTATAGTTATTACAATTATAAGTTTCTTTTGTGTTTCAATAATATTTTATAAGTATTTAACCTTCGTTCCCTGTAAATAATTGAGTTCGTCCACATAGTAACCAAGAATGTCTGGTGGCCATTTTGAATTTGTCGATTCATAATTTTGACGCGATAGTCCAGATAAGCTGTAGTAATACGACCCTATCATTAATCCCACTCGATAGATTTTAAAGAATTAGTAAACACTAGCATCTAATAGTTAAGTGCATCCATATTTTAAGTCCCTAGAATGTCCTGAATTAAATAGCTTCACGTTTAAACACACCATGTGTACAAGCGTAGTTCACGCGCTAAAACCGTGGACTAGTAGGGTTCAAATTTACATTAATAACGTGTGCTAATTAAACCAAACTGACATTCAAACTTAAAATTCATTTATTAAAATGGAAATGAAACTTTAAAAATGATACTTACAACTTGTTTGAAGGCTCTAGCAAGGGTAAAATCCGTTTAGCATCATCGGTCGTCAACCTTTAAAACCGTTCGGCGAGCAACTGACTCGGGGCTGAAAGTTGACTCGAGGGTTATATGCTTATTGAGGGTACGGCTTCGCGACCGTAAATCAGAAAGACTTGAATTTACAACACAAAGTAGTTATAAAAGTGAACTTTACATCGGTGTAAAGATTGAAACAGAATTAGTTTGTTTTCGTGTATATATCGTCATTTAAAGTTTAAAAACTGATTTTTTAAAATGAAATAAGCAAGTTATTTTTTCAATTTATACATCAAACGATGGACTAGAATTCGCTCTTTAAAATGACATTAAGATTATGCTTCTACGATGATTCGTCGCGAAGCCGCAACCAAATGAAACAGTGTGGGGTCGATCGGTACACGCAAAACGGTGAAATTTGTTGACGTAACTGATACTTTTCAAACAAATATAAAACACATTCAAACATGTGTTACAGATATAAAAATACCAGATTACGACAGATAAAGGCTTAAACTTTATTGACATATAATTTTTATTCTTATAGGACAACTAGAAGTATTGAAATTTTATTTTTGAAAACCGCAAAAACTGACCCTAAAACGCACTTTTTCGCCAGTTTGGACTACCTAATTAAAGTTAAATAGTCTTTTAAGTACAAATCGACAACTATAACTATAGACAAAACATTGCTACATCCTACTGTATTATTAACAGACTATAAATAATCGTTACTATTAAATCTGCAGTGATTAATACATCTATATATATACTTTGTATCTTTGGGGGGGGGGGGGTGACACCACAAAGTGCCGCACCATTGACACCCGACCTAGCGACGCCACTGTGTTCACTATTATACTTGAATAACTAAAGGAATTAGATTTAGGCAGGAAGAGAAGTTTGCTTTTCATAAAGACTTCAAAATATCAAGTATCTGCCACTTGTATTTCTGTAATATAGCATTTTATCAGTATTTATTTCTTGACATTCTTGTGTTTCACAGATTGAACAGTTGAAAAAAGACAATTCTGATTTAGCCAAAAATATGAATACAGCTATTAGCATGAAAGATTCATTGATAGCAGATTTGAAAAAAGCGAACAATACTCTTTCAATACAGTTGGCACATTCACAGGTAAGTGTCTGATGAGGCCGCCATTTTTACCTTCAAGGACGAGTAAAACTTCTTTGCTGTTTGTCTTAAGAAATTTTTATAGTGTTATTTTTTAATTTTTTGTGATTAATAAAAATTATTTAGTCGTATAAAGTACAGCATTTATTCCTAACACTTTAAAAATTGAACTCATCTTGTGGTCAATTTTCAGGGTACCTGTCCTCCTCCTAAAATGACATCCCCAGACAATTCTTATTTTAAAAATAATGAACTCATCGAGGATTTAGACACAACTGGTCATTTGGAGATTGATGCAACACCACCAACAGCTGCTAAGAAAGGGCGTAAGAAACAGTTGTTGAGTGAGGTTAGTACTGTATTTAAACTTGTTTTATCTTTTTATAATTTGCAGTTGATTAGGTTTTATTTTTCTGCTCCTTAATAAATATCACCTTAAATATGCCAGTTTCCACATGCTTTGATAAATCTACACTAAACTTTGTTTTGTCCATGTTTATCTTGTACATTGTGTATTGTACAGAGAGACATGACTTTTTTATGGTTAACATGGGTATTCAACTGTTGTTAGCAATAGTCTGTCACTGCTGATAATTATCACAAAGGAAAAAACATTTTCAGGTATTCCTCACACCTGTGTTCAAGTCACTTAAAACAATAGAGGCAAGTTATTTTCAAAAATATTTAAGTATTGATACTTAAACTGTTAATATTTTTTCATTTTGACTTTTTAATAAACAGTAATTCTCCAGATTCAAATTTTTTTTTTAGAAAAAAATAAAGTTAAAAAAACTTTATAAAATAATTAAATAATTCTTTACAACAGGAGCAAAATGAGAGTTCTCCAAGCAAATCAAGTTCCAGTAGAAGCAGTCAACATTCATCATCAGAACAAACAGCAGAGGCTTCCAGTATAACACCAATTACCAGATCTGGTATGTTGTTTGCTCATTTATCTAATCAGGCTATGTTCTTTGGTCCCTCTCAATTTTTATTGTAATTTTTTTAATATATATTTCCCAACTACTCCATAATATAACGCCAAGTCTATTTAAAGAGTACTGATAAAAAAAAACTAGTTAGCAAAAAAATAATTTATTAAATATATTACACATTTTTACTTAGTACACATTTTACCCCTAGTTATTTTAATCAATGAACTACATTCTTTAAAAATGAACATAGCTTCAAGAAAACATCCTAGTTTGTGTTAATTTTTTTTTCAGCAAAAAGACAAAAAGAAAACAAAAAGAAAAAAATGCAAGAGCCATTTAATTTGGCATCTTATGTTGTAAGTATAACATTTTGTTTTGATTTTGCACCAGATCTTTGTTTTAAATATATTTTCTATAATTTTTATTTATGTAAATGTAATTCATAATTTATTTGAATCAATATATCTTGCAGGCTGCGGATGAATCACAAAATGAAAATGTTAATCCATACAGCACCAGGAGGTCCTCAAGACTTAAAACAAAAAAATAAAAATAGTAAGCTGTGAAAAGTTGTATATAAAATACCCTCTTGTTTCCTTTGCCATTCAATTGTTGTACATAATTTAAGATGATCTTGTACCTTACATGCTGCTTTTTAACATGTAATTTTTATTTACTTGTATTAATAGGTAAATATTTTACTGTATATAGTGGATAGACTTGTTGATTTGATATTACATTATTTGATAAGATGCTGCTGTTCATCAATCTAGAATTTTCTTATTTAAGTTTATAACATGACAACCATTATGTACATTAGTTACAATTTGTATATATTGAAAAAAATGTGTGAAAAAGGTGATTATGTGTTGTATCAAATATTTTTATGAACATTTTTATGAAGTTTCAATATACAATATTTTAAAATGAAAGCTACCCTTGCTTCCTGACAAATAAAAAACACATCATTGCCTACATTTTAAAAAATGTCTTCACTGCACCATGATTCATTGTATTTGTCTAAATTGTGTTCTTTTGTTGAACATTTTTATAGATGAGGATAATATGCAATAATTTAAAATAAAAGTTATTGCCACAATAAAATTGATTCATATTGAAACTTGCCATAGTGTTTGTTTTGATTTGAAATGTACATTATTACAACCTAGGTACATATGTGGACATCCTGGTCATCTGTTTGGTTTACATCTTCATATGGCACTTGACATGTAGTGAGGTTGTGACTTGTAGCATACAAACTCAAGTCAAATATCCTGTTAAAAATACACGTCTTTTTTTAGTCTTAAATATTTTTATAAATTTATAGCTTTAATGAAGAGATACTATAGTCAATTAAATAGCATTGCATTCCCCTACCTGTATTCTATTGCAAATTGAGAAACTGATCCCTCGAATAATTCTTTTCCCTGAATATCTCCAATGGTTATAGTATGAGGCTTTTTTTCAGGTGTACTGAACCAACTATACCATTTTGTGTATGTTGTCTTCATTTCTTGATTCCATGCATTGACTATCACACTTAGAAAGAAGAATGTATGTATCACCTTTTTGTGCAACTAAATTTTAGTATAAGATAATTAGCATGTTTAGTTTGCACTAAAAATCCGTTAAAGATATTAATGGGTGGGAGAAGTGAAGTAAACAGATGAGCAACTGCGTTCCTTATATTTGGATTATATTCAGTGAATGTGACTACTATTGCTATTATTTATTTCCCTCTGCTTTTGAGTGTATGGGTAGTGACTTAAAACATAACATTCAATAGATTAATTTTGAAAGCAATATTCACCAGTCATTAATACATTTTTTTAGTAATTATCCTGTCAAAAGGCGAATAGATGAACACAAAAGAGTTTTTTTAAGAATTACCTTGAACCATCGTCAATTAAGGTGACGGTAGAAAACGGGGCCTTAAATTTTTCAGGATTCAGTATTACATTTTTGATGACATCTTCGCCCATAGAGCTCATCTCAATACTATCATTTTTTAAGACAATTATATTGTTGAATTCCTGAAAATTGTATTGGTAAAATCGAGTCTTTAGTATGTTAATTTAATAGTGCTTAAAGACGTGCATTACTATTTGAAAAAGAAGAGTTCTTTTCAAGAACTACTTGCCTCTTCCTTCGAATAGCTTAATACTAATCCATGGGCATTTCTTGACACAAGTATTGCTAGTCTGTTTGCATTGTCTAAGGTGCCTACAGTTAGTGGCTTACTGCCTGTTGTCCATTGCCAACATGAGAACCTCAGCTAGCAATAAACATTGAGAAATGCATTTCTTAAACACAAAAATATAGCAGAAGTTATATAATTTAAAATATAAACTTAAAAATATGCTTTAAGTGGATTCTAAAACAGTTAAAACTCACATTAACAAAGCCTGAATCTTGACAATAGCCATAGTAAGAATTGTAGACATCATTAGCTTCTGTGAGCTGAACCTCTTTGTTATTTATACTTAAGTTTTCAATACAGCCAATTAGTGGTCTGAAATCAGAAAACATTTACATTGAACTTTTATTTATGTCTTGATTTTTAAAAAAAATGTGTAGAGGATGTGTGTTTGCCAGTTGCAAAATATTTTATAGTTTCAACATGCTAATGTCAGTGTTAGCAAATCTTGAATTACATTTGAAAGCATTTAAAATTGGCTGAGCGTTAGAGCACACATCTATGAACCCGAAGACAAAAGTTAAAATTTAAACACAATTTTAAGAAAGTAAGAGTTGCTGGGCCTTAAGCTAAAGACACAATCTATGCCATGGACTAATAAACATGAACTCTACTTTATCTGTCCATGGAGTACCATCTTAAAAGTCAAATCTGTCCATGGAGTACCATCTTAAAAGTCAATCAAAAGGCAATAGAGAATGCCAGGTTCATTATTGATTGCACCTAGTTTAAATGAATTTAAAGACATACCTATATTGAGATCTGATAAAAACTTTTTGGGGTGATAATAAGGCTCCAAGTATTATTCCTTCATGTACTTGTAATTCTCTAAACATAGTTTGACTAGATTTTCCAGAAGTGAATACTTTATTATTTCCCTGTATCTCTGCATATATTCTTTTGTCCTTGAACTCAATCTGAAATAAATTTTTGTGTGAGTTTTAACAATTCTTTTAAACAATTTCTCTTTAAAATGGAGATAAATTTAAGGCAGTGGCGTAGCGAGGTCTGGTGTCACCCGGTGTGGCACTTAATGGTGTCACCCCCCCCCCTCAGATAAAAAATTATATATATATATATATATATATATATATATATATATATATATATATATATATATATATATATATATATATACCTATACTAGCATACTGCCTAGCTTCGCTTAGGTTTTCGAAAAAACTTTTGAGAATTAGAATGATTAACTAATTGGTGATTGGCTGTTATGTGGAGTGCTTAGGGCCTAAGTTTAAACAGTCAGAGTAATTTTATGTCATGCTAGCATTGGTAGAGTAGTCGCAAAGTTATTACTCGCAAGGTTATTAGAACTGCAAAGGCTTCCTTAAAAGTATAAATCAAAACAAATATTATATTAAATTCACTTTCGCAATTAATTTGTACAATTTCAGTACAATATATAAGATAATTTATAACGAAATATTTATTTAAACGAATGTTATACTTTGTGATTTTTGTTTTTCTTTTAAATAGTAAAAAAATGATCTAAAAACTATTACTTTAAACAGTTACCTCCCCTGTACATATACCAAGTGACATAGTCTTTGTATATTTTTTTTACAAACAATTGTTTATATAAGAAAATACTTCATCTGGACAAATGTAACAACTTTACATATAAGTAAGTATGTATTTCATTTTTTTACCCCCCCCCCCCCCCCCACATACATGAATCAACACATAAATTATTACGATTCTCAACCAAACTGTTTACCTCATGCATATTTTGCACCATTGAATTAATGTAAATTCCCCCCACATACTCACGCCCTCTCCCCACCCCCAAGACAATTGCTTTAAACTGTACTCAGATATAATACTAACGATTTTTTTTATCTATAGTCGGTTATAAATACAGCTTGATGTAGCATGTTTTCTCTATCATTATCAGGTTTACATCGTGGTGTCACCCCCCCCCCTCCACCGTTGTCAGGATTTGTCAAATTGGCTCTCAAAAGACTATTTAACTAATTAATCACTTAATTAAGTGGAATTATCATTTTTCTCTATATATTTTGCTATTTTTTGCCTTGGGGTCACCCCCCTAAATGGTGTCACCCGGTGGGGTCCACCCCCACCCCCCTCGTTACGCCACTTATTTATTAAGTCAGATTTTTATTAACAAAAAGTAACAGTATAGTTATAAAGAGTTGGTGTGATATTCAATTGTACTAAAAATATTTAAAAATTATTAGGGCCTATAAAACATGAACTTTAATTTGTTTTAAACTATAAAGTTAAGATTTATATACCAGGTTCAGAAACACTGATTCAAAACACATACCTTCAGGAAATGAAAATGCCCATTGTTAAATGAATTATTTACAGTTTGTAGCACAACAGTTTCTGAATCCCAATAATTTTCTATTTTCAAAAATCCATTTGTAAGTACCACACTCAAGGATATATTCTAGGATATGATATGCATAATTTATGTATGTATGTATGTATGTATATATATATATATATATATATATATATATATATATATATATATATATATATATACCTAAAACAACTTTAAAAAAAAATAAAAAAGTATAATACATAGTATTTGATAAAATAATATATATATACATATTTACTACCAACATTTGTTAAGATTTTGTTAAGCATTGTTCAGAAGATATTAATAAAAATACTGCTTACCATGCGTCTATCAACAACAGATAACAAAAAGGCATAAATTTGCCAAGTCTTAAATTTGATACTAATAGATTGAAAATTTTCTGGCACTACTCTGTAAATGTTGTAGCTATCTCCCCCAAAAACTGTAGAAATACTTTTATTATCTGCAATTCTAAAAAATACATTGGATAATTTTTTTTGTTATAAGAATAAAAGGCTAACAGACTTTTAAAAAATCTTTAAAAAAAAAACTATCAATACAAATTGATTGATTAACATAAAATTGCTGACAATTACTTGTACAGTTATTTCATACAAATCCTACCTTTGTTCAGTACAAGCACTTGGTAATTTACTATTAGCATCTTTTCTATACAAGTAAACTAGTTCTCCATCCACCAACAGATCGCCTAAGCATCCATGCCACATGTCAACATTCCACTAAGAATAAACAGTACACAAACAACAGTATATTAGCATATCTATAAATATCTCTCCATCCATATATATATATATATATATATATATATATATATATATATATATATATATATATATATATATATATATATATATATATATATATACATATATATATATATACACATATATATATATATATATATATATACATATATATATATATATATATATATATATATATATATATATATATATATATATATATATATATATATATATATATATATATATATATATATATATATATATATATATATATATATATATATAAACTTGTCAAACAAGGAAGTGTATTCTTAGTTAGGCTAATACATTTTTGTGGTCCCTGCATAAAAGGATTGTTTGTTCAGAACGACTATCAGTCCACTTTATTTGCTTAGAACTCCTCAAGTACTTATTGTATATTTGTTTTTTCAGTGATATGTAAACTCAACTAATGGAACCAAACTCAACCGTCCGACCAATTACTGTTGGCCCATGTGAACCTACCTTAAGTGTTGATGGCACTCCTCCAACATGAACTGCTGTAAGCTGGAAGGGATGGCTCATGCTAGAGAAGGAAGCTTGTTCATGTTTAGAAATACCATCTTGTCCAATTAAAGTTACGTTCACTGTTGCTCCTGTCCTTAATTATCATTTTACAATTGACATAAGTTAGTTGCTTTTACTTTTATTCTATAGAAATTTAAAAAATTAAACCCATCAATGCTCCTGATAAACTCAACCTGTTTTAATATCTGCTATTTTGCCAAACTTTAGTTGATTATTTTGAGATGCATTTGTACTAAATTATATCATAAATAATATTGTTTGTGTGTTGTAAGCTATTTTTTAAACTTGAATCGATTTTTTTTTAACTAGGATATTCTATTTTTTCAATTATTTAGAATGATCAAACAAAATAAATTAATCCAGAAGTAAAAAGACAACACATTTTAACATTAAACTTAGTAAAAAACTTACAGCTTAAATTTTATGGTATACCATTGATGTTTTGTCAAGGGTGGAAATCCAAAAACTTCACTTGAATACGAAGTAGTAATTTTTATTTTCCCATTATCCAGTGTAAGACCGTAGAACTCCTGTAATTAAATTGAAGTTTGTTAGACGATGAACTCAGAAGAGATAAAAAAAATATCATCAATATTAAAACAAACTTACTGAGTTATAACCTGATATTGTCACAACTGCACCATCTAAAGTTGTTGGTTTTATGCATATACTAATTGTTGTAACCAGAGAAGTTACATTTCTATTTCTTTGCTGTACAGGAACAGATATGTAGCTATTTTGTGTGTTTGAAATAAAAATCTGAAAGCAGATAATCATTTTTGTTACAATGTATTAAGTTTTCATAATCTGAAATAAATAAAAAAACAGAGAAAAAGCTTATGAACTAGATCTATTTTTAAAAAAAAAAAAGATTCTTTTGAAAAATTGTAATATACAAATAGCTTTTTTAACAATTTAAATTTTTTTTTTTTAAATTATTCAAGCTCATAATTTTAAAACCTAATTACCAAAATTATAACAAAATTCACAAAAAGTATTTGAAATTAAACTTACATAAAGTGTATTAAAGTACTACATACCCTGAGAGAAGTAAGCATGTGATTGGCTCTATTTAATTTTGAACGAAGCATTGTAATGTTTTTTCTCATGCTGTTTAAATTTAATCCAAGTTCCCTAATCTTTTCACAAGTTTCTAAACTTTTCGACTTCAGTAAAATTATGTCATCTTTAATGGAACCTTGTTATATTTTTTAAAAAGGAAAACATGGATTTAAAATCAATTAAATAAAATTCTTGACTAGATTCTAGTTAATGGCTAAATTATATGTTTTTAATCGTTCTATAATATTTGTTCATTAAAAAAATGTGAAAAGCCAGAAACAAAACAAAAATTTTAAAAGTATAATTAATGATGATGAAGTGAAATAACTGGAATTATCCTGTCTTAATTTTCAGAAGTTTGTACTTTAAATATATCAGGTGTCATTAATATCGCCCAAATAATGTTAAATAAAAAATAAAGTATTGAGCTATGAATGAAATTAGTAAATGCCACTAACCTCTACTGCCATCATCTAAATAGCAAAGTTGAACTTGTTATTTACCATTAATCTGAAAACCAGACTGTTCTTCTTGTACCACTTCAATCTTTTTTTCAGTATTAGAACTATTTTCACTTATATCCTTCTTAGCTAATCTGAGTTTGGTCTTTGCATGTTCCAAAATGTCACTGTAGTTATACTTGGTTATGTTTATAATTTTGTTTGATACCTTTAAAATTTAAAGATCAGATATTTTGCATTTTGTCTATAAAATAATGATAATTAATAATTACTTAAATATAGTTTGGTCTTAAATTGACAATGAATAAATTTACCAGTTTAATTCTTTTATGAATTTCATCTATTTCTTTGACTTGCTCTGTAGTATGTTTCAAGAAGTTTTCTTGCAGTGCTGTATGTTTCACTATAGAGATGATTTTTTGCTTGCTCACAGTTAAATTTTGGTGTAGTACTTTATGGAAAAAACAATGTCATTTTGTTAAAACTCTAACATAGACTACTAGACAATACTAAAAATGTATTTAGTTTTTTGTTTGCAATCTATGTAGTAAATATGAAACTATATTTTGAATTTTTTTTTTATTCAATATAGAAAAACTTAAGCTGACTAAATGTGCTCAGAATTTTCTAAATGAACCACAAATTTTGTGCCATAATTAAATTTACAAAACTGTAATATAAATACATTCATAAATCAGTGCTTAGGATTTTTTTTTCTCAAAAAATATTTCATTTCAAGTGATTAATGAAATCTCACCAGCAGTTAATCTCAATAAATATTCTCCACTGTTATTTATTCTTTCATTTTCTTTGGAAAACTTAGGAATATATTCAAGAAGATCATTTTGTAGTAGTTGTATTTGGCTCACATTAACAACTTTTTTATAATCCGGTAAATCACCAAAGGTAAAATCTTCATTGACCTGACCCAAATCTGGTTTTTGAGAGCCCTCATGTGTGTCATAGCTACTACTTTCCTGGGTACATTCATCTTCTTCATCTGATTCATCCAGTCCAGATCCTTCATAAATTATTAGGCATTTCCTGTCTGTTTTTCTTTTAATAGTTGCTCTGATTAAGTCCAGAAATGAATCAATGTCCTAATTTATTTAAAAAAAAAAAGAATCAAATTAAAGTAAAGTTTTTAAATTTTTGTACTAGGCTTATAAGGTTTAATTATGTAAAGGTTCATTAAGGTTTAATTATGTAAATTTATAAATAGTTTTGAATAAAAAACAATGGCATCAGTTAATTAATTAAATAGACAGCAATTATTTTAAAACTACAACTAACATTTAAAAAGGAATGTAGGACAAAATGAATAATTTTTTCATAGCAAACCTTTATTACTCTTTTAAGATCCATGACATAAGAGCTCATGACAAATGTTGAGTCTTTTTTGTTCAAAGTTGCCAATCTGTTATTTGCATGCTGAATTGGACCAGCCAAAGAGCTGAAAAACGGCAAAAGAAACCCAAGCTAACTTAACACTACCTGTGTCCGTTTTTTTTAAAAATTATTAAATGTTGATTTTTATTAATAAAATTCTAACATTAAACACTGAATAATTGGAGAAGTGGTAGAAAAAGGTAGAAATCAATATTTTCTTACAGTGGTGTATTTTGATTGTATTTTAATCAATTATTTAGAATTTTGTGACTACAAAAAAATTAAACATTTAGTGTGAAACAAATAATATAGCAATAGCTTGTACCACATGTTTGCCATCATATGAAATATTGCAGAAAAGAAAGCCATTAACAACATTAACATTAGATAAACTTGAATATAGTTTTAATCATTTAACATTTTGTTCTCCGACTGATCTATTTTAAATACTGGCAAGCATCTTGAAATATTCAAAATGCAATACTGAAATTAAATTAACAAGTGGGTTACTTTAGTCAAAAAAGGAACTAAGTTTACTTTTGCAATTTATTTGAATCCTCATTTAAGTGAGAGACATGTGATTTAACTTGTTTTGTGAGGGTTGTTTCTGTTCTTGGTAAATTTCCAGATTTCTTCTCTTTCTTCCAATTGTTTTCAGTTTCCTGTTATTGAAATACGAGGAAAGTTATTTTAATCTTAGCTGTATATTAGAACCATTATACTTTATTATAAAGCCTTAATGACTGAATGAACACACTATTGAAACCATTTCACTTTATTATAAAGCCTTAATGACTAAATGAATATACTATTGGAACCATTTCACTTTATTATAAAGCCTTAATTACTGAATGAAAATTCACAGTAGGAATGAATTATATTTTTTTAACATTTCTGTGAGTAATGTTGATATTATTATTAGAAACAACCCTGTGCTAAATGATCAGGTGGTAGCTTGTGATCTCTGTTGGGAAATCAGAGAACTCCAAAATGTAGATAGAAACTATGTAATTCAGTTTAACAATTTTCAATGATTCAAAAACCCTTAAAATAAAAGATCCCTCCTAACTTATCAAGTGACTACTATTGCAGATAATCTATAAAACTTACTAGCAACTCCAATTATTTAATTTTAGAAAGTTAGATCTAACATACATGAGGGTACAAATAAACTTCATTGCCCCAACTTGTCATTAATTTTGTTTTATTAACTATCTAAATTGTGCCTGGCAGGAGAATTTTGTCATAGTTTCAATGCACAATTATGTTAGTAGGTGCATGACTTACCAGAAACAACTTCTGGCCATTGTCAATTATTTCTAGAGAGTTCTTTAAACTAGTTTTGGCCTCGTGAAGAAGAGCTCTAGTGTGGTTTAAATACCTCTGTAGAATAAAAAAAACTATATTACACGTTGAATGAACAAAAATTCTGTTTTAACTTTTAACTTATATAATTTATTTTATGGCAAAACTGAATAAAAATAAGGGTAAGTTTGTTTGTTCAAATGAAATTGGTTCTATAAAAATAGAGACATGTTTAGGTGTAGTTGTTCCTGTAACATCAATAATAATTAAGGAGTTTAATCATTATAAAAATCAAATGCTTTGTTAGATAAAAAACACCATTTTACCTGTTTTAAGTGTAGAAGTTTAATAGTGGGTGATCTCCTACGAAGTTTGTTTATAGTAAATATTGCAGAGTTAAGATTGTTGTAAAAATCCTTAATGATTTCTGCGTCATGGGTATTCTTGAATAACTGATTAACTTGTTTGTAACGAGCTTCTCCATTTTTGACATTCCTGCAAAAAAGATCAGTATTTGTGGAGCTATTTAAACTGTGTTAAACTATTTTCCTTCTTTAATCTTAGAGCCTGTTCCCTTTTTTCCCTAATTATTCAAGTAACATGACTGTACCACACTGATTAATTAAATAAATAAACATCATCACAAAGAGATTAGCATAAAAATTTTAAAAAAATAATTTAAAATATATTCTAGATCTACATAGATAGTCAATTAAAAAAATTCTAATTGGAAAGAAAACTTATTTTTAAATACTCACGTTTTCTTGGTAAGTATAACAGTCAATTTTAACAAAAATTCATATTAAAAAGAAAGCAAAACATATTAGACTACTAATCACTCACGTTTTCATGGCAAGTATGACTTTCATGTTTTCTTGTACTTTGTTCTGTTCCTGATGAACAAGCTCAATGTTCCCTGAAAATTCTCTCCCTTTAGCAGCATCCAACACAGTTGATGGTTTTGATGTCTGTTTTGTGTGAGCTCTAATGTAAAGATTCCGACTAAAATTTGCAGTCTTTAAAACTGTATCTGCAGAAACAATACAGCAAATTCTTCTCTCAATTAACAATGGCTCTTCAAATTCTTTTTTTCAACAGTTATTTATTATATAGGCTGAAAGTGAAATAATTAAAACTTGCTTATTAACAACTACAAATTATGTAACTAATATGTACTTACTATAACCAATATTACTTGCTTGATTAAGTTTTATGATTGAATCTCTTAGTTTAGAATACTGCCTAGACCAGATTCCACGTGATTCTCTGTAGATGTGATCCATCTGTTGATGACATTAATTACATATTTATTTAAATAATCTTGTGTGTATTTTATAACATGGGTAGAGAGAGGTATAGAGGAACGTCATGTAAGCTAATACTGCTTTTGTTTATCTTAAATCTTATTTTCAAAAGTTGGATGAATTAGTTGACACAGCTGGCTTAGTTTTTAAAACAAAAATGTGTGTATAATCATGAACTCGATTGCCTCCTTGTAATTTTTTATCTGCTACATCAACATAGTCTAATATATAAAATACAAAATATTCAAAATAAGGCCATGCAAGTTGAATGGGTTTGTTTTGGTTAATTATAGATAATAATTTAATGAATAAGGGATTTGTTACTACTGATTGTAAATTTGTAAATATTCATGAAGACATTTTTTTTTCAAACAATTCATTTACTCAACATTTTTTTAAGTGAAGCAGTGTGCCTCTAGTTTTTATGTAATTTGAATATATATATATATATATATATATATATATATATATATATATATATATATATATATATATATATATATATATATATATATATATAAAATTTACAAAATCCCATTCAAAAACGTCAGGTCAAAAGTTGATAAGTAAACGGATTGACTATGTGAAACTTTAAGCCATTCTGGCAAATTGGAAAGAATTGTTCAGGGGAGGTAATCCCAAGTTAAAACAAAACAGTAATATCAATAAAAAAATGATTAGGTGAATTGAATCCTACGCTGGCTGGATAATGTCATTTCCAAAAACTAGACTTTTATTAAATGAAATAAGAAATATCCCGCGTTTAGTTGTATGTTTTTTTAAGAGTGCGCGTTTTGTTAAGGAAATGGATTAAAAAAAAAGCATAATAACCGATCTAGTGAAGTTATGTCCGTGTGTGTATCTTCAGGCTTCAGTTTTGTTCAGCTCATCAATTCAGTCACACGAACAGTTTATATGCTTTATTTAGTTTTAGGGCTACTTTTTACTTACATGTCTCAGTGAGTTCCATAGCATCTGTATTAACGTGTCGATATGTTGAAGCAATTCGTCGCGAAGGAGGGCAAAGTCCTTCGCGTTTTCCTGCCAAAATGGACCACATTTAATTAACTTCAGAGTTTATTAACAAAGTCGTAAAAAGTAAACAGTTTATACCCTTTCGGACCAAACGGCCAATAGGGCAGCTAAAATAAGTTCAACTGTTTCATTGACCTCGGCAAATAAAGGGCTAGAATGTTCAGTTCCATGCCCAGACATGTACCCAGTAGCCTGCTATCATTATTCATGTAGACCACTAGTAGAACATATAGGGACACAGCCACACCTCTCCATCGTACTCGGTTTTAGACCTGCTGGGTCCATGACATTCCAGGTGATTGGTCTTCATCGACAACTGATCTATTACGCTATTGTTTTCGGTGGGTCTAGGATATTAACCCACATCATTTTCACCCTCCCCCCCCCTCTCGGATCCCTTATCGCCCTCCCTCCCGTGAGATTACGCGTTTGACTGACACATATCCCCATTCAGCTCGCTCTTCCCAATCATATCCTTAACTTCAGAGTTTCTTCCAGGCATCTCTTGGAGGTATGCCCCCCCCCCCCGAAGAACGTCTCTCCCCCCACCCCCAACGAAATGGTATAATTTATATAGAAAAAAGTCTGGACTGGAAGAAACACTACTTAACCTCCATTGTTTAGTGGTTTACCCTAGATTTGTCCAATCAATCCCCAATTGTATTACTTGGCCATATATTTTCACCGTTGTTTGGTGTCAGTAATTTTCTTAAGCCGCCTGCTGTTCAATACACAAGGCAGGCACCTGTTTGCGAGGACAGGCACCTGTTTGCAAGGACAGGCACCTGTATGCGAGGACAGGCACCTGTTTGCGAGGGCAGGCACCTGTTTGCGAGGACAGGCACCTGTTTGCGAGGACAGGCACCTGTTTGCGAGGACAGGCACCTGTTTGCGAGGGCAGGTATTCTTCATTGTAATAGCAAGCCTGGCGTTTCCAGAAACACATGTAGTAGTTTTTTAAATATTTTTTACATAACTTGCCGAGGTATTGTATAGCAATTTTATTACATAACTTGCCTAGACATTCTAAAGCCATAAAATCACTGCACTGTCGATTTTGGAGTAAAATGTAAAGAAAAACACGTGTAACAAAATATGTACAGTTTGTAAATGTTTTAAATAATAAAAAGTAATGTTAGGGTTAGTGTTAGGTTATGTTTTGGTGAAGTGTTCTTGTTAACCTAGGGTTCAGGTTTAGGGTTGACCAAAATGTCTACACGTGTCAAGACTCACCCGACTGTGTTCCCGCGCAGCCTGCTCGAGCATCTCCCAAATCCACTCTTCCCCACGTATAACACCTCCATCTTGGACATCCGTTGCTGTGGTTACAGAATGATTTGTAAATGATGCAAATGGATATATATATATATATATATATATATATATATATATATATATATATATATATATATATATGTAACGCATATGTTTGTCGTTGGTCTTCGATGGATTTAAGTGTTAGACAATTATCGTGCGCATTTGTCTAAATTTATGAGTTAAAAAATTACTATTGAAAGTGTTGGGAAATAATTTTCATTTTTCAAATTATAGTAATAATTGTCGGCATGTTCATTAAACACAAGTTTTAAAAAAATATCATCTTTTACAAAAATTCTAATTATGTCTATATTTAGTCCTATAGCACTTACTTCCCTTTGATAAATTAGGAAAACTCAATTACTTCCCTTTATAAAACCATTGCATTAGTGGAAAAGAATTTACTTTTTATTACTTTGTTTTGGTGTTGGGAAAAAAAAATAATTACATAATTCGCGGGGATTGATCAAGTGCAAATGTTGTATGTATTTTACGGATAAGCTTGGAGTATTAAAATTGTTCATTAAATTGAAACAGGCGCGTTCGTTTAAGTGAGTGCAAAAGACTATGAATAAGTTGGGGTACTATTGTCGTTTATTAAGCTAAAACAGGCGATTCCGTTGGGTTTGCGTTAGTGGTTGCGGTTTGATTTGGTTCGTTTTTGTTCTTTCTTTTTTCGTTTTTGTTTGTTTTTTTCTTTGGGTTTGTACTTATGTTTTTGGTTGGTTTTGCGTTTGGATTTGGTTTGTTTTCGTTTGCTTTTTCGTTTTTTTTGTGTGTTGTTATTGGTTAGTATTGGTGTTTGTGGTTGTGGTTGGGTTTGTTGTTAGGTTTTTGTTTTCGTTTGCTTTTTTGTTTGTTTTTTCTTTGTGTTTGTATTGGTGTTTGTGGTTGTGGTTGGGTTTGTTGTTAGGTTTTTGTTTTCGTTTGTATTTGTAATTGTGTTAGCGTTATGTTTGCGTTTTGTTGTTTTGGTTTTGGTTGGTTATGGCTTGGGTGGGCAATGCCGGGTTTATGATGATTACTAAACACACAGGTGATGGTCTTTAACAGAAAGGTTTTTCACAGAAGCCAGAGCAGGGCCTGGCCGGGACGGCTAGTATATATATATATATATAAGGCGCGTCAGATCTACCTATATAGGAGGGCCTCCACAAAATGGCTCCTGTTAATATGGCTGGAATTCCGACAATCGGCTACCGAAAAGTTTCGCGACAAAAACCGGCTACCTATCAGCCAATCTAGCCTTAAACAGTCTTGATTAGGAGCATCGTAGTTACGTGCCGTACACGTAGGTATGTGTTAAAGTATCGTAGTTGCGTGCCGTACACGTAGGTATGAGTTAAAGTATCGTAGTTGCGTGCCGTACACGTAGGTATGAATTAAAGTATCGTAGTTGCGTGCCGTACACGTAGGTATGAATTAAAGTATCGTAGTTGCGTGCCGTACACGTAGGTATGAATTAAAGTATCGTAGTTGCGTGCCGTACACGTAGGTATGAATTAAAGTATCGTAGTTGCGTGCCGTACACGTAGGTATGAATTAAAGTATCGTAGTTGCGTGCCGTACACGTAGGTATGAATTAAAGTATCGTAGTTGCGTGCCGTACACGTAGGTATGAATTAAAGTATAGTAGTTGCGTGCCGTACACGTAGGTATGAATTAAAGTATCGTAGTTGCGTGCCGTACACGTAGGTATGAATTAAAGTATCGTAGTTGCGTGCCGTACACGTAGGTATGAGTTAAAGTATCGTAGTTGCGTGCCGTACACGTAGGTATGAATTAAAGTATCGTAGTTGCGTGCCGTACACGTAGGTATGAGTTAAAGTATCGTAGTTGCGTGCCGTACAAGTAGGTATGAATTAAAGTATCGTAGTTGCGTGCCGTACACGTAGGTATGAATTAAAGTATCGTAGTTGCGTGCCGTACACGTAGGTATGAATTAAAGTATCGTAGTTGCGTGCCGTACACGTAGGTATGAGTTAAAGTATCGTAGTTGCGTGCCGTACACGTAGGGATGAGTTAAAGTATCGTAGTTGCGTGCCGTACACGTAGGTATGAGTTAACGGTATGAGGGTCTGAGGGAAAGTCAACTAAATTCTGCTGCTGTTGCTACTGTTCATTGATAACCTAAATGACGTAGGCCTACTGTTTAAGTCAAAGTCGCTCAGCGCTTGTCTTAATCAAATGTAACTAAAATGATGGTTAATAGAAGGTCTCTACACATGTCATTTAAATTATGGTTTATAGAAGATGCGTCTAAATGTCAATAAAATGATGGTTTATAGAACGTGTATGGTTAATAGAAGGTGTGTCCAAATGTAAAAAAAAATTATGGTTTATAGAACGTGTATAAAAATGTCACTGCAATGATGGTTAATAGAAGGTGCGTACAAATGTCACTAAAATGATGGTTTATAGAAGGTGTGCACAGAGGCGTAGCGACCCTTCCCGGCGCCCGGGGACAAACTTTCAATTTGGTGCCCCCTCGGGAGCAAATTTTCAATTTGCAACCCCCCCCCCCTCAAACTTTCGATTTGCACCCCTCCTCAAACTATTTATAATGCAAAAATACAGCTAAAATGACATTTTAATTTGTTTTTACAACCCATTTTGGCGCCCCCTAAGGTCGGCGCCCGGGGACATATGTACCCCCCTGCCCCCCCCCCCATCGCTACGCCTCTGGGTGTGTACAAATGTCACTAAAATGATGGTTTATAGAAGGTGTATACACATGTCACAAAAATGATGATTAATAGAAAAGTGGCACAAACACCGCACACTTTTATTTTACGGTGTTATACATGCTCTATGCTACGAAGGTATTTACAATTAGTGTTGGGGTGGGGCGGCGGTGGTTGCCTTTGATAGATTTAGTGGGGCTTAAGTGGGCGGGTGATTTAAAAAAAAAATCACTTCCGCTTTCATGATGTGGGAGTCGTATGACAGGGAGAGACGTGGGGTCTAGGATAATATAGTGTGGGGGTGGGGGAGGGGGCAGCAACAAGACAGTTTAAATTATTATAATGGAAGCATCGTGAGATTTTATATTTTTAAACAAAACGTGAGAACTAATTATAGTGCCAGACATTAGCTAAATGTTAGCTAAGCTTGTTTTATTTTTTTACGCCGACAAAAAAACAGCGAACAGTTGTTTCACACATGCCTAATGCCAAAATGGGTTAAATGATATGAATACTGCGTATTAAAATGTCAAGGCATTTTATTTATTAAGCAAAAAAAAAAACAGCTCGTATCATACTACAAGCTGACACCCCCAATTTGGGCTTCATCGGCCTACCATGAGCCGAATCACACGATCAGTCCGACAAATCTGATTGGCTAAAGAGAACATGCCATATACATGTTTATATTTATTTTCTAGGCTAGTCGGTGGCGGCAGTTAAAAAAAAAAGTTTTAACGGTTTAAAACACGTGATCTCGCAGAATGCGGTGGTACCACCTCAAGTAGGGATATTTTAAGCTCGAAACTTGGGTCAAAATCACACGCCATATGTCACAAGTTCCCAAGACAGGGGTCCCAGTTTAAAATTATAGACAGACTCATATTCGAATATTAACGGTTTTTATATGGTCTAATACACTATCAATACAATATTAAAAAAAAAATTCATTTAGATAGAAATGCATTGTTGGTTGTTTCCTTGTTGAGTGGGGGAGAGGGGGGTAGGGGCGAGGCCACATCAGTTTCTTCCAGACTTTTTTTCTCCGGGGGTGGGGGGCATTGTAATTTTTGGAGGGGGTGGGGGGTTGGCGGACTAAAATTTCCGTGGGGGGGGGGGGGGGGGGGGGGCGGACACTGTTAAAAGTATATATTTTCTATATAAATACCATTTCGTATCTTCCATCCCCATCCCCATCTGTCAAGCGGTGACCTTGAGTACAAGCAACAGCTTAAAGTTTCTATGAAAATATTTTTATATCTCTTTCAAAGTGCATGATAATTGTCGTCATATTGATTTTAAATGTATTGATACACACGAAAAAAGGGAGTGGGGAATGGTTTGGTGTTTAGTGGTAAAAACACATTGCAAAATTGTTAACATAAACAGGTCAATAATGAACACGGACAATTAAGCCGAGTTACCCCATCCCCAACGCCATTTACTATCGCAGACCCTACCCGAAAAGTTCTACCCCACCCATCCCCTCTACCCAATTTTTAAAAAAACCATGTGAAAACAATTTTAACATTTTAAATCAATCTGACCTTAGAAAAAATAATGTCACATTGTTCCCCCCCCCCCCTTTCTCCGCATCACACATCATCAAAGTCCAAACCCGCACCGCTCCAGTGTGAGTGCCGGACACATTTAGACTAGGCTTATCTCTCACTTGATGGGGATTATAATGGACCTTCTATATACGAAGTCACATTACGAGATGGTTTAGGAGGGGGTAAATAGTTTTATAAGGCGTGACGTCGTTTATTAGGTGAAGCAAAATATCACAGGTAAAATGTTTGGAGTGTGTTTAAGACTGACATGTTCTGACTGGTATTTAGCTTTGCGGATTTATGCGGTGGAGGGAGGGTGTGATCTAGAACTATCAGCCTTGTAAATTAAAATATAACAACATAGTGATGTATGTCACAACATAGAAAGAACTGTCACATTTGAACATGTGGTTTAGGAATAGTGTAGTTAGCGGTATGGAACGGCGTCAGTAGCTTAGGGGGGGGGGGGGGGCGCCAAAATGGGTTGGAAAAATAAATTGAAAGGCTGAGGAGGGTGCAAATCGAAAGTTTGAGGGGGGGGGGGGTGCAAATCAAAATATTGAGAGGGGTGGGGTGCAAATCGAAACGTTTGTCCCCGGGCGCCGGGAAGGGTCGCTACGCCTCTGAACGGCGTGGTTGAGTGGTGGAGCGCTCAAGTTCAGATCTGGTCCAGACTTGAGTTCGCAGGACGTCCTTAAGTTCGCCCAGCTCTAATATGTACCTGGCTCACGTTAGGGAAAACAAAGGCGGCTGGGCATGGTGCTGACCACAAATTGAAACAGATTTATTTTGCTTCATCTGTCCCGTGTGGACATGAACGAGTAAAGTTGATGATGATGATGAAACACGTCACAGAAGATATGCCGATGACAAGAAACATACTTTATTTGCTGTGAGGATTAATAGGGGAACTTTACTTAGGAGTCATCCATAAATGACGTCACGCTTTTTGGACGATTTTTACCTCTCCCCTCCCCTCCCCTCCGTCTCACATCGTCACAAAAAGCCAGACCCCCCCCCTCTAAAATGACGTCACACATCAGCCTACAACCCCCCTTCAATTTGTTGTTGAATTTTTTTTAAACAACGATATTTTTCCAAAATCTTGTCTGAACTCTGACAAAATAGTTTTTTCATCAATTCCTATTACAATTTATTAAAAGTTTTCTAAAACACGAAATAACGGCTAAAATTCGTTTTCTAACAACACACACCGTCACAAAATTACGGACCCCCTCCCCGCTACGAGTGTGACGTCATTTATGGACGACCCCTTAACCGGAGTTTCTTCCAGGCATCTCTTCGGGGGGGGGAGGGCTTTGCCCCCCCCGAAAAATTTTTACCGCCCCCCCCCCCGAACGAAATGAATTTTATATAATTTATATAGAAAATATATACTTTTAACAGTGTCCGCCCCCCCCCCCCCCCCCGAAGAAAGTCTACCGCCCCCCCCCCCGAAAATTTCAAGTGCCCCCCCCCCCCGGAGAAAAAAGTCTGGAAGAAACACTGCGACAATTTGATGATCGCTAAAAAGTTCGCACATCAAAATGTAATAGCACAACAACAAGAGGCCACGGAAACACGGTTAATGACTTGGTTTTGTATTTTGTTTAAGCACTGTCACACTTAGAAAAAATCTGGTACTAAAATTCGGTTTCACATTAAAATTAAAAAAAAATGGGATCATGGCCTTTATTTATCTGACCTCGTCTCCAAACAAACTTTAAACTTACAAGGCCTTTTGTAAATACAGTTTAATTTGTCGCTTACACTAGCTTGTGGAAACTAAAAAAAAATCCTAGACCTTGGCCATTAAGTTTAACCTCTGAACTTTGAAATATAACCCCTGAACTCCGCCAACACGCTTTGAAAAACCCACTATAACATTAACAACAACCTGTTTTAAGCTTCTATTTAATTAAAGTAAAGGAATTTTAATTTAAATTGGTGCTAAAACGAAATAGACACTTTTGATAGCACAAAATAATTATTTCGGTGTTAATTTCCAGTTTTGTTAAATCGACAGTCTAATGTAATGGAAATCAAATAGCCAAACAGGCATATTTTTTTTATAGGCCCTTGCTTTAAAAAATAATGTGCTCAAAAATATATTGGAAATCAAATAGCTAAATAGACATTTTAAAGACCCTGCTTTACAAAGTAGTGTGTTCAAATACTGACCTTTAGAACGTGTAGATTTCGCCTCCCCGTGTCTGTTCGTCTTTGTTTGTAACGCCGAATGATCGGTGATAACCTCCCTTGAACCATGCTGAAATTCGCTTTTATTTGTATTTTTCAATTTTGCCGACAGTGCCACATCGTAGAATAAGATGAGGACGGAACAAGTGAAACAAATAGATGTCCATGTCATTATGACACGAGATGCTAGTGACGTGTCAGGCCCAGTTTAAACACGAGCGTGTCACACAAAACCTCTAAGCCGTGTTGTTGTGTGTGGAAACAGAAATATTTGATCAGTGTCGCCTTGACTGGTCCCTCGTTACACTCTCCCTCTCTGCAAATCTTAGCCCCTTCCCTGCCGCGTGCAGGGGATTGAAAGGCCAACCTGCGCAGGACAACACGATCTTTGTAATGTTATGTCAGCAGCTTTATTAAAATAAAGGGAAGTAAGTTGTGTACTCTGAGATTTCCCCCGGGCAAAAGTATTATATAATTATTTTACGCAATTTATTTATTTGTCAGAGGTCGTTAAATGTGTATACATGACATTTAATTTGTTAGTTTTGTGCAATGAACGTTAGACTTTTGCTGTCTGATATGTGTCACACGGCGAGGTGCTGGTGTATGTGTCAGACAGGCAACATAACGTCCGATAACACAAATTCAAACATCACAACATCAGACATCATAACATCAGACATCACAACATCAGACAACACAGCATTGAACATCACAACATCAGACATCACAACATCACAACATCAGACATCAAAACATCAGACATCACAACATCAGACATCACAACATCAGACATCACAACATTGAACATCACAACATCAGACAACACAACATCAGACATCACAACATCAGACATCACAACATCAGACAACACAACATCAGACATCACAACATCAGACAACACAACATCAGACATCACAACATCAGACAGCACAACATTGAACATCACAACATCAGACAACACAACATTGAACATCACAACATCAGACAACACAACATCAGACATCACAACATCAGACAGCACAACATTGAACATCACAACATCAGACATCACAACACCAGACAGCACAACATCAGACAGCACAACATTGAACATCACAACATCACAACATCACAACATCAGACATCACAACATCACAACATCACAACATCACAACATCACAACATCACAACATCACAACATCACAACATTGAACATCACAACATCAGACATCACAACATCAGACATCACAACATCAGACATCACAACATCAGACATCACAACATCACAACATCAGACAACACAACATTGAACATCACAACATCAGACAACACAACATCAGACATCACAACATCAGACAACACAACATCAGACATCACAACATCAGACAGCACAACATTGAACATCACAACATCACAACATCAGACAACACAACATCAGACATCACAACATCAGACAACACAACATTGAACATCACAACATCAGACATCACAACATCAGACATCACAACATCAGACATCACAACATCAGACATCACAACATCAGACAACACAACATTGAACATCACAACATCAGACAACACAACATCAGACATCACAACATCAGACATCACAACATCAGACATCACAACATCACAACATCAGACAACACAACATTGAACATCACAACATCAGACAACACAACATCAGACATCACAACATCAGACAACACAACATTGAACATCACAACATCAGACAACACAACATCAGACATCACAACATCAGACATCACAACATCAGACATCACAACATTGAACATCACAACATCAAACATCACAACATCAGACATCACAACATCAGACATCACAACATCAGACAACACAACATTGAACATCACAACATCAGACAGCACAACATCAGACAACACAACATCAGACAGCACAACATCAGACATCACAACATCAGACAGCACAACATTGAACATCACAACATCAGACAACACAACATCAGACATCACAACATCAGACATCACAACATCAGACATCACAACATCAGACAACACAACATTGAACATCACAACATCAGACAACACAACATCAGACATCACAACATCAGACATCACAACATCAGACATCACAACATCACAACATCAGACAACACAACATTGAACATCACAACATCAGACAACACAACATCAGACATCACAACATCAGACAGCACAACATTGAACATCACAACATCACAACATCAGACAACACAACATCAGACATCACAACATCAGACATCACAACATCACAACATCAGAATCAGAAACCACAACATCAGACATCACAGCATGAGACAACACACAATCTGACAGTACAACATCTGGCATTTTAACATCAGAAAACAGAAAAACACATTTGAGACATTAAAAAACACAAATATAAGTTAAACATATTTGAGTAATCTTTTCTCTTATTTAAGTCTCGCTCTTATATTACTACACTTAAACAACATATTTTAAATGTCTGGCACTAACATACCCTTACTTTTTGTTCGACACTTATACATCCTTACTTTGTATTTGACACTAATACATCCTTACTTTATATTGATCAATAACTTATCCTAACTTTATATGAAAGAAAAAAAAAACTTCTCCTACCTCCTAGTTCTTTCTAATCAGATATTCGTACAAAAAATAGTGTAATTAGAACAAGTAATTCTACGCATGATTGCCCAAGTTTATGTTATAGGATGTTACACTTTACTTCATTGACGTTTGTAAGGTGGAGATTATTGCACACAAAAAAGGACAAAATCCGATCGTAATCTATGCACTAAGTTGACTACACCCTGAATTTATACTTTGGGAACCTTTGTGGGCTAATCTTATAGAGATTGTATCTAAAATATTGGGTTTAAAGCAATAGATAAGGCTATCAGCTTAATCTTTTCATGAATAAAGAAAAGAAAGCGACACGGATTAACTCCCTTAGAAAACGAAAACCGAAAACGAGTAAATCAACATGGCTGCAACTTCCTGTGCCCTGAATGGCCAGGAGCTCTGGCAATTTATTTTCTCGTCTGGTGAACTCGACGCGAAGATTAAGGAACAATAACACAGTTTGGGACTTTCTCTTTATGGGCCGTGTGTCTGCGACATCAAAACCTTTTCGGCCGTATGTCGAAACTATTTTACGACATCTTTAAGATAAATATGATATTTTATGAGGGATTGATTATAAACTTCAATAACCATGGAAACAGAGCGATGGTAAAGACCACTAATTTCAATGAACTGAAAATCTCCATTTTTTTTTGAGCCAACATTTTAGTATCCAAAAATGGCGACCTAAAGTAAAAAGGAGAAAAAAAAACATCTTATGGCGATATTTATTTTATTAGTTGATCTTTTATTTAGTTGATTTTTATGAGGAGATCTGTTATTATATTAGATCTGTTATTATTTTAGATATATTATTATATTATTTGATCTGTTATTATAGTAGTTGATCTGTTATTATATTAGTTGATCTGTTATTATATTAGTTCATCAGTTATTATAATAACAGATCTAAGTGGAAACACAATAACACGAGTGAACGTAGCGGGCTATGAAGTCTGACAAACTATAGCCAGCCACAAAATAGTCGCCGATGAGTCTAACTCACGTCATTTATTTTAAACTTGACATGAAAAACAAAATGACAACACCGCGGTTGTTTCCCCTACGTGTGTATAGGTTATCGCCCCTTGCATTCGGTAATTGCTGTCAAGTCCGTGTTTGCTACACGTCTCTCAGCACGTCAGATGTCGCCAGGAGCAGCGTGTGAACCGCAATCTGTGTCACATGACGTTACTTCCGTGCTGATCTAAGCTGTGTGTTGCATGATGATTGCTGCACCAGTTCGAAGCGTCCTTGCACTCCCCCCCTAAACTCACACCGCTTTTTCTTAAGATATCCTTTTACGACGACACGCTATTTCACCCCCCCCCCCTTCGCCGTTACTGATCGTAACAAAAAGCCTGACCTTTCCCCCTAAAATCACACCTTAGTCTACTATTACCCTCAAAACTGCATTTTATTTTAGCTCGGTCAACATTGGTTATATTACCGGTTGCAAATAATTATTTTTTTAAAATCTTTTTTTTCGAAAAAAACAAAAACAAAACAACAACAACAACGCAAAAAACGGCTACACTCTATGTAAGGTATCCATCAGAGCTGGGCAGCCTCACTAAAGTCATATTGACTCGAGCCCAGTAACATGAGACATTCGGAGCTCCGGTGGGAATGAAAACAAAACAATTTTCACATGGTAGACTAACAAAAAATAACATCAGTAGGTCTAACCAAGCAGTTTAAAAATTGGGGTGGTGGCGGGGGGGGGGGGGGCATAATAGTGGCGAACTAGTTGCAGGGGAGTCGGGAAATGTTTGGAACACTCTAATGCGCTTAAAAGGTGCACCGTCAAAACTACCCGCGACAAAACAGTTCCGGTAAAACGGCCCCAACCAATCGGCCCCCGACAAAACAACCTAGTCAAAATAGCCTCCACAAATAGGTTCCCGCCAAATGGGCTCCCGACATAGTGGCTCTCAACATATGGGCTCCCGACAAATTAGCTCCCGACAAGTAAATCGTATGACCAGTTTTGGCCTAAACGTAAATATTTTGTCCAACCCAACAACCACATGCATTTCCTAACTTCACTACCTGAGTAAAAAAAAACGTGATCATGAACCAACAGCAATTCATTAAAAAATCAAGCTCTTAACAGCTAAGTGCAACTTATTAAAAGCTGTGTTCGTGTTTCATTAATCCCCGTGAAGATTTGATGCTTAAAAACGATGGAAATCACAACTAAATGACCCCTACATTTAAAACAAACTATTTTTAATAGATAAAAATAATGTATATATATATATATATATATATATATATATATATATATATATATATATATATATATATATATATATATATATACATCATTTTTATCTAGCGGGCTTTATATATATATATATATATATATATATATATATATAATTGTAAATATATTTATATATGTAAAGCCTGCCGAACAAGTTACACACATTGTATTATTTGAGGGTGCTGACTAAGCTAGCTCGGAAGGGTATTGATAGTAGGTCCTATTGGAAGGGGTAATATTTAAAGCGGCCGTTTCACCGTATTTACAGGGCCCTTTGGTCGGTAACCTAGTAACTCGAGTGTGACGACATCGCTACCTGTCTAATTATAATTTATATTCCATCCTTTCTTTAGGACTTAACATCTGGTTTGTAAATTAAAGGCTTTAATAATAAGCCGGTGTCTGTGTTAAGCATCTAAAAATTTGGTAAAAGGGATTAAACTGGGTAAATTATTGACATTTTGAAATGACAAGAGTTCCTTCCCTTTAAGACACTATCCAGATAGGTCTACGTGTATTATTTTTATTAACTTTTAACACACCTTTCCATAGACCCATCTCTCTGATAAATTATCACAGTTTTTTGTTAGAGTAAATCTCTGTGACCAAGACAAAAACATTATGTTCAGCTAAAAATATTTTTTACTTCTTTATTAATGGTTAGAATCAGGTAGCCTACACTTGTCCACAGAATACAAAGATAACTATCAATTATCAAGTAAATTTCATATTAAGCAAACGGATCTTTAACAGCTTTTTCTGTCCTTAGTCTTTCTTCTTCTTCTCTTCTTCGTTCTTAATTATCAGTGTTGAAGGGGATCGAGATTTATCTGCCAGTGGGTTTGAACTCGAGACTTTTGTTCAACCATGAGCTTTTTTGCCGACTCGACCACGCCTCCAACACAATTAAGCGTTACGTGTCAACTGGTTATGTGCCATTGACTCCGATTTCAGCCTGCTTTTCTTTTTGGATTTGCTTCCATAGCCTTTGTCCAACCAAGAACAAACGTCAAGGCAGCAGTTGTTTAATTTTGGAGTTGTCTCTCCTAGAAGAGTGGCTGTCCCCAGCTAACGAGCCTCATCTGCCCGAGGGTTCGAACTCGAGACTTTTCGGTTTAGCAACCATGAGCTTTACCGGTAAAACTCACGCCGACCCCCTTGTCCTTAGTAATATATCCATTTTTAAACGGTTTTGATAGCAGTGTCTAATTTTTAAATAAAAAAAAAATTGTAGTTTTTTTCCTTTTTGTAGGATTTATTCCCCAAACATTTCTGTCTCTATCACCAATTCAATAGACCAACAAGTGGAATATAATTTTAATTTCTATTCATAGTTAATTTAACAAAATATTTTGGAAGTATAGTATGACAAATTTTAATGTCATCAAAACAACTATTTACAAAACATGCTATTGCAATGTTTGAACAGCAAAAAGTATTTTAAGAATTTATATTTGGTAGCTTGTACACGGTTTGTCAAACATACATTTGAGTCATTTAATTAAGAGATTAATAAGTTAAAAAAAAACCTCAATTAAATAGAACATTTTATTCCATATGTAAAGTTTTGATCTTAAAGTTTTGTAATTCTTATATACAGTATTTATTTCTAAAATACAATATAAAAATATGTCACGCAAAGTTGTTTTGGAAAGCTATTCAGCAAAAAAAAAAAAAAAAAGATCGACATAAGTTTTGCTTGACATTTAAATAGTACAAATTTCTTTTATAAATAATAAATGTGTTCACACACCATTAAGTAGCCGGGTTTAGGGAAAATCTTTCTGCAACCTTGCTTTTTCCTTTTGCTTGTGTACAGATATCAAAATGAATCATGCATGACTATTTCAACTGCAGCTCTCTTGGTGTTAAAAGAGCACTCAACTGAGACAAATTTAACCCTTTCAACAGTTTTGTTTACCAGTGGTGCACAAGTTGCTGTGTAGCACGTGGTTTGATAATGTGAGTATTTATTTACAAATATGATCCTTTTAAAACTAAAAAATAAGATAGTGAAAGTAAAGTTATTTTTATTACATTGGTATTTTTGGCTTGTGTATAGACTTTTCAAATCTAGTTTTGTAAATAAATGTAGTTATGCCCCTTTAGATATGAGTTGTACATACTGCATTTGCATAAGGCTGAAAGGGTTAAACTACTATAAAACAAACCAAATCATAAGTTTATAAAATATATTATAAAAGAAATATTTCAAAGTTGGACGTGTCAACATGCGCAATGACATACGAAGTGACGCATTTCTTAAAAGTGAGTAACTTCATTCAGCAGTAGATGAAAGCCCATTGTCTATGAGCAGTAGGAGATGAACAGATCCATTGACAGTTACACTGCACCAGCCTACAAAAAAAAAAACAACCAATTAAAAACAAAATAAAAGCATATTAAAATTAAAAAGTCAGTATTAGGGTTATTAAGGCAACCATTTACTGCAGAATTCCTAAATAGCTTTTTGACAGAGTAAGATTTAATTAATAAGAATAACATGCTTAACTAGCTTTAATTTTCAACTAATAAATAATGGGTAAAACAATTCTAAATAGTTTTAAAATATAAAACCTAATACAAAATCAATAAATATTTAAAAAAAAAAGACCATACCTGCTGTGTTCCCCATGTTAAATAGTCTGATCTTGTGGCTGCATTGTATTCATCAATTAACTGTTGTAAGGACTCTCGAGAATTGTCAAACTCATCTAAACTGTCTTTAAAAATGGCTTCTTTCATGAACTGCTCAATAAAAGCCTTGCGATTTCTTAATTTGTCGTACTGATTTAAGATACGATCAAATAACTGTGGAAGAAATTCATCCCTGATTTAATACAAGCAATTAAGATATTACAAGAAAAAAGTTAAATTTACAATTTTTTTTCTTCTTACCTGAGAAATATTTGTGTGGTTGGCTAACATAAGTCCACTGACTCTGTGGGCTGTCTGCACATAAGGGGATTTGCGAGAAAGAGCAACCTGAATGCTAGCTGGACCCCACGGTATAAACTGGGCTAACTTGCGTTCTCTGATTCTTTGAAGACTTTTGTGTACCTGTTTCATGGTTTAAGTTTGTGGTAAAATACAGTAGTTAATTCACTAGTTAAACTTTTTTGTACCATAAAACTTTAAAAGCTACATATTAATTTTATTTATTTCTAATAAAGACCTGTGTGGGATCCACTTCTCCTTGAATGATGTTTAGAATAGAAATGTAGCAGTGGTTGTTCCCTTGCCTCTGCACTGGCGTGGATACCATCATATTCTTAGGCTGTAACAATCTTCTCATAACATCTAGAACTGTTGTTTTTCGCACATTGGCCACCTGTTCAGATGACATTTGCTTTATAAATAGCACCAACCTGCTCTTTTAAATACCATTATTATCTATTTGATTTAGAGGATTTAAAGAAAATATAACACTTCACTTTGTTATCCAAAGAAATAGTTATTTTAACGCACCTGTGAGTCAGTTGTTAAAGGTGTATATCCAGTCATCAAAAAGTGCAAACGAGGTGTAGGAATCAGGGATGCAATCAAGCCAATCAGATCATTGTTCATATAGCCTGGATATCTCAGTGTCGTCGTTGAGGTTGCCATTACAGTTGAAACCTTTTGTAAAGATGCCATAAACATTCAAACAGTTTATAGGAGACATAAAAATGTTGAAACCTTTTGTAAAGATGCCATAAACATTCAAACAGTTTATAGGAGACAAAAATGTTGAAACCTTTTGTAAAGATGCCATAAACATTCAAACAGTTTATAGGATACATAAAAATGTTGAAACCTTTTGTAAAGATGCCATAAACATTCAAACAGTTTATAGGATACATAAAAATGTTGAAACCTTTTGTAAAGATGCCATAAACATTCAAACAGTTTATAGGAGACATAAAAATGTTGAAACCTTTTGTAAAGATGCCATAAACATTCAAACAGTTTATAGGATACATAAAAATGTTGAAACCTTTTGTAAAGATGCCATAAACATTCAAACAGTTTATAGGATACATAAAAATGTTGAAACCTTTTGTAAAGATGCCATAAACATTCAAACAGTTTATAGGAGACATAAAAATGTTGAAACCTTTTGTAAAGATGCCATAAACATTCAAACAGTTTATAGGAGACATAAAAATGTTAAAACCTTTTGTAAAGATGTCATAAAATTTCAAACAGTTTATAGGAGACATAAAAGTACCATCAAACTAGAACCACTATAAAAACTGGAACTCACAAGTTGGTTGACGTGGGCAAATGTTGGGGTGTCAATGTGTAGCCTGTCAGCTGCTATTCTGTTCAATGCTGTATTGTCAAGAACAACCTAAAATAATTGGATACAAATATTTTAGAAACTTTATTCAACTTTGAACACATACTTGCGAAAGCCTGTAGTTACACGAAAGTTTTTGTCTAGGAGACTGATAAGTTAGAATATTGAAACTAATACTAAATTAATGATTTCCCTGACCATTCACTCATCAGGGATGACCATAATTTTTTACAACTTAAGAAATGCTGTTCTGAATTAGTATTAAAGCTAATCCTTACCACACAATCTGCATTTTGCGTGAGTCGTTTAAGTGTCAAAAGAGAGTTGTATGGTTGTACAACAACATCTGAGATTTCATCAACATTGGGAAAAACAGAGTATGTTTGAATCAACTTTTTTGGAAACCTGTCAAAGTAAAATATATCTCAGTAGCAAAATAGTACTCTGATCTAAATGCAGTTCTTACTATTACTGCAGTATTATCACAGAGGCTCACTGAGAAAGACAAATTACAACAGTTATTGCAGAATCAAAGATATTTAATGAAATAACCTGTCATTTAATTTTTCCAATATGTAAGAGCCCATTCCAGATCCTGTGCCACCAGCAATAGAATGACAAACAACAAAGCCCTAAAATAAATAAATTTAAAACATTTTCTCTTTGGTCACACATCAAGTATTTTTTAATTTAAGAAAAAAGTAAACTTATGGACTAAAATGTACAGCTTTACTGCATAAGATTACCAGCAAAACATACCTCTAAACTGTCACTTCCATCTGCTTCTCTGTCTATTATATCAAAAATATCATCATACAACTTTTCTGCCTGTAAAGTTAAAGATATTGAATACATTATTTTTTTTTAAATTGAAGAATAACACAAAATTATCTTTCACAAAACCAACTAGTCAACTGGAGTTGAAACAAGAAATCGAGTAAAAAAATTAATAAATAAAACTTTTAAAAACAACTTTTTTGTAATTGCACAAAAAAGAAAATAAATGATTTTCTTTAAATATATAATAATGAACTACTATTTAAATAATAAAAAAAGAAAAGCGTGGGTCGCTTATTAAAATTTTGGTAAAGGCATTAATACATAATACAGAGACCCACTCTCTTTAGTTATTTAAATAGAAGTTCATTATTATAATTTATACATTTTAAAAAAAGATATTTCTTATTTATTATAGTGTATAATCATATAAAAGCTTGTTATTAAGATGCTTCTTTTTGATGTTTAAAAATTTTAATACAATAGAATTGCATGACTAAAAACTGGTATGCTAAATGATCCACAAATGACAGTGTGCATATAATTTCGTGGAAAATGTGTACTTTTTATTGGAAACTAATTAATTCTTAAAAATTAATTAAACAACCAATTTTAAGTCAAATTTAATGTCACACTGCATTGGATTTGGACCCATGGGCCATGTTTGAAAGAAATTTGTCAGTTAGATTTAGTAGTGGTCGAAACTTTGCTTGCCAGTTTTGACCCATCGGATAAAAGCCAAAAGAACGAGAAAGCAATTTAAATAAAAGCTTGCAAAAAAGGTATGACATCAACAACTTTGGTGTTACTTAAAGTGATAAATGTTACACTTTTACCTGACAGTAACCACTAGCCCAGTTATTGCCTGCACCACCACCATGTTTGGACAAGTAAACATTTTCTGGGTTGTAAAGGTTGGCATATGGGGAATTCATGATAGTGTTGATAACACGAGGCTCCAAATCAAGTAAGACAGATCGGGGGATGTAGTGTTCATCATCAGCCTGTTAAGTTAATGCACATAGGGGTTACTAAAAAATTATAAACTTCAGTTTCATCCACACTTTAAATAATAATGTTAAAAAATACTTATATAAATATACCTGGTAAAAGAAAACATCTTTCCTATCTGTGCCTTCTGTGGCAAACTCTTCTAAAATTCCCTCTGAAATTAATAAAACCTTAAATAATAAACTTGCAGAAAATTTACCTTGATCTAAAAGATTAAACTATATTTTTTTCAAAATAGTTTGTAACTAGTGAAAAATTCTAATAAATTATAAATCATATAGGCCTAAATGGTAAGTAAATCTAAAAAACATTAATAAGCTGTATATTGATCAATTCCTTTTAAAGTTGATAAACCAACCTGGACTTATCCCATGTTCTGCACAAAGTTGTTTCCAAAACTCCATACCAACTAAAAATAGAAGAGAAACATTTAGCCTAGATTATTTATTAATTTTTAAATTAAAAGAAACATTAGCCTACTGTTTTATTTAAATCTAATTCTCATTAATTTTTTTTTAGCTAGGGCTTATATACTAACTAGTAACGCTTATTATAGTAAGATATTATTCCCAGGAGAAGACTTATTTCTATCAATAATAGACCAATGCTTATTGAGTTAAAGACAATCTATAGGTCCTTTAATGCCCATCTACTTTCATAGGCAAAAATATTTATAGAATTTTGAACAAATTTGACTGATTTTAATTTTTATATGGGCCTATGTAAATATAGTGTCAACATGGCAGAATGGGGCGTACGGCCTGCCTGGGATACAAAGGGTCGACTCGAAATATCATCCTGTTTATTTAAATAATAAATTTAATGCAACAAGGCTGACGGTTGGTTGAGGCCACGCCTGGTGCTAGTTCTGCCAGGGATACAATTACAAAGGGTCAATTCTAAATATCATCCTAAAAATATAAAAAAAAAACACTTCAAAAGATTATTAATATTAGAATCTAATTCTAATATTAGTCAGGAATGGCCTCTTATTTTTTACTTCTAATCTAATACTACTAGATCTAGAATCTAGTTCAAGCCTAGCCGACCAGCCCAATTGCATTTTTAAAAATTGTTTTACCTAGACTACTCTTAGACTCTGCTAACTACTACAGTAGTAGTACAGTAGGTACTACTAGACTACAGTACTAGTACTACTAGTAACTAGTAGCTACATAAATTAACTCTATCGTTTTAGGTGCGTAAAATCAGCCGAGGCTAGTAATGTGCGAACCAGTTGCCTCATTGTTAAGGCTTTAATAGAAGTATATTCAAGTATAAGTATATTGTGATATATTTGTGTCAAATATTATAAATAACCGAATAGGCTAAACCAAAATCCATGGCTAAATATATATATAGCCTATATATATTATCTATATATATATAATTCTCTTCTGGGAGACGCTAGAAAACAAGCTGTAAATGCTAGAAAACAAGCTGTAAACGCGCTCCATACCATCCCCACCCCTACGTGGTCTTAGTGAGCTGTGGTTCACGCTATGTTTACCTTCGTGGAGTCGGGTTTAGTGACGGCTATTAGGGGCAGATAATTTAGTTTGAAACGATTTTAAAAGGAGGGGGAGGGGAGGGGGTTATGGTCCTTAACGAGCTACTTATAGTGTTTTAAAGAAATATTTTCAGTCTCAGCGTTGGTACTGTCAAATTCACAAGGCCGGCTCGTATATATATATATTCAGATGGCTGCTGTTTATAAACTTTATATAGATCTAGTAATAGATAGAGGCCTACGACAAATCTTGCTCGCAAACACTGCTGTTTAAAGTTAATTTCTGGCCTATATAGTGTGTATATATATATTATATATATATATATATAATTATAATATATAATAGTGGCTTCCCCTGAATCTCCCACTATAATTTTACCAAAAAAAACATAAGCAAGATGACTACTAAAGTAAATGAGCTTGGTTGCATCTGATGAAAACATCGCTGGTCTTTATTTATTACTATTTGGCCTACTGAACAGTTTTAAAATACGGTAATCTATCGTTTTGGGTACGTAAAATCGCCCGTGGCTATTAATGTACGAAAAAGTTACCTCATTGTCAAGGCTTTAGTAGAAGTATATTGTGATATATTTGTGTCAAATATTATAGATAAATGAATAATAAACCTAAATCAATGGCTAAATATATCAATATATGCCAGAAATTAACTTTAAACAGCAGTGTTTGCGAGCAAGATTTGCTATATAAACAGCAGCCATTTGTAAAATAGAGTGACTTCCGCCTGTCTCGCGCTATATCCGCTATAAAAAAAAACTTAAACAAGATGGCTGCTATAGTAAATGAGCATGGTTGCATCTGTTGGAAACATCGCTAGTCTTCATTTATTACTGAAAAGTTTTAATTCAATTGTTTAAAAACAGGTACATAAATGAAAGAAGGAAACATTTTTGTATTTTTCAAAACATAAATCCTCCTCAAAATGTGAAATAATTATTAAAATTTAAGGAGTCACCTGTTTTTCACATTACTAGTCGCGGGCGATTTTACGTACCCAAAACGATAGATTACCTAAAATACAATTGTTTAAAAACAGGTAGATCAGCTAAATGAAACTTTGAAACATTTTTTTAAATTTTAAAATGTGAAATCAGAAATAATTACTACAATTTAAGAAGTCACATTTTTTTTCACATTACTACAGTATTGAAATATTTGATTAAATTAATATTACTCTGGTTTCCACATTGTCCTAGTTGAAGTGTAATAATTTCCCTAGGCATTTTTGATCATAAATAAAGCGTCTATGGAGATTTTGGCTCCCAACAAAATTTTGTACTGAAATCAAATCGGCCAGTGAGTTGTAGCACCAAAAGTTGCAGTACTCTATCAATAGCTAAAATTGCCACATTGGAATATAGGCATCTATTTACAATGTTTAGGCGTCTTCAAAAATAAATAACACCCACCCCCACTCCAAAATAGCAAACCTTCATCCCCCCATGCTTAGCATAAGAAAATGCCAACATATATTCTGGAAATTCAAGAGTGTGGACTTATATAGACGTAACAATTTATTCGATTATATTTGTGAGTAGAATTGTTTTGTGAAGGATTGTTTTATTTATACGATTGAATGTCCACTAAACATTTGGTATTTATTTCGAAATCTTTGTACATATTAATTTATTTGTGGGTTATAGCCTATTAAGATATAAAATCTAAAATAAAATATCCCTATATTAATATTCTTAACCTAATAGGCTTTACATGATACCCTCCCCATTGCATAATTATAATTAATAACCTAATTAGAAAAACCCATAACGAGCTGATTTTGCTTTATATATATGTATCGAATTTTGGTTTTGAAGTCGAATAATGTTAAAAATGTAGTAGTTGGAATAAGTGTATTTAAAATATAAAATATTTTAAACTCTAGTGTAAAATAAAAGCTTTTCTCTGCAAGTTTTCAAGTTATACTTTTTTTTTCGGTTTGCTTCTCTTTCACTCATTTTGATAAATATTAATCTGACTAGCTGTTACCCATAATTCCACACTATACAGAATAATGTAAACAATAATAAACCTGTAGACCTTATAAAATTTATAAATTAGTTAAAATTAGTTGTGCTAAATTTAACATAATCATCAATCATATAATTTTTCAACTTGATAGAGAACAAGACAGTATTTTTGTTTATAACATAGAAAGATTCTAGATGAATAAAGTTTTTATATTTTTTAGAAACCATGACAGATGTATTTGATCTTGGTGGTGGGGGAGATGTCAAGAAACTTGAAAAGGACCTGACTTCTTTTCTTGGACCCTACGAACCAATTATCATGAAAGCTCAGAGTTTACTTGTATGGGAATATCCATGGCGAAGTGCACTTTTATTCATTGCTATTCATGTAGTGTTCTGGTGGGTTTTTGAATAGATACGATTTATTTATTATTTTGAAGGTAGCTTTTTTTGGTAATCTATCGTTTTGGGTACGTAAAAGTAAAATCGCCCGCGGCTATTTATGTACGAAAACGTTACCTCATTGTCAAGGCTTTAATAGAAGTATATTGTCATACTTTTGTGTCAAATATTATAGATAAATGAATAATAAACCTAAATCAATGGCTAAATATATCGATATAGGCCAGAAATTAACTTTAAACAGCAGTGTCTGAGAGCAAGATTTGCTATATAAACAGCAGCCATTTGTAAAATAGAGTGGCTTCCCCCTGAATCTGGCGCTAAAAGCTTATAAAAATAAAACTTAGACAAGATGGCTGCTATTGCTATAGTAAATGAGCATGGTTGCATCTGTTGGAAACATCGCTAGTCTTCATTTATTACGGAAAAGTTTTAATTCAATTGTTTAAAAACAGGTACATAAATGAATCAAGGAAACATTTTTGAATTTTTTAATACATAAATTCTCCTCAAAATGTGAAATAATTATTAAAATTTAAGGAGTCACCTGTTTTTCACATAACAAATCGCGGGCGATTTTACGTACCCAAAACGATAGATTACCCTTTTTTTTAGCTAGTTAGTACCCAGTCTGAGTAGGAGTACTACTATACTTAAATACTTATTACTTAGTACTAGTTAGTTAGCAGTAGTAGTTAGTCAATGGTTGTAGGATTAAGAGCCCATTACTATCTAGATCTAGTATAAAAATATAGTTTTATTAGGCCTACTAAGTTTTGCAATTTTGTCTATGTCTGTGAATACGATAACTTGAGTACGATAACTTGAGTACGGTTACTGCTAGGTTGATGAAATTTCATATATATTATATAGGCCCTAAGTATTATATCAAATTTGTAGTTCTTTATCACCTTTTCAGCGATTTCCGGTATTCTACTTTTGATATTTCATTTCAAAAGCCTATAACTAGAGTACTGTTTCAGATAGTTAGACGAAATTTCACATATAAGTTAAAGATCTCATTTTCTGCCTTCTATCAAATTTTGAGTAATTTCTGTTTACCCGAAGTGGTACTTTACGCTATTTTCGATTTTAAAGAGCCCGCATTTTTGAGAATGTTAATGGGAGATCACTCTCGCATTATTAATATGATGATTTAAAAATTTAAAATGTAGGCTGTTAGGCCAAGTTTAATGTGTAAAAAAAAGTAGGCCTACTTTATTTCTTGTAGTGAAGCCTATTTTAGTAATTTATTTTATTTTAGGTATTAACTTTAATTTTAGACTTTTAAAATAATAAAAATCTACATAAGTCTACTACATTATCTACTTAAGCTAAATTATAAAATATTAGCCTAATAATTATTTTGTATCTAGTCTAGTGACACAATTTATTTAAAGGCTTTACTCATTTACTGCTTTACTTTTAGTCACTGAATAGTCATTTTTAAAAATTAGTATTTCTTTCATTTGTCGTTTGACTCAAAAGTCAACTGGGATGACCAAACCAGGCTGAAGTACTAGCAGAAAAAAAGGGGGAGGGAAAGTAATAAGGCTCTTTTTTGAAAATGTCTTGGTAATTGTTTACACCATGTGGTGATCAACTAAAATGCGGAGAAAAAACACTCATGGCACTAGAATACTATGAAAAATAGGAAATGGGCAAGCTTTTTTTTTGTTATTATGATTTTTTTGTTCTTTTTAAAATTAGGGGTTGTCATACTAAATTTGATAGTATAATGTTTCTTAAATAATAACTATTAGGGTAGTTGTTATACCTGTGTCAGATAATGCTACAACAAATAAGGGAATCTTCTTAAATAAAGGATTGTTAGGTTATTAGTAGTAAACTAAATACTAATAATTTAACTTCCTAATGTCAACACTAACCCTATCTCTAACCCAAACCTACCATTCTCACTGACCCTAATACTAATGCTTAACCTGATATCACAATACTACATGCAACCTAACATCTATTTTTGAAGAGTTTATTTTTGGATGACAGTAACACCACTACTTTCATTTTTTTGCATTGCCATCCATCTATTACTTGCTAATTCAAGACAAAATTAAAAATTTTTGGCCTAAATTTTACAAATTTTCATGGCACTAGAATACTATGAAAAATAGAAAATGGGCAAGCTTTTTTTTGTTTGTTATTGTTATGATTTTTTTGTTCTTTTTAAAAAAATTTAATAATTTTTTCCCCCAGGCTTATTAGCACCACTTCATCAAAGTTTATCTTTTTGTTGAGTGTGGCAGTAATGTGTATAGTCTTCATTGATACTTGGAAAAATAAAATATGGCCTGAAATTAGAGGTATTACAATAAGTTCTTTTATGTGTGATAATTTAGTCACTTCTCTAATGCCTTACATTGTTTTGTAATAGATTGCACACATATTTAAAAAAATATTGCACAATTGTAGCATTTTAAAACATTTTTGATACTGTTTTCAGTTCCTCCTACAGAACCAGAGGACAGAGATGGGTAAGTGGACATGATTAAGCAGACTTTGTACTGTAGATTAATGGAAGGGGACAGCAAACTTGAATTGTATGTTGCCTTCAGTAGTTATTGATAAAAATAAATGTTATAATACAGTCAGATTAAAAAAAAAAATCAACCTTCTGTAATTAAAAGCTATTAAAAATATATAAAAAATGCTATTGTTCTATTTTAAGTTGGACTCCAGTTCATCCACGATTGCTGAGTGTGCCTGAACTAAGTACTCATTTAAGTCAAACAATTGACTTCATTTTAAGAGCATCAAGGTCTGTCCGTGAATATAGAATCTCTCATCCTCTTGTGGTAGGTACCTGGTCAAGGTCATTATTTGGTTGGAAAATGTTTCTTGCAAATTATCATGTTAATTACTAAGCTAACGTTTACCATTTTTCTCCACCAGTTTTGCTTGGGGAACACAGCCCTATTCACTGTCACAGCTCTCATTGGCTACTATGTCTCAGGGTTCATGCTACTTTACATTTCAAGTAAGAATAAATGTATTTTACCACTTGCTTCAGATTTTATTTTAAAAAAAAACAGCTCTTGAAAATAATGTTGGAATTTGCATAACAATGTAGCTAAGAATTGAAAAGCTTAAAGATAAAAGTGCTCAAGTGAAAATTTAGTGAAATGAAACTTAACAATGGTCATTATTCCTATAGTTTGACTTTATGCTGATGTATTTTTTCCCTTGTTAAAACAATCATAGTAAAATAAAAACATATTTTAAATTCAGTATGAATTAGTAAACTCTGTGATCTCAAAATGTTTTTTTAGAGACTAAATACTTTTAGCACTTAAGTCTTCAATGGTTCCATTTCCTTTTTAGAAAGTTTTGACACAGGCATTTATTCTATTTTTCTCTTTTACAATTTCTAGACTTACTATCTTTATTTGTATCTTTGGATCTTATTATAAAAGTGGGTGTGTTTTGTAGCCGTATGGCAACTAACCTACAAAAGTATTATTTTACAACAAATTCTTTTATAAAGGACTGACCTATGGACTATAGGTAGTATTAATGCAGAGGAGAAAAAAAAAGCATGTAATAAAGACTTACTGTTTGTCCCTGGCTAGGTTATAGTATTTAAAAAACAACTAAGTTGCTATGTTAACATTTTTTCACAAATTTGTCCTCAGTACTGAGTTTAATGTTATGGCCTTCTGTGTTGTACCATTCCTTACTAAGAAAAATTTATGTCAAGCTGGAGCCTTGCTTCATGCTCTTAGAATACCATTTGAGAAATGCCTGTAAATCTGTAACAAGTAAGTGGTGTTTTTTTTTTAACTACAAGGTTATGCTTTAGCAAAAATTAGGATATTTTACAACCTTTAGCTCAGCATATATTAAAATTAATTACTTTTCTGAATTAAGATTAATATTTATATTCAACACAATTACAGACAACTGATATTTTAAGGCCTATCTTTCTGCAGCATTAGGTGGACGAATAAATACTTCAAGACTTTACACATCAGCCAGTGACAAGGGTACCTGTGTAGAGGTAGATGAGGATGACTTTTTACCACAGGTGATACTCAAAACAATTCCAAGACAATGACTTTTTACTCTAAAACATTGAATATTTTAGGAATAGTGCTCATAGTTCAGAATTAAATGCAAAATAAAATACCAGACTATTTTTGAATTGGTGAGATTTTCGATATTTTAGATTTGAAAGATTTTGCATTTGTTGATAACATTTCAATAATTGACAGGCTGATCCAGACATTGCAGCAGCTTTAGCTAAAGCCATCACAGACAGTGAAGATGAAGCTGGAACCTCTTCAATACCTACCCCAGGACTCTCAAAAAATCCATCCTTTAGTGACACTGAAAATGGTAAACTTGACAGTCATTATATGGGAGAAGGTTCACTCATGTATGACTCATGTGTACACATATATATTGCAGCAGGATTGTTGTTCTGTAACTTTGTATCATAAGTAGTCTGTTTGTTATTGTGCGGCAGACATTATATGATAGGTAGCAGCTTTACATTTAGGAAACAGATTTAGTGTTATCGGTAGTACAGGGTTCCCGCGGCCTCCTGAAATTCCAGGATGTCCTGGAATTCTCCTGGAATTTCAAAAAACCAGAAAAGTCCTGGAATTCTCCTGGAATTTTAACATTTCTCCTGGAATTTTAACATTTCTCCTGGAATTTTACTCGCATCGATAATGTTAGGGAATATTTTTTTCGCGCGTTAGATTTCTAGGTAATCAGATCTGACCGCCCCAGTAAAAATGTTCTGCCTTTTCAATTCTTCGCATTACAAGTCACACATTTTAAAATATAGACCTAAAGCTGTCTTTAACATGTGGGTTTGGTTTAATTTGTTTCTCACGTCTTTCTATGTGCGGCTCTGTTTAATAGGCGTGACTTTTTTTTTTAATGGGAAATTTCGAGTAGGCCTAGGCCAAAATCTAGTTTTTGCGCAGCTAATTTGAATCTACAGTCCGATAGGCTCTAGATCTACTTTCTATTTTTACATGCGAGTTGTAATACTACCACCCTCCCATCCCGCATCTCAGTTTCTTTCCCACGACAGGGTGGGGGAAGGAGGACCGCTGGTTGGGTACATGAAGTGAACTCTGTGTGACCCGCTAGTGATGTCATCAGCAGTATACTACAGGCCAACTGTAAGCTTAGATGAACTCAAAAAACTGACCCCGCGCGACGGTGTCTAGCTGGAGGAAAAAATACGCTACCGGCAATAAAAAAAACTATCTGAAATTCTATTTTTGGCTGAAATATTTTAAATTTTTCAAGAATTAGGGGTCGTCCATAAATGACGTCACACTCGTAGGGGGAGGGGGGTCCGTAATTTTGTGACGGTGTGTGATGCGGGGGGGGGGGTTCAGATGGTGGGACGTCACACTTTTGCATCATAAAAAGCAATGTTAGAAAACGAATTTTAGCCGTTATTTCGCGTTTTAGAAAACTGTTTTAATAAATTGTAATAGGAATTGATCAAAATACTCTATGTTGACGCCGTTCTGACAAGATTTTAGAAAATATCGATGTTTTAAGAAAAAATCAACATCAATTTTGAGAGGGGATGTAGGCTGAGGTGTGACGTCATTTTAGGGGTGGGGGGTCTGGCTTTTTGTGACGAAGTGGGCAGGAGGGGGGGGGGGGGGTAAAAATCGTCAAAAAAGCAAAGTTTCCAAAATACAGTTTATTTTTAGTAGGACAAATGTAAGCTACTCAGGTTGGTCTACTTGTTCATAAAATGATAAAAAGTTAAAATTACAGTTAGGCTATTTACTGTTGAAGACTCCCATTTAAATCACAATGCCATGTCCATTTTTTAAAGACAAGACATGGTTTCAGCTGTTCTGTTTGTTTACAATTGACATTGTTAGTACGGATGATGACATTGGTGAGGGGTTAAGTCACTTGACACTGGGATATAGCTATGATTGCTAGGCTCAATATGTTTCTCAGTAGCAAACATCTAAATTAATTTATAATTATTTTACTAAGTGAATTTACTCACACTATTTCAGTTATCATTGAATTGAAAACAAAAGTGCAAACATAATTGATTAACATTTTAAATTAGTTTATTGCTGAAATTGTTTTCTAATATTTTTAAAGTTGTGAAATTTTACTTTTTTTTGGGGGGTGGGTGGGTGGGATAATAAAGAAGAACTGTTCAGTGTTATTTAGTTGTTTAAGAAGTGTCACATTTATATATTTAACTACTCATTGGCATAAGTGGGGGGGGGGGGGGGGGGGGGCTGATGAAAAGGGATAAAAATTTTGTTTACAAAAAGCTCATTTTATGCTGAAGTATTGAATCATACACAGTCAAAGTTAAAAAAAAGAAACTGCTACAAGACTACACACTGATTCAAATTTTCTCTACCTCAGTTGTGTAGTACAAAGATAAAAATTGTTACAGGATAGTGACTGGTAAAAAGTGCCACCACATTTTCCAAAGGGGGGGGAGAGGAGATAGCAATTTTATGAATAACAATTTATAAATGGGAGGGGTGGGGTGCAAAATTGAATCTACTTTAACTAAACTAAATGGTTTAGAAACAGATACTTTTAAAAATTACAAATGCTATGCTTTATAGCATTTTATAAAGACCACTTCCTAATTAAGGAATGTCAAACTCCCTTCCATTCAGCGCGGGGTTGAGTCGTTGCTTTTTAATAGGTTAAATTATGTCCTGGAATTTTGGTTTTTCTCCTGGAAAACTCCTGGAATTCTCCTGGAATTTCAAGTTCACTTTGGTGTAGGAACCCTGGTAGTAGGATTGCTGCGTGTAGCATTGAACCATAGGTAGTGGCTTTGGCTAGTGTGTTGTAGGTATTATAATTAATTACATTTAAAAAAATTTCTGTCATCTGCCATAATCATCATTTTTCCATTTTGTTCTTTGCAGAACATAGGGCCTCTGTCAAAGCATTCCGTTCCCCATGATCTCCTGCCACTCTTTTCAGCTGTACCCAATTTCTTCCTATCCTTTTGGCCGGCTCCAGCATGCTATATTGCCATATCTTTCTATGTTGACTCCTGTCTTGCTTGTTTCCTGTCCACACAGATCTCCATAGTTTTGTGTTCTCTACCTTGTCTTGCCATTTTGTTTTAAATACACTCCTTAAGCACCTACTTATAAAAGTCTGGATTCTTTTTGTTGTTGGCTTTGATGTTTCCCATGCCCCGGATCTGTAGAGCAGGGCTGCTTTTACTTATTTTAATTTTTTTTAGAGATGTTTGGTGATTTCCAGACTATTCTAAGATTGGTTAATGCCTGTTGGGCTAGGTTTATTCTGCATTTGATGTTCTCTTCTGTTCCTCTTGACACATTGACAGCACTTCAGAGATCTATAAAGCTGTCTACTAGATCAATATTTTGGCTTTCTTATTTTACATCTCCCTCTTGTTTTATGATTACTTTTTTTTTATATTTTTGTGCTCTGCCTTGATGCCACACATTTACTATTTCATTCTCAGAGCATGTTGGGATCACAGTAGGATGAATTTTTGCATCTTTTCTTTAAACTATCAGCTTTAAGGATAACTAATGACAGTTAGGACTGTGTTGATAAATCAAGTCTAACTATATTTTATTTCTATCTAGAAACTCAAGAAATAGACTTTGAGCCTGACATCAACCAGATGCCATCCTTTGATGATCTTGACAACACGGATGATGAGATGGAGTTCCCCTCCTTGACGACTGAAAGCAGTGCTCACCACTCAAGCCGCCTCAGTGCCCTTCAGTTTGCTGCTGCTCATTTTGGAGATTCAGAGTCTGAGGATGAGCAGATTCCTGCTAAAGAGCTTGACTTTCTTGATGCTCCCAGCAGCAGCAGTGCCGCTAGCACCTCCTCGTCCCAGTCAGCTTTGTCTTCAATAGCTGGGGCGCTGGTTGCTCGGACTATATCCACCATGATGGAATCAGCTATGCAAGGCTTGACCTCTCTCAGCCAGGGCCAGACAGCCTCATCATCAAGTTTAATTTCACGAAACGGATCAAAGATAACCTACACGCGAACTGAAGAAGGGGAGAGCATTGACTTCCAAAATCCTGAACCCCCAATATATGAGTCAGATGAAGAAGATGTTGATGATGATGACGGCAGAGAACAAATAGCTGAAATTGAAAAAGATTTTGATTTCTTAACAGATATGGATCCAGACACTGAAGATAATTAATACTTGGTGGTTTTTTGCTTATAATGATGGATTTCTTAAATATAGTAAAAAAACCTGTTGTTATAAACTGCAGCAACTCTTACCAATGTACATCAGAGGTTTTTCAATTAGCCGTAGAGTAACTTTACAGGTCTTTTTAAAAATATCACCTTCTTATACATTTTAAGTGAAAAGCTGTGAGAATTCTTGATATAATTTAAATAACATTAATGGGTCATAAGAAAATTGGGAAACTCCTGATGTAGATGTAAAGAAAATTAATGTTGGATTGGAAGCAGTTCATCATATTTTTTACCTACAGCAAGTTTTAGTTAGAATGTAGCTGACCTAATTATAGTTTTATTGAGTCTTTTATTTTTGTTTGCTATATAGTTTTAAGTACATCCTTGGGCTAAAATTAGTGGTGACTCAAAAGTGTGAGCAAAGACTTTGTTTAGCCGTAGCACATTAAAAAAACAAATCTCGCCTTATGCTAGTCTTGCATTATCAAACATGATACATTATTTACTCATTATTTTTTGCTGAACTCATAACAGGATGGTCTACTTTTATTAAACCTGCCAGATATTTTAGACTAAGTCGATCCAACTTATTACCTGCCCTTCTTGAATCTTAGAATTTATATAGGCCTTTGACGATGTGTTGGCCACGCGTTTTCTTATTATATCTCCATAGAAATAGACCACAACATGTGTACTGTAGAAGGCTGTTCCATAAGTAAACTAATTTGGTCATTATTTTAAACAGCGATGTCAGTTAAATTAATTTTGCTTGTGATTCTAAAGTAAGGTAATTTTAATTTTTGAAAAAATTAAATCTCCCTGTGATTAAGGTGCATTTTAATTTATTAAAGTTCATAGTATATAACATCCACCATCAAACTTTACATCTAACAGTGAAAACAAAAGTAACATACATCAGTTTGTGGATTTAATTTTTAAAGAATTTAATTTATATGGAATCAAAACATGCAATTATTTCTTTCATTATTTTGTGCTATACTATCTATGCATTGTGGTTGAACGTGTTTTAAATCAGCTGTATAGTTTGTTTCTTATTGTAATTGTATGTTTTTGTATTTTGTGAAAACAATTTTTTTTTTAAATTAGGCAAAACATTTTTTAGAACCTGTGTTATTTATGGACATTTTTCAGAACATCTTATTATGTTTTGATGAGTGTCTAAAAGTTTTTTAAAAATTTGGACTTTGTAAAATGTCCACTTAGACCTTTGAAAATATCCAGCTGATTTTCTTTTAACCTTTAAAGCGCGCCAAACCACGATTGTGGCTTTGCTGTTACACAACTTATAATGTGTAAGGCCGCGTGGCGCGTGCTTTAATTGTTAAGGTAGGCATTTTTAACACATGTGAAATAATTTTAATGCGATTTTGTTATAAAAAGGTGAAAATTTTAATGAAAGTTTTTTATTTAGAAAATTGAAACTGATCTGGTAATAAAAATGTGTGCTTTACAATACTTCAACATTAATTTAAACATTCTTTTATCCTGATACATTTATTTACAAAATGTTCCTTACTCAGTTGTAATTATAGTAAAATATGTATATAATATGATGGTTCAGGACACAAAAAGGTAATGTATTTTTAAAAAAATTACTTTAATGTTTTAAAGTTAAAAATTTTTTTTCCCCTAGCCTTAGGCAGCTTGACTTTCTGTTAGAAAAAAAAATGTCATTACTCCTGCATCTAAGTGTTTTATTTTCATCCTATCATCCTTATTGTGACTTCTGAGACCACTTGGTTTCTCTAAATGTTTCACTGTGTGCCATTTTCAGCCCAGTTTTAAAGTTTGAAATGCAATACTTCACCCCATATTTAATTTCCTTATGCTTGCTTTGTGGCTTCCTATTAGATGTATATGTGCCTCATTTAAAAAAAGAATTAAATAGTTATGTGCTGTTAAATTTAGTTGGTAGTGGTGTTGTTCATCTAGTAAACTGGGTTTTTAAGTGTTATTTCTGTTGTTTACTATTGAGAAAAACCTCTCCACATAATTGCTGCAGTAGCAATTTTAAGGCTGTGTTGTACCGGTTTAGTGCTTTTGTACTGATTAAAACTGTGATTAAAAATACCATAGCTGTTTTTTATATCAAATGTTTTTTTTTTATTATTATGAACGTTTAACAATATTTTCTTGTTATACTTTTAATTTCAGTTTTCTTTCTAGTTTTTGTAATAGTTAACTAATATTTGAGATCACACCTAATTCAAACATCCCTTATGTGCTAAACTGTACTTTTTCTTCTTTCTACCTGAATCTGAAATATAATCTGTTCCACTTGAAACGATGTTAAAAAAGTTCTTTAAGGTTTTCAGATTACAACCACTGGCTAACATTCCAAGAATCTGACATACCAAGTGACTTTGGTGCTAGTTTGCTGTTTCACAACCAGAGGCATCATCTCATGGTGATCTAGAGACTAGACCAAACCTGCTCTTTTAACTTGTAGGTCTGTGTGATTTTTTAATGGTTTGCTTACACTTATAGATTTCTTTCTAATGTTTAGATGTGTAGGGTCGAATGGAGTTGAGAAATATCTGTATTTGTATTTCTGAGTGGTGTGATACCATGTTGTACAGTAGAGATGCTATCTTTTTCCTTAGGTTTTGGCATGCTACTGTGAAGGGTTCAAATTTTTCTGTGTGGATTATGTCCCTTAGTATCCAGCCCTGACTTAATATGTTAGTCAGGGGGGGGGTCAGCATTGTGCTTGTTACATATACCATTTTCTTTAGCCCTAGAAATGAGTTTGCTTTTTTAACTTCTAAATTATGTCTCAGTGGTCTTTTTTTTTTACTTTACATAAACGGTTTATTTAAGCACTTCATTTTTTTTCTACATTAAAAATACTTAAGTGAGTTAAAACAAATTTTGTATCACTTTATAATTGTAAAAAAATAAAACAAAAGAATAAGTTTTTAAATGCCTAAATTAATCAAGTAGTCCTATGTGACAATACTGATTTTTAAAATACTTTTAAGCAGGATTGTATATTTTATTTAAACTTTCTTTACTTTAATTAACAAGTTGTCATATTTAAACTTGACTTTTTTTAAGGCTCCGTAAATTATAAATTACGTAATATTATTTATTGAATAGAAGGCTTGTGACAGCGCGAGTTGATTGGGTGAAAACAAATAGTCTTGTATTTTTTTTGTTGGGGTTGAATTATTGTACAATAAAAGTTCATAGTATAAAAATTAAAGTGTCCAGATTTGTTTGTTTTACATCTTAAGTTTAGTTTAGCTTTCATTTTATAAACAAGGAAATGGCAACAGATGAGGCTTGTTGTTAATATATTGACTCCTGTCATTGACTGCTACTTGTTAACTCTAGGTGCCTACCACATGACTTTCTAGTTGCTCTAAAATTATGTTTACATTATGACTGTCTGCTGGATCTAAAAATATGTTTACATTGGTTTACTTAATTAAAGATCAGATGGCAAGGTGAGGGTGTGACAGTGGAGGTGGGGGGGGGGGGGTATAATAGAGGGCAATGATGTTGATATTGGTGTAGTGTTTCAGTTTGGAAAATGATAATAAAGTGAATGAACAGTTAGATTATTTTTTTCTTTTACCATATTGGGAAAATTTTTGTGGACTCCTGTCAGTGTCAAGCACAAAATTAATTTTATTCTTTTTTACTAGTCTGCATTGTATTCGTATGTTGGTGGTGAGCTATATGTTGATTTTTAGTATTTGCTTAGTCAGGCATGACTTTAAAAAAAAATTATAGAACTTGTAGCAATACACTAGTTTAAAAACACGCTGGCTGCTTGCTAAGTAAAGGAATTTTTTAAATGTTTGGTAGTCAATACGTCATCTGACTTTAGTTGAGTTCAAACATTCTTGTCTAAATTAGCTTTTGCCCAGCTGTTGCACACAAGTTTTCAACATGATTCACTCGACCAGCAGTTGTCTGAATTTTTTATATGTTAATTTATACCTGCCAACAAATGGTGGCCAGGATTAGGCTTTATACTAAAATATGTGTATGTTGAATGCAAAAATTGTGTTTAAAGAACAAAAACATTGTGTACACAGTAACTTTAACATACAACAAGAACGTAAATTTTGTGTTAGACATCTTGTCATTTTTACTTTTCTCCCAATCTGATATAGGCTATGCTAGCCTGTGGGTTGTGACATTCAGTCTGATTAAGTTCTAGCACGCTGTCTCTCATTGATTAGTTTGTCAACACGCGGAAAACTTTTTATTTACTTACAACGTGGGCAATTATAAAACTTTTTGAAAGAAGAACTTGTCTATGTTGACTAATTGTTTTTATTATCGTCTTATGTGTGCAGCCAGCCATCACATACACCCAACAAGCATAGACCCAGTAAGCACATACATACCCAGGCAGCCCATACACGCATACATCCAGCTAGCACATACACTCAGCCATACACCCAGCTAGCACATACACTCAACCATACACACAGCTAGCACATACACTCAGCCATACACCCAGCTAGCACATACACTCAGCCAGCACATACACTCAGCCATACACCCAGCTAGCACATACACTCAGCCATACACCCAGCTAGCACATACACTCAGCCATACACCCAGCTAGCACATACACTCAGCCATACACCCAGCTAGCACATACACTCAGCCATACATCCAGCTAGCACATACACTCAACCATACACCCAGCTATACACCCAGCTAGCACATGCACCCAGCCATACACCCAGCTAGCACATACACTCAACCATACACCCAGCTAGCACATACACTCAACCATACACCCAGCTAGCACATACACTCAACCATACACCCAGCTATACACCCAGCTAGCACATGCACCCAGCCATACACCCAAATAGCACATACACTCAGCCATACACCCAGCTAGCACATACACTCAGCCATACATCCAGCTAGCACATACACTCAACCATACACCCAGCTAACACATACACTCAGCCATACACCCAGCTAGCACATACACTCAGCCATACACCCAGCTAGCACATACACTCAACCATACACCCAGCTAGCACATACACTCAGCCATACACCCAGCTAACACATACACTCAGCCATACACCCAGCTAACACATGAACCCACACAGCACATACACCCAGCTAGCACATACACTCAGCCATACACCCAGCTAGCACATACACTCAGCCATACACCCAGCTAGCACATACACTCTGCCATACACCCAGCTAGCACATACACTCAGCCATACACCCAGCTATACACCGAGCTAGCACATACACTCAGCCATACACCCAGCTAGCACATACACTCAGCCATACACCCAGCTATACACCGAGCTAGCACATACACTCAGCCATACACCCAGCCATACACCCAGCTAGCACATACACTCAGCCATACACCCAGCTAACACATACACTCAGCCATACACCCAGCTAACACATACACCCAGCCATACACCCAGCTAGCACATACACTCAGCCATACACCCAGCTAACACATACACTCAGCCATACACCCAGCTAACACATACACTCAGCCATACACCCAGCTAACACATGAACCCACACAGCACATACACCCAGCTAGCGCTTAAACCCTGCCATACACTCACCAGCACATACGCCCAGCCATACTAGCGTAGCATATAAACATCACCAAGACATAATCCATAACTAAGCGTCAACAACTGTCAAGACTATGGGATGGCGACCATTAGAACAATTCACTTTGCCATTTAATATTTATCGCCGTAATAATGCGAATGGAAACTATTGATTGACCTGAGTGTTCTACCCTTTGTTGTAAACTAGTGCCGTTGTTTATTTTAAATTAAAGCTCAAACTATTAGGGTAGATGGGGGGAGGGGGGGCGGCGGGGAAAGAATTGAAAGCCTTCTAATCCTACTGTGCATCTGATCACTTTGCTAATCGAAGACTGCAAATGTATTGACAAACGCACTCCAATTATCTATATATATAATTCTCTTCTGGGAGACGATAGAAAACAAGCTGTAAACGCGCTCCCTACCATCCCCACCCCTACATGGTCTTAGTGAGCTGTGGTTCACGCTATGTTTACCTTCGTGGAGTCGGGTTTAGTGACGGCTATTATGGGCAGCTAATTTAGTTTGAAACGATTTTAAACGTTGGGGGGGGGGGGGGGGGGGGGGAAGAAGGAAGGGGGGGGGGGGTATGGTCCTTAACGAACGAGCTACTTATAGTGTTTTAAAGAAATATTTTCAGTGTCAGCGTTGGTACTGTCGAATTCACAAATTATGAATTACTGAAAAGTAGAAAAAAGAAACAACTAAATAGCGGCGTATGTTATGCCGCGGGCCGGCTCGTATAATATAATAGGTCTAGTCGAGATTGTTCTGAATACACAATTAAAAAAAAAAAAGCCAAATCAAGTACAGACACATACATATATGGGAGGAGGGGGGGGGCAGAATTTACAGCTTGCTCCCTGTGCTACACGTTGCCTCTACACCTCTACAATCACCCCCACCCGCCCCCGTCCCACCCCCTTGTGTTATTTACCAATGGCACAGCCCCTAGAACAGGGCTGTCAGGTCCACTTGCACGCGCACGCACGTGTGAGTAATAAACAAACAATGTATTGCTTTATTAATCCACATCTAATAATTAGATGGTTAATTGTTTGTTGCCTGTGGATAACAGATTACCCTAGGCTTTATATTGAAAACAACGAAATATGAGGGTTTTAAGTAGCGACATTTTTACAGGTAACAAAAGTATAAACACATTGATTCAATGTACAACACAGGAATGTGATAAGCATTAAGTAACATTGTGTGTGTGTGTGTGTGTGTGTGTGTAGAAGGGCCTCGCGAGTTAACTGCTACCCTTATGTTGCTACTGGATCTAACAATGTTGGCCTATCGTGTGTGAGACTAACTGGCAACATCTGCTTTATTTTGTTCTAGAATCATAATCCTCGCTTTTGGTGTAAACATACTGTAAGGCTTTGCATTGGCGATGAACTATGTAGAGTTGAAAATATTCAGCTTCCATAAGACCTAAAAGCAAATGGGATAAAATAGGGATAGCCATGGGTACTTAGGTATTTACTTAGGTCTTATCTGTAGACTTAGGCCTTTGGTAGTTTTTTGTCTTGTGTGTAGACTTTGGTATAGGCCTAGGCAGTGGCGTAGCGAGGTCGGGTGTCACCCGGTGCGGCACTTAATGGTGTCACCCCCCCCCAGAGGCGTAGCGACCCTTCCCGGGGACAAACTTTCAAATTTTCGATTTGCACCCCCCTCAAATTTTCGATTTGCACCCCCTCAACTTTCGATTTGCACCCCCCTCGAACTTTCGATTTGCACCCCCTCAAGTTTTTCTCTATATATTTTGCTATTTTTTGCCTTGGTGTCACCCCCCTAAAAAGTGTCACCCGGTGTGGTCCGCACCCCCCCCCCTCGCTACGCCTCTGGGCCTAGGCATAGTTTCTTTTCAATTATGTTATAGACTAGTAGTTTATTTGTGCGTTATATAGTCTTGTTTAAAGCTTATTTCACCTACCCTGGCATTAGCCAGTTCACATTAGCCAGTTTGGGGAGGGAGACAAAAAGATAGACTGAAGGAAGTGAATATCGAACGGAGGAGGATTGATGTCAGATGTTCATTCAACAAGAACTAGAGTGCTGCAGTTTTGCGAGCCAACGAGATACACCGTGTCTCCTTCGAAGAGATGCCTGATAAAACGTCAAGGAAATAAAACGTCAACAAGATTATCTACCTTGAATAGATAATGCCTGAAAGTTCCCCGAGCATCACTTGCAGCGCATGATGCAAGTTTTTATTTTATTCAATGCTTTATCAAATGCTTGGAACATTATTTTCCAATTATCTAGCCACAAATACCATGCTCCGATTTGTTAACTAGATCTAGTGGTGAATCCATATTTCGACTCATGTTTTAGAGGCAGGCTACATGGGTAAAAAATAAACTCGTTTTCGATCGTTATTTATACTCTCATGCTATTTGAATGGTAAAGTTTCTTGTTGGCATAATTTCAATAAGTTCAATTGCTATGTCTGAAAAAGCAAAAAGCTGACGTGTATTGAGGTCATTAATAACAGATGGCTTGCCTTTAGAGCCGATCCCATTCCCCCCCTCCTCTCCCCCCCCCCAAAAAAAAAACACATATCTCCTCAAATAGTCTAAAATTTTCCCCCCAAAATAATCATATCAAATAACAATAGAGCATTAATAGAGCAATTTGCCGCACTTTCTTATCGCCCACCCCACGACAGCCCGAACCACCTATCCCCCATGAGCGTGATATCATTTATGAACGACCCCCCCCCCCCCAACCCATTAAAACAAGAGTCGTTTTAAAAATAACTACTTTCTCTAACATTTAATATATTTGCACATCTTGACATAAAATAATTAAAATCATGCATTATATAGGCTACTGTGTATTCCATCTTACATGAATTTTTAGAATATATTTGATGACATTTAAACTTTGACAGCAGTAAATAATTTTTAACATACTTTTAAGTATCACGAGGCTTATTTACTGTATTATTGTAGGTACTATTTTGTTTAGTATTTCTTTTAGTAGTCTATTGAGGGTTGTTTCAAAACAACTCATACAGTTAGGATGAGAGTGGTAGAAAACCAAAGCATAAAGTTATCGTGTACTATGGCCGATTGTTAAATCATTGATACCGAATCACGTTAATTAAAAAAATAGTCTTACAATGATAACAAATTTCCAAAATTTATAAGGTTGTTTTTAATGTATGTTTCTAAAGTAGATACAAAAATCTTGTATTTCAATTTAAAAATTATACGTTGGCGTGAATCTAAGACCACTGTCAAACACACGAGTTCAGACTTGCCAAAAGTATATGAATGTCATCAATTATTTAGACATCCACAATCTTAGGAGCTCTTCAAAGTCGATCAAGCCGTCCCCGTTGACGTCCGCCTCTTTAATGAGATCATCCAATTCCTCATCTGTAATGCTCAAGCCTTGTTCTTTGACCAAGTTTATTATTTCAGTTTTATCCAGCTTGCCACTGCCGTCTTTATCGATGGATTTAAATAAAGTTTGCAGTTCTGCCCTCCTGTATTGCATAAAATATCAAATGTGTTAACAATACAGAATCTGAAAAAATCGCAGCCATATATTTTCGTTAACAAGTGATTGTTAATTCGAACTATAATTATCGTGTACTTGGAGGAAAGTTTTAAGAAAAGGGTTTAACTTGTGTATGATTTAGGACTTAGCCTAGGACCTTATCAAAATGGTTTTCTAAAGTTTGCTTACGTCACTTCCTTTGGATCTTTAGCAAACAGGGCAGTGCTGAACTCGTTCCAGTCCACTAACTTGTCGTTGTTTGCATCGACTTCAAAAAACATTTCCTTCAAATAGAAAGTTGTTACAATTACTGACACGACAGGAAAAGATTAATTGCAAACTCGTGAGTTTGAATTAGAGTCAGTAATAGGACCTGCGTATTTCAACTTGTAATAGAATTATGACATCTTGTATTTAAATTTGTGACAGAAGTATGACCTCGTGTATTTGTATATTTAACAGAAGTATGATCTTATTTGTTTGAACTTCTGACTTAAGTACGACCCCATGAGTCCAATTTTTTCCAGTGTTTTTTAGACATGTATCTCCGGGGCGGGGCGGGGGGGGGGGGGGGGGGGGGTGCACTTGAAACTATATATATTCTATTTCGTTCAGGGGGCCATTCGACGTGCTTTGGGTGGTGGGGGTGGCAGCGCAGAAGAAACTGAAAGAAACTCTCCTTCCTTCTCCCAGTAAAACTTCAAAGTTAATTTGAAGCTCTTATTTTTTAAAATGTAATTTAAATGCGCGCGCGCCCGTGTGTGTGTGGGGGGGGGGGGGCGTGCGCGTGTGTCCTTGAGGCTTCCCACTAAACAGAGGCATCTTTTTTTGTTTCAATGTTACACTACCAATATTCTTCCAACCTCTTCTTTTAGTACTCGGTTGTTTTCAGAGATGAAATCTTACAAATAGTTTTTGTAAGTAAAATCGACTTTACCCACTAGATAACTGCATCGTTTAGGTTGCTGCAGTGTTTATTTCAATCAATGATTCATCATGCGCCGGCAGACGACAGCACACTAGGGCGACAGTTGTTTATGTCTATGTGTACGATCGACGCACAACAGAGTAGGGGCGGGAGGGGGGGGGGTGGAGAGTTTCTAGAACATATCTGGCTTTTAATGAGCTGGTGCAATCTAAGACTGTGACATTTTATCACAAGCAGCTTTAGAAAGTCATACTGGTGAAAAAACACGTTATGCTGAGTTATAATTATGGTGTGTTCATGGGGTGGGGTAGAACTTCGTGGAATCATTTGATGGGGGGTGCTTGGCTTTATGCTGCGAAGTTCCACAATAAAGGAGGGGGTGGTTAGTAATAACGTAAGAGAGTAAAATTGGCTAAAATTTCTTGACGTTATATATTGCCTTAAACAAACAAAAAAGGTATAGACCAATAACATCTTCATTGTCCCCTATATACTTACATTTTTACATATTGAATGACATTACAAAACATGATATAAAAATTTGCGACGAAAAAAAAAAGTCTTACAGCAATTTCTTGATCGGTGCCCTGGAAGTTGGGACAAGCACTTCGGATAACTCGTGCCAGCTGGCCCACTGTTATAGGGTTACCCCCGTTGGCCTGGTCGAAGAACACTTTACATTTCTCCTCAAAACTTTTCGTCGTCTGAGACATGTTGTTGCTGGTGGTGTGTATGTCCGCTCGGTACTAGAGTCGGCTGAGGACTGTGCGAGATCGGAGAGCGAGGCTGTGGGGATGTAGGCGGCAGCTGGCTAATTCAGGCGTTGTCGCGGCTTCACGCTTGAAATGGATTGACACGCTGGAGAGGTAGCAAAGTCTCTCCCACCCTCTCTCTCTCTCTTTTCTTCTCTCCTAGCAACAGCTGGACTCACGAGTCGGCAATTTTAAAATAAATGAAATAATAAATTAAATTAGTCGTCGGTTTAAATCCGAAACAGGATTAGGACGAGCAGTAGTAAGCTTATAAAGACAAAAAGAGCATACTATGGCAAACTGAATGTGAATTACATGGAGGCAGTGGCGTAGCGAGGTCGGGTGTCACCCGGTGCGACACTTAAAGGTGTCAATCCCCCCCCCCCCCTCCAAAGGCGTAGCGACTCTTCCAGGAGACAAACTTTCAATTTTCGATTTGCACCCCCCCTCTCGAACTTTCGATTTGCACCCCCCCCCCACGAACTTTCGATTTGCACCCCCCTCGAACTTTCGATTTGCACCCCCCCTAAAATTTTTCTCAATATATTTTACTATTTTTTTTGCCTTGGTGTCACCCACCTAAATGGTGTCACCCGGTGCGGTCCGCACCCCCGCCCCCTCGCTACGCCTCTGCATGGAGGGAATACAGCATGTCTCTGTGACGAAGTGAACATATACTGACAGATAATAGCAGGGCAAGTTTTAAAGAAGATTCCAGTTTTCTCCAACTGATCTCCACTGTGTTTTATGATTGGTTTCAGGTCTGGTTACAAAAACAGTTTCCCACTTTTCCTAACAGGGTATGCTACTTGAGTTTGTCTCTACCTCTTTATCCATTAAGGTAATACGCGCAACAAGGGTCGGTAAAACAAAAACAAAAACCTTGTAAACACAATTTCAGTTCTGGACGTTGTGTATTGACGTCCATTCGAACAACGAATTCAGCTGGAGGCTTTCTTAAATAATGAACATGAACACGACAACACAAACAAAGACTCTCATTAGCATCTTTGTGAAGACGAACAAAACACATACGCTCTGGTGATTTCTTAACAAAGAAATAATGCGATCCACGATCTCTTTGTTCCATACAAAATTACCACTAGTATTCACGTCTTACAACGATTGGTAGAGACATGCATGAATGCTAGCTTAAATAAAACACGAGTACGGGTTTGCCATACACTCATGACGCTTTCTTATAGGGGATCAAACAAAATAATTAGCACAGTAACAACTAGCTAGAGTTCTATCACAGACGTGATATTACGACTTTTTTGTGCATCCGGATTAGTTTTTACAAGGCGGGCAGAGGGCGTTATTTGCTGCCTTTTGGTAGTGTAATTTACTGTGTCAAAAGTGGAAGGATGGGATTAATCAAATGCACAGCAGCACACAAATAGGGGAATACCCATTGCTTGAATGTCATGCCTCTAATTAATCTTTACTTGCTCAAATAAGGTCTAAAACGCGGCGACCATATATGTAAAGCAGGCGTATCACAAAGGCTTGGCTTGATACAGCATTTGACGAGATGGAATCAATCCAACTGGCCAATACGATTATCTCAGTCCAATTTAAGCTTTGCTTGGTATATAACTATTGTAACATTTGACTAGATGGAATCAAACCAACTGGCCAACACGTTTACGACTGCATGACCCCGTGTAGTCCACACAGTACACGATGACGTCAGCACAAAGACCCTGAGTGATCCACACATGACTGCAGCTGTTAGCTCAACGGCTGGCCAGGTTCAAGGTGACATGACTGTTCGATGAAAGTCACGTGAGCGGCAGACGGCAATCACTGAAGCGCATCAGCTGGTTATTGAAATAACCTGACAGTCTGAAGTAGCAAGCTATGAACCACCTATTACAAAACGCCCATACCCCTGGCTACAAGGCTTTAAAGTGCCTTTATAAAATATGCCACTTAGAACCTTGTAATCCTAAGGTGATGATGAAGTTCCTGGCCTAATTACAATAAAAACTGAAAATAAAACAACTTTTATAATTAATAATTATAATTAGCTAGTAATTGAAAAGCACATAAGAGGAAAAAAAATGAGTAAACTAAAAACTTTAACGTTTTTAGGCCTATTTTAAGAAAATTGGTTCCGTTTCTTATTGTTTTGTTATTAGGATTTTTAGACGCCTTTTATTTTGTACTGATTACGCTACACAACCATAGAGTAAAAAAGAAAACAATTATTTTAAAAATTGATGTATAGGCACTAGGCCTATTTTATCTGCCCTTTGTCTAGCTGGGGTGTCTTCAACATTAGCCTGATCGAGTCATAGCTACTGTCTAGTTATCTCCCCTTTTTAATTAATACTAATAGATATGGTAATGTTTGAAACCATTTTTAATGACTAACTTAATATTTAATTATATTAAAAAAATCATTTTAGCGTAGTTATTGAAGATGCTCTGCAAAATTAGAAAAAATCACTCCAAAATTGGTCGAAATTGATTTTCAAGATATTGGACCATAAGCACACTGTGTAACGTAAACAAATTAGTTGGAAAAACAGCAGAATATTATAGTCTTGAAACATTCTTCAGTGCATATACTACATTACACAAACAATACACCATGTTATAGAAGAGAGACCAGTATTTCTGGAAAGATGGTACAAATCAAAAGCCAAGTTTATGGGATGTAAGTTTATTGCATGGGCCATGACTGTGCTGAGGTACACACATAGAACATACAGAAGATCGTGTGCATACAGCAAACATTACGTACTGACTAATGTGCAACACTACATGTTTTAGTTTCAACACTCCACACAGGTTCCTAGTTATTTTTCATCCATGCCTTATTTTTTTTTTTTAAAATAGTTTCATATTTTTTGTATAAATATTTTAATATTTTGTTTTTGTATACTTGGCTTATTACAAGCAAAAAACTGGTACACTGTTTAAAAAAAAATTGTTTTGATTAACTTTTAACAATAAACATAGCATTAGAGAATTTTTTTTAGTTATATTCAATTTTTAAAAAAGTTCATTCTAAAAATAGAAACAGTATGTGAGTTAACATGAGTCTTTCACTGAGGCCTCAAAACTTGTACAAATAAATCAGACGCATGTAAAATGTAGTTTGATGTAACAATATCTAGCTCTATAGGTTACATTTGTACTCTCCAGTTTAGAAAAGCTGCAACAGAAGATCCTTACAATGTAGACATTAAAGGATGACTAGCCATCCCACCCGCTGTATGTAGGAGATTACAATGACAGTTCTATAAATACATTAAGTTGGATTCCATGCAGTGAAGTAGCTCTAATGAAAGGTTTAAGGTCATGTTTGATAATACAGGTTAAGGTCATATTAGCTTGCAATAGGGTGTAAAGAAATGTTTTACCGATATGTCATTAAAGTTAAATAAAGATTTCAGATTCTATAATACACTTTTAAAATATACAAGTATTCATCTCCCGCCTGCTGAGAAAAACCTAACCAAACTTAAATTTTAACCTGGACATAAATGCACCTGTGCTTGTTCTGTTATTTCATAAAATCAGCCCACTCCCCTGCTAATTAATTATAGTCAAAGGACAAGCTAGTATGAAATCTAGCTGATAAACGTGTTGTACAAGTCACCTCACTGATTTTGAGTTCAAATCATAGTGACATTAAAGATTAAAAAAAATTGCATCACTTTATAGCCAGGCAATTAAAAACCTACTAATAATTAATCCACTGAAATAAGTTTAACAACTTATTAAAAACTGTAAATTAAGGAAAGATAACTCACACAGAAATGGTTCATAAGGTGAGACAGAAAGAAAACACACCTCTTTAAATGTGCACTCAAGGGAAATAACATGTCAGGAGTTCATGTCAGTAATGAAAATAAAAATGATGCTTGTACAACTAAATAAAGCAATAATCTTTTTCTAGCGTGTAAAAAATTCAATAAAAAATCACACAAAAAATACTAAGACAAAATTAACTCAGCACAAAAAATAATAGAATTCAATAATAATATCATTGTTTCATACAAATTAAAAAATAAAAATCACTGTAAATTAATGGTAAAAAATATCACAGCAGTTACAAACAACCTACAAAACTAATCATACAGAAAAGTGTATCAAAAGCAATCTCTTTGGCAATTGGAGGATTATGATGGAAACATCTTGATTAATAGACAATCAACAATTAAACTGCTTTGTTAATCACATTTTGACAGGTAATTGATTCAATTAATTATAATTATGTTTATTAGATTTAAAAATCAGGGCTTATTTATCACCATGGATTAAAATACAAAGCAAGATATGAGTACTAAGTATTTTAATATGTATTAGTCTTCTGAGTTATGCAATATAACACAATACAAAATAGTATTGATATAAATATTGGCAGTGTATAAACAAAACAGTTTACATGAAAAGCATTAAACATTAACATTGGATATACAAAAGGTTGAGACTCAGGGCATTAATTGAAATAAAAACCACACACACTAGTTTTCCACTAAGTTGGCCACAGATTTATTTTTTTTAAATTGGTGTGCTTTTGTCTAGCCATTAAAGTAAACAAAAAAAACATTTTTAATGGAAATATTTTGTTGGCCAATAGCCACATTTTTTTCATGGGTTTGTTGACATTTGTAACCTGAAGAGTTCATTACCTGGAACCCCATAAATTGTCTGCTTACATACACACAGCATATATATATATATATATATATATATATATATATATATATATATATATATATATATAATTAAATTTTAAGATCGTGATGTTTTCAACAACACTGTTTTTACTAACATTTGCAGAGAATTAAAAATAGTCTTTAAATTACAATATTTAAATGGCTACTAAATATTATATTTAGTATAATGATGAACAATTGTAATAAAACACTACACAATATTATAAGCCTTTAGAAATTGTATTTTGGTTAGCAAAGTATGAAGAGGTTAAACTTAATCTCTACTATGAAACATGATGATATGAGCTTTCAATGTGGAAGTTAACTTATTCAGCAGTGATGATCTGTGAATGTTTCATATTCATCCTAAATAAAGTTGTTTCAAGTAAAATAGGTCTGAATCTTGAATCACTTTTAATTTTTTTCCCAAATAAACTTGCCTAAAGTAAAACCTGGGTTAGAATGTTTAATCACATTTAAAATATGTCCCAAATTTTATAAATTCAAATCTAGGTCAGAAACAGTGGATAAAGACCATATGACAACCTTTACCTGAGAGTCTAAATACTGCTCACGAATGGAAAAACTCCATTTTGATGGATGAACATTGATATGTCCCATCAAAGATTAACATTTGATTATTCAGAATGACTAGCACACCCATCTAAAACTATGTTTACCTATGTTGTATGACTAGAGACATTGCCCTATAAGCTTGTCAATCTTAATGATACACCCAATTCCTTTTGTAGTTGATACAAAAACTTCTAATCTAGAATGTGAAGTACTTCAAGTGAAAGCAAATTAGGCTACACCAAAATAGTATAAATAATCAGCGCATGTCTCCATTTAATTGCTTAAAAAAAAAGAATTAGCAAAATAAAATTGTAAGGTTAGTTTTTTTTGTTCCTTTTCTTTTTAATATTACACATTTTTAACTACAAAAATAAGTAAGAATAAAGATTTAATTTTTTAATTGTTAAGAAACAGTGACTGGCACTTAAGGTGAACATTACACTTTGCCAATAAGAAAATAAATATTAAAATCTCTAGTATTAAATATAGGTTTTTCAATCAAAATTATTTTTTTAAAGATATGATTGTTAGAATTAAAATTATTGCCGGAATACAAGAATCAGTGGATAACTTTGATATATTTAATACACTAATATGAATTCTACTTGTGTTTTCATCACATTCAGTATATATAAATTTATTAATACCCGACATTGCATTAAAATTATTTGGCACATTACACTCTTAAACAGACTAGCATCATATATCACATTCTTGTCATGAAACACAGCAACAATAACAGTGAGAAGTTAACAATCAAGTGCCATTTGCCAAAAGAAGCAGTAGACCAGATTTTTCTATAGTAAATACATTTTTTACATGCCATATTTATAATTATCCTAAAAATTATAAAATGATTAAAAATATATAATTTATTTATAACTGCATTTGATATTCATGCTATAGATGAGATCACAGTTTAGTTAGATCCAAACAAATATTCTAGTACATTGCTACACATATCAGACACAAAATACAGCTTAAATTATATCATATGATTTAAAGTGTAATAATTTTAAGACGACTAACATGAAATACTATTTTAAATTTTATACTCTATTCTTTTAAAAATGTATATATATATATATATATATATATATATATATATATATATATATATATATATATATATATATATATATCTAAAATAATTTTTATTTTGATGAGGAGAATTGTACGACTCAGCATAAATGTGGAAGACCATCATAAAGATAACTCTTCCCAGCAAATCTTAAAAAGTTATCTATACTAAATAATGAGATGTAACTTTTATGATGACATTTGCAACAAAGGGCAGTTAGAGGTGAAGAGCTCATGTCTAAATTAGGAAAGAAACAAGGTTGTGTAGTAAGAGAGGATTTTCCACCCAGAAATATACAACAGTATGTTTTTTGGGCACATATAAATGGTCACAATGTTGAATGTAATGAACGTCCCAGTGATGGTCATAAATACTACACCACTATGTCAAGGAGAAACATATTCATTTGTCTAAGAGGAGTTTCACATTTGAGAAACTAAATTACTGGTGCCACATAAATTAACAGTGAGAAAATAAAGGTTTCACATTATCTCTTAAGTAATAAAATGAGTCAAAGAATTATTTTATAACTATCTGAATGATCAGTAAAAAATTAAAAAATCTTTTGAAAAAAATTGAAGTGAAACCCATAATGTAGACCAATTGATCTCCTCCTCCCCCTTATTTGCTTGAAACGAAATTTTGAGGTACAATGTTCTACAGTAATAGATTGTACGTCTGCTGAGGTAATAATTTACTGAACGTTTACCTAACAGAGAGTTGTCGTACTAAATTATTTAAATACAAATATTTTAAACAAATACTAAATATCATGATGGCCAGTTTTTAAACAACCACCAATATCTTTTCAATTGTTAGAAAAATACCTCTTTAACATGCTGTTAATTACAGTCACCAATATGTATACAATTAGCTTATTAATTAATACTTAAAATTTACAAGTGAATCTTAACAAAGCAATACAGTATTTCAAGGCTCAAATGAAACAATTTTGGTTAATAAAACAACAGGTACAGATAAAAATGTAAAAAAAGCAGATTGATGTTTAATCATCACTAGAACTTCTGGAAAAACAAGCAGGAAACTTCCATGGTTTAGAGCCCCCGATAGCTCTCAGAGCCAGCCATTCTTGCATGTTGGGCACAGAGCATGCAGCGCTCTCTTCTTCCTGAGCTGAGAGATGGCTAGACTTTGAAGTTTTGTGAGTCCCATTGCCTACAGCTGATAGACTGGACTGGGTAGTGGAGAAAGTTTTAGAGTCAGACACTGGCTCTGGAGAGAGGGCTGAGGAAGCTGAATCACACACTGAAAACCAAAGTGATAATATGAGCATTTCATTATCAATCACACACTGAAAACCAAAGTGATAATTTGAGCATTTTATTATCAATCACACACTGAAAACCAAAGTGATAATATGAGCATTTCATTATCAATCACACACTGAAAACCAAAGTGATAATATGAGCATTTCATTATCAATCACACACTGAAAACCAAAGTGATAATATGAGCATTTCATTATCAATCACACACTGAAAACCAAAGTGATAATATGAGCATTTCATTATCAATCACACACTGAAAACCAAAGTGATAATATGAGCATTTCATTATCAATCACACACTGAAAACCAAAGTGATAATATGAGCATTTCATTATCAATCACACACTGAAAACCAAAGTGATAATATGAGCATTTCATTATCAATCACACACTGAAAACCAAAGTGATAATATGAGCATTTCATTATCAATCACACACTGAAAACCAAAGTGGTAATATGAGCATTTCATTATTAATCACACACTGAAAACCAAAGTGATAATATGAGCATTTCATTATCAAACACAAAGATTATGATAAATATATCGGTACAATGACTTGAATCATATAGTAGAAATTTGTCAAAGCTGATGTAAAGTTTTAGTTTACAAAACCCATTACCCAAGATAGATACACTAGAATCAATAAAAAAATCAACTTTGTACTTACTGATATTATCCATTAATCTGTTACTAGATTGTTTTTGGCTTGGTTGTCGTTTAAGAAGCACAACAATACCTTGCATCTGATGAAATATAGCTAGTTCTGTTATACTTTGTCTCACTTCTTCATTTGTTAACAGCTGGCTAAGTTGAGATTTCACATAGTCAAAGTCTATGCCTAGCTGAACAGCACCCCATAAACTGAAGAGTAAACAGCATATTTATTTATTATCAAATGCAAAATTACCAGTTTCTTTAAATCTTTTAAAAATAAGATTTAAAAAAAATATTTTGCTAAATTTGTATGCTATTTAGAATTTATTTATCAATTAACAACACTGCTTAGCTAAAACAATTAGTATGGGTATAATAAATGTATCCAACTGTGTAAACCCTAAAGTTGAACTCCAATAGTTAAAAGCCAAAACTTAAATAATGAATACTTGAGACTTTTGTGTTCAGGACAAATGTCACACAAACATTAAAATTTGAAACAACTGACATGACAAGTATTTACACATTTTATACGTACGACATGTATATGCAGTAATGTTTAAATATGGGTGATCAAAATTACAGTAAAAAAGTTTGTCATTCACTAACCTAAATCTTATTTTCTCCTTTAAAATTAAGCTAATCCAGGCATTGCAAAAAGCAACGGTAACCAGTGATATGACTCCAATTTGTGACGTTGTTGAAAGATTTGACATTCCATGTACAACTGAAGCTAGCAAAAGTTCAACACCATCCACAGCATAGCGGCTTGGTTCAGCTATTTCCTCTGTAAGAAAAATAAAATTTAGTAATATTTCAAGCAGTTATCAATATGAAAATAAATTATTTAAAAAATCTTGTTATTTTCACTATCAATTTTAGTACCAGGTAACAGTTTTCGTTTCCACATGCGCGCAGGCAGTATGTTTTCTTGAAAGAATCTTGATGCATGTTCATTGTATTTGTCTAGAAATATTTTCATGGCAGTGCCACTGAGTGTCTAAAAACAAAACAAAGTATAACATAAGATTAATGTTCACAACAATTTTTCCATACTGCCACTGAGTGTGTAAAATCAAAACAAAGTATAACATATAAAATAAAGGTTCCTGCTAATTTGTAAACCATTAATTAACATGTAAGTAAAAAATAACTTCAAAATATCTGGCAGGCTAAGATTAACAAAGAGACTAGCCTGTATCTGGCCATTAACAACATCAATTTGCTGATTCAGAACACCAAGTTGGCACTGAGACAAAATATCAGAAACTTTGATCACACCATGTTCTTCTGTTAGGTTTAAACTTTGCAGCAAGTAGGACACACTTTTTGTCGAATCTACAAGCATCTGTAATTTGACTCCATTGTTAATAACAAATATTTATATAAATATATCTATTCACTAACATTGGTTGAAATAAATAGCTTAATATCTCATTTTATTGAGAAAAGTCCTGCTAACGCTAATTCAAATCTAATGTAATGCAGTAATAAAACATCTAAATTCTCCTAGATATGGATTAACCCACCAGGTACCAAAAAGATGTAAACATACTCTACCTTAAGATCACAGTGTGTAAGCAAAAGAAACTGATTAACATTCCAAGAAGACAGCAGCTGCTGTACTTTAGAACTACACCAAGACATGGCCAATTTGCAGGTTGTCAGTATGCGCCAAGTCACACCAGCACACACACCAAGATCAATATCAGCATGCTGAATGACATTTTCAGAATCTGACAATAAATAAGTTACTTTATTTACGCACATAAAACTGAATTGATATTGATGTATTATGGCTAATTTTAAATTAATTTTTTTGTATTAAATAATGAAAAACAAAATAAAATATGATGTGACTAAAATGTACAGTATTTAAAAATTGTAACAGTAATGTTAAAAAAAAGTAAACCTCGATTTTTTGGGAAGCACTGATTTATCTCTTTTAAAATGCTCATTAGGGGCTTGTACATATCTCTCAAAAACTTGCCAGTGCGTGTACAATAAAGGTCACCATTTATCAAACATGGCTGACATTTATCTGTCATTTCTGAGGCCAGACATGCATTCATCACTGTAAAAGGATCAATGATAAAAGTCAGTATGTGTTTCAATTAGTATGCCTACAAGTACTTGCATCTGCTCAGTAATTAATATGAATTACAATTAAAATCATTAGCAAATGAATAGAAGCTAATAATAAATGAAAACAAAAAATATAAATAACAAAGCAGAAAAATTTAAAACAAAAAAAAAAATTAAAAATTCTTTACTTAAAAGTATAAAAAATACTGACAAAATATACTTGGTTTGTATCTAGTTTCAAGGTAATTGTTTTTCAAACAATTTTATCAGAAAAATTTAAATCACCTTTAATTTTAAACTTGGGAAAAAAAACTTACTTTCATCCCAGGCCCCAAAAGAAGACAGAGCATGTAGTCTAAAAACAACCCCCAGCAAGGGTTGAACAGAGGTAGGAGGAAATATATCTGAAAAATATAATGAAATATAGAAAAGAAATAGTTGCATGTTTAGTATTTTTACCTTATTATTATTTGTAAGATAAATTAAGTACAGAAAAAATAGCTAAATAAAATAATATCAAATAATTTACTATCAGTAAAGGTAATGTTTTTGCCCCAACTTATTTTACAAAAATAGTGTTAATATTTTAAGTGAATTTTACCTTTGAAACAAAGAAGTTCTATCATATTCCGCAGTATAGCATTTATTGTGTCATTGTAGAGAAGCAGCGACCCTATTTCAGAATACAGAAGGCAATTACGTCCCCTCCAAGTTGGTTCATCAAGAAACAGGTCAAGGTTTCTCCCAAGGTGAGTCCACATAGAATCCATGTAATGGGTGACTACTGCACTTCGTATAGTGTTATCTGCATTATCTCCCCATGAAACAGTTTTTCTCTGTGAATCTGTCCGGTTTACAACAGGGGTGTCATTTTGAAACTGCACCCTTGGTGGCCTTCCAACAACAGGACTCAACGGGGATTTCATTTCTACCTGTTTATTTGCATGACGAGCTCTGTGGGGTTTGTGGGGCTCATTCTTCCTTAGCAAGGAAGTTGAATTGCAAACAATAAGTAAAAAATTCTCAGCAAACTCTTGCTCCTTCTGGGAGAAGTGTATCAGTGGCGACACAAGGTTTGATAGGTCTGGCGCTCGCAGTGTTCCAACTTGTAGAAATGTTGCATTGAGACTGGTACTGCTTCCTGTAAATGTGTGGTAGTCCGATGTATCACTACGCATCATCATAGAATGGGGCTGATTTTGATAAGGTACATAATCATCCCATTCAAACGCTGGTAAATTTCCCGCATGAAGAATACGAAGAAAATGCTCATTTTGAGTAAAGAACTCATGAGTTAGCCTGGCAGCATATTTTGATCTCTCATTAGCAAGAATATTCAATACTTTAGTAAAGGGAATAGTCCTAAGAGGCTTTGTTAAAGCAGAGTTCACAACAGATGTGTTTGTTTTGATTTGAGCTGAAAACAAATGGTTACCAAAAGTCAGGGATTTATCCACTTGAAAATGAAGCTTAAGACCATTGATTATGATGTTGAAATCTTCTAGTCCCCTAGTGATGTTCCACATGATCTCTGGAGTCAGAGTCTCCATATTACCATGGGCAAACACCTCAAAACCTATATGTATAAGTTGATCCAAATTACAGACAGCTTTTAGTACAGTAGTTGTAAGAACCTGCATAATCTGTTGAAGCTGCAAACACAGCTGTCCTAATCTAGGCTGTAACCAGTGATTTGTGTTGAGTCTTTGCTTGATACTATTCCAATGAGCCACATGGAGGCGCAGGTCCTCACACAATGCATTTAAACAATAGAGCTTTGTAACTGGGGTTTCTTGAGTACAGCCATGTCTTAGAGAGTAAGCTGTGCGACATTCCATTTGGATCAGACTTTCCAACTCTTCAACAAAAGTCTAGAAAAAGAAATATGCAGTTCATACAGTTATATGTCAACTAGCCCCTTAATGATATAAAAATAAAGTTTAAACTTAAAATATATAAAAACTGATTCTTACCTGAGCTGATTTGACCCTTATCAAACAATCTTTTAATATTTCTAATTGTGCCCTCTCTTCCATTAGCCTCCTTAAATTTGAATATTGTTTCCCAAGCGGAACTCCCCTGTTCACAAAAAAAAAATAATTAAAAGATTAATTTTAGTACAGAAACAAATTTTTAAAAGTATATACCAGCTTTTAATGCTGCACAAACAAAATATAAAAGTATTTAGATTTTTAACAGGTTAAAACAACAGATAAATGATACTTGTTTGCATTATCAGATTTATTGTAAAAAAAAAAACAACACTTTTAAAATACAGTGCTCTAAAACTATAGATTCAATGTGTATTTCTAAATCTTATAATTTTTTTTTCTTACTACCTAGGGCAATGGCTGAAATAGCCACCATCCATGTCTGGGATACGTTTACAAGCATGGTATCCAGGCTGAAGTATATTAAATACTTTCCGTAAAAATTTACTCGCATCTTCTGCATCAGCTGAATCAAATGTTGTTTCAAATGTAGAAGACTGATCCCCATCAGTCTCCATAAAACCAAATGCCTAAAATAATAAGATTTAATTCAAAATATTTAACACCAATTTTTGTTTATTTTTAAAAAGATATCAATACGTTTTTTATTTAATATAAATGGTAACTTAATTTAACTGTACCTGAACTGGAACATCTGGGGGTTCATCCTCATCCACAGGTGTATGTTTCCCCAGCATATGTATGGGGGGCAGGCGAGACTTAAGGGCACCTCGCCCTCTACCTAATCCATGACTCATTTTCAGCAGAATTACTAGAATCAGCCACACATGAATTCCACTGACATCAGAGGTGCTTCACGGTTTCAAAATATTTTTGTTAGTTAACCAGCCATACATTTTGTGAATTATTGATTGTGAATTTGAATGGATTCTGTAATTATTAAACAATATTAAATATGGTTCATATATTTTTAAAAAAGGTAAATTTTTAAAATTTACATTACACAAAAGTAAATCTTCCATATGGATTAAAATATTACTCAAAGTAAGTGTTCCTTATTTGACATAATCAAACCAAATAGCAAAACCCAATACACACTGTAAGTTAAGGTATCTTAATGTAATTAGCTATACAAATTGTACTATTATAAAGCTTACGTCTTAAGATATAACCTTATCCCTAACCCTAACTTTTTTTCTCCTGAAGCTAACCACTTTGACCACCTGTAATGTTGTTACATCAGTGAGAAGCTGAACATCGTGTGCAAGACGATAAAATAAAAAAATAATATGAAAATAATATGACTGGTTAGTGTATGAATAGACTCTCTCTAAAAAGTGGTAATAGTAGGCCTATGCCTAATCCAGTCGGTGAGATTAATGTGGTGTGTACCTGGTTACCAACAAAACTTTTGGCCTAATTAAATTAATTAGGCCCTGGGCCTAAGCCATAACTCTTATGGCATCTTACGCTTTGTATATTTCTTTTACTTACTAGCCTAATTAACTTACTTACAATCAAATTTTTAAGCATAATCATGATTTAATAATCAATTACTAATTAGCATAGACCTTAAATTAGCCTACAGTGACAGTAATTTCATTAAAAAAGGATTTCTTATACTTTTTTTATGTTAGTTAACTAAAAACACACAGATCTATGACTTGCTAATGTTAATCATAATGCTAAACCTATCCCTTAAAGTAAAATAACCCTATCTTTACTATGTTATGTATGTAGCTAGGCCCTAGGAATACCGTACGACTAACCCTAATTTCTAACCATAAAACTAGACGAGATTACAATACTCATCCATACTACTATTTTCAGACATCATTATACAATTATACATCCTAATCATCTACAATTCTAAATCTAAATATCATCCCTAAATTTAACTAAATGAAGTAAAACAAACATCATTAGTTTGATTCATTGGGCCTATTTTTATTATTATTTATATTTATTATTTAATATAGAATAGGCTTATTTTTTAGATTCTAATATTTAAACATGTTTTGAACGAATTGGTTAATTTTTTTACTAGAATACCAGTCAATAGATCTAGATTTTAAATCAAGATCAATCTACTCACAGTAACACGAACTTAAGAGTCTTAACTCAGTGAAAGTCTCCTCATCACATCACTCACACTCATCACAGTGCAGCTGCAGCAGCACTACTCCCACTCATTCTGATATTCTGACTCATAAATGAACCACATTTTTAATGTGCATTATAATGCATTGTTAAAACTACGGATTCGCATTTACGACAGAAATTCCAACCTGAAATGGTGTCCCAAAACAGCACAATTTAGCTCTCATTTAAATACATAATACTAATAGATATTTATAGCATTCTTACCCTTTTATTTGCTTCGTAGGAAGCCATGTTGCCAAAATAATGAAGGTCACGTGATTTAAAAGAAAAGTTGATCTATCTCTACGGTTCCGTTTTTGTGTGCATATCAGTTCTATTCACGCTACTCTCAGTCTTGGAATTTTTTACTTTGAAAACATTCGTTTGATATTGAAGTAAATTAAAATTTCATAATGTAGATCTATATCAGTGGCGTAGCGAGGTCGGGTGTCACCCGGTGCGGCACTTAATGGTGTCACCCCCCCCCAGAGGCGTTGCGACCCTTCCCCGGGGACAAACTTTCAAGTTTTCGATTTGCACCCCCCCCTTCAAACTTTCGATTTGCACCCCCCCCTCAAGTTTTCGATTTGCACGCCCCCTCAAGTTTTCGATTTGCATCCCCCCCCTCAAACTTTCGATTTGCACCCCCGACACTCAAGTTTTTCTCTATATATTTTGCTATTTTTTGCCTTGGTGTCACCCCCCCCTAAATGGTGTCACCCGGTGCGGCCCGCACCCCCCGCCCCCCCCCCCCTCGCTACGCCCCTGATCTATATAAAGTATGTTTCACCATGTATTTTATATAAATATATTTATTCCGCTGTTGATTATTTGATTTTATACTATAATTATTAAAATAAATATACACATGTTAGAACTATTTCAGTATTGTAATAAGATTATTACAATGTATTATACTTAAAAGCGCACAACCAGAGTTTCTTCCAGGCATCTCTACCGCCCCCCCCCCCCGAACGAAATGAAATTTATATAATTTATATAGAAAATACTTTTAACAGTGTCCGCCCCCCCCCCCCCCCGAAGAAAGTCTAACCCCCCCCCCCCCCAATTTCAAGTACCCCCCCCCCCCAGAGAAAAAAGTCTGGAAGAAACACTGCGCACAATTGTGCTATAGTATTATTAGCATTCTTAATTACATAATTTAAGAAACGCTATTGAACTTAATCATGCAAATTGCTATACACCAGGGGTCGGCAACCTGCGGCTGGCGAGCCGCATGCGGCTCTTTTGGTGTCCAGTTGCGGCTTTTCAGCTCCATGCACAAATATTAATAATTATTTTATTTTCAAAATTCATAAAATATTAGTCTGCAGCGCTCGGTAATAAACATAAGAATATAACATAAGATATAAACAATAAACATTCACTATTATATTAGAATATTTAGTTAGTCCCTATCTAAATGTACTTCCTATTACATTGTCCATTCCGAATAGAAACATTCAACTTCATAGTGGATATCACAAAGAAACTAAACCAGCTAAGCGTAAAACTGAAAGGAAAACCCAGCCTATGTCTTGCTTGAAGAAGTTTGTTTCGAAAAAAAAAATACTTTTTTTGTTGAATACTTGGTGAGCGGTAAATTACTTAATTACAAAAAAAAAATCTGAAAAAAAAAATCGTTATAAAGCGAATGCTACTATTCAATCACTTCAGCATTAATATAAACGAAATGAAAGATGTTTTCACTGAGAGATTTGAGCTATACAAAACAAATGCAAGTAGTCTGGCTTACATAGTAGATCCTCTCAACACAAATTCAAATGAGATTATATATATATATATATATATATATATATATATATATATATATATATATATATATATATATATATATATATATATAATCCTAAACAAATAAACTATTACATAAAACTGTTAGTGGCTCTTTAAAAACCGGGTAATGTTGTACATTGTTACTTTTGGCTCTTTCGGCTCAAAAGGTTGCCGACCCCTGCTATACACTATAAATTGCAACAGGAAAAGAAAAACAACTAGAAATTCTGTATGTTTGTATGTAAAATGTTTGTCGTAGATTCCAAAGGAATATAAAAAAAAAAAAAAACGAAAAAAAAAAAACCGATACTTCAATGGATTCAAGTGTTAGATCATTAAAGTGCCCATGGTCTAAATTTATGAGTTAAAAAATTAATATTGAAAGTCTTTAAAAACAATTTTCATTTTATATACTTAGAAAAATTAAAAAAAAAGTGTATCAACGTTTATAAAATTTCTAAAATTGTGCTGAAATGTATTTGCATTTTGTTCTTTAGCTCCCATTACGTCCCTTGATTCGGAAAACACGATGACTTCCCTTTAAAAAACCATTAAATTGGGCGGGGGGGTGGGGGAGAAAGAATTTACTTTTTATTACTTTTTTTGGTGTTGGCAAAACAATAATTACATAATTAGCGGGGATTGATTAAGTGCAATGTTATTGGTATTTTTAATACTGCCTTTTATTTATTCCATACACTGAACGTACTGTTTTCTTCTGATTATTTTTAATCAATAACAGTTAATAAGCCAGGTCCTGCATGTCCTAAATGTTTATTTCTTTCCGTTTACGGATAAGCTTGGAGTATTATAATTGTTCACTAAATTGAAACAGGCGCGTACGCCGGCGCCCCAGCAGGGTTTGATTTGGCGCCCTGGGATAACCTGTGAGTGCTATGGTGCATAATTTCACTTTAAACAGTGCGATAGACTATGGATAAGAAAGGTTATTATAGACTTTAAGTGAATCGAATCCGTGCGTCCTCTGGCGCCCAGATAGGGTGCTATTTGGGTGTTCGATTTGGCGCCTACGTTCGTTTAAGTGAGTGCAAAAGACTATGAATAGGTACTATAGTCGTTTATTAAGCTGAAACAGGCGATTCCGCCAGCGCCCCAGCATGGTGCGATTTGGCGCCCCGGGCTAGGCTGTGAGTACTTTGCGTTTATGTTCGCGTTAGTGTTTTATTTGTGTTTAGGTTGGGTTTGCGTTAGTGGTTGCGTTTGCGTTCGTTTTTGTTCTTTCTTTTTCGTTTTCGTTTGTGTTTTTTTCTTTGGCTTTGTGTTTGTGTTTGTGGTTGGTTTTGTGTTTTCGTTTGTGTTTGTGGTTGGGTTTGGGTTTGAGTTTGTGTTATCGCTTGTATTTTTGTTTGCGTTCATGTTATGTTTTTTTTTGTGTTTTGGTTTTGATTGGCTGTAGTTTGGGTGGGCAATGCTGGGTATATGCTGATTAATAAACACACATGTCATGTTCCTTTACAGATAGGTTTCAGAAATCTCTTTTATAGACACCTGCACCAAACTACAAGAAGATATACAATTTTATATAATACTAGCCTTCCCGGTTTGTGTTGTGTTGTGTTTTGTTGTGTTTGTGTTGTGTTTGTGTTGGGTTGTGTTGTGGTTCTGTTGTGTTAATGTTTTGTTTGTGTTGTGTTTGTTTGTGTTATGTTTGCGGTTCTTTTTTGTGTGTTTTGGTTTTGGTTGATTGTGTTTAGGGTGGGCAATGCCGGGTATATGCGGACAACAATTTCCGGGGAAGGGGGGGACGGGGACGGGACACTGTCAAAAGTATATATTTCCTATATAAATTCCATTTCGTTCGGGGGGGGGGGGGGGATGGTGCCGAAGAAACACTGGTGTTGCATGTACACAACATTGTTTATGTCGGGAAAGATATATGAATTCACGTTCCCATTCAATGTATTAATTAAATTGCTGAGAAATGCGAAGCCACAAGCAGACGCGTAGCGACCCTTCTCGGCGCCCGGGGACAAACTGTCAGTCTGGCGCGCTCTCTTGATCAACCTTTCAATTTTCAATTTGCACCCCCCCTTCAAACTTTCGATTTGCACCCCCCCCCCCTCAAACTTTTGATTTGCACCCCCTCCACCCTTGTCGGGATTTGTCAAATTTGCTCTTAAAAGACTATTTAACACTCTAATTAGTCACTTAATAAGTAGAATTATCATTTTCTCTATATATTTTGCTTTTTTTTGCTTTGGTGTCACCCCCCCCCCCCTAAATGGTGTCACCCGGTGCGGTCCGCACCCTCTCCCCTCCCCCTCGCTACGCCACTGCTACTTGGTCAAAGCGAGATAATTTTAAATGAAGGCTACAGAGGTGGCCCTGTTGTTTGCCTTTGTTTAGGGCTGTCCACAATTTAGTAGAGGGTTCCATTAAGTTTCTCACAGGCGATGTCAAGTGGACATATATTCTTTTTATTTTTGAAGTTTTAAATTTTAAAAATAAATTATTTAACAAACAGCAAGTTATGGAGATTTCTGTATACATTCTCAGCTTTGAAAATACTCGAAAATGAAAGTGCGTTAACATGTCTTTATAGTTTGCTACTGTGATCAAAACAGCCTTATTAACGGGTAGAAGAGCCGACAGACGTAGGCCTATGTCCCGCATAAAATAATCAATTAATAAAATAAATTTTTTTTAAAAATGTATGAAAAAGAAGATAAATTAATTTTCTGAAAAAATAATCATGCACCTCTATTTATATAACAAAAATAAAAGCCTGGGTTACTATATTACATGCTGAGATTTTTTTAGCGCAATTTCCATTCTGGAGAATTGCGTTTATTAACCCGTCATTTCTGGATGTATGAATGTATGAATGTATGAATGTATGAATGGATGGATGGATGGATGGATGTGTGTCCGCAGCTTTAAGTCGTATCTCCTCCTCAACGAAGCAATATCGATGACTAGTTCCAAAAGCAATTATGTTAAGCAAGTTACGAGGATGAACATAGGCTATAAAAATTACGGGTTTCTTTCATGGATTTCCTGGAAAAGCCAAAAAACCTCGGAAAAAAAAAGCAGTTTTTGGCCCATATCTCGGCAACCAGACCACTTAGCGACTTGAAACATGTACCAATCGATTCCTGCCATAATTTAGAACAATATTGCCGAAGAAAGTTTTCAAAAATATCCTTTCGTTCGGTCACAAAATTTTTTTTGAATTAATTAAAATTTGGACCGAATTAGTAGGCCTTTTTTCCAACCACACCACACGCGTCATCACGTTCAATAGCGGCACCATCACGTTCTATGGCTTCGTCATCACGTTCAGTAGCTAGGCGCGCAATGGTTTTTAGTCATGTAACTCTATTGTAAATAAAACATGTAAAATACTGAAATTTTTTTAAAATAAAAAACGTTTTAATAACTAACCAATGGTTTTACTAACCCTGCTCTTGATTTACGCTACGACAGAGCTATTTTTAGATAACAT